CTTTCTCAATTATTATGATAATTATAAAGAATAGATTCCCTTATAAATCTATCCTTGATTTCCTGAAAAGCTTATTTTATCTTTTCATTTTATATAAAAGTTATTCCTTTTTTGATTATTTCGATAAAGGGTTTCATTTTTTTCGAAAAGTCTTTTATAAATATTCGACAGAAATTGATAAATTCTAATATAGATTATATATCCTTGATATTCCTAGATTGTTCTTAGTTCCTTATCTTCTTTGTTTTTTCAAGATCTATATTCATTTGTTCTAATTGAATAATATATCTTAAAAATATTACTTTTTGTATTTCAAACTTGTATTTCGATAGTTTGAATCTTGAATCCATTCTTTTGAATATTTTGAGTATTTTCAATATATATTCTTTATATTCCTTCTCTTTTTAAAAGAAGATTAAGATATCATTTAGATAATAGATTACAAATAAATTGAACTTTTTGAATATCTTATTATTCTATTATTGATATATAATTAATATATTAATTAACTTGAATAATATAATTATATATTCCTATAAATTTAATAATAAAATAAAGATTATTTTTTATTCATAATCCTCTTTTATTTATATCAAATTGAAAATATTTCTTTGATCTAATTTTGTATAAATCATAACTTTATTCAATTTATCCCTGAATTCCTAGACTTTTGATATTAAATATATATCTTTGATTGTTCTATTATTAATTCGATAATAATCTTTGTAAAATTAATTATCTAAATTGTCTTTCTTAAATACTAATAATATATTAGATATATAAAAAGATTTGGATTTCTTAATCTATTCTTTCTTTTTAGTTTTAATTCTATATTCTTTTTATATCTATATAATATTAAAGTTATATAACCTTAACTTTTCAATAAAGAATACGAATCCTTTTTTAAAATTGATTTTATAATCCCAAAGTTTATATTTTAATAAAACCCTCAAATCTTAAAGATCTTTGAAGAGTTTGATGAATCTTCTATATTATATTGGAATTTCTTTTTTATCGATTTTATTAATCAATAAAGGATCTGTTATTGTTATAATATAATATCCGATCTTTTTGGAAATCTGTTTTTTTAGATTATATAATCATTTGTTATTATAATTATAATAATCGAATATTAAGGTATCTTTTATTTAATTGATATTTGAATTGTGTTTCTTAATCTATAGAGTATTAAGAATAATTATATATTTATCTAATAATACTAAATCCATTTTGACTTATTCAATATATTTATCTGATATAATCATTTTGATAATACTAGTTTTTTTATATATTCAATCATCAATTCTAACTTTCTTTCTTTTTAACAATATCAATTGATAAAGATTTTATTTTAATTCTATAGGAATTCCATTTTCTTTAATAAAAGTGAGATTTATAAATATATTTATAATTCCAAAATCAATTAAAATATTAATTTGTTGATTTTTTAATTTGATTTTTATAATTAATTATTCGATTTCTATAATATTATTGAATTCTAACAATAATAATTCGATAATTTGTTCTTCGATAAAAAGATTCAATTATTTATATTGATACTTATTTATATTCAATAATCGATAGAATATAATAAACAATAATTCTATTGATTTTATTTGAAAATCTTGATAATAATTATAATTTAATACTTCTTTATTATTTTTATCAATCTTTCATTAAATATAATAAATCCTAATTTATAATAAAATCTCCTATACTTCTTCAACTTCTAAATCACATTTATTATATTCTTATACTTCATTGAAGAATAAAGAATCTATATTTACAATATATCTTCTAATATCACTTACTTTAATATTTTCCTTAAATATTATATAATAAATATCATTATATATTATTATATAAAATATTAACAAAATAGAATAATTATAAATTCTATATTTCTCGATAAAATCAAGTTTCTTCTTTTTATAATAATACTATATTCATTTCTTATCTAGATAATTGATTAAATATTATAACTCATTTTCCCAAGATAAATAATAAGATTTAATTGTTTATTGATCCTTTTCGAATTCTTTGATTGATTCTTTGTTTTCTAATTCGAAATCTTCTAAAGATTCTTTTTTGTAATCAATATTATTCTTAATATTAATTTTAAAGTTTTGATTATTGATATTCAATTCTTTTAACTATTTAAGATTGAATTGAAATAAATCTCATTTCAATAATCCTATTTCCTTCAAGTTTCCTTTTAAAATTTCTATTTTTCGAAAATTTTATTTTTTATTTTCAAATTTCATTTATTTCCTATCTTTTGTAATAAATAATTTCTTTTTTTAAAAACAATTTTAGAATATATATTTGTTTTTCCTATAGATATAATATAAATTATTCTTTTTATATCTTTTCTTTTCATTAATACTTAGATTACTTAACTTTATATAATATCATTTAGTATTATCTAATTTTATTGGATTGTTGATATTATGATATCTGTTCTAATAATAAAGTCTTTAGAATTTCTTACTTTCTTAAATAATTCTTTTCTTCTTTATTTATTATTTATAGAATCAATTATCAATAAGAATAAAAGTTTCGATTAATTTAGAAAGATTAAATGATTTCGGGGTTTTTGTTAATTTGTTTTTGATAATATTCTTCAATCTTTTATAGAATTATGATTTTAGATAATCATTATCTTATATAATATATTCAATGTATTATTGAAATTTGATAATATAGATTATAATTGATCTGATTTGTTTAAATTATTATAATACTTTTTCAATTATATAATCAGAGTCTATTTCCCTGAATACTTTATCGAATCCCTATTTGAACGATTTATAATTGAGGAAAAGATAATAAATCTCAGATTTTATGTTTTTGTTCAATTATTCATCGATAATCTTGATTATTAGATTGTTGAAAAATGGTTCAATTCAATTGAATATAATTCTTCGGAAAAAGAAGATCAATTATAAAATCCTTTATATAAAAATCAAGAAAAGTTATTTATTAAAAGTATAATAAAGATTTATTTATATTACAAAAGTTCGATATTTGCTACGATTTCTATAAAATAGGTTAGGAATGGATATCTGAATTGCTCGTCTATACTCTATAGTGGCGGCAGTTTGAACAAGGGCCTCGATTGAGTTGAATGGTGATGATTCAGTGAACTGCTGATTGGAAGTTATTATACTATCTATAACTTAATTGTAACAATACTCAAAGTGTAACGATTTAATAAAAACAACAATTGCCTCAGGTTTTTGTATAATTGATATTCGTAAATTAAGACTAATAATCATTGATTATTTATTTGAAAATAAATATATTATTAGATCAATTAGAATATAAATTAACTAATTGATAACTAAATTGAATACAAAGCTTTTAAATTATAAAACTATTTTGATTATATATTAATAAATATAAAGGAGCTTTATAAAACTTTAAAACTCCAAAAAGCTTTTAAAGTTCTAGAAGTTTTCGAAGCTCCCAGGACTCCTTATCACATGATTAGGATTAGATTATATATCCGAGCTTGCTAAAGATAGGGAGACTATATGAGGCGATTACTATACAAATTTGTATACGAATCGCCTTGCTTTTCGATAAGGCCTAAGCTTATGTGGATATGTTGATTGTTGCCCCTCAATATATCCTTATCTTAATCGTAAATCGTGACATTTATATTCAATTTAATTATCAATTAATTTACTTATATTTCAATTGATTTAGTAACATATTCATCTTCGAATAAATAATCAATGATTATTAACCTTAACCCACAACTACCAACCATACAAAACCTCAGGCAGCCGCTGCCTCGATCAGATCGTTACAGGTTGCATCCACTCTCTGGACTAGAAATAAACCCTTTATATAAAACAGAACTAGTTATAATAAAATATAATATAAAGTCTTTTATTAAATTATTTATTATAATTATATACATAATCATTAAAGAGTTTTAAAATCTACCCATTGTATATTAAACAAAATTATATCAAAATTAACAATTTTTTATCTTTTTGAATCTTTATTATAATCGATTTGATTTAATTATAACTAAGGTTATATAGATTATATAATAAGTTAATGATATATATACCAGGGGCCTGCGCCCCCCGGACCCCTGGCTTTTCGAGAAAGTCTAATGAAAATTCAAGTTTTAAAAAGTTTATAATAAATTTAAATATTGAATATATATCAGGGTGCAGGTGTTACGACGGTGTAACATAGCCTGCATCAGGTGATCAATTAGTTAAATAAGATCATATGACAAGCGTCATCTGATTCGAAAGCCGATCGACTTCGTAGGAATCGATCGGCCCTGAGAATCGATCGGTCCTTCAAGAGTCGATCGACTTTCAGAATACAAAGGTTTATATAATCAAGATGGATTCCTTTTGTATAAAGCTTTGTATTCAAGATCAATTATTTATTTAATATACTCTATTATTAGTTACGAATAGTATATCATTATTATCATTACTTAAATTTCTATTTGATATCTAGTTATAAACCTACTTCGAGAGCCTAGAGCACTTCTATATGATCTAGACGACTACCCTCGTAACAGCAGGCAGAATATCGACTTGTTTTTGATAATTAAAAATTATATTATTTATATTATTATTTATATTATTATTTACATTATTATTTATATTATTATTATTATTATAGGTTGAATGAGATGAATTGAATGAATAAAGTTGAATTGAATAAATAGAGTTGAATTATGAATTGAGTTGAATGATTTCAGAGTTGAATGATTTCAATTGAATTGAGTTGAAAAAAGTTCCAAGTCAGATTTGCCTGAGGTTGCAAGGTTTATGTCAAGCTTTTTGTTAGATTATCTACCGGGTATTTTAGACCAATCAGATTATCAGGATCGCGATTCATTTAAACGAGTTTCTCATTTTCTATCACTGTAACAAGAGTAATTTTATCAGGTCACATGTACGCTAGTTTAGTTTAGATCTAGTGCTGATCCGGGTATAAATATCCTGTCAGTTCTATTCTTCAATCTACACCCCTATCGTCTAAAACACATATCTTTTCTATCACCTACATCGGGTAAACCTCGTATACAGCAAGGTTTTGGTGTCGGCAAGCCGACAATAAAACTCTAGTAAATGCTCAACCCTAAGGATCGCCCGCATAAATTTTCCTAAACGTGCGGGGTAGAAAAGGAAATGAAAGTGGAAAAGATCATCGAAAATAGTTTGCCGTGCCCTGTTGATATCCGCTGCTTGATATACGTCAAGGTCCACCACGGTTCGTCCTTTGTTATACCGAGAAGTAGGAGTAGACATCAACACATTCTTGGCACGCCGAAAATATAAACTCACCATGAAGGAAGCATATCGAAATCCCAAGTCCTACAGCTCCAAGGCTTTTCATCCTCAGTCTTGGTTCAAAATTTCATTTGATTTTGAATACTTTCCCTTCAATTCATGGTATGAATTTCCACTATGGTTTTCTCATCCAATTCTATCAGTCTTCTTGGCTTGTTTGTGGTATCAACTGCAGCTGTACCATACGAAGAATACATTCTCACGCCAAATACCCGAACACTTGTACCTGTGTCAGTATACAATGTCAACGGTTCAGTCACCAGCCCAGAAGCATTGACAGGAACCGGGTGCTCAAGCTCGGCGACATTTGCCTCTTCTTCTGCTGTTACTTATGACTTCAAAAAGAACATCGCCGGTATCGTCTCGTTCAACGTTGATTCTATCAATGGAGACGGGGATCAATTTATCGGAATTAGCTTTACTGAAAGCTCAATGTGGATTAACGAGAATGGATGTGATGCCACAGCTGATGCAGGAATTGATGAAGCTTTATGGTTTTCAGTCACAAGTGGCGGCTTTTATAAAGCCGAAACAAAGCACCAACGAGGTGGATTCAGGTATTTAAATGTCTATCACAATACCTCCGGCTTTGTTGAAGTCTCAAACTTGACTATACAATACACGGCTTTACCTCATAAAGCAGAGAACGAACTCAGATCTTACACAGGCTACTTCCATAGCAATGACGACCAGGTTAATCGAGTATGGTATGCCGGAGCTTACACTAATGATATGTGTACTGTCGATCCTACAGCGGGCGATTCATTAGTCCATCTAGGCGAGATCAACTCAGGTAGTACTATCACTGAGCCCGTAACATGGTGGAATAATTACACTATTGCCAGTATGTGCCCCACTCCGTGCCATGAGGAAAGACTAACAAGTGGTTATCAGATGGTACCAGTGTCCTTACAGATGGGGCCAAGAGAGATCGTCTCGTATGGCCTGGAGACATAGCAATTTCTGGGCCTTCAGTCTTCGTCTCAACTAATGACATGATAACCATTAAGAATTCTCTCGACTCATTGCTAGTACTCCAAAACTCATCAGGGGCACTACCATACGCCGGCATCCCCTTCACTAAAATTGTGAACACCTGGAGCTTTACCTATCATCTTCATTCACTGATCGATATCCACGATTACTATCTGTTTACCGGTGATGTTGACTATTTACAAGAACATTGGGGACAATTCAAGTTGGGAATGAATTACTCCCTGAGCTTCATCGATGAGACAAAGATGGCCAATGTTCCCGTAGGCAATCCTGATTGGTTACGAATCGGTATGGGTGGACATAATATCGAGGCGAACTCTATTCTTTACTACACTCTCAATCTAGGCAGGAAGCTTTCAAAGGTTCTTAATGACTCGACTGCTACTTCATCATGGCCAAGTTACGCAGCTGGCATCAAGTCAGCCGCGAACGCCAATCTTTGGGACAATACAGCCAATCTCTTTCGGGACAATGATACCCTTCCCCTAACAACACTCCACCCACAAGATGGAAATGCATGGGCCATCTTCTCTGGCTTAGTAGATTCGCCATCCCGCGCACTTCTGGTCTCCGACTCTTTGGCCGCTCGCTGGAATAAATATGGTGCTCTGGCTCCTGAAGGTGGCGGTAACGTTGTTTCTCCCTTCGTCAGCAGTTTCGAAATCCAAGCGCATTATCTAGCCGGTCGAGCCGATCGCGCCGTCCAAATGATTAAATTCATGTGGGGAGATTTCATGCTGGATGATCCACGCATGACAAATAGCACTTTCATTGAAGGATATTCAGCAGATGGTAGTCTACACTATGCGCCATATACCAATGATGCGAGAGTATCGCATGCTCATGGCTGGAGTACGGGTCCTACATCTGCACTTACGTTCCATGGAGCAGGATTGATGGTTACCGGCGGTGCTGGAAAGACTTGGAGTGTGGCGCCAAATCTAGGAGGCTTAACAGATGTGGAGGCAGGGTTTCAGACATCTCTTGGTAGCTATGCGGTTAAGGCGAGAGGCACGTCAGGAAAATTGACAAGTATTGAAATTACCACTCCAGTGGGTACAATGGGTACAATAAGTGTGCCATACACCAATCAGACCGCAACAATGAGTTTGCAAAGAAGGGATGGGAGCTCTGTTGCTACAACATACCATATTGCGGCGGGTAATGCGACAAACGCGAAATATGCAGTTGAAGGTGTGGCTGGAGGAAACTGGACTGTAACGATAACTTAACATTCAAACGTCCATCCAGTCTTTCTATTCACTCACCACTATACTTCAAAATGGCAAAAAACCGTCCACAGGGAAACCCCTTTTGATATGAGAGTTTATTTGCAGCTGTACCTTACGATATGGGAAGTTGACCGTCGATATCAAACACCTTACGCACCCAAGGGTGGTTACAGTGTAGCGGTCGATGAGATGTTTGACGAAGGTTATGAGGTTGTTTGTATGTATATATAGAGTTAGGCGAGGAGGAGGCACAATGTTTGGGTAGTGATGGTTCCACTTGAAGAGTTTTTTATTCATTGCTTAACTTGCTTCTATGCCGTCGAGCTTGAGCTTTAGCTTCAGGGCGGTATTATTATTGTATTAGATAAATTTGAATATAGCCATATCTACTCCAAGTTCTCCAGAATTCAATCCAATGTTTCGATCTCACTAGGTTGACAAAGAACAATTAACTAAGATTACAATATGCACATTTTCCTTCATCATGACTTTGATCTTATACTTCTCTCTCCATTTCGTCCCTCGGAGCTCATCTCTGGTATCTCACATCCATGTTTCCGTAATCAAGCACACGGAATGTGAGGGCCAATGTCACGTAAAAAAAGCATTAGATATCAGCGTGAGGCCAATTTTCGCTATGAGTGAGCTTGGCGTAAGATCATTTGTCTTTACCTATGTAAACGAGTTTATTGCTTTTTTCGTTTTAGTGGATGGAAAAAGGAAGGAAGGAAGGATTTGACCATGTATTGTGATTCTTCTGCTCAGTCGGAACGAAGCTAATAGATAACTGATATATCGTAAAAGGAATCAAAGTGTATTTTTATCTATGCATTTACCCCGTGTTGCGAGCAGGGCTAAGAAGAGAAAGAGAGATGTTAATCAATTAGTCATTTATCGCCGAAAAAGTCGTTGTGCAAGTAATTACAGTGTCACAATTAAAATTCATGGTTCAAATCACTCTGGTACGAGTATAATGAAGTGAATTTCACCTCTCCACCAAGTTAAACACCATGAAAAAGTTATAAACCGTACCATTGGGCTGGAGGACGAAACGGAAGAAGAGAGATGAGAAGTTAGCCTGTAAGGGCATTCATTTGGAATCATACGTGAACCATGTAGATTATATGAACCATTTGAAGAGGGGCCGTGAATGGAGTTTGATGAATGAGACACGCCAACGTTCGATCGGTAGAAAAGAAGAAATAGTAATAGTCTAGAAGCGATTATCAACGCAAAAGAAGGATAGGAAGAACGATCTACATCTACGTGCTAAAACTTGATGATATTTGTCTGTGTGATCTCTACAATGTTCGGGATTATGTAGATACTTCTACACGTAGATTTGTCGTAATAGACAACTACTCCGTTTCAACTACCATTGAAGCACCTGCTACTTCCGCTATTCCTGATCACTCAAATGGTATCTGCCACAAATTCCCTTCTCACAGATAAATGAATCAAGAATTTTAAATACTTCCGCGGTTTCTTTCAGAGCTCCAAACATATTGCCAGTCTAACTTATCAAATTGCATTTCCATTTTCTGACTTTATACTCAAACATTGAAAACATCAGGATAATGAACTAGAAAAGCTGAGCATGAAAAAAGTATAACTTATTATTAAAATCAAGGGATATCATTGTTATTTACACATCAATCATTACTCGTCCGAAAAACATAACCTTCCCATATTCCACCCATCCAATTTTTTTTGAGTCTTATAATCATCTTATCATGATCCAGCATTTATCCTCCCCATTTTCGAGATCATTCACCGTAAACCATTAATCGATCCATCGTCTACAAGGACTCTGGTTGCATCAACTCTTCATGCTTAGTGTGTCCCATACCACCCTCATCAGATTTATGTCCATTTTCCTTTCTGAAGATATCGCTTTCAGAAACAGGAGAGAAGACCTTGCCCCATCGCCCATGAATGAAATCATTGGCGGTAACCAAACTACTTCTCAAGTTCTCTTGAACAAGTTGACTTGTAGGTTGACTGAAAATAACATCGATTTCCTCCAAAGTCTTATTCTTAGTCTCAGGCATGTATAAAACCTGATAGAACCAACCAAGCACTGCGATACCACCATAGAAACCGAGTGTGAGACCTATGTTCGACATGGCTTTTTGCATCTCAGCAAAGAAGTATGTGACGAGGAACGAACAGAGGAAGAGAATGGTATCAGAAGTTTCCATTCCGTAGGAGCGGAGATAGGTAGGGTATACCTCGGATGGGATAACCCAGGTAAGACATGCGTAGGATCCAAAGAAACCCTCGTAGACGATAAGACCGGCGATATAAGCACCTTGCGAGCCGGCTTTGTTGCTCAAAGGAATCAAGTATGAGCATCCGATGATGACGAGACCGATGAAGAAACCAGGAAGCATAGCAATGGCCCAGAAACGTCTGCCGAACTTCTCCATATAGAGAATGGCTGGGATGGTACCAATGAGAAGAGCTCCACCACCAACGAGGGACATGAATACAGATTCCTTGTCATCGAATCCTACTTGTTGCATAAGTGTGGCCATGTAGTATTGAATGGCGTTGATACCAGTAAATTGTCCCAAGAAGATCATGACGTTGGCGTAAACGATGGCGCGACGAGCACGAGGAACGGTAATGAAGTCAAGCCATGCAAATCTCTTGCGGGCACCTTCCATCTCACGCTCGGAATCGACCGAGTGTTTCATGACAAAGAACTCCTTACGAGCAGTCTCGTCCGTACCACGGATACGTCTCCAGACACCCCAAGCATCGGCAGTTTTCCCTTTATGCATGAGGAAACGAGGTGACTCTGGCATGAAAAGAATACCGACGAGCATGATGGTAGAAAAGACAAGCGATGATCCCAGCATAAACCTCCAACCACCAGATTTGACACCGACGAACATGGCTGCGACGACATAACCAAGAACTTCTCCGAGGGCAATCATAAATTGGTATAGAGAGACGAGATTACCTCGATACTTGGGCGAGACACTCTCAGCGACATAGACAGGAACAGTTCCACCTTCCAAACCAACGCCAAGACCCAGAATAACACGTCCAGCCATCATCATGGCAAAATTGACGGCACCAGATTCGAGTGCAGCGCCAATGGTGTAGAGGAATAAAGACCATACAATAGCTTGCTTTCGTCCGACGGCTTCGTTCAAAGGACCAAGCATTAGTGCACCACCAACAGCACCTAATGGTACACCTGAACTGACCAAACTAATTTGTTTTGTATTGAGGCCAAGCGATTTAGGCATGTATAGATTTGCGCCAGAAATTAGAGATTGATCGATACCAGAAAGCAGACCCCCCATAGAGGCAAAGGCAACCAATAACCTGGATGATATGTATTAGCTAATGTATCGCATGCTATCGCATGCCATCGCCAATCAAGTACATACCAAGTGTAGTGTCTGGGGTCCTTGAAGCTCAACTGAAATACATCGGAACGAGATTTGCCTCTAGCTGTGACCTCCGCTTCCAAATCTTGCACTTCATTATCAATCGTCTCCATATCACCCGCAGCGGCGATCTGTATTGCCTCCCATTCTGAAACTCGATTCCCAATATGGTTTGGGCGAGTGGGAATGGCGCCCTTTTCGTTACCGAAATCTGATAATTCCTCACTCAGCTTAGCCGGTGTGGTATAGTGAGGGGAAGAGATGTCATTCTGCTCGACGGTCTCCTTGGTATGGAGATCTGACATGATTGAAAATTTTATTATGATATGATGTATGTCTAAAAATATTTCGTGCAGGAAGAAATCGTCTAGAGGGAACTGTCCACCCTGTGCTAATAATGGGGACCCCTTGAAAAAGTCTCAGGGTGTGAAAAGAAAATGTAATGAAGACGGGGGAGTGGCAGGACAGATGAGGGGAATGCATGAAGATATATGATTTAAAACACTGGGGCACCAAGACAACTTTCTTTTGCTCGAGTTCCAACCGAAGGATATTCCCTTCAAGGATTAGACTTTTATGGTTGACAGACGTGAACTTGCTTCTTAATTTCTCCTATTATGGTAAGGTGGTAGAAGAATGCCATGTTGTCGCCCGATTCTCTGCGGAAGTCTTTCGGTAAGAGAAAGTCTGGAACGAATCACGGAAGCAGGCGCATATCCGAATGAGCCACTTAGGTCATCGGACTAAATTCTTAGATTCCATGATAAAATCTGCCACTGGGGTCTCCGGCTCCCACTACTAAATCTTGCAGAGATCATCCTCTCCCCATAAGAAATTTGCATAAACTTTCCCCTCCCATGGAGTCTTCTGGGGTCTGGAGAGTGGAGAGTGGGGAGTGGAGTTTTCAATCTGGTCGGTTGGTGGCCTGGTAGAATATCGGTAATACTTGGGAGCACGATCTGTGCTTGAAGTTGGAACTGATGTTTACGCGTCTGATCGAAAATGCCAGAAAGTTTGGCGTCAGTGTTAGCATTATGCAGCCATGCCACGCATGCGTGGATGACTCCTTGTCCGCGTCTGGCGGTCCAGTGGTAGCTTACAATTGTGAGATCTCCTTACTGGATAAAATAACGAGGAAGTTCAAAAAGAGTTGAAATATGTCGCATAAGATTTCTTCCCCCCGCGAAATGTCGACTAATAGCATTTGCTGGTCGCTCAAATGCTCGCACTATATTGAAGCTAGGTTCATTTGTCGAATACTCCATACGGGTATCCTGGTGTAAAATCCACAAAAACGCCGAAGATGATTGTTGATCGCACACGGACCTGAAACGAACAGCTGGATTTGTTGAAAATCTTCTCCTGGAGAGAAAAGTTTTTTATAAGATTGGCACGACTGGTTGTTGAGGCATTCGAGTTCGTTGCGAATCGAGATGCCTATGTCGATCTGATAGACAACTTTGGCATTCTGACACTTTCGCATTTTTGACGATTGAATGACCCGCAGAAGTGTGGAAATCTAAGCAATGTGTGCAAAATTCGAGGGCTCTCTAACTGAGTGAGTGATTTGGGCGAGCTACCGGTACCGGTGATGTACTGTAACTACCACTGTAAACTACTGTATCATCGTCGCCTGCGCATAATCAAAATGTCCGGGCGGGCGAATTCCGGTTGAGTCCAACTATCTAGGATGTTTACGAGTAGACCAACCACTTTTTTTCAGCGAAGGCTTAGTTAGTAATGTATTGAACCCAAGCTTCCTTGTCCCGCTGTCTGCACATCTCCTTGACAGTCCTGACTGACTAAAAACGAGTCAAGCACCATGCCCAGAGTCTTGACTCTAAACGAGGCGTTAGTTAGACTTTTCAGATGACTTCAAGCTTTGAAGTTTGAACCGGGCGTTTTAACCACGGAAGATACGAAGCGTTAGTTCTAAAACAAAATCACCTCAATTGTTCTTGGTGTCTTCCATAAGTTCCATTGCTATGCATACCTTGGTACAGACTCTAGAGTATACTCTGTATGGGGTACGCCCTGGCTATTTCCGGGGCTTTTTCGTCGCTTCCCTCGTGATCATTGACCAGTAAAAGTTAATCTATCCTAGCTTCAGCCAGACATGAAAACTTCCTCTACCCACAAAGAGACCGAATCTAAGATTTTCTGGCTCCATAGAACACGAGCCACATTCAAGTCAATGTGCCTTCCCTAAACATCGCAACTTATTTTGTTGCATCTGTGACTAGTCTAATTATTTCATTCCTAAATTCCTAATCGAGTCAGGAGACCATTAGTTCACAGCTAGACATAATGTTTGCCCCCTGATATCCAGTTTCAGGCAAAAGCTTGTCTCCCACAAGACAAGTCATGCCACAAGGGTGGAGTATTGCAGTTGTCCCACGAACTCCAGTCTCCATTCCCCAACCTCCAGATCATTTGATTTGGAACGAACCATCAGTTGAATGCCCATGGGGATGCTCTCGGTCCGATTACACAACATTTGTGCGAAAATTAGCGACGTTGATATTTGATAACCAAAGGAACTACTTCAGTCAGAGTCGCTCTCGAGGGCAGCTGGTTTACCCTGGGTTGTCTTCTTCCTCCTGTCCGCAATATACTCAGTGACCAATGTGAATCCACTCCAGACAAGTCCTGTTGCTATAAACTGAACAGCCCACGAAGCGACCAGATGCTTCAAGCTAGGCATTTGGAAACTTATTTCATAAAAATCCGCCAAATCGATCCCAACTCTGTTCCCGTATGCTCTACCAATGAATCGTATCATTACGGCTTCAAGCGGTGTTATAAGAATAGAGGCGGCCAATTCTCTAAACCCTTCTGCGGCGAGTATGGTTGGAAGCATGGTAAGCCCGGTTTTGCGATATTTGATATCTTTCGATTGGCTGGGATCGCTTGCACTCCGCAACTCTGCCGACCACGTCCCAAGACCAAAAGTCGGTTCGGCTGGTGTAGATGTAGAATCGACATCGAAGCTAATTAGTGTTGGTCGCGCATCCTCTTCCTCATCAACGCTCATCGATGCATTAGTATGCCGCCGAGATCGAGGTTCTGTTCTTTCTAAAGGAGGTAATCCTTCAAGGGCTCGTAGAGTATCTTCTTCTCCACCGCGGACTGGACCATTAAACTCGGCGTCATCTGGTGTGTCAAATTCCAAGATAGGAGCTTCTACCCCAAGTCCAGCAAACATACTCTCTCCTGTCGGTCGCGGTAGGGATTTATATATGGGTCGATACAAGAGGCGCGACACAATATACTTGATCTTTCCATGGAATAACACAGCCACAATTGGAGTCGTAGAACGAACCAAGGCCAATGACCATGAGAGAATCGAAATGATGTTTGCCGGAGGTGCAGGTTGCGCGTGAAGCATTGATGTCTTCGAGAATGGAATTAATGACATCAATGGAGGTAGGATTTGGTTAGATTTGACCAAGCCAAACTGGTAAAACATGGCAAACATTCGTAAGTGCAATGTAATGTAACGAAAGCCGATATAAAGGCTGGGGAATTATCAGTCGCTGCAGAATCTTTTCAGACGTGTAAATACTCACAGTTTATCCGCCATGTACTTGATCCATACTTCTTGCGGGGTAAGTTTCCTCTCATTTTCATCAAACATTTGATCTAGGACAACTTCCAAGAAGCAACCTACCCAGTCTGATATATGATATGCTATGACAGTGTGAAGTCCAGAGAAGCATAAATTCGTGACAGATCTTCTAACTCTCTCACGCTGGATCAGCGCTAGGATTCCGATATCAGAATATGATCTGTAAAGCTTCAATTTGTAAGTATAGCACTGCATCGAGTTGGTAAATCAACGCACCAAAACCCTTCGCCTAAACGCAATAACACCCCAAACACCAGCATGGAGCGTGGCACGACCAGCTTCTAATATTCGTAGACCTCTGATTGTCTCTTCAATCTTTTGAGTGTTGTGCAGCTTCGCAGCTGCCCTCACAGCAGTCAAATCTTCAACAATACCCGTGACTTGCATTACTTCATTGGCTGCACGAATATTTTCACGTTCTCTCCGTTTTGTCTCTGGATTCCTTGGATGGCCATGTTCATCGTATATCTGCACATAGCCAGAATTCTCAAAAACTTCTGGTGAAGTGGGCCAGGTTACCTGATCTTCATATGGTGTTCGACCCTAGAATTCGTGAGTATGAAGCTTTTGTGGATACATCGTTTCGGGGAGTATATTGTCAAATTTGGAGTTTCTATGAGTGTTTGAACTGTGAAATACACCGTGAAAATACCAGTTGGATGAGAGGTAATGAGATAGGAAAACCAGCGCAACATATTTTACAAGATAGGACAAGCCCTCGCTGGCGAGTTAACACGGAAAAGAAACAACGTACCAATGCCCAAGCTGTCAGTGATTCAAGCCTTCCCATGATTGCTGGTTGTTTATGTGGTGATTAGAACTATTGCGCCAAGGCATGGTTTGCCTTCCATGGGAATTGAAAATCGCAATAATCCGTAACATGTAACGGCGATCAAATGCTTTTCAATGAATAGAATCACCAGTAGGTAGCTGCTATGTATTTCAAACTCTACACCTCTCTTGCTCCTCAAAGGAAGAATGACTGGAGATACACGTGGGCACGTGACACTTTACGCTAAGATTAAGCTTATCGTTGACCCCTGTCAACATCAAAATATTTTTGATTGCAGAGAAAATATTGAGGGTAGAGGATATCAACATCATCAGCTACAATTCCGGGATATCTAGACATTATACCGAGGAAACGAGTTCGCGAGATTATCAATCCGGTCATCATGGCTACTAAAGCCCCTTATAAAACGACATTTGAACCTGAGCACAATATACAGCCAATTTATACTGGAGGAAGTGTTGCGCTTGATCAAACGGGGCGCATACTTGCTACAACTCTTGGGGAGGATGCATTATTGACAGATTTAGACACAGGGAGGGAATTAGCCCGGATAGAAGGAGTGAGTTGCTTTCCTGGCTAATTTAACCTTTCCCAATTGCTAACTCAGGCCTAAAGGACGGCGAAGTCATCTCGACGTTAAGTCGTAAGTCATATTGCATTGATCTCTCCTGTTAAAGACTATTAACAAACCTACAGTTACCCCATCTGCTTCTCATCTCATCATATGTTCGAGATCGCTGTCCATGCGAATTTACTCCCTGCGACCGTCACTTGCTTCTGACCTTACTCTCACCTACGAACTCCTTCGAACTCTCAAGCCGCATGCTACACCAGTGGTGGTTCTAGCTGTGGATCAGACGAGCACACTACTGGCAACTGGAGCAGCAGATGGAGTGGTGAAGGTTTGGGATATTGCCGGAGGTTACGTCACACATACATTTCGAGGTCCTAATGTACTCATCTCCGCCTTACATTTTTTCGAATTGGTCGCGAGTGGTAAGGACGAAGAATCAGGCATTTCAGCACGAAATCGAAAGAAGGAACGCCTCAAGAGTCAAGCGGGTGATGAAAGCGATGAGAACGAGGCGGCGAGAGGGTTCCGTCTCGCATCTGGTAGTCAAGATGGAAAAGTCCGTATTTGGGATCTTTACAAGAGAAATTGTGCTTCAGTTTTAGATTCACATGTATCCGATGTTCGAGCTTTAGAATATTCACCAGAAGAAAATGCGCTACTGACCGGAAGTCGAGATAAGACAATAATGTGGTGGGATGCGAAGACGTGGAAGATTAGAAAAGTTATACCCGTGCTTGAAGAAGTGGAAGCCGCAGGTTTTATCAATGCCGGAAAGTTCACATATACAGGAGGGTCGAATGGAAACATCAGGCTTTGGCAAACGGAGAATGGCAGAGAAATCACACAACCGCAGGATATTGGTGCGGAGGCAGATGCTATAGTAGATGCGCTCTCGTTCCCCAGTCTTCCATTCATTTTATCAATTCAAGCAGATCATACTCTAATCCTTCACTCAACCACTCCCGTGGAAAACGCCGATTCAACCGTCACCATCTCGGCCCTACCTCAAATCCGACGAATTTCTGGTACTCATGACGAGATCATTGATTTAGGATTTCTTTTACCTGATCAATCCCTTCTTGCTTTAGCTACTAATTCTGAGGAATTACGGATTGTTTCGCTAAATCAGGGTTCTCCAACTGACTCTGCTGAGTCTACGAAATATTTTGGTGCCGACGTTGCCCAACTAAAGGGACATGAAGATATCATCATCTGTTTAGATATTGACTGGTCAGGTCACTGGATAGCCACTGGTGCTAAAGATAATACTGCTCGACTTTGGCGAATTGATCCCGAAAACTCCTCATATACCTGTCATACAACTTTTACCGGACATGCAGAATCCCTTGGTGCTATTGCACTTCCTCATATGCCACCACCAGAATCTTCCGCTGCCTACAAGTCTCCCTTGGATCATCCTCCCAGCTTTTTGTTAACCGGTTCTCAAGACCAAACTATTAAGCGCTGGGATATTCAAGCTCAGCCAGTGGCCGGAAAAGCACCAAGAGCATCATACACACGCAAAGCTCACGACAAAGACATCAATGCATTGGACATCAACCACAGCTCTCAATTATTTGCGTCTGCATCTCAAGATCGAACCGTCAAGATTTGGTCTGCCGATGAATTAGAAGTTCAAGGTGTATTACGTGGTCACCGTCGTGGTGTTTGGTCTGTAAAGTTCGCGCCGAAAGATACCCCAACACTTGTGGGAGATTCCGGCCCCGCTTCAGGAAAAGGATTGATCCTCACTGGAAGTGGAGATAAGACAGTTAAAATATGGAACCTTTCAGACTACAGCTGCCTGCGAACATTTGAAGGGCATACTAACTCTGTTCTCAAAGTGGCATGGCTGAGACTACCTGCCCCTGAGGATAGAAACAGAAAACACGTACAAATAGCCACAGCAGGTGGTGATGGGCTCGTTAAGGTCTGGAGTGCGACAAATGGGGAATCCGAATGCACGTTAGACAACCACGAAGATCGAGTCTGGGCCCTCGCTGTTCATCCTAAAACCAACATGATAGTATCAGGAAGCGGGGACTCAACGATTACATTCTGGAAGGACACAACATCGGCAACGATAGCCGCAAGGGAGGCAGCCAATACCCAATTTGTGGAGCAGGAGCAAGAATTGCAAAATTTCATACATGCTGGAAGCTATAGAGAAGCTATCGTTCTTGCACTTGCACTTAATCATCCTGCACGGTTACTCTCCCTTTTCACAACTGTTGTCACTGGCGCTCAAGAAGAAGGAAGTATATCTGGTCTCAAAGCCGTTGATTCTGTCCTTGCCTCATTATCCGATGCTCAAATCTTCAGCCTTCTTCTCAGAATACGAGACTGGAATACTAACGCCAGGACTGCATCTGTTGCACAAAGAATATTATCTGTTCTTGTGAAAAGTTATCCCGCTTCGAGATTATCGAAATTAAAAGTCAAGGGAGCTCAAGGGCAGAGAAGTTTAAAGGAAGTGCTAGATGCTTTGAGGGTGTATTCGGAAAGACATTACAAGAGAATGGAAGAATTAGTTGATGAGAGTTATCTTATCGAATATACTTTACGGGGGATGGATGGTTTGGGGTTTATTGAAAATGATGGAGCTGGAGCTGGAGCGTTGGATATTGGTGGAGATACTATTATGGTGTAACTTTGATAGGTTCAAGTATCTAACTGATTATCTCGAAAAGTATCGATGCACATCATTTATATATCGCACTATCTCTTGGCACTTACCTAAATCGTTGTTCATATACCTTCTATTTAGTAGCAGACAAAGACCGCAGAGCTTCATATAAACTCTAAGTGGCCCCTCTATAATTTTACACTCTAGTCACTATCCTCCTCGGCAATAGGAATCCACATGATTCCATATCCATCCAACAATTTTCTTTTTCTTTTCTTTTTCTTCTTTTTCTGCAATAAAAAATAAATCATGATATCCCTTTCATTGTCGAGCTACGGGCGGGACTACTGGGCCCTGCATCAATAAAGATATAGACACATTTCACTTATAGGAGAATAATATGTATCTATATATATACCATCCTTCATGATCATCTAAAGTAAATCACAAGTTGATCCTCGAAACTCCAGCATAACCTTTAAAGCCAAAATCAAAGCCCCTTAATTATCTCAACATTATGAGATAAACTTCTCCATCCCTGACCAAATCTTCAAGCCCCCCATAGAAATCCTCTTCGTAAGCATCACGCACCCCCTCGACACCTCACAAAACTGCATATGTATGTATACTCTTCCTCCTGCACCCTTTCTCTCTCATACAGCGCATAAGCCCAATCCCCCTCGTTTAGTCTCCTCGCTTGTTTATATCCCAGAGGTCTTATTGCGTCGAAGTTCGTGCGTGGTGTTGATCTAATTTATGTGATTAAATTAACTCAGTGATTTGATTGAGATGTATGTTTATGGACGAAGTGGAAAAGTGGTATCTACAATTGGCAAAGGAATTTAAAGGAGTGAGTTTGGAGGCATTTACTAAATTGAGGAAGATTTAGCGGCAAATTGGAGGATGGGATGTGGCTTTTAAGGGAGAGGCTTCTAGTTTGTGTGTGTATTATGGTGGTGGCGGGTGGTGTTATTTTGGAGCGGGAGCTTGCTTTTTGGAGGACTTGTTCCCTTGCGGTTGTTTGTTTCGCTGGAGGTGTTCTTTTTAGCCTACAGCCCTACATTCCAACGACAACCCTCAACCTCTTCACTTCCGACTGCATCGACAGCATAGCTCCCGCGCCGGCAAAGAAGTAAACAACATAGAAGTATCAAAGCAGTCCAACTACACAAACGGAGCCTCAACTCTTCTGTATCTATAATCTAACTTCGCAGTTAGAACTATAATCTAATTTCCAATCTTCTGCTCGCCAATTAACTCTACTATACCACTATCCCTTCGCAATGAAGAAATACATATTTAGTATTTGCTAACAATACAGCCAACTTAACATATACGAATGCGTGGAATTTATACTGCGTGCTGCTTATTGGGACGGGGGTGCTGGCAGATGACTTCATTCACCCAGACTGACTGACTTTGAGATCGTTTGCGGGAGTTCTACTTAATTAGTATATTTGTCTAATTCTCCCACCGTCCCATTCTCCAACCCCCCTAACCCCTAACCCCCCCAACTCCCCACTATAATCACACACACAGCAATCAATCCATACACCTATAAACCAAAACCAAAACTCTGATTATAAACTCTCCTAATACCGAGTACCTAGGTATATACATATATACATATATGATACGCTATTAAAATATTATTAAAATATAATAATGTATGCAGCGAATGAATTGAACTCTCTTCTTTTCTTACCCCCATTTCCCAACCCCCAAGAAAGATTCTAACTCACAACTCGAGGAAACTTGGGGGGAAAAACTCTATATCTACTAGATAGATCAACCAAAAAAAACACTTGAAAAAGTCACATTTTAATCACAATTACAATGACAACCAAAAGCGTAACACAAAGACCATACATACACTTAACTTCTATGAACAAATTTTGTATTCATCTCCTTCCCATGAACCATCGAAAAGCGCAAAAAACCAACTCAACTCAAACTCAGACTCAAACTAAAAAAAAAGAAAAAAACTGTCAAGGGAAGGGTATCAAAAGACCATCCCGCTTCTCGCTCTTTAGGCAAAGAATAAAGCCAGTCGCAAATATCGTACCATATTATCGTACATGATTTACTTTTCATATAACATTCATGTTTGTGCTCGTCCATCCATCCATCCATCCATCCTAACTCTCGTATGTAACCCTTCAATCCGTCAAATCCCATATTGACTCTAATCGTCCATAGGTTTATCCTCCAAACTAACCCCGACCTTTTGTTCCGCGGCTGGTTCTGGTACCTCACCAATGCTTCCTACACTATCTCTATTACCCGCTGCTACCATATCAAAATTCTTGCTCATCCTCGCAACGTTGCCATAAGGCTTTCTTCCTATGCTATTTCTCGAAACTTGTCCGCCTCGCCCTAAACTGTTTCTCTGTTCAATAGCCGGAAAGCTAGTTCTCTTTTCTAATGTAACTTCTTCTATTCCATCTCCGGATCCGGATACAGATCCAGATACAGATCCAGTCACAGATCCAGATCCAGGCATATATGTGGCGCTTGTGACGCTAGCCTCAGTTCCATTGGCCAATGATGACAAAGGGGATGGTTTGGGTTCAACGACCGGACTAGCTTCGGCTGATGATGGGACTTCAAGGCTCTGTCTCGTACTGCCTCTAGAATTTCTAGCGGAATCAGTTGTAGCTGTAGGAGATGTTTGTACTGGGAATCGTGTCTCGGCCGCAGGTGGTCCTGAACTTCTATCTCTGCGATGGCCACGTGGACCTGGGGCAGGGCTAGTAGCGCGACTTCTAGCTCCACCGGCTGCAATTATGGCCTTTTGTCTAGCTTCCATGTTGGCTCGTCGGTTGCTTTCATCCGTACTGATTGCTCTAGGTCTTCTGGTGTCAATATTTGAAGCAGAATTGAGCGATGAAGCTCGCTTAAGTTCGGAAAAGATGGCATCTTTGTGAGCAAAAAGATCGCGAATCAGACGGTATGAGTACTTCTCTTCCATGGTCATCGAGGTTTCAGTCTTTGGTCGAAGGACGCATGGAGCAAGGATTGTCGCGAGCTCAGAGATGTAGGCCTCATCGGCTGAAGTGAGTTCAATTAATCTAGTGAAATGTGTCATGAGGGCATCCAGAGTAGCAATGTTGGCTAATCTGAGCTGGCTGAGGGTATTTTGTAGAACTGAGATTCGAGCCGAGTCGGTAGATTCGGATGCTGGGGTTGAGTAAATCGTTTTCATAATTTCGTAAACGTGAGATGACACTAAAGAATCTATGACAAGAAGTTAGCTGAGGTAATTCTTCATGGATTGGCCAAGGGGGTTGAGTTTACCTGGTAATTCCAGTAAATATAATTTAAGAACGCTTGCAATGATAGGAACTTCATATGGGTCCAAAGCCTCTATAGGGAATGTTTTTCCAGTATTGAGAACACTCCGTACTCGATGAGTTTGATGTAGGGGAACATCAACCAACCAAACGCTTCTCCTAGCTGCATCGCCTTCAAGGTCAGGATATCTGTTGTCGAGGAAAGTGAGAATGGTAGTGATGATAACTGGCACCCTCTTTCTATCCCCTCGAGCCCGGGCCTCCAGATCAACGCCAAAAGTTTGTTCGTCCGCAGAGTTATAGTAATTTTCATAGACGATAACCTTTGGCGCGAAACCACCAGTGCGATAGTTTTCAAGAAGATATCGCAAATCTCCAAGAGGTTGCACCGTTTCTTGGTAAAGCATCATCTTGTCTACTGTAGATTGCAGACTAGGAATGACATTACTAATCGTTCCGGAAAAATCGAGAATAATGGTCTTAATAGCCTTGAGTCTATCAAGCTCACAACGTTCCAAATATCTCAAATGCTCGAAGATGGCCTCCTCCAGCTGACATCGTAAATGGTCTAATTTCTTAACACCTTGCTTGTATCTCTCATCTGCTTCCGCAGCTTCTCTACGAAGACGATCGCCTGGGGTCTCGTTAGGATGTTGATTGTTCAACGGATTCCAGCCCGCCAAATATTCAGAAACTGATCCAACAACAGGAGAATCTGCGAAATCAGAGTTAGAGGCGACAGAGAAAGTTCGGCCAACATTGGGCTTCTTTTCGGGGATTCCTGTTAACTGGAAACCCTTGGGTCGCCATTGGTAGAACATCTTGGAACTATTTGCGAAGATATTGCCAACATTTCCAATCAAGCGTAAAAAGCCATGCGAGACCAAATCTTGCCCAATTCGTTCGGCGTGGCTGATACTCGTTGCTCCCATGTATTTTTGGAGATATTCCACTATATCTGCGCCAGATGTTGTGTTTTGATATGTACCCAAGATTGGAACTTTTGTATCGACTAGCTTGATTGTTTGCAAAAGGTGTGTCAAGATCTTCTTGATCTGTTCCGAATTATATACCTCATCACCAATCTCCAAAGATAGATCATCCTCCTCATCATCCTTATTGCCAACCTTGATCTCTGGAATCTTGGCCTTGGGACTATTTTCCGGATCCTGGAAAGCCAATTTATTTTCTTCCTCAATATCTTCGACTAATCGACACTTGTTAAAGTAATGACTGCGTAATTTCTTGACCAGCTCTGCTTGTTTGTCGTGAAGTTTTATACGCGCTTGAAGGTCGTCCTGTGAATTTTGAACTCGATTCTCATGCGCATCACACCAGCGCGAAAAGGGGGCGACAACAAGATCTCGAATGCTTTGTGCGATCTTGCGGTGATTTTTTGAAGCCTCTACCATCTCCGTCCGTACTCCATCGTATGCCTATAATTGTCAGTCCACCACCCCTCATGTTGGCCCAAGAGGAGATTCTTCAATACCTTTCGAACACTAGCTCCATCATCTCTACTGAAACCTCCTGTTATTTTATCCGTCGCCGGACCAATTTCTCCTAATTTCATACCGTAAGCATCTTCGGCTTCCGCTCGCATTCGCGCAATGGTAAGAACTTGTTGATTTTCGGCGACTCCTTGCTGCAGTTTACCGAAGAGAACACCAAGACCTATTTTGATGAAGAGCATTAGTAAATGACTGCAGGAAAGGATGTGTACAGCGTGCAGAGAGGAGAGCCCCGTACCTCCAGCATAGTCCCCAGACCAAAAGGAATCCGTAAAACTGGGCGGCGCCATTATTATGTACTCTATCGTTGATTCGTGACTGCAATAGTAGCAGGGTTTATTGTATTCGCTGGGTAGTCGAAAGGTCGGAAATAAAGAAGAAGAATTTCTGATTCTAAAAAGGGATCTTGTTCAACGAATGACAGACTTGAGGTGAAAAAGTGAATGGTGGTAAAAGAGCAGGCAGGGAAATCGAAATAGAAATAGAAGGATTACGGATTGCGGATTTTAGCAGTGCAAGGGCCTTTCGAACGAAGATGCCGTTGATTTCGTTTATCCGGGGTTTCAGGATTTTGAGATGGGTGAAGCTATCACCAAAGTTGTTGGATAGATGTGATAGACGTGATAGCTATGATACAGTTGGTACCTTGATTTGACGGGCAACAGACTGTGACTAGTCGACAGGTAGGTAGGTGTGTTCAAAGATGTAAACAAAAGAAGTTTGTAAAGGTCGTGAATCATAAAAAGATAAAATGAAGGATAGAACTACTTGGTATGCAGGTACTGGGTATGGTAGGCAGTGAATGATTAGAATTCGAATTCTCCTTATTCATAGATTATTTATTATATATTATAAATTATAAATTATAAATTATAAATTATTTGTTACTTATTATTCATACTCAGGTTACCTTTATATTAATCAATCTTAATATACGAGTAAATATAAACTTGCATTTAAAAGTTTCTTTTACCTTTACACACTTCACTTTCACTGCATACAATTTCTTGAAATTTGCAGACCTGACGTGCAGGGAGTCAAGGGAGTGGCTGACGAATTGAGGCCTTAAATTAAAGGTCTAAGGGTTAATGATGTCCAAAAATAGCCAAGTCAGAAAATTTCCCGTGATCCATTAAAGGGGCTTAGCGCATTCGTGACAATTCATTGGGTCAAACGGGGGAATACTTACGGAGCACGCCGTAGGGAAATACTAAAAGCTCTTGGCCCACCGACCAGCCTTCAAACGGCGAGGGGTGGAAATGAGATGATCATGTGATTATTTCTTATCTACAGAAGAGATAACACTTGTTGCGAGCATCAACTTTTCAGATCTTATTTCTGGTTTCTACCTTCGCATAGTCATGCCTTACACCGAACAGGATCCTCTATTATCAACAGATAAATCATCCGCAGAAATCAAGTGTTCGTCACATCAAAACATCAATGCTGATGACCCCGACAATCCGGAGGATACTCGAAATGGCTGCTTTGAACCAACCACTGGGCGTGGGAAACGGTCATTCAATGATTTAATGGCTGGAGTTCTGGGGTTATGCTCCCTCCTTATACTTACCATGCTAATTTTACCCGGTGGTTTTGTCAACGATACATTCGATCACGGTTGGCCATTTGGAAGTCAAGAACCAAAGACAGTTGAGCAGAGAGTGGACAGAATCCTGACTGAGACACCACTCATAGGTATGGTCATCTGGCACATCCGGACAGTACGGATTTCAGACCTGGCTAATAGGATACAGATGGACACAATGATCTTGCAATTTTCATTCGATCCGTTTATAAGAATCGCATCTATGATGAGAGCTTCACCAATGTCTTTGAAAATGGGGGAATGCCTTATCACGTGGATCTTCCTCGACTGAAAGCTGGCAAGAACGGCGGAGCCTTTTGGAGTGCATTTGCTCCATGTCCCTCAAATTGGAGTGACTTTTCTACTGAAAATTATGGCCATTGTTAGTGATGTTTTGCTGTTGCTCTGATTGCCTTTCCAGCCCCTTTATATTCCTTCTCATCTCTCCTTACCCTTTTTAAAAGTTCCAGTTTAGCAAACAGTCCGGACTGCAGTCCAATAAGATAAAGTTTCAGATGTCCGGAAGTATTTAATATCCAGATCTTTTGAATATTGAATTGTTTTCAGATGTTAAAAATTCATGTCTAGTCTATTAGTTTAGACTATCGAAGCCTGTTTAGAACCTTCATCGCTCTTTTTCAGTCATACTGTCCCTCTTTCCGCATTATGTCCTCTTATGTATCTAAAAGACTTAAACTGAATTTAAATCCAACTAACTTTTTGATTCAGCCGTTGCATATACCTTGTCCCAACTTGATCTCCTCGCTCGTCTCCAAGCCGCCTATCCTTCGTACTTCGCACTTCCCGGGAATAGTAGCACAGCTTTGTCGGCTTTCAAAAATGGCCAACTTATATCACCATATATCATTGAAGGTCTTCATCAGATCGGGAACTCCATATCCAATCTCCGCCAGTATTACAATCTAGGAGTTCGCTACGCAACCCTAACACACAATTGCCACAATCGCTATGCAGATGCGGCACTTGTTGAACTTCCAGGAGGTGACATCGAAAAATCAACACCTCACTGGGGAGGCGTTTCTCCAGCTGGTCGTCAACTCATACATGAGATGAACCGACTAGGGATGATTGTTGATCTATCGCATACTAGTCAAGACACTATGCGATCAGTCTTGGGTTTGGAAGCAGACTGGCCAGGTAGTCTCGCGCCTGTGATTTTCAGCCATTCATCTGCCTACGCGATATGCCCTCATCCACGTAATGTTCCTGATGATATTCTACAACTCGTCAAAAAGACCAATTCCCTCGTCATGGTCAATTTTGCACCAGACTTTGTATCATGTGTCGCGAATTCGTCCAATACAAATGGACTTCCGGATTTCTACCCAAACAACTCAACATTAGAACATGTTGCTAGACATGTCATGCATATTGGTGATCTTATTGGCTACGACCATGTAGGCTTCGGCAGTGATTTTGATGGTATAGAAAATACACCAGAGGGTTTGGACGACGTAAGCAAGTATCCGGACTTGGTAGCCGAACTTCTCAAACAAGGTGTTAGTGATAAAGACGCTGCAAAGGTAGTAGGCGGTAATATTTTGAGAGTTTGGAAAGATGTCGATGAGGTTGCCGCACATTTACAGGCGAAGGGAGAAAAGCCACTTGAGGATGACCTTGCCTTAATGGCATAAATATTACTGGGCTTGTATATGTATAATAAAAAATTACTTCTTGTTTGTTCTGTAGGTTATATTTTGTATATGTATATATATATCTGTATGCCAAAGACTTGACATATATCGTCTTGCAAATATCGACTTGTGTGTGATCAATATTGGTTAAAAATATCCAACCACTTGTGCAAGAATTGAATTCGCAAGCCTCAGTAGGTTTGAAAGGTGTACCAGTTAGGGACCCTCTTCTGAAGAGTCAGATACTGTGGAAAATGAACCGGATATATTTGTAACTACTGTGGGTAGTTATTGAGCTGAGCTGAGCTGCTAGATTTGAAGAATGGAAATAAAGAGAAAAAGATATTTATATTATTAACTATATAAAGAATAGAGCAGATTTATATATATTACTCTCAATATAATAATTAATTTTTTAATATACATTTGCCGTAAAAGATATAAAGGAGTAAGTTTAAGGCTTGAGAGTAAAGCGAAAATCTGGAGTGGAAAATTAGAAATTTGGTGATGCACGTGATGAATTTCGGGACTTTTCCTTCGGGTTTTGGAAATCTTGATGCGATCTTAGGGATGTTGGGAGGTTGTATTTGCGTTTTTGAGGATTGGAGGTGGTTTTTGTTTATTGGGGATTGAGCTGCGTGTGTGAAATTTATGAGGGGATCGATGTGTCGATGGTTGAAATAGGTGATGATGATATCATGTGACCTTCCAAATACACACCAAAGTGGGAGAAAGTAGCCCACCCTGGTATACGTAAGCCGTCACACTGTCGGGTTGTGCAATGCTCGATTCTACTTACTGCAACACTAAACTACCTCAGTTCCCATGCATCGTGATCGATGGGATGGCAGAAAGCAGGTATCACTACCGGCCATTAAATGAATTCGATTCGATTCGACTTTTGGTTCTACAGCCTTCTGTTGATATTACCACCAATATTCATTGCACCTTGCTCACGACCACGTTGACTAAATGCGACAATGATATAATTTCTGGATATACCGCGCTCTCCTATGTCTGGGGTGACGCACGAGTGACAAAATCGATATACATCGAGAACAAAATATTCGAGGTCACAACTAACCTCGACTCGGCTTTACGTCACCTACGTGATTCTTCAAGGGTACAACTGTTATGGGTAGATGCAATTTGCATTGACCAAACCAATGACAATGAAAAAAGCAAACAAGTAGTTCAGATTGGAAGAGTCTATCAGGTCGCACGGAACACAGTCATTTATCTCGGCGAGTCTACCGAATCCTCAAAACTACTTCTCCAAGTAATTCAACGTAGCCATGATCGGATTCTGAGCTCCGGAAACTCGACAGCAATGGACAAGTTAGCTGCGATTCTTAAGGGCATGGATTTAGACAAGGTAAAGGATTTGTTTTTGGACATATTGGAACGACCTTGGTTCACGAGAATATGGGTCCTTCAAGAATTGATCTTTTCGGCAAATCCATGGGTGCAGTGTGGACAACTTCGTGTTAAGTGGAAACAGCTCTTCAATGCATTTGAAACAATCTCAATCTCGATATCAGGTTCCCGTCCCTCCAGGCTACATGAGTCACTTGGTAGATTTGTTGCAATGAATCAAAAGCGAGACACTTTCAAGCTAACGAGAGAACCCTCTGATATTCCAGTAAGAGATATTTTAGAACTCCTAACGGCAAGAAGGGGACTAGGGGTTTCCGATCCGCGAGATATGCTATTTGCGCACAAAGGGATCTTACAAGGTTCTCCTGATGTTGAATATTCTCAAAATATGGCACTAGTGGTTGACTACTCCAGGAGCGTAAAGGATGTCTACACAAATTTGGCTCGCTACTGCATTGAAAAATCTTCAGATGACAGAAAATTAGAAGTGCTGTCACATATAGAAGGTGGCAAGGAGAGTTGGCATAAGGAGAAAGAACTTGATTTGCCATCTTGGACACCTGATTGGACATTGAGAGGTTATCCCCGTCCTTACCGATATTTGCGGGAAATGGCATATGTCGAGGGTGGTAGCTGGCCGGGTGCTTGCAGTAAGAAACGAAAGGGTCATTATTCGTCTCTACAATGTTGGTGGCTCAAATCATCCTTCGTGTGCTCTGGTTGGTCGGCGGGCACTATTACTAAAGTTTCACGAGCCATCACTCCGGTAAAAGCTGCATGGAAGTTACAAAAGGAAGACGTTCTGCTTTCATTGCTACAAAAAGATTCCATTAAAGAGGCCTGGACTATGGCTTTGACTGGAGTATATAATCGATGGTGCAGTACCATCGAACCGCTTTATCATGAAACTGATCTGACGGAAACGCCCCTTGAAGACTCTTTAAGGCCTCGCCTATCACTTACCAGTATGTTTAAAAAATCTGGTCTGGGGTTGGATGTACTTAAGGAGATTGCTTCGACTTTGTCTCTGGATGACTTGCACTCTCTTGAAGAAAATGAGGACTTTTTTCGGAGCAGCATCACCACCGCAAGCCGATTCGCTTCCACATTGAGTATTATCCTGTGGGCCCATGCCGTGATAGAAAATGTTGAAATATCCAAGGCAATCTTTTCCGAGGCTCTCTACAATAGAAAGTTTGCCACACTTGAAGATGGAACTCTAACTCTAGTGCCAGCAGCAGCTAGAAAGGGAGATGTTATTTGCTTTCTAGCAGCTGACCTGACAACCCCCTTTCTTCTTCGACCAAAGCATGTACGATTTGCTGATTTGGAGAAAGAAAATAAAAAATATCTCTCCGGGGTTTTGGAAGCATCCTACTATACATATTCAGACTATACTTTTATGGGCGAATGTCACATTGACACTCCGTGTTATACTCCTGAGTGGAAACCGATGCATCGCGCCATTGATGAAGCTCATTCGAGACGAATCAAACGCTATGAAGATGAATTGGCTGGGGAACTGGATGATGATACCAGTCGCAGGCTCGAGATCTTTCCAATTAGCTGACCGTTCATTTGATTGACTGCAAAAGTTCACTGGAAACAGCTGTCTCGAACTCCACATTGACAATGAAGTGTTGTCTTAAAAGGCAGAATAAGAAATGGCGACAACATGTTCGTAGTGAGCGGAGATAACACCACTACAGTAGCATTACTACAGCAAGCTAGTCAATTCTCTGTTATAATAAAACCTATGAGAACGAAACAAAATCTATCAAGCCCCTAATGCAGTCAATTAAGAGATTCATTTCAAAGTTGAGACGATGGTAGGTTAAGAGAATTGTGGTTTATTTTTAGTAGATAGGCAGTCTTCTCGCTAAAACACCATAAATAGGAGCTAATCAGTGGCTGTACGATTGATAAAATCACCAACTCCACACTAATATCACCCTGCAGATATTGATCAGAGCGTTTGTAAGTCAAGAATCCTTCCAATGGTTTCTGATTTACTACTAGTCAACACGTTAATGCAGGTTCAAGTACGGCGCAGTACTATCACCATTCGTGAGTGAATTCGAAATCCCTAACGAGGTTGGATTCATAGCCTCGGGAACTGCGACCTTTTCTGTCTCCTACGGCGCCGGGTGATATATTAACCCCCACTTTCAAGTGAATAGCTTCAATTTAGCTATTTTGGGTGTACGTATGTAATCTTCGAACTACCCATCGAACTTCTCGTTAAATTTCTAAAACAACATCATCCTCTACAATAGTTCCTAAACTCTCCCTTACTACTCTATATCGATCATGTCTACCTCAACACTCCATCGAAAAATCCTTTTCATGACAAACAGCGAGTATGGCCAAAGTAACGTGGTATTCGCAACAGCCTATGAACTTATTCTCAACAACGTAGAAGTTCATATTGCCTCATTTGAAGCACGTGCCCTTGCGGAAGAAGTCTCTGATATTATCGACTATGGAAATCTGCGTTCACCAATTCGAACACGAGTTGACCAATTGAATGCTGGCGAATATGGTCCAATACCAATTGGTAGTATCAAAGCAGTTTTCCATCCGATAGACAGCCCTGGGATGGTGGAGAAACTCGCATCAATCTTGCCTGGTCAGGATGGTCTACGACATGGCGTTGGTTTTCGAGAAGCATGGAGGGTCTATGCGCATATGACATTGATCTTGTCGTCCTATACTCCTGAAGAATATGTTAAGGGAGTTAATTCTTGTGTTGAAATTGTTAAAAGTGTCAATCCGGACGGTATTGTGGTGGAGAAATTTTGCTCGCAGGGTTTTGATGCATGTGCAGTCTTGGGCAAGAAAATAATAAGTATTAATCCAAATAGTTTTAAGGATACTTTAGCTCAAGCTCAACCAAATGGCTTTTCATTATGGGGTTTGGCCGCGTAAGTGTCTTGCTCTACCTTTCAAATAAATCCAATCTAACAGTCTGACTAGTGTATGTTCGGGTTTTAATTTTCCTCTCCCATGGTACCTCATCCCCTTGAACATCATCCTCACGATCCGTCTCATAGTCATCATCGTCACGAGTCCAAATATCAAAGCCATTGAAGCTGGACGTAAGAAGGCCAATATTCCCGGTCAATATCCATTCTTTGTTCCATACTCCAAAGATATCCATTATTTGCTTCCCACTGGACGAGAGTTTGATCTCAAACTGCCCTACATCCCGGAAAATGTGACAACCTGTGGACCCCTCACTTTCGCCTCCTACCCACTCTTTCAAACTGACCCAGAACTCCTAAAATGGTTGGGGAAAAAACCAACCGTGCTTATCAATTTTGGATCGCATCTAAATGGAAGCGTAGATTTTAATCGCAATCTCGCAACCGCAGTCCGCATCCTCCTATCTCACAATCCATCCATCCAAGTACTTTGGAAACTCAAACCTACACCCTCAGGAGCCAATCCAGCTATTGAAGAAATCCTCGCTCCTATTGCCGCTCAAGTAAAGCTCGTGAAATGGCTCAAGGCAGAGCCTATCTCTATCCTCCGATCTGGTCACATCATAGCCTCTGTTCACCACGGTGGCGCGAACTCGTATTTTGAGAGTATTGAGAATGGGATTCCTCAATTAATCCTGCCTTGTTGGTTTGATACGTATGATTATACCGAGAAGACGGAGTTTTTCGGTATTGGTTTGTGGGGAAGTAAGAATTTTGCTCCTGATGTTGATGGAGAAGAATGTGGAAAGGCATTGATTCGAGTAACGGAAGATAAATCTATTCAGGAAAAAGCAAAGGAAATGGGTGAACTTGTTCGAAAGAAATATGGAGGAAGAAAAGATGCGGCGAGGAAGATATTGGAGTTGGTTGAGGGCGAATTTGGATTAAGAAAGAAATTGTAGTGTTTTTGGATCTTGGTCTTGGGCTGCTAGAGCTTTTGGATATTGAAAATGGGAAGGAATTATAAAGTGGAGGAAATGAAGGGGTGAATCAAGAAGTGCTAACTACATGTCCTTGTACGCGAGGTAATGTTGTGTGTGGTTCCACGAGATTTTCCATAGGGATATACAGTATGTGCGATAGAAGCCTTTGTGATTAATCGGAAATATTATTTCCTACGGATAGCAGGGAGTAAATAAGATACATTCTTGATATTTATTCTATGAGCAATATTTTGTGTTCTTTATTTTGGAAGTGTAAACCACAGTATACCAAACTGTGAGCAGACAACGCGGAGCTGATGGTTGTGATTCGAGTAGTAAATTCTCAAATGATTATATTTATTTACCTATCGCATGATCTCTAGAATAAATCTTCTCATACAGTACCTAAGGTTAAGATCTTGCAAAATACATAGTCCTGAAATATATAGTTCTAACACCGATCGCGAATGTACAATTGCAAATATTCTTCTAGATAAATAACACCAAAGTAACACAACAGCATTCTTCACACAATCCTATGTACCTGCATAAAATAAATGAGAATCAAGAATGAATATCTCAATCATATCCTATCCTATCCTATATATCCTATCACACTCCTATCATCTGATATTCCATGCCAAACACGAAGCTTGCTTACATACATACATACATACATACATACATACATACATACATACATACATACATACATACATAAATACCTACGCACATACTGCAGATCCCCTCACGTAATCCGATACGAGATGATTATGGAGTCACCTTATATTGATCAGCACACAAGCTTACATCAACTCAAGAACGATAAATACGGGAAGGATTTAAGCATCGGAGAATTAATCATCTTTACAATACGATGCTTGAATCATGCTATTTCTTACTTGGTTTTATATCTATTGTACTCTATTGTGAGACTTTACATCCAGACTGGGTTTGTGGCACGAGTGACCATGCACAATGATGCGGGGTCGATCGACAACTGTAACCTTATACTACTCGAGTACTAGGTAGGAGATATTCGCTTCGCTTATTCAATCCTCGATAGGTGAAGTGAGCTGTCTGTCGAATTCGCCACTACCGGGTATGTACGACGATACCGCGCATCTATGATCTTTGTGTCGCTATCATATCGTACAGTACATTCTAGTCTAGGGCACCACTCTATCAATGGGACACGGAAATCGTGAATACGAACTAGATTTGGATATTGCGTCGCGATCGCTCTGTCCGGATTATAAACGAGAAACTAAACTGGCTGGAGCTCGTAAATGTGAAATGTGGAAGGAAGTTGGGTGATGCGGTGAGGTAGGTGGTGCTTCGAATTCATGGAATGCAAGGTGTGTGGGAATGGTTTAGTTCATTTGTTTCTCAGAGTGGAATATGTATATAAGGACTTTGGACACGCCGAGTTGAAGTATTTTCTCCATCATCATCATCATCAGTTTCTATCATTTTCGCATATACTCTACTCGAGCTTTAGATATAATACTAATATCGACAAATAACTTACCGACGAAATCATGGTTTCAATTCGCAATCTCGCGTTTGCTGCTTCGAGCATTCTTTCCTTGGTCTCGGCTGCTCCAACTATTGAGTCGAGACAGGATGCTTGGACTCCGGGTACTTTGAACAATACTCGAGAATTCTATCTCCATATGACTGTTACGGATGGAGATCGCACACACAATGGATGGGTTTGTAAGTCACATTCACAGTCGCAGTCACTGGATCTTCCCCTCAGCACTTTTTTCCACTTCCCACTTCCCACATCCCTCTACCAAAACCAAAACCAAACCATCCACTCATCCACCCATCTATAAAACCCAACTAATGCCCACCCCAGTAGAAGCCTACCACACCGGCGCCGGCATGGCCGACCCCGTCTTCGTGGACCCCACTAAATCCACCGGCTCCCGTATGTACTTCAACTCCTCGCAACTCCAATTCGACGTAAACGCGTACCCATTTAGCATCAACGCCTTTCCCTCTGATACCAACTACGCACGCTGGGAACCGGTTACTATTACTGCAGGCTACGGAAGCGGCAAGTTTGTCAATGAGGGAAGTGCAGGGTTTCAGGTTGATGAGGAGGAGGCGGATGGTTGGGTGGTTTGTGAGTGGAGTCATGGGTTGAATGCGCCGCAGCTTTTTCAGATGATTAAGTATTTTGATGCGCCGGATCCGTATGTGGTTCCTAGTAGTTGTGCGAGGGTTTTGTTGTTTCCGGTTTGGATTTAGGGGGTGAGTGGGGAGAGGGGATTTGGAGGTGTGTTGGTGGATGGATGGGTGCTACGGGTAGGGGTGGTTGATGGAGGGGTGGTGGGAGTGGAATGGGGTTAGGAGATGATCTGTTTGAGAGTTAGTTGGGGGATTGGTGGATGAAGGTGATGTTGGGTGTTGGTAGAGGTGGGGATGTTGACGGGAGAAGCAAATGCATGTTGGGTTAGACGACATAGAGTAATAATAATTTGTCGAACTGAAAATATCCCTAAACCTCACCTTATCAAGCTGACTTCCAGAAAACCCTCATCCAAAACATGACTTTTGTTTTATACCACGCCCAAAAAGATCCAAGATTTGGTTAAAAGGTTAAAAAATCCAGACATAATCATCCATCCATCTCTCCATCTCTCCATCTCTCCCTGCCATCGCACCCACCGCACCAATTATCAGCCCTCGAACCCTCTCCAATTAATAAAGCCCCTTTCCATACCTATATAATCATCTATCCATCTATTCACCCACCCATTCACACCGATTCCCTCATCTATCCATCCATCCCCACAACTCCCTCCCCCGCTATCACAAATACCAGTACCATCATAAACACCCCTTTCTATTCCAATCCCCAAAGTAACCCCCAAAGTAACCTCTAAACTCATCTACCAACTCACTTTCAAATCTATTCATCTCCATTTCCGCACGAAAATGATAAATAGATAATAAATTCTATCTATTCATTCAGTTATATCATATATGTTATATATGCCCACATATAAGCATCTAAATATAGAAAATATAAAAAAGTCAATATCCATGCGCCGATGATCTATAGTAAGCCGTGCTACAAATATACTTTTTTCTAGTAAAGTAAACTAGTAAACTAGTGAAGTAGTAAAGTACGGGACGCTTAGATCATTTAGTGGTCTATTGATGAATATATGGACTTGCGTTGGGTTTGAAATGCGTTCGGAGTATGGGTATGGGTATTGTTTAAATATACTTTTCGTCGAACATACATCACATAGCACACTACACTACAGGATATATTTCGCGGACAAAAACGGTGCACGATCTATAGTAGATAAAACAGCGATAAAGAAATACTTTACAAAAGCAAACCTCCGAGCAAAAACAAGACATCTTCTGAGGTATCTAGGTAGGTAGTTAAAGTCTGTGGGAAGAAAACAACGTCATAAATTGTTTTACCATTTCTCCGCCAGCCTAGCATCTATCCCAAACATCTATTGTTCCCGGGTAACACATGACTCCACAGAAAACTTTGCATATCCCCAGATAGCATCGTCATAAAAGTTTCGGATAGATAGTTTTTGTGAGGGGAGGACCTTCTGATTATTATGTATGCATGAATATGCGTGTATGGATATCGAATGGGAAGACGCGAGATATGGATCGAGAAAGTGTAAAAATTGAGAGCTATGGGCTCGTTGCCAATTATGTGGATTTGGGAACCGATAAAGAAGCTTCCAAGCATTGTTGAAGTGGACAATGCCTGTGTTGAAGAGTGAGGTGGATGGAGACAAGTCACAAGTAACATGTACTCATAGACCATCATCAATTCCAGAACCATATATTGGATTATAATCTCCCATTTCAAATAATGTTTTCTGGTAGATCATAATAACAATATATCAACATGAACAAAATGGCCATGAGAAATCCTACAATAACACATCATCCCCAACCATTGAGGGCAAGTCCCGTATCAAATGAGGATGACGAAGTTCAAATCCGTTTGGACGATAGTCGATACCGTAGTTTTCCACCACCAAGACGAGTTGTGCAACGAAGCAATATGCCCATACCAATGCAAGAGTTTGAATTTCCCAAAAGGTCAAACGAAGCCATAACAAATTTCCCGCCTATCGGTGAAACTCGGTATATAGAAGTACAACCATACAGAACAAGTGAGGATGGCTTCGTCAGTCTAAAAAGTGGGGATACTATCATACAAAATAAGAGGGCGAGTAGAAGTCGACCATGGATGCAAACACTACAGACACAGGATAGAATACGAAGATATAGGAAAAAGCGACCAGTGACTACGTGGATGAAATGGATGAATAGTGACTGGAAGAATCGTGAGTGATCATATGTCTTTATGTGGGAGTTTTACTAACTGTAGCAGATATTGTTGCTGTTATTGGAGAATTGATCGGGACGACACTTTTTCTTTTCTTTGGCTATGCAGGTATTGAGGTTGCTAGACTTCAAGGTCGTGAGCCACCAGATCTCGAGGTCTTGTTCTATATATCAGCAACTTTCGGAGCCAGTCTTATGGTTAATGCTTGGATATTTTTTCGCATTAGTGGAGGATTGTTTAATCCAGCGGTAAGTGTAAGATTCTTGTCGAGGAAGCTTTAAGCTAACATTAGCAGGTAACATTGGCACTTGCCTTACTAAAAGCAGTGTCACCAGTCCGTGCTGTTCTTCTAGTAATCACACAACTTGGCGCTTCAGGTTTAGCAGCTATTCTCGTAAAAGAGATTTTCCCGAATCAACTTGACGTCGCCACCTCACTTGGAAGCGGTACTTCTATGGCCCAAGGGTTTGTTATCGAGGCTATTACTACAGCAGCTTTGATCTTCACTATCATAATGTTAGCAGTGGAGAAACATAAAGCTACATTTGTAGCACCCATCGGTATCGGATTGGCTCTATTTGTTGCTCATATGGTGGCTGTTCCCTTTACTGGAGCATCCTTGAATCCAGCTCGTAGTTTTGGTCCATCAGCGATTGTTTGGAGCTTTCCACGAGAACATTGGATATATTGGGTCGGTCCACTTCTGGGAGCCGGGTTGGCAGTTCTCTTCTTCAGATTAATTAAGTTGCTGGAATATGAAATGGCCAATCCGGGACAGGATGGAGATCCTGAAAACGATCCAACACAGAATCCTAAACATGATGTTGCACAGCATGCCAATGAAAGAGAGGAAGAAGTGCTTGGATTAAGTAATGGAAAGTCGTGGTATAGGGATGAGTCTAGTAGTGAATCGATGAGAAGGAAAGATTCCGTCAACAGTTTTATAGGAAATAGGAGATCGATGGATCGAAGGGGTGAAATGTGGGGGAGATTAGATGATGTGGAAGCTCAATGGCGAAGACAACAACATGGAAATTTCATATAAAGGACACTCGACAGGCTCAAGGAGATGCTTAATAAAGATACAATGAATAGACTGTAAAAGATTCAGAACCAATCTTGCTGCTCCAGGCGTCTCCTCAAATCAACAATGTTGGCCATTGTAGATCCTTCGAATGACCGAGTTATCTTGAGGCGATGATCATGACTGCTAGTTCACCAGTGGCTCAATGCATTACCACTCAACAATCATCAATCTCACTTCACTTGAAGAGATCGCTGGATGATCCTATGCGATGGATGAGCGCGCCCTCAAAAGATAGAGGGCTTGAGCCATGAAAATCAATTGTCCTGCGATGGAATTAGCCCTTAGATCATTTTCTCGGAACTGATATACCCTTCATTCATAGAATTTGATGTACTTAGGGATCAGTCCTGGAATGACTGGCAAGACTATGTTATATACCAAGTGAACTTGTCTCGGGGGTATTTTCGATGCTGGGAAACTGCAATTCAACGCCCTACAGTGATTCACTCATTCGATCTAGACTCTACCAGCCATGGATGAGTATTTCTCCTACTTTTTGTATACAAGATGCCATATTATCCTCGATTTCGGGCGAGTATCTCTGTTGTGGTGGTCCTCATATGTTGAATGCGTACTACCCACCAAAATTGCACTGTTGGTGTCAATGTACGGCCGGAAAAAAAAAATCCAATTCTGAATAGCTCCATGTCAAGAAACTTCCTGCAAAGAAATCAACAAACATTTTCGAATCCAGAGACATTTCTACTTTCAAGTAGCAAACATGGCGCAAGGGCAGGTGCAAGTATATTTCACCACCACATCTCCAGATATCGAGTTACCAGAGGGAAAGCAGCAATTGCTTGTTCCTACCAGTAAGTTTTAAGTTCAATTCAAATTTCTCTCAGGTCTTTTTGCAGACTAATAAAAATCGAATGATAGATGTACGAAGATATGGACTTTCACAGATTCTCAACTCCGAGGCAATGCTCGATACCTCTTCGCCGATACCATTTGATTTCTTAATCAACGGCACATTCTTGCGAACGACTCTCGATGAATACCTCACTGCGAATGGATTATCCTCCGAGACTACTTTAACCCTACAATACGTGCGAAGTTTGATACCTCCTCTTTATGAAGCAAGTTTCGAGCATGATGATTGGGTCAGTAGTGTGGACGTTTTATCAAGTAGTTCCGCTGTAGGAATTTGGGGTAGCAGCTCGATTGAAGCTGGACAAGAGCGCATACTATCAGGTTCTTACGATGGGCTTCTCAGAGTCTGGAATAAATCAGGTCAGGCCATTGCGACATCTGCACCGGCCAGTGCTGGTGGACACTCCTCTGGAGTGAAATCGGCTAAATTCCTCTCGACCAAACAAATTGCATCAGCGGGGTTGGATCGCACAATAAGGATATGGAATTATTCGGAAGCGGAGGACCATTTCTCTGCGCAATTGAAGCCGACTTTGGAATTATATGGTCACACTGGTAGTATTGACTCAATCGCTGTCCATGGACCATCGAATCGCATCCTATCCGCTTCAGCAGACGGACAAATTGGTTTCTGGACTTCCCACAAATCTTCAGCTCCTGAAGTAAATGCTAGTCTTATTTCTGGACCATCTGCGAAACGACGCAAAATCACAACTTCTACATCCACTCCTCAGCGTGGTCCCCTATCTCTCATGGATTGCCACAATGGACCTGCAACTGCTGTCATCTTCAATCCTGAGGATTCTACTGTTGCATACTCTGCTTCCCAAGATCATACCATCAAAACACTCGACATTACAACTTCTAGCATTGTTGACACGAGAACTTTACTGAATCCGATAATCTCATTATGTGCTCTACCAGGAATTGGTCATCAAATAATAGCAGCAGGGACAACAGCACGTCACATCGCTCTCATCGATCCCCGAGCTTCGGCTGCTACAACACAAGCCATGACCCTCCGTGGACACACCAATTTCGTTTCGTCGATATTTGCGGATCCTGATAGTAATTATGGTTTAGTATCAGCAGGCCATGATGGAACTTGTAGGGTCTGGGATCTTAGAAGCACAAGACAAGGAACGAAAGATGAGGGACTCGGCGTTGTGGGAGAGGCGGTTTATATCATTGAAAGAGAAAGTAGGAAAGACAAAACGACTAAACCGGTGGGTGGCGAGGGAGTCAAGGTATTTGATGTTAGTTGGGATAAGGATGTTGGAATTGTTAGTGCTGGTGAGGATAAAATGGTTCAAGTGAATAGGGGAAGAGGTGTTACAAGACCCGAGAGATAGTTTTATATACCCCTTTATAATGGCCGAGTGGATTTATACTTGATATCAGAACTTTGGCTTCCGCACTAATCATTGGACTTTTTCGTGAAGGGATCATGCAAAAATACTCTGCTTCATTTGATCCATGTATTTCTGTCCGAAATGATGCTAAACTGCCTATATACTGAGAGAAATCTTTTCACTGAATTCTCGCACAAGTTTTTATAAACTTTGGTACATTTTGGTACACATTTTTTTGTCATGGGTCCCATAAAATTTGCCTCAAGCGATCGATATTGTAAAAAATTGGCTACTATTGCATCATATTTTTTTTCATCCAATTATGATGAAAATCATTCCCAGACTTATCGCAAAATAACTATCATACTTATATAACACAATCCAGTGGCCACTTAAATGGACCCCGGGCATTCTTCATCTTACAAATATCCAGAAACATTTATATTTTCTGGGTGACATTTCCGTGCCCAGTTATACCGTGTTGGAGTGTCAGGTAACAAATTTCTGGGAAAAGGCCAAAAATGTCGCTTCCGGATAGAAAAGATAATCTTCATGATACATCCGACGATGTGGTCAGTGAAAGTCTTCCAATTGACCCCAACAGTGGGCTTTCTCGCGGTTTACAAACTCGACATTTGAGTATGATGGCACTTGCAGGTAGGATTTCAGTCCCCTTCTTACCCCCTCCCCGCAATCCCCTCATAATCAATCTAACGTCCCTCAGGAATCATTGGACCCGGTCTCCTAGTCGGTTCAGGCGGTGCATTAGCATCTGGTGGACCCGCATCTCTCCTAATCGGATTTGGCGTCATTGGTCTAATCGCCTTCTCCATCATGCAATCACTCGGAGAACTCACCACTTTATATCCCGCCTCGGGTTCTTTCATCTCATTAACATCACGGTTTTTTGATCCTGCTTTTAGCGTTGCAGTTGGCTGGAATTACTTTATCATCTGGGCTGCTGTTCTCGCAAATGAATACAATACCCTCTCATCGATTTTTATCTTCTGGAGCGACAAAATCCCTCTGTGGGGATATTTTCTCATCTTCTGGTTTTTGTTTCTCGCTTTCCAATTATTAGGCGTAGCTGCTTTCGGAGAAGCAGAGTTTTGGCTCGCGCTCCTGAAATTGGGAGGTCTGGTTGCCTTTTTTATCTTTTCGATTATTTATGCCGCGGGAGGCCTTCGCGGACAGGAACATACTCTTGGATTTCGATATTGGCATGATCCTGGTGCTTTTGCGGATGGATTCCGAGGAGTTGCTAAAGTCTTCGTTTTCTGTTCCACGTTTTACGCGGGCTGCGAATCTATCGCTGTTGCGGCGGCTGAGACCCGTAATCCTAAGCATGCTGTTCCATTGGCAATTCGACAAGTTTTTTGGCGTATCATCTTTATTTACATGGGCTCGGCTCTCTTTTTCGGAATGACATGTCCATGGAACGCACAAGGTTTAGCAAGTGCCGGATCCAAAGCGTTGAGAAGTCCTATGACTGTTGCGATTCAAAATGCTGGATGGGAAGGTGGAGTGCATTTAGTAAACGCGTTTATTTTGGCCACGTGTTTGAGTGCTGTGAATAGTTCTATTTATATTGGATCGAGGACTATTCTATTCATGGCACAAGAAGGACATGCGCCGAAATTCTTGAGATTTACGGATAAGAGAGGTGTACCTATCTATGCCATCGTATTTACGAATCTTTTCGGCGCATTGAGTATGATGAATGTTTCATCCGGTGCAGGTGCCGCATATACTTATATAGTTAATATCTCAGGCGTATCGACATTTCTCGTCTGGGGCTCAATCTCATTTATCCATATCCGATTCCGCTCAGCGTGGACAGCTCAAGGAAGAAGGATAGACGATTTACCATTTGTTTCCTTCGCTTACCCATATAATGCGTATTTTGGATTGGGGGCTAATGCATTTTTGGCATTAGTACAGGGCTGGACAACTTTGAGTCCGTTTACTGCTGGGGATTTCGTGGATGCGTATATTCTGCTGGCACTTTTTCCGTTGATGTGGTTCGGCTATAAACTATGGTTTAAGACGCGGATTTGGGATTTGAGAGAGATTGATCTGGATGAGGGGAGGAGAAATGATTTAGATGTTAGTGTGGAGGGAGAGTTTGGGAGTTTGGTGGATGGGGCTCAGAATGCGATGGTGAAGAAGGTACCGTTGTGGAGAAGAATTTTGAAGAATATTTAAATGCAGTTTTGGTGTTTATTCTAATGTTATATTAAGATTACATCCAGGCTTGCATTTCAATTCTTTTGCTTTAATGGCTTTTACTTTTTGATGTGGAATTTTTTAAATGCTGTTACGCCATGGTTAATTAATCGCGTTGGTGCGCTGCCTCTCGACAGAGTGCAGTTGCAGTGTCTAATGGCCGATACTTTACCGTTAGTAAGTTGCAACACAACAACAACCTCTTTAAAGTGAAACCCATCTTCTATTTTCTTGTGTATTTACAATTGGATGGTATTGAATCATTTAAATTCTTCTTTTCGTTCTTTATTAACAGATGCAAACCTATACTGCGAGTATACTGCATTAGGTGCATTACTTTTCTATAATACCTAGTTGCTGGAGATATTACACAATATATATGTACGTACACAAATAGCCGGTGACTCCACGTTTCAGTGAAGAGGATTATCTCATTCCAAGTGCCTATCTACTCTATATGCATGATGCATCGAGGAGTTTTGAGTCTTCCGTCTCCTGTTCATATCATATGGGACATTTATCAAAGCGAATACATCATTCATTATTCTCGGAATCAATATTTGTATAGTCGTTGCTGTGTTGGCGGGTAAGACATAACCTTGTGTATTCTGGTGTGAAGGTTCTTCTTCGACTCCGCGTTTTGTAATTTTAATCTTACATTGCGCATGATATTGAAAACAAAGCTTTGGAGGTAGAATTTTGTAATAATTGCTATTATATATATATGCTTGTAGAGCTTATGATTCATGATTGTTGATTCGAACCTTTAAGACGGATGTGGAGATATATGAGAAAATCTGTGACATTTCTGTTTAGGTAACTACTGGTGAGTATTAAGTCTATGATTAAGTCTAGTACCCCCTTTTTGGACCACCTTTTTACACCAAAAATCGTGATTTTCATTTATTAATAACTTTATAACCAATCAATAAAATTTGATGAAACTTGAATCGTAGATTCATAATATAGTTATAACTTAATTCTGAAAATTTTAGATTTTTTGGAATTAATTTCATTGAGATCTATAACCTTAAATTCTTTGATTTTCGATTTGTATAGGATTTACATACAAATTTACAAAATCTTTAAAATCTAGAATAATTTTTCAACAAAAATAATGAAAATAAATTCTTTTTTTTTTTTTTCGAATATTTATATTATAAATGATCAAATAGATGAATTTATTTTAAAAAAATATTTTATAAAAATCCTTTTAATCAAAATATTATAATTTTTAATCCCTGCAAAATCTAAAAATATCAATAAAGATTTACTTATATCATTTAAAATTCAAAATGTTAATCTATTATATAATATTTAATCTAAAAATCTCTAAAAAATTTATAATTTATTTTTAGCAATTTTTGTTGAAAAGTTATTCGAAATTTTCAAGATTTTTAAATTTGTATGTAAATCCAATACAAATTGAAAATCGTAATTTTAACTTTCAATTTCTCAATCAATAAAATCATGAAAAATCTGAAAATTTCAGAATTTATCAATAATTATATAGTAAATCTATAATTAAATTTCAATTGATTTTATTCATTCGTTGTTGAATTATTAATAATTGAAAATGACAATTTTTGATGTAAAAAGATGGTCCATATTAAGGGTGGTCCAAAAGTAGGGTACTAGACTTATATTTTATGGAGATCACTAGCGCCTATCCTTACGAGTGACGGGGAAAAGAAATCGTATGACTTGAATCTGGTCGTGAATCCCACAAAGGACTCAACGAAGAATTTAGCTGTTACCCAAATAATATCCAGTCAAGCGTAGAGGAGTGAGTACATCCCGTCGCGGTGTAGCGGAGTATAAATAGCTTGCTTGCTAGAGGTATACTCATATCTCTACTATAATTAGCACACAAGCGACACCTAAGCACATGTTAAGGATACGTGATATTCACTAAACTGAAATGAATTATCTTTCCTGGAAACTATTCAAGAGCGGTTCGATGTAGTTACAGGCAACCATTTGATTATAGCTGCATCCGAAAGATTTAGAATTAAGCGAAAACCCGAGTTTTGTTCATCAAGATAGAGCGTGTAGCAGTTTTGCGCAATGCAGATGTCCGGCGAGTATAAAATTCTATTCATCCATTATAAAAGCATCGCCAATATCAATGGAGGAAGCTTGACAGGGCAAGAGTAAGATTCGGACACAGAAATTCTGATACGTATGCCTGAGAGTTGTGATGATGGAATAAGCTATAGTCAAGTATAGAGATGGGGAGTATGGAGGCGGAGAGTGGTGGGGATATATTGACGAAGTTGATTTGCTTAGTGACTCTGAGGTAGGGTTGGCCAGATAGGTGTAATATACTAAAGTATAATAATCTAGCTTTCTGATATATGTAAAATTTCAATAAGGTTTCGGTGTTAAATTATATTCAACTGAAGTATTTTTGATAGATCAAAATTAAAAAAATGTATTAAATTATAATTTTCTTTGATGTTTTATTTTAATATTTTTTAATTTAAATAAAATAAAATAACCTCTTTTAATTATTTTTAAATATAATTTTAAATTTATTAGAATCATTTTTTACTCTTTTCAATAATTATATATTTACATTTAAAAAAATTTAATATATACAAAAGAAGATTAAAATTTGAAGTGAATATTTAAATAACTTCAAAAGGTTTTATATTTATTTATTAATTCAGATTTTACATATAAAATAAAGGAAATAATCACAAAGTTTATAATTATTATATTTTTAAATAATAATTACCTGCTTTTCGGAAAGCGTCCAACCATACTCTGAGGATTTATTTGAAATTATGATATTAGTAGAGAGAACTAAAAGTACCTAGCAACAAATACCTAACAGTTAGTCGCTAGCAGTAGAAGGGTGTCAGGGCGTCATATATTGAACGGAAAAGGTAACATGTGATATACGGTTTGTGTTCTGACTCTTCCTTTATGTGATTCGGATAATTCAGACATATACTTGGTTGGGCTGAGAAGTAGCTATTGAAGTATTTGTGATTAGTTGGTTGGTTCAAGTTACAACCGAAGTTCAATTGATGGATGCTAAAGACGGAGCGGGGACGGGGACTGAGTCTGGGGTCCGGAACCAGTGGTCTGAGCTGTTGCGCACCCTTCTTCCGCCGGTCATCTAGATTGCGCCATATATAGTTCTAGGTTCTATAGGTAGCATCTAGGTGTTCTGCTGAAATTAGCATTACCTCCTGGTGCTCCTGGCCACGAGGTAGGTTGATGAACCTTGATGACATGATTAGTTTCACAAGCTACATAATTTTCGATTTCCAAGATTTAAATAAAAGTAAAAGTATCTCAAAAGCATTATTTGGATTCACTCATGAGAATTTCAAAATTTGCAAAAGAATTCAAAATTCAAAACGAAGTACTAACTACTCATTCGCCTAAACATTCTACATACAAATTTCAATTTCCAATCCTACAGAACACAAGGAAATATCTCAAAAACGCGTTGACATAGCGGCTTTGTGGTTTCAGGTCTGGCCAGTACCCCGACTCCAAAAAGCCCTTGTTGAAACGGCAGCAACTTAGATTTGTGCCGCTGCGAGCTTCTTTTCGAAGTTGTCGTGGTTGAATGGGCAGTTAGCTTTAACGAAGTCTGTGGTGTCCAAGGCGTTCTTGCTCACTGTGGGCAAAAAGTCGTACCACATCATTGGTAAATCTCTTCCCAAAGTGTTTGTGAATTGCATCTCGTGGTTGGTCGGGAATTGGACAAAGTACTCGACTTTGGGTCTGGTACCCTGTGTTGGTACGGAGGTTGTCTTCTTGACGCCGTTGTGGCTGGAGGTGACTCCACCAAGCAATTGGGGGTTCGCGACTTCTGGGTTGTTGACCCAGATGACGCTGTACTCCCAGTCGTGGCGATGGCCTCCGACAACATTTCCAGCGGCTGGCTGATCCTTGGGGAAATCTGTAGAAATGTGTTAGAGAAAAGGAGAAAAGACTTATGGAGCATTAGGAGCACTTACACCACGCGTACATGATACCATATTTGCCACCAGACCAGCCACCTCGAACATAGGTTTGACCCTTGTTTGGGTCACTGCAGCCAGCAGCGACATTTCCGGTGTCTTGAAGTCCGCCACTATGAAATGTGTTAATAGACTGTGATTTGAATTAAAGAGGAGTAGTCGTACCTAGTGTTACCGTTGCCGTCAACCGCGCTGTATGGTTGGCATCCATGAGCAATGTGGATATAAGGCTCAAATCTCCTCAAGGTGTTACCGAGGGCACCGCCTGGCACATTCTCTGGCCATGGGTTGATAGAATCGTGGGCAACTACACCGCGAGCCTCGATGGTGCTGCCCTCGATTGGAGCACCTTTGACTGCTGTAGCAGCGGCGAGGACAGAAAGAAATTTGGTGTTGGTGAAAAGCATTTTGAATGAGTGTTATTGATAAATGAGTGTGATTTATAAATGAATGTGGGTTACAAATGAATGTGATTGAATGAATGTGGATGTTGATGATAGGAAGGAAGAGGGCGCATCGCCGGTCCTTATATAGGTTTTGATGTAACTACTCAATACACTCAAGTACTGCGATCAACCTGCTAATCCAGCCACTTCCCAGCTAGATGTCTCCCCATTTCCTTGAATCCGACGACCAAGACGCATCAATTTCGGTAGCTACTTAGGGCTTCCTGAAAGGCTCCTTGATTTTCGTAAGGTTTCTTGGATGGAGGAGAAAGTAAGTTGCCTACATAACGCAGAGTATTAATTAGCCTTGGTGTCAATGCTTGGCCAAGTTCGTCTGATGAATAACTTATGGAGCATAGTAGTGATAGCGTTTCGATACCTCATGTTAGAAGCATAGCGTCAGATGAGCCCTACTAAGCGTTTTGCCGCTACAATTACACAGTCAGTCTTCAGATCTCCTGAACGCAGGTAAGTAATAGCCACCTTGATATGTGATAGCAAACTCATCACTCAATGTTCATGTAATACCCGATGATATTATTAACCTTCCTTGTTCCATTGGTTGTTGTTTTAATGATAGCTGCAAAACAGCTTCAAAAATTATATAAGCAGAACTGGTCTGAGAGTCTACTTGTCTGAAAGTTTAAAAGGTACTAAATTGTTAGCGGATAATCTCAACTCACCTTAATTGTTATGGTTCCAACCATATTCTAGTCTCTCGCTTTCATTGGGATAAGTTTGGATATATCAGCAACACTAAATCAGGAACTATCATGCACAGGCAAACTATATTCACCTCCTTTAGTTTCCAGCAGTTAGGTTCTACAGCGTGGCAGCCAAGACATCCATCCACCTTTTCCGATATCGTCTCTACTCGAGAACCTCCTGCTTTCTCACAATTACGGATCCCTGACGACCACGCACTTCTAGAACTCTTGGTATACTCCCAAAACCTGAACAAATGACCTCCTAGGCTCCAACGTCCCAGATCACCCCAACATCTCCTTGGCTTATCTGTATCATGCCAACGGAAGCTCACATGCCGGAGGTCGGGTCTGTGTATCCAGCGTAGCGTGATGTCAAAGCCAACATACACGCCATGTATTGCACGGACTGTGACACAGGATACTAAATTTCAATTTCCAAGTTTTCCAGACCGCCTCTTCCCAATGCCATGGTTCCATTGAACCAATTTCATGATTTTTAAGGACGAAATTTGAGGGGGAGTACTCATAGACCTTTCAAAGGTCCTAATCAAAATAAGAAATAGAACCTGAAAAGCGTTGTTATCTGATACTGGTTTGACCTTACTCGTCAGGGCGAGTATTTGCGAAGCTGAGCGATACTATTCGATTATTGCATAACCTCGAGAGACTGTTAGTGCCTCGGCATGAAGATTTTTTCTTGTTGGATGAATTTTTAGATTGTCTTTGTATTGTAGTTAAAACCGTTTTGTTTGATTGGCTATAACTGAGTTTTAAGATGCTTGATCATCATCTCTTAGACTTCATTCGATTTCCCGGGATTTCCAGGAATATTATTGGCTGATTTGTAACAATTAATGAATGACTGTTTAACAAACATTGCTTAAAAAAAGAGAAAAATAATATTTTATTTATCTTATTGAAAGTTATAAGATTTTTATATGATATTTTTACAAGGTTATAACGATGAACCACTACCCCCTGGACAATGGAAGTATGTAATGACGAATTGAGAAAGGGGGTCTAGATCTATTCTTAGAGTATAACCATCTTGGCTTAAAGGGTTGAATCCCTTATTTGTTTCTCACAGAATGTCTACTCAGCCTTATCCCTGACACAAACGATGCCAAGACAGGTCGCGTCTATGTGCAAAAGCGAGGTGGGTACCCGCCGCTCACTCGCTTGGCAATTTGATTGCGATTATAGTCTCAGGGGTTGGAAAGTGTTGCTTTGTTGCCAGAAAGTACAGAACTCCTTCCAGGGTTGAATATGTGAGGAGAACTCTAATTTTGCTAATGAAGTTTACTACTTTCCTTCATTCCACTTTGGTTTTAAGGATTTTCAGAAGATTCCAGAAAAATCTAAGTAAAATGCTCGCTTGTACCTACATTTACATAAACTAATTTATAGCCTTGTTGTATTGAGTATAGACATATAAGGTCTATACCTATTTCAATAAAAAAGTATCCTGTTCAGGAAGTGGGTTTGTAATTTCTGGTCGTATGAGTAATTATCTTGAAGAAGAATAATGTGTATTTCTAAACTAAAGACCTTTAACGATGATGAAACTGTCGGTATATCATGTGATTACCCTCGAAAGGAACCGTACAGAAGAGGGACCGTATAGGCTAGCGAGTTCTAGCCTCTACACCTTCTAATATAAATAGTCTATCTTCTTCGTAGATAGATAATGGCCATCCATGAATAAAAACAAATACTATAATAGTACTATGCAAGTAGTATCACCAGAGTGATACCAACAGAAACATTTTGAACCAAAGCGAATGAAGGTCGATCTACTGTTGAAAAAGAGGCTGAGTTAAATGGTTTTCCTTGGCTTAAATAGTTACTCTGCAATGTACCTCCGAAATTGCAAGTTGAAACCCCATGCAAAAACCCAAGAACTACGTTTTGCGCACGAGGATGGTTGATAGGGAGAATCAGAAGAAAAGCGGTTTGAACAAGGGAACTACGGCATGCTGGATACAGCCCGGAAAATACCCATAACCGATAATACGCCATAGCACTCCCCACTAAGATAGCTTGATTAGTGCAGACTTGGAAATGCAATGAACAGTCTAGTGGGTGTCTGACTCGTTCAGGAGTTTGGCCATATCATTTTTGAATTTGCAGCGGAGTATATTCTTTTGTATTCATTTCATTGGTAAATTAACTTTGATTTATCAAGTAAGATCATATGTGCTATTGGTAAGAAATATATCTTAGGAGTGGATTGTGCAAATTTCTGACAGCACGAGTAGCATATAAGATTCCGGCACACCGCCGGATAACCTTATTTTGAGTCGATCCCAATAAAGTTTACCCGCACATAGGGCAAGTGGGCTTGAACTGTGGTAAGACTGTTGATGATACGGTCTGGCATGTATGGGTTCAATGGCTTGGATTGAACCGGAAAGCTTCCAAAGTCCGATGACTTGACCATTCTTATTCCTAATGTTATCATGATGTCGTGAAGTGCCACTGACTGCCATTTAGTGCCTATCTTATCAAGCTGTTTCCGGGGAAGAAGGAAGGACTTTCGTTTTTCCTTCTACACCTTTCGGGTTAGCCAATTTTACACCGAGTGACATTTTTATATCTTCTTACAATGAGGATTTTTGGTAATATTAAGATGCCTTAGTGACAAGTCAATTATGTATGCCGACTTATTTACGCTGGTTACGGGGAAACAAACCTGATTTTCTGAAATAGTTTGCTAAAATGTCTAACTAGAAAGAAGATCAATAAACTCGAATTCTTTCGAAAGCTTGACATTTAACATACAATATATGTCACAGAAAAACTTTAATCCGATTTCTTTCTGCCCAACAATGGACTACTTGTATTCATTTTTTGCATATCAGTAGAAACAGATATAACCAGGTATGACCTTACATTTATCATGTTTTTGAGTTTTGTTGACCACAATGTGTCACGTTGAAAGTATGTTCTACGTTCGTATTTTACTTTCGAATCTTGAGTACTAAACCTTGAAAAGGAGGTGGTTTAGGTAATAGAGTCAACTATTTTTTGCTATTCCATTTTAAAATCCAAAAGTAATCAAAATTCTTCAGTTCGTTTATTAAAATTTATCATCTTGCTATATCGAATATAGATATACAAGATGTATACTCTTTTGAAATTTCTGAGATCCTATCTATTCTTGTTTGAACCATAATAGGAATGTATGATATACTTACTCTCCGCAAAAAGGTTACAACCTTAAGGAAAAATCCCATGTAAGATCTTACTTTGCTATGAAGCTCGCCAAGAAAGTTACAAACTTAAAGGAGAGATCCACTATTCTTTTACAGGGAGCTTCTCCACAAGTCTTCACTTTGGGCAGATGAACTCCTCAGTTCTAGATTTTTATATGCTTGTTACAAATTAAAATGCATTTTGGAGGTCTGGGCCCCGCTGGCCTCAGATGTCTATCCTACAACCCAAGTGACAACCTGAGGATTCCTGAGCAATTTCCTTTTCGGAGGAGAAGTTCAGATATCAACAGCTACACTCAACTTTATTTATAGTGCAGAAACACTTCTCGACGGCTATGCATTAATTTGTTCGATCTTTCACATAGACTTTTCATGCTAACATAGCAATAATCATTATGGCTGTTTCACATACCTACTATGCCAGATTTCTACATTTTTAACCCCGAGCGTAAAATCAAATCTATCCATCACTTCTTCTCCTAGTCTAAGAACACAGCAAGAAGTGTTTGCAAATTTCCATGCTTTGGAAGGAATGGGAAAAGCTAAGGAGATCGAAGAGGCTCTCGCAAGCGAGAATTTCTAGTATACGGTAAACGAACGAACCTCAGGTGCGGTAAAGACCACTCTGGTGGACCTGAGTCCTTTTCATTATATTTCTTCCCAATTGTTGATATCACTTTGGATGATACTATTCGCATAGTACTATTATGGGTTTAATGGTTATTCAGTCTTGATCATTCTGTCTATCTAGAAAGGTCCCTATTTATATTCAAGAGGGGGACTACGGTTCTACCATAGTACGGTTCTAAATGAGGCCAGTCATATGGCCATACTTACACCAATATTCAATATGATTCGGTCTCACTAAGGATAGCATGCTATCTAGTATTCATGATTCTTGAGATATTTTCTATGCATCCAACCATTTCCCGTCCAAATTTTGCTCAATATCTTCCAAGCTTCATCTTAACTGCACGGGTTATTGTTATTTTTGCTCAAAGATTGAAATTTACAATAACTCCTAAGATTTTCCGTCAAGTTTGGGATTCCATCCTCATCAACTGAAGTACAGACTGCGATTGTTGCTCATCTGCATAAGTATGCTGTGGGTAAAGAAATTCCCCACGCTCGATTGAACATAAAAGTGTTAATAGAAGATTGATAAACTTTCAGTATTTAATTTTATACATTCAGGACAAGATTATCTAGACGGTTAGCTGGATGTGGTCGCTGCATTGTTGTTATTGTCCTGATTTTTCCTTCCTCGAGAACAAATACAGTTATTCTCAATAGATGTCAAGATATGTTTAGCGTGTCATCAACACATCTTAGAAACACAAGAATAGCTAAATATTTGGTGCATTGAAGTCAGATATCTACTCCGCGCCTCAGATAGAACTTGTGGATCATTGTCCGATCTAAATAGATCAGGTACGTATTATCGGAGCCAAAATTGAACAACATGTAAAGAGCTACAAGCGTGCCTCACTGCCTCTTTAATCTGGACATTGAAATGCTAGCGATGGGAATAATATAAGGTATAATTCCTATATACCTCACTTCAGCAAGACTGTATTGTCTTTTTATACGCGCTTGGAATACATAGATTTGAACTCTACATCATTATAATTCTCGAATATTTGATAGAATATCATCAGAAATTAATTATCTATTATTGTATATACTTATACCTTGATAAATAGAATATAGATATATTCCATATATTTTATATACTGCTAACGACTTTTTAATTATAGTATTATTATTCATAGTGTTATAAAGGGCATATTAATTAAGGTGTGAGGATGATTTTTATTTTCTATATAATGGCTCAGTATTGCGTTATATGGTTCCTTTAAATACAATCATGCCCTCTCCACCTGCATCTCCGTCCCCGGAATTCCTAGCTACCTAGCTAATGATATTATCATTAATATAGCTATACACACGGCCAAATTTTCCACATCAACAGCCTCCATCAATATCCATCAATCCATAAATCACCAAAGAAAAAAACACCCCAAGCCCATCCATCCCTCCCATGAAAACACAACCCCTTCCCCCCAAAATCACACTCTCACAACCCCCCATCCCGCAAAGAATAACCCTCCCACTCCCTAACCAACCGCTCAAAAGCTCCCCCACCTCAAATCCGTCCCAAACAACGCATAAAACCCCAGCGCCCTAACAATCCTCCCCATAACCCCATAAGCATCCTCACAATACCCTGGTAAACATTCCTCCATATAACGATCAAACGCTTCCTTAACCACGATCCTCCCTTCGAGCGGTATGCGTAAATCCCTATCCCAAAGAAAAGAAGGCGGACCGCGCGTCATGATGCGCGGGAGTGCTAAACAGCCATCATAGCTAAGAACGCCGGATAGCTGAACGAAAGTATTTCCTTCTACGCGGGTATACTGCGAAGGAATATTCCAATCAGGTTCATCTGTGCCTGATTCTGGATTCTGATACAGAATTTCCGAAGCCATGTAAATAGAACGGGGGTGAAAATTCGGATGCCAGAGAACAGCCGGTTGAACACTATGCGCGGGATGATTTTCCTCATCGTCATCTTCCCACATCTTAATACACAAGGCAATATGGATTAGTTTTCTGAACTTGAATTCCTGATCCGCAGTCCGCATTTGATTTTCCTGCGCGAAGAGAATCTCGCAGATAAAATCTATCGGTTTGGAATTCGCTTGTGTGGAATTCGTAAGACTGTACATGAATGGTTTGACGACTAATCCTATACGATCGGTGATTGTATCCGGCTGTGCGCTTTTAAGCGCCATATCTTCTGCCACCTGAAAAGTACCATAATGGGTAAATCGATACGAGTTCTCTTGTCGCACGATGAAGCCGGCTAAACTGATACCTAGTACTGCATAATCGCACGCTGCGGATGGCCTATATCTTGCATGCAGATTATAATTCAACAGGCGATATTGCTCTTGCAAAGAGCGCTCGTGGTTCATTCTCTGCAGAATCATATATGAACATCCGATACGATTATTGTTTGTGCAATCGTAGGCGAGGAGATTGGGAATAGCAAGGTGCTTTGATGCATTGTGGTGAAAAGCGGCCATTCTTTGCATATGGATATCGTGCCATTGGCCTGGTACCGCTACTGCCATCTTGGGGGTTCTCAATACACAGGGACGGTGACGAATTTCGTTTCCGCAGAGAGATACGTGCATGGCACAGTTAAATAGTATAACATTGTACTTGCCGCCTCTCTTTACCTCTACAACTTCGATGGCGTCGTTGCCATCACGGGCGAATCTGATTTCTTGGCATAGACGAGTTATCATGATAGTGACTCGTGATAAGTTTTTGGGAGGAAAGGGATTGGTTACCAAGAAAGGGCGTTGAGATTCCATGACTTTGCGTGAAATTGTAGGAAACTCTTTTGGTGGATGGATTGTTCTGAAAATTATACGTTAAAGGCTATCAGGTCAAGGGAGATCAATGGAGATCAATAGATGAATTGCATTATATAAGTATAGTACGGATCTAGAATGCATGTCCGTAGAAAGTTGACAGAATCGTATAAGATGAAGCTAGCCATGGGACTAGTGCAGATATGGAGTACAGTGAGGGAATCGTCCATGAAATCTATATTACCCAGACAATACAGTCTTCAAAATGATGAGGCTGTATAGAAAGTTTGTCAAAGATTGTTGAGTTCAGAAGAACCATTGAAAGGATTCAATCAACCAATGTAAATGATATGGAATGAAATAGACACAAAGTACATCCTAAAGGTAGCGTGGGGAAAGATGTAGAAATAAAGTTTTTATAAATTATGATTTATTGACTTTCCTCACGCTCAGTGGCTTTCTGCAACTTTGCAGATGTATCACCACCATTATACATCTATGAAGCTAGTAAATAAGAATCCAAGAACTTCCCTTCATTTCAACTCGCTATCGTATCAATCGATCTATATACAAGCTAACGGCCAGCTGCGCAACATTTCCGTTTGCCACTCACACTGTTACCATCGCCCTGACCTCCACTCTTACAAAGTGCCTCCCAATCCTCATATGCATCCGCAATAGACATCAAACCATCAAATCATTCCATAAAAAACGCTCCAACCTCTCATGCATGTACGCACCATTCATTAATAACTACTCTGAAACTTTCAAACCCTTGTAATTGTAAACCAACCTTTCATGTTTTATGCATGTATTCAAAGAACGCCTATGAATTCGATTCATTCGCAGTTTACAAAATGGTAACACAGCAATATAACCCATAAGCCAATAATCAGGAACTTCCCTAATTCACGTCAGTAGCGTATAGATCGTCTATCACGCCCGCCTTGCTGTGGCGCTTGGCGAGAATTATCGCCATCGAAAAGATCTTGCAAATATGCACTGGGTGCCCTCACATTTCCATCGCTTTGCCTCAGATCTGATGTACTCGATTCAAAATGAGTACCATGAGTAGGGCTAGCAGGCGTCGCGTATCCTTGTGGAGTAAGATTTGACATATTGATACTTTGTCTATCACCAGGATACGCACCTGGAACTGTATTTCCTGCTGCGTAGTATCCGGCTGGAAGATAATTCGATGTACGATTCCCTGGATTATTACCACCGGCAAGAGCCGTAGGACTGAAGAATAGAGATGTTTGAGATTGTGTTCCATTGCCAGTCGTTGGTCTCTTCTTGCCACTTTTTCCACCCAGTCCTCCTCCTCCGAGCGAAAGCGTGGACTCCTTGTCGGCGTACTTGTAAAATGGTGTTGGAGGACCTTGGAACAATTGTTTCTTATCCACATGGCTTGGTTGACTGGCGGCGCGTTTAACGGATCTGTGCAAAGCCCAAGCAACCATCATACGCCAAGCTAAAACAGACAGCGCCATAAATCCAAGAACTGCACCCACTGCAATAAAAACTGTCCCTTCGGGATAACTTGATGATCGCATATATGGCGCATTCGAAGTTGGAGGAACGGAAGCCACTGGGATTGTATATGCTCCAGCCAATGTTGGTAAGGCAGATGTAGAAGAAGCTTTTCCAGTGGTTGTAGATCCACCTGTAATTACGGCAATCGACTCTGGTGTTGTTGTCCCAGTTGACGCTGTGGCACTTGACGTTGTGGTTCTCGTTGATGCTGCGGCCGCAGAAGCTTCCGAGGCTGCCACACTCGAGAGATTTGGTAGATCTGAAGTAGCCGTTGTAGCCGCTGTTGTTGCGGTAGTTGCAGCAATGATTGGCACGGCAAAGAATGAAACCGCAATGGCAGCAGAAGCTACCGATTTAGGGAATCGCATCTTATGTATATTATAATTCGTATTCGAGTATAAATCGTTGGTGCTCGTAATAGAAGTTGGTTTGTACTCTCCAACTATCGAATGTTCTCGCAGCGAACCGACGGACCGAAGGGAATGAAATCCTACGGGGAATGAATCGAAAACCCAGTATGTTTGCTTGAAATCCTTTCCAAAAGTCAAAACTCAATTCAATCCGAAGTCCTAAAATTGTTCGCTCGTCCCAGCAAACGTTCCAAAGTTGATCACGACCTTAATTTCGTTGTTGTGCAGCAGGAAATCGATGGTTGAGAATGAATCTCTCTCCCAGCAGTGAAACAGTAATGCTCGCAAGGGTATCCAAATCTGTGGGGATATCGTCGAAGTTGAGTTGTGCAAACAAGGCTGAATTGTATGGAATTAATGAAGGGGATATCGAAACACTGCTTAAAATGCTATGGCAATAACGAATGGAAAAGATGCGTATATTGAATAGATGAAGTTATTCAAGAAGAGAAGTTAGCTGTAGAGGTTGTATATTTTATGTTGTACTGAACCGAAGAGGAAGAATAAATTAAACTAGGGAAGAGAGAATTCATACATACAAATGATCTTGTTATTATGTAATGTTACTTCTATCTTCCCTCGTATTTGTCTATTCGCTCTTTCCTCTTTTCCCACCCTCGTGTTCCTGCATTCTCCATCCAAGAGATATACAATGTGACAAAAGAGGTTAGTGGATTATTTGATAAAATGTAAGCTATTCCCTAAAGACTTTAGCTGACTTATTAATAGTTACTAGGGGCAACAATGCATATTTATGTAAGCTGAGCTAAGTAGATAGGCCTGACCTAAAGGCGGTGAAAATATATTTGGCAGAATTTATCGAAATTTATCATTTTTGCTTGATTGATGATTTCAAGAGTAACTTATCGAGGAAACATCACCAATCTGTTGCATACCATCTTTCCGCGAATCTACACAACCATATATCAGTCAATTACCCACAAACTCAAAGGGTTTATGCAATGGGTAAAGCAGCTAAAACACGCAAGTTTGGTGCTGTAAGTATCATCTACAAGCATTTCTCGTCCTCTTATCGATAGTCCGCCCACCAATATACTGACATTTTCCCCAGGTCAAACGAGTAATTGGACAACGAGATGCTCGTCTAAAAGAAAACAAAGATAAGGGAGAAGAAGGAGCCAATAAACCAAAGGAGCTTGTTCGAGAAGCGTATGTTTTCCTTCACTCTCCATCCCCTCAGTTCATAACTAATGACGTATCATAGACCTCAAGTCTCTTCCGCCCTCTTCTTCCAATACAACGAAGCTCTCGTCCCTCCATATTCTATCCTCGTTGATACTAATTTCCTCTCTCACACCGTTCAACGAAAACTTCCTCTCCTCGAATCTCTTATGGATTGTCTCTATGCCAAATGTATTCCCATCATTACTTCGTGCGTCATGGCCGAATTGGAAAAACTTGGCCCTAGATATCGTATCGCACTACGAATTGCTCGTGATGAGAGATGGCAAAGATTACAATGTGATCACAAAGGTGTTTATGCAGATGATTGTATTGTGGACAGAGTACAGAAGCATAAGATCTATATTGTGGCGACGAACGATAGGGAATTGAAGAGAAGAGTTAGAAAGGTTCCTGGTGTGCCGATTATGAGTGTGGCGAGGGGAAAGTATGTTATTGAGAGGTTACCAGATGCTCCTGAGAAGTAAATTCGCTAGGGACATTGGTTAGGGTGGCTTGGGTAATGTATATCCGGAAGTCTGGCGTTCAGGAAGGTGATCAAAATTACTTTAAAGATATTGGGATTGGCTGAGGAAACAGCATGGAACCTTGTATGTTTGAGGTTCCCTCTTTATTTGTGTGTGTCATGAGATAATACTATAAAGTACATCTTATTTTGAAATAAGATCTGCATACACTGATGTGATGATTATATGACATTGGAATTCTTGAACAGACATTTGACACTCAGTCAACCCATATCTCTCAAATGCCTATTCCGGTAATGGCACTAGATCAACCCATCACTCGCCCTCATACTCATCCTCTCACCTTCTATGGGCAAGACAACCCAACTTCCTTCAACCTAATCCAGCCTCAAACACCTCCCAACCAGCTTTCAATCTTTTCCCCTGTCCTCATTCGACGGCTAAATACGAGCAGCAAGCACCAGAGCAACAGCTTATCACATGAACCTAATCTAACCAACAATTAACTCAACATACATTGTCCCAGTTGAACCTACTGCTCAGATTCAAACAAGTATAACTACTTCTCAGCTTTTTCTGATTCCTGAAACGAAAGGTAAAATTACCGTGGTATTATATTTGAAATACTTAGTTAGTTTCCATGACGATTATGATTAAAATCTATTTATTAGACCTCTTGGATTTTTCTGGAATATATAAACTAACAGGAAAATATTGTGATAAAGCTCTAGAGAGGAGTGATATGTGCATGTGGTATGAGATCATTTGTATTTATATTCATATTTACACACGATTTCCTAGCCTATCCCTTTTGTAGGACTGGAGAGCGTTGTATAGAATTTGATATCCTTCTGAGTTGTCTTTCTCTCCTCATTTCTACATATCCTCACCAGGTGCATTCTCTCCTTCAAAGTCTTCGCTTAATGTAAGCCTAATCAATGTAAATAAAATCAAGCCAATTCATATATAGGAATATCCATATCCATATCCATGTTCCCCTATCCCCGTCCTTTCACATACACATAATCCTTCCTCCAATGACTGTTCCATATAATCTTCTATTAAGTATCATTTCCCCTTCCCTCCCTACATCCTCCCCGTTCTTTAATCTCAAATCCTCACCTCACTTAAAATAGTCCGATATTCTATTCCCCGCCCTCCTCCTTATATTCGCCGTCTCTCCATGTACCACCCTGCCTCTCACTGTGGCCAGTTCCTCTACTTCTTCGCATCCCCACATCACTCACTCTACCACTCTCCCTCTCCCCTCATCCAATATTCCCCTCCCTACCCCTCAACACCATCAGCATCACCATCCTCCCACCAAACCACCAGCCACCCAAAAATCACCCTCCCATCTTCACAATCCCTTCTCGATAACCGACATTAAGACTAAAATCACACTACACCGCACTATACAACATCTCATCCCACTTAATAAACCACACTATCACACTATCATAATAATACACCAAGAAACCAAATTCTCGATACAAAAAATCCAGATCGAAATACTCACACTCAACTAAAGCATCTAAACAATAACCTAACCCGTATATCCCATAATAAAACAAAAATTAAGAATTAAGCAAAAAAAACAACCAAAAAAACAGAAGGAAGTAAGCATTACCTACTTAGTACATATACCACTTTTAGTATTCTAACCACTTTGATATCCAACATCCAATATCCACCATCCACCATGAACATCCGCTATTCAATATCCAAATTAAAACATCCAAACAATTAATAGCTAGAAAGTAGATACGATACAGCTAGTTTCCAGGTAGGCGAAGGGGGGGAGGGAATGAGGAATAAAGTATCCACGGGTGGATATTACACTACTAGATGTATTTTGCCTGAAGAATCAACTATGAATCTATATTGCTTTCACTGGACATTCATTGGTTGCAGGAAGGATGGCTTTAGGATGTACTTGCTAACTTTAATGAAAAGTATAATATCAAAAGCTTCAGAAATATGATCGAGGAGAAGACTTCAGGTCACCGCGGCACAGACGCATGTTCCTACATCTAGCAATGCGTAATATTAATTAAAGACTGTCCATTCTCTATTCTTTGGTCATCAGAAAAAGGCAAGTTTAAAAATCCCATACCATTTATTGAGTACCCATGCATACTTTATACATACAAAATCATACACTACCTTTACTACGCAATAACTCCTGTCCTAACCATTCCATCCCAATCTAGCTTCTTCCCATGTCTCAACCAAATTATTGTTGTTTCTTTTGGGCAGATGGTCCGTTCTCCTTATCGAAAGCTCCATATGAAACTTGCAGACTCGATACTGCGTTTAAACCTACAGAAAGGATACTGAGAAGAAGGAGTCCGACAACCAGTCCCATGAAGATACCAGGAGTGAAATATTGATATTTCTCGAACAGAGGTCTATGATCTGGTGAATTCGTTGAATTGTCGGCCCTACTTCTGAAGTCTCTCTTTAAATCGAAATGGGCGCTTGCATCGAAAACCGGTTCATAGACATCAACTGGTTCCTTTTGTGGCACAGAGTCAATGGGTGATGTAGTATAGATAACGGTGTATTCTGGACCACTGGAGAGATGTTCGTAGAATGCGCTATTAAGCATAATATCTGTGGAGAGTTAGATTTCGATACCCTAGAAGATGATGTGAGTAGCTATACGAACCTTGATCATTGAATTCCTCAATCCTTGCAATTTTCGCAGCTGGCAATGCATTCAAGTTTGATACAATAACGCCATTTCCAGCGCCATCAGTGGACTCAAGTCCAGCGTTATTTCGTCGTTCAACTTTCTTGCCGCACTTCGTTTCAATATGCTGTGCTAATTCCTCTGACAGATTACCACCCTCATAAACAACATCCATAACGTTATATGTTGCTCGAACTCTAGAATCTGAAACAGCGGCTTTCAAATGAGGAACGGAGTCTTTCGCCGAGAAGTCTGAGGCGGCGAGAGCTGCTTGTTGGATAATGATGTAGACATCAGAAGGGCAGGTAGAAAGGAAACTCTTGGCATTTTGAAGGACTGATGATGCGGTGTCTAATCCTTGACGCTCAATTTGTATCGAAGAAGGTAATCTGCCATTTTCGTGTTAGTAACTGTCAAGGACGAGGCGACTGGTGGAAATGTAACTCACTCCGATGATGAGAATAGAAGGAAAGGTGATGTATCTTTAAACGCTTGCACGGCAGCAGCGCAGTAAAGTAGCGATCCAACAATCGAGTACCGCATCTTGGATTTTGTAGTTGTAAAGTTGTGATGCGGGATGGTCTTGTTATGAAGCTGTTGTATTAAGCTCCGACAAGTGCAACCTTGAGCTCTAGAAGATTACGTAAGCAGATCATGGCCGATATCATTATTGAAAATTAGATAGAACAGTCGACGTCATAAAAAGATACACTTATATGCAAATAATAGATATAAACTAATGTTTTATTTTCATCTTCATTTATTCAAAAACCATTTTATAATTTCAATTAAAAGCAAATATTGTTCTGTCTAGTTTTGTCGCTCAGGGAGAGATTCGCAAGGATCTCATACATGAATGACTAAGCCAAAGCGGTAAGATCTGCCCAAATTATTCCTTCCCAGGATTATATTATTTCGAACCTCAAAACACATTGAACTCCCACTGCGCCAAACGCAATCGAAGTCATAAATCAATCACCATGGATTCCTCATTCATAGTAAAGCCTCGTCCGAAAAGATCAGTGTTACCACCCCAGAAAAAGAAGAGAAAGTTCGACCATAAGATTGAAGAAATCAATTTCGATTTAAGTGCTCGCGAGGATTATTTGACTGGTTTTCACAAGCGGAAAGTCCAGAGGGTGAAGAGGGCACAGGAGGAAGCCGAGAAGAAGGCTAAGGAGGAGAGAATTGTTATGAGGAAACAGGTTTGTGATTCGTTGCTTTGACAGCTGTCGTTGGTTAATCTGTTGATCTTTAGTTGCGAGAAGAGAGGAGAGCCGAGTTGAATGAGCATGTTAAGGCTGTAAATGCGCTATTACAGGATGTGGATGAGAAGTTCGATGGCGGAGATGGAGATGAGTGGGGAGGCATAGACGATGAAGACGAGGAGGAAGAGAAAGATGTGCAAGAAGAAGTAGTGGATCACGAAGAGGAATATATCGATGAGGATAAATACACCACTGTCACAGTTGAAGGGATAGAAATATCGAAAGAGGGGATAAAAAGGACTGCGGAAGAAGATGAGACCGACGATGGTATAGATGAGGCAAAGGGAAAGGTCACGAAACAGGAAGAGAAGGCCAAAAAAGTTTGGCCCAAGAAACCACGGAAGAAGAAGTTCACATATGAGACAAAGGCGGAAAGAAAGATGACGAGACAAAAACAGAAGTCTGGGAGCAGAGCAGCAGCAGATGCGCGAAGAGGTAATAATTAAAGGGAATCTATAAACAAATTCACAATCAGAACTCGCAGTAATATTTGGTATGTGACTTCGATATGGATCAAGAAGCAAATCATGTAAAAACAGCGTACCACCGCCAGCGCATACGAGGCTTAACTGCAATTATTCGGCAACCATGCACCTAAAAAACTCTAGAACAGAATGTCCACTGTAAAACAAAAACCAATTTAAATGTTGCCAATCTCCGCTTGGAAGTCGTCCAATTCCTTTTGTGCAGTAGCATACTTCTTAGCCATCTCCTCAAACTTTGCCTCCCACTGATCACGGTCTTGCTCGAGAGCCTGGACCTTGCGTTCGAAGTGGCCGGCCTTGACATCGGTTTGACGGAGTCTTGAGACAGATCAAAGTCAGCTTATGTTTCTGTGGATATGAAGATGTGCCAGATGTGCAAAACTTATGAATCAAACCCCCTATTCTTGTAGAAATCCAAGAATTTATCACTTACTTTTCGTTTGTCTCGCGGAGGTTCTTGTCGGCTTCCTCGGCTTCCTCCTCCAAGAGTTGTAATCTTCGTTGAAGAGTCTCGTTCTGTGTACCGTGTGCAGTGCCTTCTTCTGCCACAGCCTTGGCCTCTTTGATCCCGCTCTCTAACTTCTCAACTTCGCCTTCCAACAAGTTGTTCTTATGTGTAAGGGATGTGATCTCTTGCTCCTTCTGGAGGTTCTCTTGCTCGAGAGCCTTGACTTTTTCCTGAAGCTCCTGAACCTTTGCGGTAGCTTCATCGGCCTCGATGCGGAGGGTGTTCATTTTCTATGAAAAGCAAAATCAGCATTCTTCTTTCAGAACCATTCCAAAACAGTACCGGCGGCCATGTCCTGATGGAAAGGAGAATTTCGCAGCTTTGATGGACAAATGGCGGGGTTAGTTCTGATCATGTTACTCACTTCCTTGATGCGATCCATTTTGAAGATTTATTTGTTGGTCAAAGACGATTTATTGAGTTAGAGTAGTAGTGAGTTCGATATCACAGAAAATATCTTTATGGTTGTTGATGATGGTATGAAAGAAGTTGCGACTGTTGAAATGTTGCAGGTGTTAAAGGGTGAGAGAGGCCAAAGAGAGTATTATTGCCAACCGAACATTAAACAGGGGTGAATGGTTGGTCTGTGAGCAAGGGGGTGTGATACCAAAAATGGGAAGAAGCTTTGGGTGATGAAAAGAGAAAGAGTTGCCGTAGAAACAAATCAAAATAAAGGTCAACTACGGAACCTTGATATTTACAAATAAAATAAACTTCATGGCATTTGCCTTTACTAAATACGCGTCGAGGAATTTACAAACTTCATGATTCTAATGTAAACATTTCTCAAGATAAATTACATTGGAAAATTATTGCAACAAAAGTTAGTCAATATGTTTGCAATCCGGGATCAAGAGAATTTGGTTCATGGCCACCAACAAGTCGCTGCTTCTAAACCCCTCAATCAGTCTACAAGAAGTTTACAGCCAAAGACTCCAGGAAATAAATTCCCCAAAACACCATTAAAGGTCCCATTGAATGATGAGAACGCTCCAGGAGGAATTGGGGGGAAAGGAACGGTACTTGGTACGAAGGGCAAGGGTTTTGGAGGGAAAGATGCTACTTTGGATAAAAATGCATTTGTTACACCTATGGGTAAGGATTTTACATAACACATGGCCAGGTCAATGGCTGACTAGCAATAGGTCCTCGAAATCGAGCTCCTCTTGGTGTGAAAACTACAAATGCGAAAACCAAAGTGTTCCAGACTCCTGCAGGCCCCGCACCTGAGAAAGAGCTCGAAAAGACTGTATCCAAACAAACAAGTGCTCGCAGACCCAAGCCAAAGGTTTCAGAGAAGACCAAGATTGATGTTCATGGAGATGAGAGTCCTCTTAAAGATATAGAAATCGAATATATGCCACCACGATCCAAGGACCTACCATACGATTCAGATGTCTTCCCTGCCGGCTGTCTTAATTACGATATGCTTAAGCCTGAAAATCTTAGCAAAGGAGCGCTCAGTGAATTCTATAACACCAATGATAAGAGTGGTAAATCAAAACTCGAGCGGGATCTGGAACAGTCTGCTGTTGAACGTGCAAAGAAGATGGATGAGCAAATATTGGCCTCAATGGAAGAGGATTGGACTGTCGGTGATGTTCCCGAAACATTCAGAAATCTGAGAAAGAGAGCACCAGCCAAGGCTATAGTCCTTAAGGAAGAAAAAAGCAAAGCTACAATCCCGAATAGAGGTCCCACGGCAATGGCGTCTCGTCGAGCAGCCTCTGCTCTATCAACTCTTCCAAGGTCGGTAGTGGAGCCTTCCAAGAGACCATCAACAGCAATTCCAAGACCAGCATCATCATTCTTAAGAGGTAGAAAGACACCTACTTTTGCACCCGTTACGAACAACACTATGCGTGCCACAGCTGCAGCAGTCACCTCTAGAAGTACCATTGGTTATACCAAAGGTAGATCAGCTTCCAATGTTCTTCAAAAGAAGGATGCACCACCTCTAACCTCGAACAAGAGAGTCAATGCCACATTACCGCGCTCAAGCAGCAATCTTTCTCATGATTCGGATAAAACCATTACTCCAGCTCGTTTTGCTCAAAAAGAGAACTTGAGTCATGCAGAGTACAAGAAATTAGATTTCTTGGGTGCTTTTGATGTTGACGATGAGGATTTAGAGCCAGCCTTGAAATGTGGTTTACCGGAGTGTCTGATCAAGTTTGATGAGGATGAAGAGGAGTTTGTTTTGACGATTGGAGATACCGAATAGGTCTCTTTTGTACCAGATCAACGTGTCTTGGTTGTATTATGATGGTTATGGTGTTATGGAAAGGAGGCTAGAGGCTATTGGCTTTGGAGTATAAAAGATACCGCGATTTGTATACCTAAGCGTGGCATGCATGGCGTACCAAACTTTTTCATTTATTTGTGCTGCGCGGGTTACTATATTTGTATGATGCATATGGTTATGTTATTCTTTAAGCTAAACTTATGAAGTAGTAATTTTAAATTAGTTTGCTATCATTCTTGCGAGCGTGAATTTCAAAGAGGTTGGATCTTATGGATATTTGATATTTGCAAGTTGATGCCATTATCTTAGAGTTCAGCCAGCCGACTCAATTTTGTATTGAAAGAATGTAAGATCTTATATAAGACTCTTCCTAATTTCTTCAACGACAATTATGTTTCATGTTTACCTAGTACTTACAAGATACTTATCATTTCCAATTTCCCATCATAGTGCGATACAATATAATACCGTACAATATAACACGGTTTATCCGATGCATGAGATATCCGTAAGGCTATAGGTACGAGGTATTATCATACAGATAGATGGAGGTCTGCATGGAGAGAGATCTGTGTTATTTGGGTAAGCTTGAGATAAAGAGGGACAAGGGACGAGGGAGGGAAAGGGGGAAGGGAAATAGAGAATTAGGAGTTTGTGAGATTTGACTTGACTGTGTGGTTTGAGTTGGGTTGGTGTTTGTTATTAGTTGGTTTCGTAATGTAATAGTTATAGTGATAGATATGTTGTAGGGAGAACTCGGGGCTTGTTCTTCGTATTATTTGAGGCTAAATATCAGTATTAGGAGATAAGTTCTGAAACATGTCAAGAAATCCTTTGAGTATTTGGGGGTGGTGCAGCAGATGGATATTAGGTAGGTTACCTAGGTAAGAATACTAAGAATAGTAATTGTTTGGGTGGAATGACGCTCCGCTGGGCCACTGCCGTGGAGGCAGAATAACTGGGAGGAAAAGTATTGAATATTTATTATAAGTTAATTGTGAGATGTTGTTATATATTTTGATATTTTGATATTTTATGCTAACATTTTAGGAAAAGGGGGAGGTGGTTGAACTGTAAGCTAGAAACTAATTATCTTTGTGTGATATTGATGGTTGAATGTCACGTTTCCTTTCAGATGTGAGAGTCTTACCGAAAGCGGACTTGGTATTGTGCCTTTCAAGTTTGTTATTAAAGTGAGCGCCGTATAGTAAATACGAGCATATTCATGTTAGAGGGTGAATAATTGTAAAAGAGACATCGATAGTAGAGAATGGTAGAGAATGGTAGGCTAGCAGAATAATAGAATCATATATATGATATATAGAATAATAAGGAAATAAATCAATAATTCTACCGTAAAGAGGAAAAAGGCGGTGCATTTGCTGTAAATAAGACTTACAATAGTACATAATACATCAATACATGACATCAAATCCTTGTCGTCTATCTACCTGCCATCCATCTCCTTGAATTCTTAGGTAATACCCTATTAAGGCTAAGCGTAGCCCATTTTCCCAAATCTAACCTATTGGGAAAGCGAGAAATTGATACTATCGAACCTCAACTCATTCAAATCCTCCATTCCATTTATTTCAACTATACATATTCACCATACAATCAACATTCAACGCCCAAAGATTGATCTTAAATCTGTCGCACAAGGATTCTTTTTCATCTGCCAATATTCGCACATCGACTGCGACCAAATATTCCTCACTTTTCTTCCATCATATTACAAAGCTTGACAATACTTGGTTAAATCTGTTCCTCGGGAATTGAAAGTCGCGTCAATTTTATCAACTGCCTTTGCGCGTATCGGCCATCTGCCATCAATCCTTCAAATGCATGCGGTCGCATATTGATCTTATACAAAGAGATGGTGGTTGGCAGAAGGAAGGAGAGGTAGATCAATTACAGTCACACGATGTCTCGCGCATCTGGGGCAAGTTTCGCACAATTCTTTCCATCGGCTCCTCGAGCTGCGAAAGACAAAGCAAAGGAGAGGGAGAAGTCAAAGGCCCAGCAGGCAGATTCGCCCGCCATTCTTTCGCTTGCTGACACTCATATTAATGCGAAAGCTTTGACTGACAATGCATCTATCACACGTCTTTCAGAAGATACTTCAATTCCCATGCCGGACCCTCCTACTCTGACGACAGAGGATAACGAATCTGTACACGGCGATACCTTGAACGGTGTAGGCTCAGCAAGCTCACACTCAAGTACTGGATCATCCCTTTTCAGCACCAACAATCAGCTCTCCAACAGCATGCGCACATTTGGTGGCTCTCGAAATATTAACGACTTGACACCACTCACAAATACCGACTCATCACCTAATCGTGTTGCGAGTCCCAGCATTGCCAAGGCTGATGTATCTGTCCGTCCTACAAATAACGTCGTTCGTGAAAATACAAAATCTGAGCATGTCGTCGCTATACCTAATTCTGCCCCGGCAGATCATCCTCCCTCCGAGCCACGAGTCCTCGCTCGAGATCCTGCACGAGGTGTAAAGGGCAAGAAGTGCACATATGATCCTTTCCACGACCCCACTATACATTCGACAAAAGAGAAACATAATCGCCGCCCACATTATAAGGAGTTTGGTTTGGTACGTATACAATCTGCTGCGGGGAGTGTCATCTTTTGCGTGTGAGAACGTCTGGCTAATGGCTTTTCAGAAAGATGATGCTCCCCCAGCGGATCCACGGTTAGCAAAAGGAAGCAGACTGTCGTATATCAACACCGATTACCACAATGCTTTATCACGTCTCAATCATTCGCCATTTATGCTACCAAAGTACAAATACAATCCTAAAACTCATTATGGACCCGGTCCACCGACGGAAATAGTTGTCACTGGATATGACCCACTAATAAATTTCATGAAGGTCACAAATGTTTTTACACAGTATGGCCAAATAGCGGAGAGCAGCAACAAATTACATCCTGAGACAGGAAGTTGTTTAGGTTTTGGCACATTTCGATATCGAGACACTAAAAGGAAGGATGGTTCAATTCTAACTGCGGCAGAGGCTGCGAAAAAAGCCGTTACGAGGGGCAGCAGCGTGGTAGGATTGGGATCGAAAATCAAGGTCCAATTCGATCCGCAGGGCAAGCGCAGCACTCGCATGCTTGAGAACGCATTGGAAAGGTCCAAACCTGAACCTTTGCCCCTACCGCCCAGAGAGCCACCACCGCCTCCCAAGCCCGAAGTTGTCAAAACCTCCGGACCTCCACCAACCGCTCCAAAAGGTCCCGCTGCTCTCTCCGGCAGACCGCAGTTCAGACCAGGCATTGCGCAACCTGCAATTCCCACCAAACCGCGCCAGCAGATATTGATCGAGGATGAGCCAATTGCCCAACAACTGGAGGATGAGCCGTACATATTTATTTCGAAAGATTATGTTCCCGTTATCCCAGCAACAATTCTTCATTTGAAGAAGCGACTGAAGAATCACTTCCTGGAAGACGTAAGGGTCGATAGAACAGGTTATTATGTGGTCTTTGCTCTCAGTGATGAAGGGAGGTTCGAGGCAGAAAGGTGTTACAACTCTTGCAACGGCACCGCGCTTTTTTCCTACGAAATGATTATGAAGCTATATGTATGGGGTACCGGAGGCCGAAGACTTGATCATCGCGATCGCACATCCGAAAGAGGTCATCATCGTCGCACTCGTAGTCCTGACCCACGCTTGATTGAACAAAAAAGGAAAAGGGAACTTGAGGAGATTAGAAAGGAGGAAGAGGCTGATTTTGAGGAAGAGAAACGAGAACGGGCAAAGAACTTTGATCCCGCACGTGAAGCTATAGAGGTTATCAAACGAGAGTTGATGACGCATCTAATGGATAAGGTCAAAGAACGGATAGCAAATCCATGTCTGAGGAATTTTATGGATCCGGTGAATCACGTGGCGAAACGACGAAAGTTGAACATTCATGACCCGAATGCCAAAACGCCTTTCATCGAGGAAGATGAGGATGATACTCCAGCTCTTGGCACGCCTAACTCACGATTTGAGGACCGTAATGTTTTAACCGTAGGGAAAGTTAACGTTACGGCTTTGCCTAGGATTCGAAAGAGGACCAAGACGGAAAAGAAACGCAATGTCGGTTCTACTGACTCCAGTGCCAGGCCGACACGGAAAGCCTATGTTCGACCCATGCAGTTCCTTATTGGTAGAGAAGATGAAGATTCGGACGATGATAATGAAGCTCCTTCTAGGACAAGAGCTACTGAAGAGAGAGAGTCACGCCCGATAAGTCGTATGAGTACCGATGATGAAGCATCAGATGATGACACGGATTCGATGAGCCAAAACTATGTTAAAGAGAGATCTCCATCATTGGATACCAGAGATGGAGAGTCTGCTAGTGAAATCAACTTCTCTGAGCCTACGACACAAACGAAGAAGAGGAAACTAGAGTTGCACGTGGAGGCTGCGAAAAAGCGACAAAAGAAGACCGATGAGGAACTTTTTGGTGTATCTGTGGCAAAGATTGAGCCTCTTCCGGAAACTCCCATTCTTGAGACAAGTATTCCCGATATTGATGGATTGCAAAAGACAGAATCTGAGACTGAAGCTGCTTTGGCTGTGGCGGCTAGAAAGAAGGCCGCAAAATCGGCAAAGAGAAAGAAGTCCAAGAAGCAGATATTCGAAGAAAGGGAAGCTCTCAAAAGACAGCAAGAAGGTATTCCCGAGGAAGAGATCGTGCCGGAGGAAGTCGAGGAGTCTGAATTTGAGGAAAACATTGTCGATACCGCGCCTGTGGTGACATCAGTTGAATGGGGTATCTCCGGCGAAGCACCCTATCCAACTGTTGATGATGATTTCGATAATATCCTCGATATAGACGGACTGCAGAATATTCTCAAGGATGACGAAGATGCTGGACCAGCATTCGAAATCTTCAAGACGGACTTCAAATTGAGCGACCCCGCTACTTGGGCATGGAGGCAAGGCCAGATCAAATCCCTCAATAGAAACGGATACAAAGGTATCGTTAAAGATGAGACTACTGTACCTGGATATTACGTGGAGACTTCGACGGGCTGTGCTCGAACTGAAGGTACCAAGAAGATTCTGAACTCTGAGAAGTCTCTTTATCTCCCTCACCGTATCAAGGTTCAAAGGGCACGTGAAGAACGAGAGGCACAAGCTAAACGAGCAGGTAAAGATGTGGTTGCAGAGGCAGCTGAGGCTGCCAAGATTGCGGCGGAGAAACTCCTTGCCAGAACCTCTGGTCGTGCCAATCGTGTTAACAATCGTCGTTATGTTGCTGACCTCAACGATCAAAAGAAAACACTTGGTGGTGATACTGATGTCTTGCGTTTCAATCAACTTAAGAAGCGTAAGAAGCCTGTTAAGTTTGCACGCTCTGCTATTCATAACTGGGGTCTTTATGCCATGGAGAATATCGCAATGAATGATATGATCATCGAGTATGTTGGCGAGAAGGTTCGACAACAAGTTGCAGATCTTCGAGAAAGCCGATATCTCAAGAGCGGTATTGGAAGTAGTTACTTGTTCAGGATTGATGAAAATACAGTCATCGATGCAACAAAGAAAGGTGGCATTGCAAGATTTATCAACCACAGTTGTATGCCAAATTGCACTGCAAAGATTATCACTGTGGAGAAGAGTAAGAGAATTGTCATCTATGCGCTGCGTGATATCGCACAGAGTAAGTTTAATTTAATGCCAAGTTGTCAAGGATCATACTAACTTTATACTTTAGACGAGGAACTCACCTACGATTATAAATTCGAGCGTGAAATTGGTAGTACAGATCGTATTCCATGTCTTTGCGGTACACCGGCGTGTAAAGGATTCCTTAATTAATCATCTTCTTTTCGTTCCCTACATCATACATTTTCAACGTCGGCATTTGAAAGCCGGGGTTTGTGATTATACAATAAATTGGCTCGACTTGATCATTTTGGGAGTTCATTCATCCGTCCTTTCGGTCGTTGTGCACAGGCATACATTCATGGGGGCTGAAAAGGGTTGGAGGGTTATCAAAAAAAAATATGTACTCTTTTCAACACACCGAGTAGTTATGGCGTTGTACAGTGGATTTTTTAATTCATTTTGTTTTTTTTTTACCGTTCAAGGCCCACCCAATGGAAGATAAACGGGTTGGCTTTTCCATTTTCCTCTGTAATTCATGGTGGACGCGGAGGTGGAGGCGGATGCGGAAACTTCGATACGATATGATGGGTAGGAGGAATGGAGGATGAAGATGAGAACGCGAAAGAAAGACGCACCGTGAGTTGAGCAAATGAAAGGAAAGAAGAGGAAAGAAAAGATAGGGAGGATGGATGGATTGCACCTAAAGTGCGTGCTGATATGAAAAGATGAGAGATGAAAGATGCTAGAGCGGGGGTGAAACCGGATTGAACAGGGCATCTTCATCATCATCACCGATCCCCTCCGTGTATTTGTTGTAAGATTAGAGGAGAGAAGAAGGGTCTTTTTTACTCCCTGTCTTCCTTCCTTCCTTCCTTCCTTCTACAGGTGTCTAGTAGGTAGGGAAGTAGGGAGGAAACTAGAAGCCGAGGAGTAGAAGTAGGTGTACGAATGCGTTAAAAATTAATTACGCGTAAAAATTCGATGATTGCATTTGAGAGATGATTTTGTTTGATTTGTTGATTTGTTGATTTTTGACTTTGATTTGATATATATATCCGGCCTAATAGTTATCCATTCCGTGCTATGGTTATTTATTTATCTTTTTATCAACTTATTATACAGAGTAATGGAGATTTTGTGATTAATTATATCTGTACTTTTTATCATAACATCTTTATTGTCTATCATCTAGCTATAGGGATACGAGATCGTTGGTAAGGTGATTATTTTTCATTTCAACTTTTTTTTTTTTTTCATCTAACTGAACTTTTAACCTGGTTGATTGATTTATTTGTTGAATGTTAAATTTGCAGCTAGCTACTTAATTCTTCATATCTACGTCACTTTCTTCTTCTTCTTCTCCGTCTTCGTCTTCGCTCTCATCTTCTTCATTTCCGTCTTCATCATCCATTTCTTCGTCTCCATCTTCATCATCCTCATCCTCATTGTCATTGTCATCTTCTGGAGCCGCTAACCCGTAGTTATCTTCGAAACTTGACAGGGTACGGACTTGAGTTTTGAAGTTGAGAGATTGAAAGTTTTTTACTATTGCCTAGTTTTGTTGATTTTGGTTAGTATGAGGTTTATAGAATAGTAGGGAGTATGTGGACAAGGGCAGCGAATAAGGTAGAGGAAAGGGGATAGATGTGAATACATAAAAGGAGCGGAAAATAGAAAATAAAAGAAGGAAACATACCTCCTCCATAATCGGCGCACAAGTAACAAGAACATTACTTAAACCAGGCTCAAAAGCTTTCAATAAAACATCATTCATAACAGCTCTAATCTCCTCTCTACCAACATCCCTAACCTTCCTCAATAACTCTTCATTATGATTCTCAGGTAATCCCTTCATAACGCCCTTTACGAATTTATCTTGTCCAGCTTGATCCATTGTAATTTGTGTATTGACAACTTCAACTACTATATCACTGATAGCCGCTTCTAGTGCTGCATCTTCCATTTTCTTTTCGCCTGAAATGTATTCCTCAAGGATTTTCTTCCCGGCTGCAAAAGCTCGGAATACATCTGGTGATCGATAGATGCTAAATTGAACGAAACCCGTATCGAGATCATTGTGGAATGATGATCCATATCCCAAACCAGTTCCACGGATAGCAGTCCATAATGGACCTTCCACGGCGCGAAGAAAAGACAGAGCGACGCGAAGTGCAGGGAGTTGGGGATCGGTGTAGGATTTTGGGCCACGAGAATTTGTTAGGAGAAAGGAAGAATCGCACGTAGGCATTGGGATGATAATGGCGCCTGCTTGGCCGGGATTCTGTCCATCGTGAGAGAGAAGCGCGTGTTGTTTGCGAATGGGAAGGAGATCTGTTTCTGGGCTAGGTTTGTCGAGAGAGGAGATGAGAGGATTCCAGGCTTGGACTGAAGATGGAAGTTTATTGATATCTGCAACGACTAGGGCTCGGATGTTGTTGAATTTGAAGATAGATTTACGGAGGGATTCAAGCCAGGCAATGACGGTTTCGGGTTCTTTCTTGAGAAGCTTCTTGAGACGCTTCATGTAGACCGATTTTACAAGAGTAGTTCGTGCTTTCATGCTCGATTCATTGGACATGTGAAGCATGCCATCGGCGGTGTAAAGCATGTTATTACCATCACGTTTATTGTCGGGAATATCAGCGAGGATTTTGGTGACGGCGGTGCTGAGACGTGTGGCATCAAAAATGCTATCGAACATCATGGTGCGAATCCATTCGATGGCTGTTTCATACTTTTCCCGCTCGACTCGGAATTGAATCATAAGACCTTCTGCATCACCAAGACTAGACCCTCCTCTCATTTCATATTTGATAGTGTCATGTTCTAATTCTGTAACAACTTGTTCAAATTCCACTCTCTTTCCATCACGAAGAATAGGTGTATCGAAGAAATTATCTATGAATAGACTGAGGAGTGGTCTATGCTCTAGAGGAATTTCCGTAGTGCCAAAATGTAATGACAGATGAACGAAATTTGTTGGAACATGCTCAAATTGTAAGAACAACGGGACTTCAGACGCTTGCGAATCAATGACCTTTTGAATATCATTCTCAGGTGCACCCAATTTCTTAGCCAAGCCAGATCTTGCTGTAGTCGATTTATGAAAATGAATCGAATCAGTTCCAGGAACGGAAAACTTCTGTAGGAGCGAAGCAGGTATCTCGGCATCATTCTTGGCAACTGCTGCTTTGAGTTTTGCCGCCAATTTCTCGAGCCCTTCAGGTCCTAATTTTTCTTTTCGCTCTGCAATTCGAGTTTTCTCGTCTTTCTTTATCTTCTTTGACATCGCTTTGGAGGGAGTCCCGAGTAAAGAAACGTGGGGTGCATCCACTATCCATTTCCTCAAGAAGTCCTTCCATTGTTGCTCACTCCATTTCCCGATTGTGTCAAATTCGGCATGTGATTTCAAATCCTTCAATGTAGAGCCATCCCTATTGCCGAAAAGGAAGTCGTTGATAATAGCTTCGGCATAGAAACGTTGAGAACTCTCGGCCTCGAAGTTACATTGTCTGCGTTCCCTTTCTAGACAATTTTTCATGTATGCCATATCCAGAGGGCTGTCCACAGTCTCTTTGAGAAGTTCAAAAAGTCGTTTCTCAACGAATGCAAGTTTTTCGGTTTGTACTCCAGTTGGTTGAAACCAAATCACGGAATTCGGCCTAGCGTCCCACCAGTATGAAATGGAGCTCGCAAGCTCTTCTTTCTCGACCATGACATTTTCAAGGACGGAAACAGAAGATCCAGCGAGATATGCGAGCAGTACATTTAGAGCAGCTGTCTCGACAGCATCTTTACAATCAGGACCAAACATACCAACCCAAATTTCTCCCATTGACTCGTCTTCCTCAGGAAAATGTACAGTCTCTATTATAGTTTTTGCGAGTGATGGTGGTTGAGCCGAATCCACCCATGGTCTGTATATGTCAGAATGTTATTCGTTAACTTCAAAATTAGATACACGCACCTCTTGAATGGAGCAGTTGGAGATGGAATATCATCTAAGATACCTTCCTCAAATTTGTCTAATATATCAAGCAATTCATCCTGATCGACTTCGCCAATCAAAATAAGACAAAGGTTCTTTGGCTGATACATCTCTTTATGGAATGCACGAATTCGCTCCGGGGTCAAGATACGCAGATTTTCCATCAGTCCACCTGTTTCATAACGAAATCCAATGTTTTCGGGATAAAGAATTTGTCTAGCACGTAGATCCATAATATCGGAACCTGTGTTCTGAATTCCTTGCATTTCTGAGTACACCACACCTGCATCGTTACCTTCACCATCAATATGATGTACTTCAGTGTAGCAGCCTTCTTCGGTAAGTGTTGGTAAAATCAAGTGCTCAAGATAAACAGGAAGAATTTGAGAAAACCCTTCCCATCCTGCCGTTTCTAATGTATAGGCAGTATGGTCCGTAGCGGTCCATGCGTTGGTATTAGAATAAGCTCTCGTGGCAAGTTTATCAAGTAGGCCTTTATAGCGGTAACTTTTTGATCCCATAAAACAAAGATGCTCTAAAGTATGTGGTGATCCAGAGTCATCGAAAATTTCCGTGGCCAATGCAAAATATCCATTAACTTGAGGTCCTTTCTGATCAACCACAACAACATTCATCCCAGTACGTTCCGAGACATATTGAGTGATGTTGGTAGGGGCATAATCAGTTTTGAAATTCTGCACCGTTCGAAAATGAGTTTTCTTCGTTTGACTTGGCATCTTGATGAAGGAGTTGGATTTCCAAAAGTTAAGTAGCTCTCTTCCAGAAGAATACCTGGGATATTGTTAGATTGAGATTGAGAAAATGAAGAGCCACGTCAAAAGTCAATGTGTCAAGACCAATCATTTGAATTTCATAGATTATGAAAGAAAATTGTTTGGAATTCCGCTATTGAAAAGTTTCATCAAGGCAAGTAATAGGCCAAACTGTGATCAGCAGTGTAAAAATGAAGCGTCGCTCGGACAGTACTGAACTTGTGAAATTTGTCGAGAGTACACAAAAAGGATATATGGATGAAATGGACATAGTACGCCAAAGCATACCAGGTTGAGTCCACAGCTTGATGAACAACAGCAAGTAGACTCTACTATTGCCCGGACAGGAACGAATGAACGGATGTATGGATCGAATTGGAAAATAATGCAACAAATCATACCAGGTTGAATCCACCGCTTGGTAAAGCACAACAGCAAGTAAGGGAACAATAGCTACTGCCATATACCGCGCTTTGCGGGGCAGATTATACCCCGCCATAAGAACGACTCGGTACTAAAACCAACAAAGAAGCTGTTTGTAGGATATAAAGAGCTTTTGGGAGAGGTTAAGAAGATTGGGGAGAACAATGTTATTTGAGAAGGAAACTTGGTACTGTTGGCGAGTATTGTAGTCGTACCTTTGTTGGCTTTTTTGGTATCCAAGCCTTGTCCAACGGGAAAACGGGCGAATTGAGGTCGCCAGGGAAGATGAGAAGAAGCCTCTACCTAGACAGAGAGGCAAGGAATGAATGATAAATATATCACCTCGTTATTCTAATATATTCCGAATAGAGTTTATGAAGTTTTTCGAAAATAAAGAAAGAATTCAATGTATTGGTGAAGTGGTGAAGTGGTGAAATGGTGAAATGGTGTCCAATGCATTCATTCAATGATATAAATAAGACTTGAGATCTTTACAACCAACGAAGGAATAGATGTGGAAAAAGCTTTGGCGCTTGTGAATTGTGATTGGTGAGAAGCCGCCTTAGTCATCAATTAAATATGCCATAGCTTCGTTTCCATCCAATATATCTTAAATATATCATATATCATATATCCATCCATCGTCCATCATCCATCATCCATCATATCGCAGATAATTCCAAAATAACAATCACGACCAAAGAACCATCTAAGTTCTTCCCGGAAATCTTGGGTTGCTTGAGATTCAGTTCGAAGGAACAGCGGCGTGTTACTTGCTTGGCACATCCCATTGTTTACAATCTTATAAACCGAGATTGGACTTTCGAATACTTTGTCAATATGGCCTCTGCGACAGCTACCGGTCAATTTGGCACGACCCTCATTGATTTTACTTTGAAAAAAGAATTTCCGGATGAGGAAGTTTCTGCTTCTACGGTTCAGAATGTAGCTCTACCAGAAGCTTTAGAATCCCTGGGTCAAGCTAAATTATCTCTCGAAGTGAGTCTCCAAAAGTCCCCGACTGTGTTAATCACTGCCGCCCTTCAGTTTATTAACTATACTTCCTACAGACAGAAGTTCGTCAAATCAGTAGTGAAAGCGCTTCCGACGTCGATAAATGGATACAACATGCTCAAGCCCTCCAGGATGATATTGACAAATCAAGAAAACTGGCAAACGAAGTCGTTCAACAAGCAGAGGCGGACGAATCCCGATTCACCAATTTACAAAATCACGAAAATCATCTTGAACTTCTGGCAAAGGAAATCGAATTTAATGCGCAATTGGTGGAATGTATACAGTGGATAAAGTGTGCGAATGATTCTCTTGACAAAGCTGCCGAGCAGGCGGATAAATGTGAGATTCACGAAGCTTTAATGTCTCTCGACATAGCAGGCAATCAAATGGCGGAAATCCCAGCAGAAAACACCGTAAGAGCGGTGCGGCTTTTGGAGACTCGATTCCATGGGCTGAAAACTTCTTTGAAAGAACAGTTCAACGGACTCCGCGATTCATTGATATGTGTTCAGCCCAAAGAAGCTTCCGTCACAATCCATGAGAAGCTCAGCGGTATTCCAACGTCTTTGGAGGATGTCGCTATTGGATTACATAGATTCAAAGTGTTTGATGCTTTTGGCAAAGATTTATGGGAGAAGTTGTCTGAAACCATCATCCAGCCTCGGATCGGCCTTGAATCGACACCCTCTCTGTTCAAAATATGTATTGAGAATAACACGCTCCGTGTCACCAAGGAACAAGCGGATCCTACCATAAAATCCTTGTTTCAGGATCTTTTAGACATCATTCGCTTTCTGGACCGGAACTTGCCCAAGTCAATGGTGAAGTCCTTGTCCGCGGCGATGATGCCTGATTTATCTGAAATCATAATTGAAACATGGCTAGAATCGTCTGTACCAACATCCCTAAATGATATGGCCGACTATCAAAAAGCGCTAGCTCGAACCACTGCATTTGCTGATGCTTTGGAATCCTTGGGATGGCCAGAAGCACGGAAATTTCGTGAATGGGTTGAAGGCGCCGCTAAAATTTGGTTGACCAAGAAGAGGGAGACGTCACTGGACAGCATTCGTAATGCGTTAGCCCTTGGTATGTGTATCTCACTTTTGCTACAAATAAGTCCCGCAAACTTTCTGCTTATTTACTTGATACTAATGGAATATTATCAGGTATTGGTCAGCCCGTGGAAGCTAAACGTGTGGAAATGCGTATGGTGACCAAGGATGATGGTATGCATGTTACTGCTAGTGGAGAGGCGGTGAAAGATGATTGGAACTGGGGTGAGGAAGATGAAGATGAAGAAACACAACCTGTGATAAGAAGTCGAGCTTCTTTAGACGAGGAACGAAGGGCGAGCTCAATATCCATTCCCCCTACCCAGGACGAGAATATACAAGTAGATGAAGAAGACGCTTGGGGTTGGGGTGATGAGAATGAAGTCGCCGTTGAATCGCCTCCGGATGATCATCCAACACGAGTCCTTCAAACACCGAATAGTCCTATCAAAACAAATGATCCAACAGAGAAGCGTAGCGTCACACTTTCGGAGAAGTATTGGACATCAACCATGCCTTTGACAGTATTTAACCATATTGTAAATATCTATGAAGATGGTGGCAAATTAATGCAGCCAGAGTGCGTATTCCTATCTTCCAAGTCAAGAACATTACAATGGCTAACTCTCGAAAGTCACGATCCGATTCCTGTTTCACCCGCCGCTGGTGGTTTGTTCAATATTCCCACCTTAATTCTAGCAATGTATCGTGCAGTATCTCCATGTTATTATGCCCTTGATCCAAAGGGAAATATGTAAGTTCCAAGTCAGTTCTTCCCTCTCCTTTATAACATTCTCACTTTTCGTAATCCAGGTTCTCTTACAACGATGCTATGTGGTTGGTTGATAAATTAAAAAATTTCTCCAAAGAGTGGCATTTACGAACAGACTTGACTCCTCGAGCTTTGAATTTGGTCAAGATTGATTCAGAAATCGGACCTCTTGAAAGTTTTGGAAAGAGAGCTTACAAAAACGAGATGGACACACAGCGTACAATTATACATGACTTACTTGGTGGTATGTGTACACAAACAATTATTTCACAACTTTATTAACATTAGCCAGGCTCTCAAAATTTCGTATACAATGACAGTGAAAACGCTATCCGTGCTGTCGTTGGTCATATCAACCAACAATCTAGCTCTTGGAAAGAAATACTTTCTGATTCGACTTGGGCATTAGCTGTTGGTACATTAGTCAACACAGTTGCCACTAAAATCATCAATGATGTTTTCGAACTCACAGATCTTGGAGTAGATAAAGCCGAAAGAATAGCATTACTAATCCAACAAGTCAGTGATCTAGAGTCTCTATTCAAACCAAATGAAATTGGGACATACGCTGGCAACTGGCTAAAGATGCAATTTTTGAGCGAAGTCCTACAAAGTAATTTGAAGGACATTAGGTATCTCTGGTTTGAGAGTCATCTTAGTTTATATTTTTCAAAAGATGAGGTGCGCGACTTAATTGAGTTAAGCTTTGAAGATAATCCCAATTCTAGATCATTGATCAAGGATATCAAGGAAAAGCCAATGCCGGATTTTGGGGGTATGTAAAGAGCAGGAACTGGGTTGAACATGATGAGGAGGAGTACAAGGAGTATGTACTCTGATTTGAGCACACTTTACACCGTATATATATATATAAGTAGAACTGTAATTAGAAGAACATAATATACAATACGATATTATCATCATCGTCTTCAGACATCCTCCACATGAAAAACAAGTGTACATACTAGATAGAAGCTTCAAACTAATATGTCTATCTATCTATCCAGCTCATTCAAATCAATACACGGCATGTATAGCTCTTATTAACTCATCTTTGAAAATTTAAAAGATGTATCTCGTGAGTGAATACTCGAGTAGAATAGATGAACGGTCAAGTATATAAGCGTACATGCTATTTCAAACCTCTCTCTCTCTCTCTCTAAATCTCTGATAGAGAATTTGTAACTTTAAGTTTGGGTTTGGGTTTGGATTTGGGTTTAGAAATATTTGTTTATGTATATAGGTATGTATAGATAGGTAGTTGAGATTTTTTTTAATAGACATTTTGAGATAGAAGTTAATTGATGGATGAAAGGGTTTTTAAGAGGGAATGTAGTCTTAAGATCTTGATAATCATATTTATTTTTCCTATCCAAGTACCAAGCTACAAGTAAAGGAGTCTTAGTTATTTAGAGGAAATTGTAAATACCAATACCAATATAAACTCTCAACCTTTCAAACTCCTCAACTATATAAACACAACACAACACAATACCGGCCAGCCCCCCATACGAGGCTTTGACCATAAGACCGTATGAGACTGTTGAAGTATCTACCTACCCACTATCTAACTACCAACCCCCTCCAACACCCAACATCCAAACAAAAAAAATCAAAAAATCAAAACCAAAAATCCCCTCTGAGCATAGGTATCTTGACGGGTATCATATAGTAAACTGAAAAACACCTCAAAATCTTCATCGGATAGATAGACGTTCTAGAAAGTCTAAGATTGCTAGGTAACTAGACTTTGTTCGTTTTGATATTATCCTTGTTCTGACTCTTGGGTAATGGGGTAGATAGAGGGATTGATGGGTAGATAGATGGGTAGATAGACGGGTAGATAAATAGATAGGTGTATTTATTTACTACACCATAAACGAAACGTATAAGAACGAAGAATTTCTCGCAAAGATTCGCATAGGTTATTGTAACAGATTACGTAGTATGTAAGATAGATAGTTTATTTGAACGATCTATCTCGTAATTCGTACTCGCATATTCGTATAGCAATACCGAACCGAGTTAGATATATACTGCGTACTCCGTACTCGGTATTTCTATCGCGCGCGAAATCTTCAAAGATAATTCATTGATCAACCAATCGATCTATCGTTATCATCCGCACTAATTATATGCTTAGTTTATATACTTTCGGTAAATTCCTTGCGTTCTTCATGCATACCGATAGTATTATCGTATATCGTATAAATATACCCGATTCGGATATTTCTCTTCCTTAATTAGATATTGTAGATATAATAGTATAAATACCTAGTGCCTAGCAGAAACTCGAGTTATACACTGCCACCACCCCACCTTCTCGGAACCCCTCTTCTGCACTTCAGAAGTTACACCCACCCCTGAAAAATGCAGTAGAAAGTAAGTATGTGGAACGTCCATCTATCCTTGAGCATCGCACAGACATCCTACATAATTAGTAAGTACATAATAAGGAATCCCGTATTCGCACTCCACGCAATATAATTCGTTCGCTCGGATAGCTTATTACTTCATCTATGTCCCTGGAATCTTTTGTCACAAAGTCTCTCGTCTGAAGTGGAGACGAGACCGTAAGGCATTTTCGAGATGGCGTTTTCATATCCACAACTAGGGAATACACACGACACAATAGGTCAAGTAAAGATATGCTTTGTATAGAATTATGCTTGTGTTGCGGATTTATGGTTAAAGCGTATTAAAGTATGTTTAAGTATGCTTAGATTGGATGGAGGCTGAGGATGGAAGATTGTCATGGTGTTGTTTAATTGGGACTTGGCAGGGCTGGGGCTTGGATTTTATGTGCCTTCTCTGTTATTTCTCGGTAGTTGGGGTTGATTATGATTTGTTCATGGTTTGGTTTTAGGGGATGCTGCTTATTTGATGGGAGGGGTATCTCGTAGTTTTTTTTGGATGAGTGTTTTATTTGATTCTGCATTTGGATTTGGATTTACTTTTGCAGCTTCTTCTAATTCTACTTCTATCTTCTATTTCCGTTTTTATTTCTATATCCGTTTCTACTTCTACTTCTATTTCTATATCCGTTTCTACTTCTATTTCCATTCTACTTCTACTTCTATTTCTATTTCGACTTCTACTGCTACTTTTGCTTCTATTCCTATTTCTGCTTTCATCTCTCCTTCTACTACGACTTCTCTTCTACTTCTTTTCTATTTTTTCAACCGAGAATTGTCCACGAATAAAGACCTCTCAATACCACTCACATCTACAAGTCAAGAAGAAAGACCAAGATGGACCTCAGAAACCTTGACCGCCACCTACCCTTCGGAACCTCACCCTCCTCCCCATCAACAGCTCTAAATCTCGCATTCACCACTTTCCTCCTCTCAAACATCTTAGCTTGGTTCTTTATGATAATCATCCAATATATCCTCTTTAAAGCTCTATATCAACATAGACAGCAGAATCCACCTCAGAATCAGCATCAGCACTCGTATCACAAATCCCCCAATCGAACTTATACATCTACATCCTCACAACCATACATCCGGGGTCCTTCTACTGGAGAGACCTATTTATTTATAGGGGGACTATGGATGATATATGGATTTGTTGACGCGATTCTCACATTCTTTTTGGATACTGTTATCTATATTATCACGAGTCGAGAAACCGGATTAGCATATACAAACCAAAGGAATAAAGTATACAACATGCGGTACTGGGCTGGAGGAGTAGAAAACGGAATGTTGGGGTATGGAAGATTATTTGTGCTAGAGGTGATAACTACTTGGTTCTTATCTCAGATTTTCATCTTGGTTTCTGATGTGTTGATTCCGTTGTATCAGGAGCTACAAAGGGATCATAGGATTGTAGTTGCGAGGATGCAGAGTCGTGTGTGGGAATTGGAACAATTTGTTCGGATGATGGATTGGAAGAGTGATTGTGATTCGGAGTTTATGTTGAGGGATAAAGAGGAGGAGAGAAAGGGAAGTGGAAGTGGAGACGAAGGCGGAAATGGAAATCAAGAACAAATAATCGAGTTATCTCGTCAGAGAAGCGAGAGTTTGGAAAATGGTGATAATGAGAGGAAATTAGATTGGAGGTTAGTGATTGATGAGGATGCGTTGAATGAGATGAAGGAAATGCTGGGGCCTCCGGGTGGTTTCGGGGAGTTGGGGTTTAGTGTTGCGAGGGATAGGGTTTGTCTGGGGGCTGTTAGTAGGGGGTCGAGTTTTATGGTTACGTTTGGGTTGGAGGGATGTGAGGATCAGATGAGGGAGGGAGGTGGAAGGGATAGGAAGGATAGTAGGGATGGGAGGGGGATAAGAGATGGAAGAAGAGGGGTTGATATCCCTCGAAAATCTGTATCGCGAGGCGAAAAAGACGTGCGAAGTTATACCCAAAGAAAGAATCAAACTTGATCTTTAGAATTATTTATTATGTTAGATTTCCTTTGTTCGAGAAATGAATATAAAATTATAATTATATCATATCTATATTTGAATTTGAATTTAAAAGATTTTCTTATATTATATAATAAGTGAACTTTAAAACTAATTAAAAATATTAATTATTAATATTAATTATTTACAAGATCTTATTTTATATTAATTTCGATTTGTTTATAATTTAAAATAAACTATATGATTCTTTTTTATAAATAATAAAATAAAATAACAAATAATATAAGTAGATTATAATATAGATTATTAAAGAAAACAAAAGAAAATATATAAATTAATAATTATAAAAATTTCCATACACATTTTCAATTCTAGATATTATTAAAAAAAAAATTGGTTTTAAAACTTATATAATTTCTTCAACTTGTCCAGCTATATTAATAGATTTTAAAATAAAATAGTAATCTTTTCAGATCCTATTCTTGTTCGGAAAACAGCATCCCGCATTCCTTTCCCAGGAAATCCCATAGTAATATTTCTAATCGACCCCAAATATATACACACTCAATGCTCTGAATAACAGGAACTCTATACATCGAGTAAGTATTCTCTTTATACCCAAATAACAATCGTTCAAAAGTATCATCAAATACCTCTTTAAATCACATCGATGTCAGATCCCGCCTATAAGCTCGACAGGATAATCAGACTATTCTTCCAGAGAAAGAAAGAAGACTCTCTTATCATGATACGAGATAACTGGAAACTGGAAACTGCTAGGAGGTTAGTTAGCTCATCGCTTAATCTATTGATGTGAGGGATTCGAAAGGGGAATAAATTACTTATAAGGTCATACAGTCATTGATCATAAATTATCCCAATCTATAATATTCACCTGTTAAAATAGTATTACTGAGTGATTTATTCCCTGGATGAAAATGCCAGAGTATTGAGGATTGATCATTTAATAAACCTTGCTGTGAGAAGTATTCCTATATATCGAGAAGTTTCAATTTCTAGCATTTTTTATCACCTTCACATCCAGCGCCGACGTCGACGACGCTTTCAGTAATCGAACACAAGCTATGTCATTGATTAACTCCGAAACAGCGAGTGATAGTTTTAACCCGTCTTGTTTGGTTGCACAATATTTCTCTTTGGGAAATTCAAGCTCTGAATGTCACGGATTGATGGGGCGGGAATGGATTTTTTTGAATGTTGTATAGTCCTGGTCCGGACGGTGGAATGCTCCTTTCTGTCATTCTTTTGTTGGATTGTGTTCAGGATTTAGAAGCTGCAGGAAAGCTTTATTAGGAATATATATAAACAGTATTTTGAAAAATGAGCTTGACATTTATTTGCACCTGTTCTAAGATAAGATTTTGAACCTGCCAGGGTTTGGTACGGCCTAGGACCTTTAACGCGAATATAACATGATTTAATGATTGGTTTTAAGATGGAGATAGTGCCACTTTGCGTAGAGTAGATCTGGCAGCTTTGTTTGCTCAGCTGCAGGAAAAGAAGAGCATCACCCTATTCATCCACTCCTTTCTTCGCATCAATCATGGAAACAACCACATCTACTCGTACCCGTTTGATTCAAGTTAAGTGAAGCGACTCAGTGATCCTCGTGATTTACTTGGATCCCAATCAAACTCATATATATCTTTATAACTCAATATAATACCTATATATTCTCAACCCTTGAGATATTCTCTGACAGTTCGATGTTTATTACTCTTGTAATAATCTGATAATGAAACTGTTGATTTTGGAATGGTATAGAATTTTAAATCTATTAGGAATTTACTTACTCCCGGAACAGTATTATCTAGTTTGTATTGCAGTTCAGACTACTAGAAACTTCAAGTCAAGGTTTACCTATGTGGATGGACTTTACTTCAAACTTTTATTGTAAAATTCTACTGTGTTTATGTGAGTGGCATATTAAATTCATCAGCGCTGTATGTTCTATAATGTCCTCACGCAAATAACCATCTGCTCTCGTCCATCATCCAATTCTCAATCCTATCTCTGTTACCCCTATCCCAAACCCCATCCCGTCATATCCATCTTCCCCCCTCACCACAAAACTCCCCCCAAGTCCTCTCACCACCAAACCCGCCCACCCGCCATAAGAGCCAAATCCTCACCCCTCAAGCCCTCCCCATAAACTCCTCCCACCTCCTCACCAAATCACCAAAACTCAACTCACGATAAAACCTATACTCCACCCCAAAAAACGCATACACACACAACGCTCTAACCATAACCCTATGACCCAAATAAGCATCTTTCAAATAACCCGGACGAAGCCTTTCCATCTCCTCATTAAAAGCCGTCGCAATTATTGTTTTCTCTTCTGGTAATAAAGGATTCTCAGGCATATTAATATTCCAGAGGAAAGTAGGGGGTCTCCTTGCTATTATTCTGGGAACCTGGATAGAGAATATTAATTTTAGAATTTTAGAATTCGTAAAGATATTAATTAGTAGAAAAGGTATAAATCAAGGGATAAAGACATGGCATGAGAAGGGATAGATAACTTACAGCCTTAGCATCATCCCAATCAATAACTCCAGTGAGCATAGCACTATTTCTCGAACTTCTAACCATGATATTCCGCGGATAAAAATCTAAATGCCACACCACAGCCGCTTCATCAAGCAATAAACCCTTTTGTTCCATCTCCGTACCAATTTTCGCAAGCGTGTGAATTTTGAATTTTTCCTCTGCTGTCATATCAACACTGTGAATATCCATCATCTTCCGCATTCGAGCATTCAAAACATTTGCAACCCATTGAGCAAAAATAGGTTCGGAAGGAATCCTCACACCATTAATCGTAGAACGACTAATCTGCAAAGACGAAGTGGCGCTGGTAAAATTACCTATATTAGGCATATTGGCATGAGGAACGAATGTCCCATATCCAGGGAGTGAAGTCCTGTCTAGTGCAGCTACGAATTCAGCCACGCATTTTGCATACTTGCAGCGACGCCGCAAATCATGAGGATGACGGAGAGTTTTGTACTCTAATCCTTTACAAAGCTTGCGGTACTCATATTCTAGTGTTTCGCCCATGACGCGTTCTAAAATGGTGTAGGAAGATCGAATGGGATTTTCGTAGGTGCAATCCCAAGCTAGAGTTACCGGGATGGGAAGGTCGAAATTTCGGCGGAGATTTTGTGTAATGGCTACGATGGATTTGAGGTGGATATTTGTTGGGGGATTGGTTATGGAATGGTTTTTTATAGGAGTACGTAGGATGCAGGCGATTCGTTGGTTCTTGTTTTTTGCTTTGAGAGGGAGACATGTGAATGCAATGGCGGTGTTGTTGCCTCCGATGAACTTTTCGCATTTTTCTATTTTGCTGGCGAATTTGATGTGGATGCAAAGGTTCTCGATCATTTGTCTGGTCTCTTCCAGTGATTCCGGTGGAAATAAATTCTTGGATCCATGAGCAAAATCCAGAACGGGGAGGGTTGAATGTGGTTTTGCCATGATTCGATATGATTTACCATTAGACTTATCTTTGGTTTGTGTATGAGAGAAATTAGGAAGAATTCTTATGGATTATGTCAATTAAGAAAAGAGTAGAGTATCATATACATAGGTTATGAACTGCAACTGTACAAAGATGGATGAATAAAGGATACCGGCTGTATTCTAACGACCGTACCACATTAATCACCAAATCCACTAGATTCTCGACATTAATACAGCTACCTGCCATCATGAAAGTTCGGCACGGTCATGACCACCCAGGGCCTAGCTTATAAGTCCCTATATTATGATTCTATACCGAAACAAGAGAAACAATAGATAGAAAGAAAGAAAGAAAACCTCAAGTCAGTTCAAATATTCCTCAATATTCGTTCAATACTTTGTACTTGATATCGACAGCGTCTTAGGATACGCAGCTCTAATTAATATACGATGATGTAGAGTATCCCATGTAACCGGAGATCAATAAATAATATAGATATCTAATTATCCAATGAAATAGTCCTCACACGAAAATCACCATGCCAAATTGAAATGGAGCCGGACTTCGGCTCTGGTGAGAGGAAGCTACTTTTCATACCTATATCTAATAACAAATTAGCTAAAGCCTTCCTTTCTACTTTCATCTGTATTTCAATCTATATCAGACACAATGAAATGCAATCCCAAGCAAAAAGAGGGAAAATAGCACCAAAACCCAGAAAAAAGAGGATAATTAAATACCCAGCTAAAAGTAGGCTAAAACATAGGAATCAAAATCGCTTAAGCGAAACGGTAGTTAGGCATTGATTAAATTTCGACAATACATAATGCGAGTTCCGCTAAATCTATATTCTGAGAGATGACGATAAGATTCTCTTTGGGAATGAATATGCGAAAAGACATCTATCTCTTCATCTCGCTGCTGTGATATATATAAATGCCCAAAAGTTCCAAGAAAAATTCAATGTCAGGAAAAGACAGGATATCCGCACACCAGTAGAATCTTTCCAGCAATCCAATATTCACTAAACCCAACTCCTGATTTTCCTAAAAAAAAATAGAGCGTGGTTATCTCATACAATAGTTAAAATCTAAGACTTCTTCTCTTTTCCTGCCGAACGACTTCTAAACAAGCTCCTAGGAAAGGGTGGCACATGAACCGTAGCAGTCTTGACCTTTTCCCTGAGGCTAGCCTTCTTCCCAACACCCATACCTGATTGAGTCTCAACTCCAGCCATATCACCAGTTGAAGGTTGGCTTCCATATGAGTTTTGTCTACCACGAATACTCTCTGGTTGTTCGGACGATCTGTCTCTACCCCACCATTTAATTAATGTTCTTTTCTCTTCATCTGTTAATGGTTTCACTTGGTTATTGGAGAAGTATTCTCGAGTAACGCTTGATGGACGAGCTGCATCCCATTCCATCAAATCTTGTTGACAATGTCGGCTTTCATCCACTAAAGTTATCGTGTTTTCCATTGGACTTGATGATGGGCGGAGGTGAGTGGAGGCGGATTCTATCATATAGGTTGGTTCTGGGACGATTACATCATGAGACCAAACTAATTGTTGTGGAGGTTCTATTAGAGGTTGGTCAAATGTAGAGGGCTGTTTATCCTGGAGTTCGAACGTCTCCATTTGTGAAGTATTTGACACTGTGACAGGTTGATCAATTGGCATGAAATCATCGAAGGTAGAACTGGCAGGGTCAAATTGATCATTTCGTGGCCACCAAGGATATGTCTCGTAGTTGGAGATGTCGAAATTCATTCCATCATAACCAGCAAGAAAGTTCATGTCTGAACTTGTGGATAGAACAGACCCGATTGAGTCATGTGATCTCGAACTAAATTCGAGGGAAGGTGTAGGAAAATCCAATGATTGAGCACTCGTATGAAAGCCTTCTAACTTGTAAAGTGTTGCAGGATCAACAAAAGAAGATGTGGTCCATCTTGGAGGTGGATCCGAAGGTGATGAGTTTAACGTGAATGTCTCGGCATCTATCGTGGTGTTTATCTGACTGGCAGTCTCAGGGTCTGGAATGAAGGAAGAATGTCGTTTATGTAGGGTCGACTGGGCCTCGACTTTGGCAGCCATATACTCTAAACTACTCAACCGTTGTTTGTTTCTTGAACATCGTTCAGGATCACACTAGCAAGTGTTAGTGAGAGTCTCACAGCTGGAAGTGATACCCAACTACCTTCATCTTCTGCCTTCTATGCCGGGCACATGCAAACCCTCTATTAGCTGCAACTTTTACTCGTTCTTCCTTATCATATCGTCTTTTCTTTATCTTAGGACTGAATTCCTTCATATCAGCATCCCATGTGAGGAACTGAATAGTTCTAGTTTCCGGCATAGAAATACGGTGGGATGCTATTGATCCGGGTTTGACATGTGATGGTGACTCTGGTACTTTCATCTTTTGTCGCGTGACCTGATCTTCTGTATCCATATGCAAGGGTAAACCATCGAAATTCAAATGCTCAAGGGTTTCAGTAGTCTTGGAGTCATCTGATGATTTCTTGTGTCGTTCATTTTGAAGAAACTTCCTAGTGGCAGCTTGCATTTTGCTTCCAAGATCCTGTTCTAAAGGGAAATGATAACTTAAAGCGATAGATAATTCCTTGGATCCAGCTGGAGGATCCCATCGTAATGTATGATCATCATTATAACTTATTACATACTGAGGGAGATCAAAAATTGATGATTCCCTCTGAGCTCGATTGATTTCTTGCTCTTGAGGTGAGAAGGAGTCCATAGTCCGGGGTGCATTTCAATGCAAATGCAAATGCAGCGAGTGAGTGAGTGAGTGGATCGTAACGGTGGATTCAGTTTGAAATTAGACTGTAGTCCGTACACATCCGCTGCAGGTACTGTAGTGTAGTAATCAATTGAACCAACAGAACAGTTGACACTAACACCACCAATACCAGAGCAGTGCGACGGGAATTCGACGAGTAAACTGGCGGTCTAGAAGGATTTGATGCAGAGATGGATAGATGGATAGATGGATAGATAGACAGTCAGACAGTCAGACAGTCAGACATGTTACGACAAAACAATTTGATCCAGTCGTTTTAGTTGTTTTACTCGTTTTAACTGAAATAAGATAAACGAGACATTATTCAACGTTGTGGAGTAAAGAGAAATGAAACAAAATGAAGAAATCTCAAGTTTCTCCAAGTTATTAGAGCACCAGAGCTTCTTCCCAATCTCTTGTGCCCTGTTACTCCGAGGTTGCCTTGGCTTGACCGTGTCCTAATACGGATTAATCAGGGATAAAGTCCGATGTGGAGCTGCTGACAATCATGTGATTATAAAAGCCACAGGACAGGATTATGTTATTCTTATTCCTATTCTTGTATCGACATCACGAGAATTCTGATCACAAAAGTGATATTCTTCTGCGGCGTTGACTATGCCTCACCAGCTTGGCAGATGTACAATCTAAAAGGTACGGACTCCCGACGGGATGTGAATCAATGAGCACATGGAGAGTGTACTGAACTAGCCCGCCCACTTGTTTGAATCGTCAAACAGGCATTGGACTCATTTGCTCCTGCATTTGTAAGTGACGATTATAGGTCTATTACCAGGAGCTGTTGGGACTCTAAAATCTTCCATCCAAATCTTCCATTCACATCTCTAAAGGTGGGTAGTGCTCAACACCTTCACTATCAGAAGGTATTTCCAATACATTCTTCCTATTCACAATTCATTTACCACCACCGATACTCTATGAATGCCAGCGCGTGTGGAAACCCAACTCTATCTGCAATTACAAAGGTCCAAAATGGCACAAAACTCAAAGGAAGCGCAAACAGATGTTGAGGATAGACCTCTACTCACAACATTAGGCATGTATACTCTAGATGATTTATACTTCCATAACGGCGAGATAAATTCCGAGTTCTGGGTGGAAGTGGTGTTATATGCAATCCTAGGCGCTCGCCTCTTTCTTCAAGGCGAAAATGCAAAAAAGCTTTCCTGGTTAATCGAGCTGGAAACGCATTTCCTAAAGAAATTGAAGATAGGCTTAAGAGTTGGGTACTGATCTGGTAATTGAGAAAAGTAAGGAAGATGGAGTGGAGTGTACGAGAGGACAGTTGAGGTATTATCGTGGGTTTGAAAGGGAAGGTGGTGAAAACATGGAGTTTGAGTGTTAGTGAGAAAATACCTTTGACTATATGGTCAGATTCTGTTTTATTTACCCACTTGCACATCTAGGGATAATCCACTAATTACTCTATGGAAGTTGAATATTCCTGTTGAGCTGAGGCTTTTACCAACAGTCATTTTACAAAAAGACTTCGGAGTCTTACACTGTTGGCTACAACTCCTCATCCCAGACTAATATATCACCTAGCAAAAACCTTCAAATAAATCGATGGACCTTACTGCATTGAACCACAACACTTAGCTCCCTATTTCAATCTCCTCAATTCACGCGTTTATCACTTTCTCACCTCACCCATCGACACCCTCATTCAAGTCCCAGAACTCCTAAACATGAGAAACGAATGCGGAATTCCGGCCACCCCATTAATAATTTGGGAACCACTTCTAACCACTGTCATACATCTCCAACATCTCGAACTAGAAACCTACATGAATGCTCTCAAAGTTGTAGACATCCTCCCACCCAACCATATTGAGCTCGCCAGTTTCTTCGCCATGGATAATTCTCAGGATACATTACATATATCACGTTCCATAATCGAGCACCTTGGCAATCAGATCGTGCAAAGAGGAATCGGAAAAGATGGAAAAGGAACTATGGTAATTCGTTGCGGTCCAGATGTTTGTTGTGTATGGTATCGCAAACGCAGAGAGTGGATATGATTGAACCATATTGGGTAGGGGAAGAAAGCAAAGATAGAGTAGTTGATGCTACGGGTGCTGGTAATGAATTTTTAGGAGGATTTGCAGTGGGATGGATGGCACAGGAGTGATGGAGATGAGTTGGTGGCATGTGTATATGGTGGTGTTAGCGCTGGGATTGTTTGTGAGAAGGTTGGAGTTCCTGTTTTGGAGAGAGGAGGAAAAGGCGGGGATGAAGATGATATAGAACTATGGAATAAATATAATGTTGATGTGAAGGTCGAGCTCTATTTGGAGAGGTTGGTGAGAAAAGAAATTATCTTATAAGTAATATTAAGTTAAAATAAAATATTATATTTAATATTTATTATATAATTTAAAAATAAAAATCCATCAGTAACGATTTATATAATCATGTTCTGTTATCCTTCTCATGTTATTCATTTCATACATTTAAAAAAATGTTAATAATACAATCTTATATACCAGTGTATCAGTATTTGAATCCCTCAAACCCATCAGTCAAATTCACATCCACATCCACATCTCAATCTACCCTTCCATCCCAACAATAAAACCTCAAGCTATTTAAATACCTAAGTATTATAAATCGAAAACTCCTCACTCATCAACGCATCGGGAAACGTCGGATCAAGCAAGGCATCCCAATTAATATCGACCAATCTCTCCACCTCAGGACCATGCTGCCCATCCGCAGTTTCCAAAAATCCCAAATCCCTCCTCTTTTTCGCCATACTATCTCTCAACAAAACTTTCGCCGTATCGAATGCTTCAACCGCTAAATGCGTATTCACAATCCTGACGATATTTTCTAGGATACTCAGAACCCAGGAGACGTTTGAGAGACTTTCAGAGGTGTCGATTGCGAGAAGTACGCAGAAGTATTGGAATGTGGTCGAGAGGATGTTCCACCATGGATGACCGTTTCGCGCAAATGTGTCTGCGGCTTCGGCGGCTTTGTTTCCGATTTCGATGATGCATTGGATGGCTTCTTTTTCTAGTACGTGTTTCATGATTCGTAGTCTTCGGTAGAAACAAAAGCATACGTCGCCTTTGGAGAGTGAAAGAAATGGGTGCTCGACTTGCATTTGTGCTAATCCTTTTAACGCCGTCATAAGTTCTTCTTTATGTGTTTCTGAACTGATGATCATGTTATCGCGGGGAATCAATTCGGCAATTTTTATGTGGATAGCAGTACTATCACCTACGATATCGTTGATAGGCTTGCAAGTTATACTGTTGAGAATTACTGCAGATCTTCCATATTCATAAGAAATGATTGTGTGAACAGACCAAGCCATCCAAAAAGTTTTCCTTGCTCGTTCAACCTCTGCTTCATCCAGTCCCTTTGCTTGCGTATCCCCTTCCGTAGCTAAAAGTACCAGGTGGACTTCCTGATGCAAGCCTGTAGCCTCAGCCAAATGTAGCGTGATACAGCTAGCAAGCCATGCTACATGAGGTCTAGTCGTTGAACGAAGATATAGAGTCCGCAAGATCCAAGCATTTATTTGGTCAATTGAAGGATGGCGACTGAGTGTAGGATCTTCAAGAACCGTTTTTACATGTTGAACAATTTCCAGTTCTCGAGGATGACCTAATCGAAACGCAAAGAATGATCCCAAAGCTATAACTCCCCCAACAACAGCACCAAACGTCAAATCCCTTCCTTGATTAGACCAATAATCATTACACCGTTTCATGAAATATGGCCAATCTAAGAATCCAAATGGCGGATGAACCGTCACCATGTATATATCCGAGTACCGCTTAAATTCATCAAACGAAACCAAACGTGTCAGATTGGTATGAGCAGATGCAGCTTCCTCAGCTCTGATTCCACAATTCCACGCAAAAGAGTGAAGAGGTGGAGGATTTGCAGATTGAAATTCCACGCCAAGACTTCTGGGAAAAGCAACCGCAGAATGTTGACTCATGTATCGTGATTTCAGGGGATCAAGAATCCCCTGCTCGACAACATTCTGTGAAGATATGGAAGATGGCTGAGTATTCGCTATACTTTGACGTCCATCAGTAGGATTTGTTGTTGACGATGCAAATCCGTGCTGCATCTCAGTGAGACCCGGAAGAATGGACCGTACAGGAGGAAGATTGGGAATTGTAGGACTACGCTCATCTGTGTATCGGCAATTGTATCCATATCGACTACACATCGAACAGGGAAACTCTACATCACACCGTCTCTTTCGTTGTCGACAAGGAATACAAGCCTTCCTAGCACGTTGACGTCCATGAATTGGACGATTCTGTGCCGATGGTGGTTTTGATGATGATCCATTGATTGATTCTGACATTGTTTGACATTGAGGAAGCTCTCGTCAATTTGACTTGGGAAGCAATGTTTTCAAATCCTATCGGAGGAGATAAATTATCATTTGATGAATGCATTTTGATTCAACATGTGACGAGGAAGAAGTGAGTCGAGGTTGGTCCAAAAGCTACTCTTCCGATCGGACTTGTTTCTAGGCTAGCTTGATGCGGGCTAGTGTCATCTGATTCATCAATATGGCTCCACTGTTGAATATCATCAAAAATGTTTGCAAATGACAAATAATTATATAATTTCCCATTTCTCATTTCTCATTTCGCATTTCTCATTTCTCATTTCTCATTTCTCTCTCTCTTCCTTTTCCCCTCGGATAATTTCTATCAAATATTGCTCAAGCAATTATAGCGACGAACTTCTAGGGTATCTATACGCAAATGTCAACTGTTCAAACGAATCAAACTCCCTCTATATGCCCCGCCTCCTTTCTATCCTTGGCCCTCTTCGTCCTTTCCGATAATGCAAACAAAATCGAACTACCCAATCCCAATCCCGCAAGTCCAATCCCTATATACTGAGCTCCACGATATCCTTTCAAAAGATCTTGCTTATTCTTTCCACCATTATTGATTTGGACTTCAACAGTTCCTGCAATACCTAAGCCAATCGAGATGGAATAATTGACGACGGTGTTGACGAGTGAGGCTGCAAGACCTTGATGATCTTTGTGCATGGAATCACTGAGCAGGATTGTTGCTGCTGGGAATGACATATCCCTAATTTCATTAGCATCTAAACGTTCCAGGTAATAATGGTTTCACTTACATTCCCCAAGGAGTAACAATCGTGGAAACAAAAGTTTGTGCCCAGTATGTTTGATTGATAGGAACCGTAGCCATCAAAATTGATCCAAGAAGAAAACCAGTCATAGCAATCATCATGACTGTACTAGCTGGAACCTTGCTAAGAATATACCCTGTTGTCAATGATGCACATAATCCACTGATTGTTGTAGGTGAGATCATTGCCGTGCCAAGAAGTGGACCAACTCCCCTCATCTCCTCCAATATTTGCCAAAAGTAAAAGACCCATATACCGAAGCTAGACCATCCACCGGCAATGCACGCTAGTGTGTAACCAGTGTGAGAATTGAAGGCATCAAAAGGTACCAGCGGGTATGTCGCACGAGATTCAATGAAGGCGAAAATCCCAAGTACGAGAGCCCCAATAATGAGAACAACATAGACATAAACGGTAGACCAACCAACAACCGGTCCTTGGTTCCAGGCAAAATTAACCAGAACCAATCCAGCAACTCCAGCCAAAGCTCCAGCACCATCAGCCCGTTTGAACATACTCACCGAACCATCGAAATGTGGAGGAGGCGTCTGAGGAATGATGATAATGCCTACTACAGCGAGTAAAACACAAACCATAGCAGCCACCCAGTAAGCCCAAGGCCACCAAACAAATTCCGCAAATATACTCGAGAATGTTGCACCTAGAGTGAAGCCTGTTGGGGCTGTGGCACCAAAGAGACTAAAAATCATTTCCTTCTTCCTTCCAGGCTCATATATGCGGGCAAGAATCGCAAGCGCATTTGGTAGTAGGAAAGCTGGTCCAATCCCCTGGAGAGCACGAGTAACATCGAAAAATATTGGATCCGAATAGGCGCTGAAACCGGCAAGGAGAGACCAAAGTCCGAACCAAAAGAAACCGCTGACGAAAAGGATTTTGTGGCCGTAAAGATCTCCCAGGCGTCCAGCGATAAGAATGAATGTACCGACGGTCAACGAGTATGCAGCAGCAAACCAACCTTCACCACTGATGTTAGCGATTATTTAAATATCAAACACGAGATGCAGGAACATACTCAACTGTCCAGGATTTGATATCCCAAAACTAGATCCGATAATATGTAGAGGGGCAATGGCTTGTCCCAATGCAGCTTGCGTCATAAGTTGAGCCATACATATTAGTGCGATGAAAATAATCTCTCGGGGACGTGAATTGAAATGTTCGATTTTGCTTTGGACAAGTTCGAGAGCATTTGGATCGGTAGTCTCTGGTTTAGACTTTGTCTTCTCGATGTCAAGAGGCCCATCACGCGCCATCTTGGATGATGAAGATGATGCCAACGGAGATTCCATCTTAGTTCTCTTTCTCTACCAAAGTGGCGATGTTATCAATCCGGGTAGATATCTTCTGGTCCGAGTGAGTAGGTCTAAGAGTTTGAATCTCCGACGACCTTTTTGTCCATGCAGTAGATGGAAGAAGCTCAAGTATATCTATATCCCATAATAAGTGATGCAGGCCGCGCCCAGAACAGAAATGGTCAATGTGCAAAACGGGATAGCAGCGGGATAGGAAATTCCAATAGCGGAAGTCGAATTCAATTGGAACTACCTACCTAGGCTAGGTAGATGATTAAGTTTGCGCAAGTAGAAATATATCGCCATCCTGAGACACATCACTCCAATCACAAACCCATGGAGAAGTGTAGATGGAGTGGCTGAATGAAAAAAAGATATATCACATACGGAATTGCCAAGGATTTCATAATCACATAATCGGTACTTGTCAAAATTCTTCTCCCTTGTTGGTGGGTTTTATGTGGAGATTGAGCGGGATTCACCAATTACGCCATTGCGCGATTTGAAGGTAAAGTTCCGCAATATCCGCTCCGCATGGATTTGTCCCAATACCGCCAGTGGAGGATGAAGAAAGGAGGATGTGAGAGACACGTGAAAGAAAAGACGAGAATGCTTAGTTATTATTTCTATTTCCGGATGGAGGAATTAGCAAAGTGGATCGAAAATTCCTAGTTTATTAATTTATACAAAGAATATATCAGTAGATAAATAACTAAATAAAAAACAAACGATCAAATCTCCTCTCTTCTAATCAACTACCTAGTAGTTATCTCCTCAATCTTACCATCCAAACAAATCAACCACACACCTCCCACATCCCAACGTCCATATCGGCTAAACTAGCCTAACTCCTACCTGTTCTTTTCCTCCACCCTCATCCACGCATCTTCCTCCATTCCCCTCCTATTTCTGCGCCTAAACGCAGTGTCCACCACTTTAGCATCAAAATCACAATTACCTTCGATATCGTCATGTCACTCCTCAGAAAGATAACATAGCCCTAAATAAAAACATCTCTCGGATCTACACCTACAACTGATCACTACTAGTATAATATTTGCCGCTGCTTGGTAACCTAACACCTTGATCTCTATACATAGCGGCGGAGAGTACTCGTATCTTACAACTCCAATATAAGTTTTTGAATCCTATCCCTATACCTATACATTGGTGATTTCATACACCTCGCAGTCCAACAATCGACAAAGATAAGACTCTCAAGGAAATAATCGATATCAAAGAGGACATACAATGGCACTATATACATAGTTATTTTCTCCCACGTCGCCAGAATGCAGTATAATAAACATCTCATCTCATCTCTTTCCCAATCACACTCAACCCCTTCTCATCTCCTTCTCCTTCTCCTTCATCTCACAATCTCTAATCATTTCAAACCCAAACCCAACGCCAAATTCATATCCATACCTCTCCAATGTATCCACAAACACACAACTCTCCAATACAACCAGACCTCAAACCTCTCAAACCCTTCAAACCCTTCCAAACTCCACACACTCTCATCTCTCACCTCTTATCAAATCCTATACATATATACATACAACCTTCTACCCCCAACATTCCATTTTATATTTTCTACTATATATCTCTCATCTTTTAATATACTATCCTATTAATAAATAACTATTACACCAAACACCCCGTCCCTTTATCAACTCCTTACAACCTCACCTCTCATACAAGCCAACCACATACACCAACCACATACAAACACCTACACTACACAACACACCTCATCAATTCTAAAACCTGAAAAACTCCCTCTCTAATATCATTACTATTTAAATAACTATAAAATCAATACCTCTTCCTCTTCCTCTTCGTCTCTCTAACCCAACAAACTATAAATAATATCTACATAACAAAAACAAATCAGAATTGTTTAATCAATATTAAAATAACATATGTAAATAAAATAAAATATTAAAATAAAATACAAATATTAAATTTCAAATTTCCCTTTTTCCCCTCTTATAAATTTCTACAAACAACGAAACCCGAACCAAAGAACAATGATTTATAATATAAAATAATATAAGCCATAATAAAACACGATTATTGTCACGGGTTTATTTAGCCTATACAGGCATACAGCTTTCATATCTTATATAGTCGGTGCACCTCCTAGCACCACCTTCTTTCCTCCTTTGTAGAATATCATCATATTACCTAGAGACCTATCCCCCACCGTGATACTTATGATCAAAGAGGTCTTATATATACAATATTGGACCCCTTATGGGGGCCTTGGTGTGTGTTGAGGAATGAATGAATGAATTGGTGAAATGGCCGATGTAACTTGTGTGTTGAACAGCATCATACGGTTTCTTCATTGTTTCTCTCGATTACAACGAAATCATATAAAATCGCTCAAGTAATGTCCCGAGAAGATGACCATAAGAACTTTATTAACACTTAATTCGTAAAGCCATGGAGATTTTATAAGTTTTAGACTTTTAAACAATCAATCTAAATCTTATGTTGAGAATGAAAGCTAGTCAAGGACTGAGACAATAATTATGCTCAACACCCACACGCAACGAGCTTTCCAGATTGGTAACCATACTAATCCACTACGCCAAATGAAACACCGTGGGAACTAAGCTCTAAATTGGAAAGTATTGTACAATACTTTAAAAAGCAAGAAATCGCACAGCGAAAACATAGAATCGTTCCTTACCAAACTCCGTGTGAAAGCTCTAGTTCCCTCTAAAGAGAAACTGCATATCCTCTGGCGTTAAGTTTTCCATAGCACTATCATCAGCATTAATGGTACTGTGAATCATGTTTGCCTTCTTCTCTTGCAACAACACCATTCTACTTTCGACACTATCTTCAATGCACAATCTGGTGATACTGCATGGTCTGGCTTGTCCAATTCTGTGACACCTATCTGCACTTTGCCACTCCGCAGCTGGATTCCACCAAGGATCCACAATAAAAACTTTGTTGGCTTCAGTAAGGTTCAATGCGACACCACCGGCCTTCAAGGAAACGAGAAAACATTCTACGTTGACGTCGGTCATAAAGTGATTAATAGAAGCTTGACGTTGAGCAGGTGTCATTGAACCATCGAGCATGACGGTTGTGATACCTGCGCGACGAAGACGCCATTCGACGAGTTGGAGCATGGTAGTGAACTGTGAGAAGATAATAGATTTGCTCGAGGAGTTTTTGGATCGAAGCTGATAAAGATTATGAACCAAAGCTTCAATCTTCGACGACGAGGTCCAGTTTTCCATCTTGATTCGATTGATGATGGAAGATTTTTTTACTTGCACTTCATCTTGTTCAATTTCAGGTTGTTCGAGGTCGATGGCCAAGGGAATGTGACATTGTGGACAATCGGGAGATTCTAATGATTTAGTAATAGACCATCAAAAGGATAAAAGTAACCTACCAGAAGACCTCAAATAGTTCTTGGCACATTCTCGACAGAAATCGTGACGACAGGCAGATTTGATAGCTTCCTCAGCCGTTTCATCACAAATGCAACAAACAAGAATGTTTTGACCACCTTCACCATTCTTCTTCAAAATTAAATCAGGATGATCAGCGACTTGACGCATTTGCATGATAAGACCAAAGATATTAGCGTAATTGTTGAGCAAGACACCTTGAGCAACATATGTTTCGAACTTTCGAGCACCATTGTTCATGATACTACCAGCAAAATCATTTTCCTCTTCGCCGAAGAATTGTCTGTCGACATAAATCTCCTTCGCAGGAAGCTCCATGGAAGATGAATGATCGCGCTTGACACGACGGAGCATAAACCTATCAGTCAAAATACGAAGCTTTCGAAATGCCTCCTTTCCAGGACCGTTGTTACCGAATTTCTGGATAGGATTAAGTAACTCTTGGTTGAAGACGGAGACATGCTGCATGCCACTGTGATTGCAACCAGTACAGCGATTTTCACTGTTCATATCCCATTCGAGGGTCGAGCAAGGGCATTGTTTACAAAAATAACATGCAAAAGGTCGAATATCGAGGAATCGTACGAGCGAAAAGAATTCACCAATACGATTCTGCAGAGGTGTTCCAGACAAACACCATTTGTGACTTGCTTTGAGAGCAAAGCATGCTTTAGCAGAACCAGAACTGCGTTGCTGATAAACCATTAGAAAAATTCATTATTTGGGAACATAAGATCCTACCTTAATACTGTGTGCTTCATCAAGAATAACCCGATGAAACTCGATTTGATGAATTGGACTCTTCTCCTTGTAAATTCCATCCTTACGCTTGAAACCTTTCTCTTGCTTTCGGTACATGGATTCTAAACTGTTGTATGACATAAGAATGACGTTGTATTTTTTCAATTGTTGAACAGTGATGCCCTTTGCTTTAGCATTGCTACCGTGAAAGATAAAGGTTTTCAAGGTGCCATCTGTATAATCGGCAATCTCTTGCTGCCATTGCATGAGAGCGACGGGTGGAATCAGAACAAGTGATGGCTGCTTGGCAGGGAAATCAGACATGATCAATGAGACGGCTTGAATCGTCTTTCCCATGCCCATCTCATCTCCCAACAAACCTCCACCCCAAGCAGTCTTTTCCATTGCTCTCATCCATCCAACACCTTGAAGCTGGAAAGGCTTAAGTTCACGATTGATGTTTGTTGGTTGTTCAATTTTGCAGTCTCCAATCTTGGGTAGATCTTCCAATTCCTTCCACATCGTGTGGAGTTCAGGATGATGAGTTTCCAACCGCACACGCTCCTTACGGGCTCGTCTGCTAGATCTGTCTTCTAGATGATTGATACGTTGACGCGCTATATGCGCACTACGCACAGCGGGGGCTACCGATTGTGTAGCAGCAGCGATCGGACCTTCATCGTAAGAAGTATCAGTTCCAAGCATGGAGTCATCATCTGAAACAAACGAATCCTCTTCTGACATAGAAGGAGGAAGATCTGTGAGAGCAGAACTAGCGTTGGATTCCCTGGTATCTTCGGCCTTTAGACGAGGAAGGGGTAGCTCGATTTCTTGTTTGACCGAGGCCTTCTGTGCTGATCCTGCCCTGAGACGATTTCGGAAATTTTGAGAGTGTTTCTGGATAACCTTCGAAATTCGGCTTGGTTTCTTTTTGATTGAACTTCGTGGGGCAGAGGATGGAGGTACGGGAATATCCGAATCCGAATCAATGGCAATGAAGACATCATCGTCATCACCGTCATCATATCTAGTACTTTTTCCTCGGTTGGGAGTTCTAAAGTTGACAGCATTTGAGGTGCTTGAGAGTTCAACCTTCGGTTCAATCTTAGCTCTCTTCACGCGTGAGACCCTAGGCTTAACAGAATCATCATCTTCATCGTCCTCGCTAAAGTCGGGATCAAAAGTCAAGTTGACAGGTTGAACTTTGCGTGGAGTTCTAAGTAAACCAGGTGAAGATGTAGCTACCAATGAGGTTGATGCCGCAAATTCTTGTTCTTGAATAGCACGGGCAAGCTGGGCATCTGGTGTATCATCATCAAACATTTCTTCATCCTCAGACTCGACAAACTTTCTCTTCTTCGTGGGGTTGAGGGAGTACATGCTGTTCTGGAGTTCCCGAGCTCGAGCAATTGTGCTTACTGAAGAAGTGTTTTGCATTGGGTTCGCAGTTTGAGCTCGACCTCTTCTCGCAGAGGTAATTGTAGTTGAAGAGACGAGGGGATTCCTCGTAGACGCCGGAGTTGCGACCTCACTTGTCTCTGGAGTAGAGTAGTCACTTGCCTCATTATAGTCGTTACTTGTAGAAACGGAGGACAAAGATTCGAGAGATCCCACGGATTTACTTTTCCCTTTCTCAAGAGACTTCTTCGCATTTGTGTATTCACCAATCATGGAAGGAGATGGAAGATCTGATAGGGAGTCGTCATCGTCGCTATCGGCAATGACCATAGAAGGTCTTAAATTCGATTCCGGTGGTGGTGCAGGAGAGGAAAGTTCGTCGAGTTCAAGATTGGAACCTTGCATGACAGCTAATTAAAATAAGTCAATACAAGGTGCAGGCAGATCTTTTTGAATTGGAAAGAAATTACCAGATATTCGAGAACTTGTCCGACGTATCCGACTACTTTCGACACTACTAGTTTGTCCTGAACCTGCGGCCTTGCTTAGTCTTCCTCTTCCTTTTCTCGCTAGCGCCATGATGATTGGGTTTGACAAAGCGAATTGTTCCAAAAAGAAACAAGGCAATGGGATGATGAAGGAGGGGCTACTAGATAAGCAACACGATCAAATGAAAGAGACACCGACAAGTCAATTCGTGAGATTGAATGATTTGTATACCCAGATACAATTATGGAGGTACGGTGGAGACAGGAAATAGGATGAGGAAGCCGAACTCCAAAGAAAGGTTGGGTGGGAATGAGGTTCATAAATCAAGAGGGTCGCATGGAACTTATCGAATCCTAGGTGCTTATCGTGATATGGATAAAATCACACACCAGACGAGCGAAAGAAGGAGAGAAAGAGAGGAGTGAATTGAAGAGGGATAAAAAAGAGAATGAAGTTATTCACGATCTCTAAATTCTCACAAAAATAACAAAAAGATGAAAGATGAAAGATGGTCGTATTCGTACTATTTTTGAATCGACATGAAAGAAAAGCAAAAGAAAAAGAGAGTTTGAGAATTGGAAAATGATTCAAATTGCCACCTCCTGGGTAAAAATTCACGGCACGTCATTCGTCGGATAAGATGAAAGACGCGCTCCATAAAACACCAAAACACGAAAACCACGTGATTGACCCATCAACATTTAGGCACCAGTCGGGAGTTGATTGGTGGAGTTGGGAGATTGTTAGTCGATTAGATAATAATAAATCAATCGCGGTCTGTGCTGTAAAACCACTTTACGCGGGAGTTCAGATTCACTATGAAGGATAAAAAAGACAATTGAACCATACAACAACATCTTGAGACGAAGTCAAAGAATTCAATTCATTCAATTCATTCAATTCATTCAATTCATTCAATTCATTCAATTCATTCTTTGTACTTGACATACTATCCGAGTTTAAAAACACATTTATAAACCCGAAAAATCATCCTGAGAACGAGAACTCTATCAAAGGATAAAGTTTCCAATTCTTCTTTCTTGCTAAGATCTTACAATTGGTACAAAGCCATTTTCGTTCTACAAAATCATATACAAAGGCCATCATTTGTATATATCGACAGAAAAATGTATATCTTGAAATCACTACCTTCAATTTGCGTAACTGCTAACAATTACACCATAGGAATCCTCCTCCACCCCCTCCGCCGGGTGGCCCTCTTGCTTCAGCGCTGAGAAGATCAATTCGTGGACCGTAAGATGCACATTCAACTCTTGGATTTCCCAATATACTGACAAAGTCATAGTCAATCCGCCTTGACCGATTTTCTTGCCGTAAGACATCAAATCATATTCTGCAGCTTTGGCTACAATCACTGATTCTTTTACGTTAGTCTCATAATATCAATGCCAACCAAATTCGTCAAGATGCAAATGCCCGTCGAGCTGCTGCACTTGCCTCGCAACAAACCGCTGAAGCGAACGAAAACGAGGAAGAAGGTGAATCATCATCTGCTGCGCCAGAAATTGCTACACGCACCCGCTCCCGCCGAAATGAAAGTGAAGCACAAAAGAATAAGCGGAAGAAGGAAGAAGAGGTATAAAAACTATCATGAGCTGAAAGATAGGACTGACAACTTTCCAGAAAGCAATCGCCAAAATCAAAGCCTCTAAGAGGTTTCAGAGTCGAAAAAATAATGGATCAGATGAGGATATTAGCGATGAAGATGGAGCTGCCCTTCGATTGTTCAATGAAAGCATGGCGCCTTTACCTGATCAAATGGAGAATTGCGAAGATTGTGAAAAGAGATTCACAGTCACCGCATATAGTCGAGCTGGCCCAGATGGAGGTCTACTTTGCCCACAATGTACAAATGACTTGAATAAAGAAGAAGGACAGGTCAGGAAGAAACGAAAGACTCAAGCTGGTTCACAAAGAAGAAAACTTCAAAGTAATCTTCTTGATGGTATATACCCTGGCGCAAAAGACTTGATGACCTTGTGTATTGAGACTTTAGCCAAGAATGTCGATATGGCCGATGATTTGGGAGATTTACCGGAAACTATCATGGATAGATTGTCAGCTATTCTTTCGAAAAGGCGTCTATTGCGTTCCAATACCTTGGATTTGTTCCTTCAAAATGGTCGAGAAGTCATCACCATCTATGAAGGAGCATATCTAACTTCAGATGATTATATTCGCATATTCCAAGTCGTACCAAGCATCAAATCGTTACGCATTCGATCTGGAATACATTTCAAAGACAAAGTAATGGAACATCTTTTAGCAACTACTATCAAACTTGAGCATCTCAGTCTGTCTGGTAGCAATCTCATTAGCGATGAGTATTGGAATCGGTATTTCACGGAGAAAGGGTCGCATCTTAAATCCTTCAAACTATATTACACAGATGGTCAATTTGGTGATGATCAGATAGAATTGATCGCTGAATCGTGTCCACAATTGACTCGTCTCAAGATATCCCATAATCAAAAAGCCACCGGCGCTGGGATTGCGCATATTTCACGTATCTCCACTCTTCAACATCTCGGGCTCGAACTTCAAAAAAAGACAAGCTCAACACCTTACGTTAAAATCCTTGACAGTATCGGACCTCAACTTCAAACTCTTTCACTTGGCCAAGTCCACAAAATAGATGATTCGGTTCTTAACGCCATCCATGACAACTGTCAAAACATAAACAAATTACGCATCACTGACAACAGTGTCATGACAGATGCGGGATTCGCGCGCCTCTTTACCAATTGGTATAACCCACCCTTATCCTTCATCGACCTCTCCAAGAACCGCCATATCGATGCCTCTAATGCTCGTGACAACCCAGATAACATTGGTCTTTGCTCTCTTGGTTTCGAAGCCCTAATGGCTCATTCAGGCACCATTCTCCGCTATCTAGACATCAATTCTTGCAGACATATCTCATTACAAAGCTTTGAAAAGGTATTTTCGCTCGAGAAACAATATCCTGAATTACAAGAAATGAATATTAGCTTTTGTCAAGAAGCCAATGATTTTGTGGTTGGCAGTATCTTCAGAACATGTCCGAAATTGAAGAAGTTAATTATTTTTGGAAACTTTAAGGTTAGGGACGTGAGGGTTCCGAAGGGAAGGATTCTTATTGGCATGCCAAATGCGATGGGGATGCAGATTGAGGGGACTGAATTGGATGGGGAAGGTGACGGGAGGAGTGCTTGGTGAGAAGAATGGAGGGTAGTTCACCTGGGGTTGGTGATTGAAGAGATGAAACGCAATGGGTGGAATGGATAATTGATCAGCTTTCTAATGAATGGATTTAGGGTGTTGGGTCAATGGCTAAATTGGGATGGCAATTGTGGTGGATAGATGATATAGCTATTAGGATGCTGGATTCGCATCTTCAACGAGGTCTTCGGCATGTAATATATACTAGCTATTCATACTTACCTAGGTAGCTTAAGATAAAACAGAAAATTAATTTTCGTACTCCTATCTTGGCAGTCTCTTATATTGGGTCGCTATCTACCTCTCTACCTTGTATCGAATCAATTGATCTTGAATCTTCTAGCGAAAATAAGATTACTCTCTTTTAGAATATTTTATTCTGGTATTGATGTATATATATATATAATTTTCAACAATAAAGAAATCTTATAATTATAATCACATAAACACCTTTAAAATGAATACCTGATATATATATCAATAGTGAATAATAAAATAAAATCATACTAATACTTTTTAAAACTAATCAATAAAATATCTCTCTCGTATTTATACTAGCACTCAATTACTTAAGGCTGTACATGGGATAGAAGAAGTATAGAATAGAAGAACTAATATCAATATCATTATTATTAACGAAGCAGTAGTGTGATATAAGATTGTTTATAATCTCAAGACTGGCCTAGAGTGCCTTCGGAAGGATAATCATGAGATTTAAATCTTTCGTACTCTGCATTGACAAGTGAGTTAAGGTTTCTTTTTTGGATTGCTGGATCGAGTTGGATGTGGCTATATATTATATGGTGATATTTTGTATGATGGTAAAACCGATCAGGGATGCATTTGAAGATATATTGAGTTTGTGAAATGGGGAGTATTTTGGTGAGACTTCGGTATTGGTAGCAGCAGACGACAAGAATTGAATATGCTGTGCTTCTAGTTGAATATTGCTGGGGATTTCGAGAGAGTGCATGGAGAACGAAATTCATGCGGAGAAAGAACAGGATATATGACAATGTTGAATCCTTGGGTATCATTCTATTTCCTGTCCCGGACTCTATAGTGCATCACTATCCGCCCAGCGAACCCAGCATTTATACTCTTCTTCCTATAATCGTAGTAAAGTCGCAAGCCTTTAATAAGCCACTTTTCTCCCCCTCAACACCTCTTTCCTCTCATCCATCCCATCCTAATCCCAAAGCAAGCCAACAATTGCATCAATCCCCATATTCATTCATCCATCCAGCACCCACCAATCTAAACCAAATGACCCGGCAACAAAAAATTCCCAATCCCCTCCTTAACCCTATACTCATGACCACAATTCGCACAAACCAAACTCCCCTCATCGATTTCCGTTTCCATGAGAAGCGTATGTAATTCCTTCATCATTTTTTCATCTTCCTGGAGCGCTTCAGGCGTAGGTGGTGTGGGGGGCAGCTCGGGGAAAGAAAGCTGTATCATTATCATTATTAGTATTCTCTATTTACAATTGTCTCTTGAAGAGGAGTCTTGAGAGACGACGTCAAGAAAACGGAGTAAAAATATATACCTCAGAAGCAATAATACACAAAGCTCTCCAATCGATCCGCGGCAGGATATTTAACAGTAAAGCGGTATTTAAAGGGATATCGTTACTAACGAGTGAACATTCTTTGGGGTGGAGGGGAAAACTCGCGCTCGTTGATTTGCAGGCTTTGACGGCGCAGGTGAGGAAATTGAGGGTTAGGAGTTTCATTTTTTGACGGTTGCGCTGTGCGCGATGTGACGGTTGATGGTTCTCGTATGCGATGGGTGTTTGGTGGATTGGAGGGATAGATAAAAGCTTTGAGTTGTGGATGGTGCTGTGTTGAAGCTTGAAATTATTTTTTTGCGTTTGCGGGGTTGAGATAAGATTAGATTAGATTGGCGCTAGTTGGTTAGCGTGTATTTATTAATCTCACTTCACTTTATATCCGCGGAAATGAGCTCCAAAAGTAATCTGTGTATATTCCTTGAATGATAAAGTCTAATTGGCTAGAATGAACTTTTGAAGTTTTTTCAAACACTCTTTTATCAAATTAGAATTTTGAATTTAAATTTAAATTTTCAAATTTGAAAAAAATTTATATAATTCAAAATTAATATATATATATATAATTTTATTTTGAAACTTAAAATAATATTAAATAAAGTTTATATATTAATTTGAAAATAAACATTGAATAAAACTTAAGAAATCCTGAGATTTTGATTAGTTAATAAGATATATATTAAACGAATAAAACTCATTTTTGTATTGTAAAGAATAAAATTGATATTTGATATATTATTTTTTAAAATTAGATTTTATATAAAAAGTTATATTTATAATAATTTATTTTTTATTATTTATTATTCTTTTATTATAACATATAATACTTTTATTTAATAAAGTGAAAAGAGATTTTTAATATAATAAATTATATATAAATAAATTATATAATAAATTATTCATTATATAATTAATTTATAATTTTTTTAAATTTATATAATTTTATTATTAATATAAAAGTTAATATATTAATTTAGAAAAAGTAAAAGAAAAACATTTAATTAATAAATAGATCTATAAATTAATAACAAAATCTATAAATAATCTATAAGTTATCGATTTAATTTTTTCAAGAGCTCATCTTATCAGTGGGTAGCCCACGGGTTATCTATCAGAGCGAAAACCGGCCCCGTGGGTGTACCCGTTGCGCAGCCTGGAAATATTAAAATAGATAGGGATGAGTTGATAGTAATGTACATATAGAAGCAGCTAGAACCAACTCCCGGCTTTGATTCTGTTAGTCTTTGATGTATGCCAAGAAAACACAGCATATTGATTGAAGTACATGGCTTTTTGTACTCTAGAAATGTGGCTAAGACGAACATGTAGATGATTACACAACTAAGATTCTATGGTCCGTGTAGCTCATAAAGGGCTGGGAAGCTAAAGACTTGAAGATTGATTAAGATTGAGTGCTGGAGTTTATATTAGCCGGCGTCATAGTAAGAATGTTAAGCCTAAGAAAAGCTAAGGACCTATGGAATCATTGTATACAATAGTGCAGGCTAGTAGTCAGAATCTTGGGCTAGCCTTTTGAAAATAGGGCTGATAAGGTATTAGTATCGAGGCCGGTTTGGATGTCAAACGGCTGCAGGACCGAAGCAGGGCTTTGTGAACCAAGGGAGAATCAACATTGATAGCTAGGCTTATGCAATGCAGTAGGTACCGAAATTGGTAGCTCGTATAAGATTCTGGAAAAATTCTGGGTGATACGGGATTAACGAAAGGTATCACCTATGATGAGTGAAGGTTCCTAGGTATTCTGTCTGGAATGTGCGAAGTAGTTCATGAGACGTCGTAATCGTCCGGGATGAAGCTGTTTCCACTACATATCTCGTCGCATATGTTTAGTGATGAACTCGGACGTTGATCTGAATAGAACATGGTATCATGTGGCTGCGATATTGAGCCTTCCAAGTTGTTTGGTAAATCCTAACGCAAATGAGTTCCGACAGTTTACGAGCCAGACCTGTTTATTTTTAGAGTGATGCGTTACAGCGAACACTGCTTCGTGTTCCATTATGAAACTTCTACCACATGCTATGATGAATTAGAACCGGTCTTCTTGTTAACAAAGTACTTGTCATAAGCTCACCGCAATATCAAATCGAGGATATCAAATCATGCCTGATACTTGTGTGACTCTGGAAACCCGTATTCATGCATTTAGCCGTCGAGAAAAGGGACGAAGTCAATGACCCAGATCATTTATTCGCGTATAATAACGCTTTACGCTTACAGAAGATGGTAAATGGAGTGATTATTTGTATACAGTTCCCATGTTTCTTCCATCTTTTGGGATCAATTTTGGAAAGAAGGCTGATTCGAATTGTTTTCCAACTATTGTGACGTCGAACTACTATGGCGAACTCAAGTGGCCCAGATCATGACGGACTAGCTAATCTCCTCAAAGAATTATTGAAGGAACCTCTTCCCACTTAGATCAGCAGAATAGGAATATTGGAATCATGAAGATGCGATCTCAAATGTTGTTACGCAGAGAACTGAAGAAAAATGTTGCATCCCCGAAGAACGTTAATGACAATGAGGTACCTGTCAACTTAAGCTCATTGCGGCACACGGAGCTAATATGCAATCGCGGAAATTTTGAGCCGTATGATTTTTGGGGCGATGCCGATGAGATGTTCTTTTCAGAGGAGCTTCCAGAAGATTATTTTGAGTTTGCAAGGACCTCTCATCTCAAAGAATCCTGAGTTCTTTCACAACTTGTATGTGTATCGCTGACTAGTTCGTTCATTCATTCTAGATCAAAAATGATTTGTACTTGGATCAAGGTAAACGAACGCGCTCAGAAGAGCAGCCGCCACATGATGAAACAGAAAACCTAGAAGATTCTAGGCGCTGGAAGATTTGGAATTGGCTCAGAACTATGCCATATGATAATCGAATTGAACTTGATTTTGAGATATTCAAAGATTTCCTCTTGCTGCAGAACAAATTTGTTGTTAATTGCACTTCCTTGTTGGGAATTAGAGATTGGTTTCATCAAGATTGTTACATTGACTACAGTGCATCTTATTCAGAAAATCTTGTTCATCATTCAAAATCGTGGAAACCAGCGTTTTCAGTCAGTCATGATCGGGGGAAATCACGCACCTATAACGGTCGCCACCACGGTCCAATTGAGCAAGTTCTGAGTCCCATGACCGAAGTTTACCTGCGACAGAGGGATACACAGCTTCTAAGTCAAAAAAGAAGGGGAACTAATCGGCAATGGAGGAGAATAATGTGAGTTAGATCACGAAAGCAGGTTGTAGTTGTTCGGCTAATTGCTCTCAGGCTATTCAAGGACTTTTCGCGCATGTATAAGTCAACTGAAGCACTATAGTGTGGCCTATATGCTCATGATTTGCCTCCTTGCGTTTCAAAGATATCAACAAGAAAGTGGATGACAAGGCTGAATCTCTATATAATTATATGCAACTTGAACATTCAGAGCCTGTGCTGGAACATGCATGGCGTTCTCATGGCATCTGCGAGCGGTTTAGTAAATCTTTGTATAAAGATACCAGCGCCACTTATCAGATAGCCTTTTACGAAATCATCCCCCCATAACAAACTCCTTGTGGCATTTGGAAAACAGGAAGATTCCACAATGACGAGCTTCGGCGCAGGGATCGAGATTTATGGATTTCGGGGAACGAGAGTCTAGTTTTAAGACGTAGTTCAATTACAGTTAGTCTCTCATTGTGAACCACTCAGCTGCTTACAAGAATTTGACCTGCCATCAGATTTTAGGTGTCGTGTGCTTTTTTCAGGAGTGGTCCCCCGAGAACTGGACGATGTTATTGCTAACACCCACAACGTGCGACTTTGATATGGAAATATACAGAGATGGTAGCCGAGCTGTCGACCTTGAGTTTTTAGTTGCCTTTTCAAGGATTATAGACCTAGGCACAAGAAAAGTCATTCAACAATGGAATATTCTGGAAATCATTTTGAAATGCTACTTAGCGGAAGAGATGCTTTGCTACAGCCAGAGGTACATGATCTCTTGCTTGTAGACGATTCAAAGTATACCAAGTCAAAGCACTACTTTTGGGCCATCAACATACTGAGAGAAATTGATTCTGATATCGCGGCAGTCATTAGTCAGCTTCGTGGGTTTATGGATTTCTCGGAAACCTCGCTGTTGCACAGGTACTACCCATTGCCAAATGGCGAGATGAGTGAAGATCGAGAGAAGATAGTAGTGCGAACTCTAACAATCCTCCTTGAGGATCTCCTTAACCTTCAGGCCCGTTTCAAAGGGCAGCGGGAAATCGCCATTGCGCTAAGAGACGGTGTATGTCAATGCCCAACATTGTTCATACGTGCTAACTCTTGTCATCAGATGTTCAACGCCAGCGCAGTCATGGAAACGAGAGCATCAACTCGCCTAGGAGAAAACATAAATCTGCTTACTTTCGTGAGACTTTTTTATCTGCCATTGTCTTTCACCATGGTACGCACTACATCAAACCTGCAGCACTCAACCCACTAATAAACTACCAAATAGTCACTTTGGAGCATCAACAATAGTGCACTTGCACACGTCGACATCGTGACAGGCGTTACAATAATCCTCGCAGTAATCACATATATCATCGTCTTCAATCTCAACAACATCGTCTTCCTTATCAAAAAGACAATCAAAAATTCAAAGCTCGTAGTATTAAGCATATGAAGGCCAATGGCGATGAAAAATGGAAGCGAAGAGGCGATGATTTGACGGAAACCGTTTTTGCGAATGAACAGAACGGCATGCCATCCAGCTGGTACGTTGTCCAGTATGTATGTATACTGGTCTGGAAATGGTTTACTGCAATTGTGACTCGATCGTGGCAAGGTGTGAAGCAAATATACGAGCGACTGGTCAATAAGAAGGCGGAACAGACGCAACAGCGTGTTTGCATTGTGTGATAGATTTTGTTGCCGCTATGCTATGGTTTACGGCTTCCCTTTGGTCTTCTTTCTTTCGTTTGGTACCGACTGGTTGCGTGGAATATTTTGGGGGGGATATAATAGTCAGTTCTCGTGGACGACCGGCTAGTTCCTACTCGGGGAAAGCGAATGTCTCGTTGATTACAAATATAAATATAGTTTGATCAATTTTCGGGTTTATCTAACAAGTTTGTATCATTGATTTCATTTAAATAATAAACAGATCAATAAACTCAAATTTATTGTACTAATTTGGAAATTCATAGTTATATATTAAAAATATAATTTGAACTAATGGTTTTCAAAGCCGGCCAAAAGGGTAGACTTACCAAGTGTATTGATCTTCGTCAACAAAAAAAGTCTCCATCGACCAGTTTAGCTTATCTCAAGGCGTTCTATACCAATCTTTAACATCTTCCATATTCGAAATAGAAAGCGTACCAGAATGTCATGTCCTAGCATCATAACAATCTTGAATATTCAAAGTCCAAATCCAGACCTAAGATTCAAACGATCCTTCCTTCATATGCAAGCTTACCTAGATACTACAACCTGCCCAGAATTGAATTCTCATACCCTCCCTCTACTCCTCCTCAAACATCCCACCCGACCATCCAAAACTTCTCATTAATCTTCTTCCCATTCTTCTAGCGACATTAAAACTAATCTTAACACCCGGATGCGGTTCGTGGAATTGAATGCTCTTATCTGCTCCTGTATTTTCTTCTCCCTCCTTTGAAACAGGCGAGAATTGCCAAAAACTGCCATATAATTTCTGCGCCGCGAAACCCATTTTTACCATAGCTTTCAGGAATTCAATCCAAGGGACATCGCCTGGTGTATTGTTCTGGCAGGGTTGAAAAACCAATGTATTGAAGACTCGAACAAGGTGGTGAGGGATTTTGACTTTGCGCTGTGCTTCGAGCTGGGGGGTTACTTCGGTGTTTTCGGGTTCGGCTTCAGGTTCTGTAGGTGGCTGTGGACTTCCTTTAGTCTTGACCTTTCCTTTCTTTGATTTCGTTTTGACTTTGTCATTTTCTTCGTTGTGACTCCATTCTTTCATCGGTGGTTCCTGGGTTGTTTGAGATTGGGCCTTAATTTTGTTTTGTAACGGCTCGACGTATGCCGATTTCCTTTGAATCTGCCCTCTCTTCCTTGGCGGATGATCCCCAAAGCACGAATCAATATTCCTCCTCGTCAATTTTTTCCAATTAATGTCAAAAAGGCTCCAGAAGTGATCAAGATTTCTCTCAGCTAGAATCAATTGTTCTGTGTTTTGTTTCGTACGTTTCTTATTTACTGGGTAATTGAACTTCCCATCACCGGGCATAGACAGAGGTACAATAACTTTGAGAACATTGTCCATATGTCCGATGTATTTCGTGTTGAAAACAAAATCTTGCATGATGGTTCTAGTGACCTCGTTTTTGTGGTTGTGCTGCATCTTTCATCAGTACAGAATAATGGTAAGAACTGAGGAATAGACTTCAGGGTGTCCGATAGTCCAAACTAGCGAACTTCATGTGAACTTTCAATATAAACTCAAATGTTCCAAACATGATTTGAATGTCTGATTTGGTTTCGCAAAAAAAATAAAGCGTCATTGTTGGACTACAGTCCTGACTACTGGAACCCCTACGAGTAGTAGGAAATTTGCTTACAATGTATTCATCATCGAAAGTAGCGGCCCAAGGTTGATAATTATCCACTTCATAAAGAGCGCGAGATAGGATCGCGAGATCTGAGAATCGATCGGCAATATACGAAGATATATTTTTACTTTCCTCAGGATCTTGCATTAATTGTTCGAATGCATCTATGACATTACTCAATCTGAATAAATCTCGCTGTTCTCGATCCCACAGAATGAGTAGGAGACCCCATGGTTTGTGGAAAAATGGACTATCCTCATTTTTAGGCATGATATGCATATCGATTGTGCCTGGAGCTTGTGGAGCACGTGTAAAATGATGTCGGAATGGCGGGGATGATTGTATATTTTGAAGATAGTGGATGGGTGCTTCAGAACTTATCTTGAGGCTGCAGTGTGATTAGCATAGACGTCCTGTATAGTTTGCAACGGCTTATCTCTTACTGTTCTTTGAATTTCAAAAGAGCAATGATGTACTCTTTGGGAAGTTGCTTGTCATAGGAAATCTCGTTTTTATATTTCTCCTTCAATGTGCACAAGAGAGCACTTTGTCGATATAGAAGAAACCAAGTTTCATAGTTGGTATATCCATCGCCGATGACATTTCTCACAACACGCTCCCAAAAATCATGAGTGTGTGGTCCAGTTGGATGTGGTTTGCCGTACGTATCTAATAATGCATCATTCCGGTGCTCGCTCCAGTCAATAACTGTATCTGCAAAAACCCAGGGTCCTCTCTAAAATCGAACAGATAATCTTCTGCTGCAGAAAGCCTCGCTGCAAAAATATCTCGGCGGCGTTCAAAATTAATATTGGCAGGTAAGCGATATGGTGCTTCGGCTGAGATGGTAGCTAGAGATGGCAGAATCTCGGTTACTGCAGGTGGAGCTAGATCAGGAGTGGCAAGAGGCTCGGGCGTAATACCAGTTGAGATATTCCCGTCAAGCAATGCACCTGACGTGACAAAGTCGTGAAGAATAAGCTCACAACACTTGATAAGGAATGGATATATCTTCTCTTGGAGCTCAAATGCCTTCAGACCGTCACCAGGGCTGAACTGTCTCTCCGTAAACATCAGATCAGCAGCAGCATCATCTTCCTCCCATGAAACCAATCTTCCATGTGTTTCTATCTTATCGCCATCCAAGAAGAGTGTATGAAATGGAAGAAAAGCTGGCTCGGGAATGAAGTGCGTAACAGTGCCAAGATGCGTCGCATTAACATCCGCACGAGCGAATGCACTTGGAGGGTGCTGCGCCCGGCTTTTGATGAAAATAATGAGAGATCTGCTACTGAGGTCTTGCTGATTAATGTAAGACCACTTGTAAGCTTCCTGGAATTTCGACAGTCCTGTGAGCATTCTTTCCGTACACTCTTCCCGATATGCCTCAAGGTCAGGGCGATGATTAGCAGACATGTTTGGCCAAGCCTTCAAGAGCAGTTCCCTTTGTTTCTTCCTTGACTTTTTGATCCAACGCTTTTCCAGTGTATTAGCGTGCAACTCCACAATTTTTCGTGGTGTGCTCCAGTCTGACAATATTTTCTATGACGACGATCGAGCCTTCTCACGCACTTCCTCCGGCTCGGGTTTCGAGGTGGGAGTAAAAGGGGATCCAGGATAGACATTTGCTGGGTTATAAGCACCCTTCAAGCCCATGCTGTTCATTTGCTTGGTCATTTCTTCAATTTCAGCTAGACTTTCAGGCATTCGACCATTTGCCATTTCGACGACCCAATCCTCAGAGCTTTGCGGAGCCATGGTTATGATATGTCCGTTGGTAGACAGCCAGACTTGGTGATATGTGTATGTATAATACAAAACAACTTGGAGTTCAACTTGTGGTGAATGCGGTACGTACGTTGTTTACTGTAACCGACATCCCTACATCTTGCACAACCCCACATCTTGCATGCATTTTATAACCTCAAAAATTATCAACTATATAAATTAAATTATTGCTAATATAGTTATACAAAAGATTATAAAGTTTGCGCTAACTTATATTGAAGAAAAAAAATTATCTTTAATATACTTATATAACAAAATTATTTGAAATTAATTGTTTTATACAATATAATCTATATTGATTTATATCAATATCTTTTATTAAAACAAAAGGAAAATTTAATCGATCAAATCAATAAATTAATATAAAGATTTATATTTTTTATAAATTATATAATAAAGAATCTTTATAGAAAAAATAATAAATTACTTTGTAAAAAAGAATTAAATATTGAATTTTGTTAAAAGATATAAAAAACATCTTCAAAATCGATATCTTCATTGTATTAATAATTTTTATATGAATACTGATAATGTTGATATATTTGAATACTTTTATAATTTAGTTCGTAATATTTTATATTATTATTGTTATATATTATTTAAAAGATTTTTGTTAATTTTTCTTTTATATTTATTTAATTGATAAATATAATTACAAAATATAATATATCCCTGAAATATATATACAATTAAAACGAAAAGGTTTTTATAATTAATCTTAAGAAAACTATGAAAAAGATTATAAATATTAATATATACAAAAAGAATAAAACTACAAAAGTTAAATTAAATAGATCAAAAGAGTTTATTATTCTTTTAATATATATATATACAAATAATATAATTATATTATCTACTTTACTTTATAAAAAGGAACAGAAAATTTACAAAATATATAAATTGATAAAGTAGAAGTAAAAAATGAAGTTTATTTCGAAGTTTTAATCAATAGATGATTATTAAATATATTTAACTTTATTTAATTGATAAAGGTTTTTCAATATTATATATTGTGAGAAAGTTGGAATTATAGACCAAATACATAAAGGTTTTAGCTAGTCAATCACATGACCTTCTGTAGTTAGATATAAAAGAAGAGTCTTTTGTCTCTTCTTTTCACAAGAATCAATCTTCTATATATATACATTTGAACCCATATAGCATCAACCCCAAAACCATTGTGAACCCTGTTTTACTCATAAGTGACGTATTACAATGTAATCTAATTCAGCTTTCTCTTCCAATTCCCTCTTCACAGCGTGCTATCGGGACGCACGTATCTCGACCTACCACTTTTACAATATATTTAAAAGTAAACAAAAAATATTATTTATTCATTATAAATAATCATTCTAATTATATAAATATAGAATTTATATCAAAATATAAAGAATTAAAGATTATAATATTAACCTTATTTTTTTATTTTATATATCATTTAGAATCTTTTGACATTAACTATTTCGTTTTTTTTTCAATAAATTATAATATAAAATTGAATATATTAATATATAATAAAGAAGATATTATTAAAATATCAAAATGGAATTTCTAATTACTTTTTAAAAGATTTTAAACTCAATTTTATATTATAATATTTTAAAAACTTTTGAAAAATCAAGCATTTATTCTATAAATAAAAATATAACAATCTCAAACATCATTTCTAAAAATACTTTTATATTACTTATATCGATACAATTAATAAAGGATAAATTTAAAACTTTATTATCGGCTTGTTAACTTTATAACCTTGCTGTACGCGAGGTTTACCCGGTGTAGTTCGCTTAAGGTTGCGATATGATTGGTCGAGAAATGAGTCGCGATCCTGATAATATGATTGGTCTAAAATACCCCGGTAAGAAATCTAACAAAAAGCTTGATATAAGTGTCACGATTCACGGTTTTCTTTATAGTAGTATTATTGATATCGATGATTTAGTTGCCGATTACTAGAGGAGTGTGATTTAATTATTGTTTTCAAGAAGCCTAATCGTCTACGAATAGGAATCCAGGATTCCTAAGATAAGTATCCTAAACAACTATATTAGAATAGGACAAGTGTTCTAGTTAATCGATTGTAATAAAACAATCATTTTAGAGGATATCGTATTCTAAAGCAATGATTCCTAAAGGAAAGCTTCTAGGACAAGTGTTCTAGAAAAGGAAAGGCCTCAAGATCAATCACGTAATAAAGAGCTTTGGGAGTTTTGAAAACTTCTAAAACTTCAAAAGCTTTTTGAAGCTTTTGAGCTTTACAAAGCTCCTTTCTATTCATTAGTATATAATCAAAGTAATTTTATAGTTTAAAAGCTTCGTATTCAACTTAGTTATCAATTAGTTTATTTATATTCTTTTTGATCTAGTAATGAATTCATTTTCAAGTGAATAAACAGTGATTAATAGTCTTAACCTACAACTATCAATTATACGAACCTCAAGCAACCGCTGTCTCGATCAGATCGTTACAAACTTATTAAGAAATTAAAATATTTGTTATTCAAAAAGAAAAGATAATTAATATACAAAAGAAAGTTGATAAAAAAGTTAAAAAGTAAAAAAAGAGTTTAAAATAAAATAGAAGGGAATTCAAAAGAAAATAAATTATCAAATTATATAAAGTTTTAAAAAAGTATAAAGGATTCAAAATTATTAATATCTTTTATTAAAAGAATTCAAAAAATTTTAAAATATTCTTTTATTATAAATTTAATATTTAAAGAGATTATAAAGCTTTTAAATATAGAAATAATTGATAATTCAAAAAAAAAAAAAAGTAAATATATATATAAAAAACTAATAATAAATTAAGATTTTATTAAAATTTCAAATATAAAGTTTTTATGATTTTATATAATAATATTACATTTTCTCATTTATAAATTAAAGTTCTAGTTTCATATCTTATAAAATCGAATTATTATTAAATTTTGAAATGATTATAGTTATGAATAGAGAGTATACAAGATGTAGGGTTGTGCAAGATGTAGGGATGTCGGTTACCCCGCCCCAGCCCATATGAAGTGGTGGAAATTCGGCGGTCATCACGTGATGGGATCTCAACCTCAAATCGTTGACAACTCTGAAGTGTTCTCATAAAAGTGCAGGAAATGAAAATGACTTGAATAATTTTATTTATATATTGTAAGTAGCCGACTATATTGGATGGTTGAAGATTTCTATACATTAATCTTTAGACACGCCTTGGACATAAAGCCGTGAACGTTGTCTTTAACGACTACTCCTCATTCTCTAGGCTAGTAAGACCTCATGAAAATGCATATTTTCGTTCAACTCTAACTTAAATGATCAGTCATATCTCTGCTACAGTGGTCAGGTAAAACGGAGCGATTTCATCTCGTGTCATGGCCAGCCACCATCATTTACTGCCTTTCTTCGATAATCTCACGATTCATTCCAAAATTTGAGCTGGCTAAGGTTTGAATTGCTAAACACCACGCTGCTAAAAGTAAAAGAGAGCGAACATTGGCTACATTTGAGAAGAACTATGCATTATATCGATGAATATCAGCTTTTATTGCTTGCTATCATGGTGTGTCCTTGTCGATTTCCCAAATTACGTGCGCTAATCTTGACCATCCAATCTAATATAGATCTTGCCTAAGGTTCTGCAAATCTCCAGAAGCTCCAGTTAGAAGCCTCATGTATATTGATATCTCTTCCATTTCTTTCTTTCCGCCAGAAATCTATTACTAGCATGTCTCGTCACGCCAGGACTACCTCCGTAAGTCTCCCACGTGATTCTCCCTGTATCAGTCCATCTGACCAAGAACCTGCTATTCAATTTAGTCTCTTTATTGAGTGGCTCCTCAAAAAGGATTTCGAATGGATCCCCCTTCTTTGGTTCCTGACGGGACTCAGCCCTGATCTGGCGCTTCCGAAACTCCTTCACAGCCCTGGCATCAACATCACCAATACTGATCCAGCTGGGATCTGTGCTGGGACCCCAGTGGATAAGACACTGTGCACCGTCTTCTCGTGGTTCGATGACGTGGATGGCTGAGAACTGAAATGTCTTCTTGTCGGGAAAATTAGCCATGTACTGCGGTGTGCCGTCCGAGTCCAACTCTTTGCACAAGAATCCTTCTTCATTTCTGGCGCTTGACTTCGAAGAGGACTTGCTCCTTTTGGCAGTTGTTGCGACCTCAAGATCCCGACTCGGACCCGCTGACGCCTTTCGTCGTTTTTGGCCTTGGTAGTTTGCGAATGACTCATGCTCTTTTTCTATGCACAAAGTTAGTATCGTTGGCCTCCAAATATGGACACAAATTGCACAACTAACCGGTTTCCATCATAATAGCCTCTTTTCCCGAAATATTAATGATCGCCTCTTTCGGAACGCTTGGCCAAATCAACCACTCAGACCCTAACTTCTTCTGCCTTTCATATTTCCCCTCTTCATCCTCATCCGCATCACCTTCCCACAAATCTAAATCCTGCAGCCAATTTGATGCCTTGAAGACGACACATCTTCTCATCTCATCACACCTTCCGTTTAGCCTGTACATAACTAGCTCTTCCTCGCTGGTAATAACCTGGTTCCTCGCAGCTTCAATGTCATCTGTCGCAGTGACATAGATGCTTGGAAGGTTTCTTGGAATCTCATTTTCGACGCCATAATGGGAAGGAAGATAGCTGCTTGCAGTTTCAAATCCGAGAGTACGTACATCATAAGGGCGGAAGCCAATATCGCACGGGGAGTAAGACTCGTCGGACTTTTGAGAGACAACGCCACGATTTTGGTCATTTGAGGGATTATGGACGATGTAGAGGAACTCCGGAACCTTGTTTGGATGTTGACGGAGGTTGTTCATGGCTCTCGATTGCTTAAATACTTGAATATCGTGGTTGATTGATTGCTCGTATGTCTTGAGGAAAATGTGTGCATAGAAGCTGGAGGGGAAAAGCCTCAACTTATGTAGATGTGGAGCTGTAAGGACCAAAACGGAAGAATATTCTCGTAGCTACGGCATTATCTCGTTGCTTCTAACTTCCAAACATACAGAAAGGATATAGAACCCTGGCTTTTTACACAGACTGAGGAGACAAAGAATGAGCCTCGAACATTCGAGAGAGAAAAATGGTCATCGATAGTGAATCGAACAGAAGAGTAATCAATCAATATAGTGAACATTCGAAATCAAACGATTATGGACCATCAAGCAAAAATTCAATAATAGAGAAAGAAGATCATGATCAGGCGAAACATGAAGAACCTATATTCATTTTAGTTGACTCGTGGCTTCTCCCATGGAGCGATTTCGAATAGAAGTTGGGTCGCGTTTCAAATCAATCGCTTAGTATGAAACTTTTCACAAATTTAATCGAAACGGATCGAGGTAAACATTTAGATGATAAATAAAATAGAATAAGATAAAACGATAAGAAGATGCTAGTCGGTTCGTTATAAATATCAGGGCTAGTATTTAAGCTTTATCTCGCTCAATTACCCGAACGACCCACACTAACTACACCGCTTAAAACCCCTCCTCTTTCACTTGTCTTAACTCCTTTGATTCTATATGCAACTTCCGAAGTCGTAGGCACCAATGAAACTCCTATATATCCAATCTTTCCGGAGATTTTCCGAAAATAAAGTCGGGAACAATCTCAAGTATAGATTGACGACGCAGCGAACACGTGCAAACTGAATAAGAAGCAGCTGATAAAGTCCATGGCTAAACTGTCTTTGCTTTCGGGCGTGCGTCGAGTAGCCAAACCACCGGGACAGGAATGTACGAAAATTTCGATATTAGCGATTGATGCTTGGAATTGTCATCCAAGTCTGCACGGCGGTACTATCGAGAGAACAATGAGTTTCTCTAGGATCCATCAAAATGAGCCTGGGAGTGCGTCGGAAAATAGCTATTGCTTCAAAAAGCCTTTATGAACTCGTAGGTCGCGTAACTAGCGACCTTCATTGAGATGCTAGTTAGTCTTGGTGTGATAAATAATCATTTGGAATGGGAGAGAAATTGTTAGTTCTGGGATACTGAGAGCGAGGATGTTGAAGGTTTCGATTGCGTACGGGACTTTGAGCCCAATGACTAATTTGTCAATTTGTATCCAGAAAGAATGGTGGCAGTTGCCTTCGGAATATATGGCAACTGTGGGAAATGTCCGTAAATGCATCATTTCTGGTGGTCTGCGGTGCTATTACGTACCTAGATGTAAATTCTGCTAGAGATAGTTCAAGAGTAATGATACGATGACAAGGTATCATCTAAACCCTAGACTGGCTTGGAGTCTGTTTATAGCCATAAAAATGACCGGGTTATCACAAACAATATTTGGATAGAAGATAAAATAATAGCCATGTCTGAGGATTTTCGTTTCATTCCGTCAGGTATAAGCTGTTCGGTGGGGTTTAATGATTCCATGACTCTGCATTCGTTCTTTCCTTCTTGTTTTAAGGAAGGGTTAAGATAAAACTATGCAGGGAGCTCACTAGGCAAAGTGCGGAGCATATAGTCGTGGCTGAGAAGGATATAATATTACCAGAGGAAGAAACCTATGCTAATCTTCACGCCCTATTCTAGAATCTTATTCTGTCCCAGCGTGCTAGCATCAATCTACCACAAGCCCTGAATCAAGAGATTGAGCTTCAACTCAGCAGATGATAACCAAAAGACCCATCCACACACCAAATCACCAACGCTATATATCAGCTCAAAACTCCCACCGAAATCCAGTCCAGATTCAATCTAAATAATTCATTCATTCACGCAGGCAGATACACAAAAGAGCATTCTATAATCTATCTCCAAGTTCCACTCAAGAGGATAATAACCTCATTTCATCCATATCTACCTCTACAAAGTTCAAACCGAGGACGCAAGAATTTAAATCACTCTTTACCTATACAATCTACCTTATCATTCCCCAATTCCAATCCACACGACCAAAAAGAATAATAATAATAAAACGTCAAGTCCCTACGTTGAAAGATCTAGCCATTCATCTTCCAAGCTAAGTTAAAATATGCATACCCTCCCTCCTCTTCCAAGTCACCCAAATAAACTGTAAAAATTCCAACTTTCTCACAGTATAATAACACACACAATAAAAATCTCCACCTCCAACACACCAAGCTCGTAGAATCAAAGTAAGATTATATCCCGACCTCACCCCATGCGCTCCAATAAAGCTCCGAAGAACGAGGCACTTCGACTTCTGGTGCTTCGGCGATCCCTGGTATGACACACTATCCCGGATTGATGGCAAGCAGGTAGATAATATTTACAGGAAAAGTCACTCATTAGCCCCACGTTGAAGTCAGCTAGTAGATAGTAGCTAGTACTACCTCAATTCCGACACAAAATAGATATCAACTGAAAAATAACACTGAAATAAAGATGCTATACACACACACACATATTTATATACATACATATAAAAATTCCGAAATAAAACTATAATCCTATAAACAAATTCTTCTATTCTAATGTAAGTCTTGACGAAATGAAATATATACGTAAAAACATTCCCAAGTAAGAACACAAAACTCTAGACACAAGACATTAGAAAGAATTCTCGAATTTCCTATTTTCATTCTTTTATCCGTTTTCCATCTTAGTAGGCGATAAATCAACTTAAATAGAATTTAGTCTTTCGGTAATTATCCGCTATATAATCTTAAGATTATATATTATCATTTAATTTCGCTACAAATTTAACTTGGTGTTTATTGTGAAGATATACAAATCATATACAACGGTATTGAATACCCTATCATGGGTATAGAAGTTCATTCCTTGTGAAAAGAATATTCTTTAAAGCCTCTTCACCACAAATCGATCAAAAGATGATATCACTGTCTCCGCTATTGTTATGATGAAGAGGAGCTGAAATATATAAAATTAGTATCATGATGCATTTTGTGCGGTTGTATGATGTACCAAGACATAAAATTATCTCTTGGAAATGCTCTATGCTGAATCTTATCGAAAAAATTCGAGAGATGTGATGTACATTATAGTGGTGTTGCGGCTGACTGTGCTACAAATTGAGAAGCCGAAGTTGTTTCTGTTGTCCGGTGAATGCAATGGTGATTGTGCCCTGCGAAATTCCTTGGCGACCACATAGGTAGGCTCTCTTTTGCCGATATTCTGTAAAATTTCTAAAGAGGAAGTAGTCACAGTGAGCGAGATCGATTTGTGGGACAGCGAACAATCGCGTCGGCTCGGAAGGCTGGTATTAATCTCTAATATATTCCGTATTTTTTGATTATTTCGAATTCGTTCTTGCTCATGTTGCCCCAGCTGGCCGAGCGATTCCAGTCAAATTGACGACTCCTCCACTAGTAAACCCAGCGCTGTCGCCCGTGACCCAACCAGGTACTTCATTACCATGTCCCTCTTTCTCAGCTCTATCCTTAATAACTTCCCAGATAGTCGGGAAACCTGCATTCAATGGTCCACCCCTTTGTTTTGCGCCCAAAATCGCAAATTTTCCTTGTATATGACTTATAAACCCCCTCAATAATCCTTGTTGAACTAAACTTGCAACAATCGCTTCAATATCCAACATATCTGGCATTTTGCTACCCCAAATTACCCCAACATTTGCAGAAATTTTCACTGTGCCTGGAGGTGGCTTCATTAGGTCCGGTGCCGTCATGAACATTGTATTTGTATGTGTGCGACCAGACTGCATAAAAGCAGTAGTATCTACAGGTCGCTCCCAACCTTCAAGGACCTTCTGGCAATACTGCGCAGCTGTGACCAAATCAACAAGATTTAGAGTCGGTGCTTTTTTGGAGTTAGGGTCGAATGGCCATTGGTATGTCAAACACAAGACTCGTCGAGCAAGTGAACGCCACACATATGGTTCGCAGCGATACAATAGTGGCAAAAGAATTCCCTTGTCGAAGAACCATTTTTCATTTCCACCTTCTGGTCCCAGAGAGCGCTTAAAAGCAATCATATCACCTAATTTTATGGCTTTGACAATAGGTGTGAACTTTTCGAGAATCCCAGCAGCTTCGGGGCGCGACATGAAAGGGCGAGAAGGAAATCGACCGAGTATCATATTCGATGATATTAGGTAGATCAAGATTAGACGTCGTTGATTAATGCACTGGGCATGGCACTGGTTGTAAGCAGCTTGAAGGCTGCACTGCGCGAGATAGAAGTGGGTATTCGAAAAGAAGTAACGCCCAAGGTAATAGAGATATGTCACCCTTTGGCTTGCCGGATAAAGCTCCAATGGTGGGGAGTGCTGGGTAATATTTGTGATGAGTTGATTCGCCAATCGTGTTTTCCGGCACTACGGGACCATTCAGTATTAATCCATGGATCGATTGAAGGCCACCATACTTGGAAGAAGAGTTTCAAAGCCAAATTCGCGAATGAGTATATTCCAACTTTCTTTCCCTCTGGCTTTCCATCCGCCCCTACTCCATTTCTGTTTGTGGTTCTTTCCGTCAAGCAAACAGTAAACGCGCGTTGGATTGTTTCTGCAGTGCCTTCTACCAAAGTCTTCCTATTTTCACCTGCATCGACATCGGCGACTCTTCGCACTCGTCTAGTCAAATCCGGTCGTTTGTCGAGGGTCATGGCAAGTTTAGCGAGGGCGGTAGAAAGTTGGATAGCCGTCGGTAGTATCACTATCCCATACGTTGGATTGGACAAAGCTGCTAGACAAGTACTGCATCGCATACGGTTAGTAGATTGACTGAAAGTCAATAGACCCAATTTACCTTGCTAAAGCTGTGAGCTGTGAATGTGTTTCCAACAAATCCTCAAAATTGACATCTCTCCAGAATTCCAAATAGTCCTTCATGAAAGCCAAAAATCCTGGCCAAACGTTGCCATCTTCGTAACTTGCGTCGGGGTCGTCTGGTAGGAGTTTGGCAATTTGTCGTTCGAGTGCAGTACTATTTTGGAATGATGCTCTCAATTCCTGACCAAGTTGGAAATAATGATCGGGGAGGGGAGGTTCAACTCGAAGCCATAGCTGTAGATTTGTTGAGTCTTTTGTCCTCAGGAACTTCAGGATAGACTCTAGAAATTCTTCGAGAATCGCCATGACTTGAGAGCTTGATGTCGCCAGTCGACGCAATCAGCGATGATTTAGGATGGCGTTGCACAACCGTAAACAACTATCGTATCTATATTCCCATAAATCCCGTATTCATGACGAATTGATGAAGAAACCTATATAAGGCTTAATTAACACAATTGAAGCAATGAGTGGACTGATGCTATATGTTTATTGCTGCAACCTTAGCTCAAGGCTGAAATGAGCTCTAGCCAATAGTTGATCTTTGTTTGAGCACCGCGGGAGCTAGCGGCAGCAAAAAAGTTCCTCAGCCTCGTTTTGAGTGGCTGAGTGGCTGTGCTTTACAACTTGAACTACCAACTACTAGGTACAACTATATATAGCTATCACACAACCTGATCTCCATTTAGAAATTTCATGATGTCTCTTGTTCATATATCTTTTTCAAATCATGAGTCGAAATACTTGATGTAAGACGGCCACACTTCCTTCTGAAGTAGATACGCTGTCAAGATATCAATGGAGCATATGCATCTACATGACATGGCATTGAAACTTCAAGGCTTCAAAATGACACCCAGCTCGATGTCTAACAGGAGTAGTCACCTATAGCATCAACCTTCATAGCAACAGAAGATGAACGGGATATGACATTCTTCAGAGGACAGTTTCGTGATATGTTTTACCTTTTGGTATCCAAAAATATCACTCATCTTTCCTTGGCTATGGCCAGGCAGCACTAAAAGGGCTTACTGTTGCGAAATAGATATTTCAAGCTGTTTACCGTCATTTAAGTAATATCTGCTTGACAACAGCAATTTAAGAGACTACCATTCTTACGCCATTTGTCCTTCAAGCTTCATTATCATCATGAGGCGCGCTTATCCCGCTGGCCGTTCGAGATATATGATAAGTCAACAGGTTCACGATCATAAATTGGTTAGTGCGGAAGTTTTACCGTTGGGTGGTTTATCAATTCAGAAACCATGAGAGCAAATATCATCATCGTTTTACCTGTAGCCCAGACCCACCGATCTATATTTCAAGGATAAATCAACATTCTTCCCAATCCACTTTACTCTTTCCATGGGATTACTTTCAACCTACCTTGCAATCAGAATCTGCGCTCATGAAACTTCCACTCGAGATACGCATAATGATTTAGAAGCTCTGTCTTGGAGGGGGAACACTCGATATGGTGCCTCGCAGGAATTCTCATCGTAGCTATAGCCATTTTACTTACACCATTTGCGATCAACACATGAATATGAGCGGAAATTTATGCAGGTCTGAGTGTCGAAACTTTCCACGCCAGGTGTATTTTCCTGAAGATATGGCCTGCAGTGGAGTAAATCACAAGCCTGAACATTTCGGGCTGTATGGGCATGGATTACTGCATCCTCCAATAACCTGTCGTCAAATGTACCAGCCCATCGCGCATCATGATACCCCTTGCTGATTCTGGTAGTTATACCGAGTCAATCGAAATATTATACACCCATAACCTGTTTCAAGTGCAGCAAAGAGATCTGAGAGATTTGTCTTCGGTATTTTGAAAACGGTATGACAATATCACCGCATTGCGCATAATATGGCAATGTTGTGCTTTTCACTTACCTCTGGCTGCACCACCAAACAGGGCACACAATCACCTCTAATACATGCACTGGGTCGATGCATGGGAGTTAATATCGGCCATGGAGAACCTCAAATATTTGTATGTTGAACTACACTACTCACACCTAGACGAGCCACGGATAAGTGACGCCGAGCAGGTGAAGTTCTTTGAACCAATCATGAATATCACCGCACCTGAGCAATTTTTTCTTAGCTTTCCTGTCTTCTAGCAGCGAATTGCCGTCACTATGCGGCAGAAACTCCCGTACCAAGTTCTCTCCGGTGGTCTATGAGGTGGTAAAGGATGGTGCTTCTGGCGACCCATTTGAGCGCGTAGTATCGGATTTCCGAGCTTGATTCGGGTATTTTGACGTCTCGATGTTTAATAAATTTAGATGTTGGGTATCTGACGTACGAAATCAAAGTATGAAAAGGTCTCAGCGTTCAAACACAAGAACCAGACCAGCTGCGAATATCGAGAAGTTTATTCCTGAGGCTGGAGTCAATAAGTTAATGGCTAAAATCTCAGTATTTATTAGGATTGATAGTTTATGGCTGTTATACCAACTTTACAATGACTCATGATCTATGCTTCCAATTTTCACTTTTTACTCTTCACTTTGGAGGCGCCCCTCTAAAATATACCATACATACATACATACATACTACAGATAGCATGACTTGGCTATATCGGTTATTTCGGGAGGCTTCCCCCTTTCTCATCAGATATGTTACCTGCCATAAATTTTACCTCCATTACCTATCTTTAAATTCCATATCCAGCATATAACTGCCCGACTTTGATCTTTACAAAGTACAATAGACATAAGATACCCTCATTACTTCCTTCTCTAGCACCTAGTTTCGATCAACCATGAAAATTCTTTCAAGCGGCATTATTTGAGTCAATCAGAAGCATGAATCTGAATAGGTGGAAGTAGCAATACCTGAACCTTTGAATGAACTTCGAATCGATTGAGAAATTTTATGTCCTAAATAGATCTGATCAATCAAGCATGTTACAGCGCCATTCGAAATAAGCAAGCACTGTATTGGCAAATCTGGGCAAGGAATTAGCCCGTATGCCTCGCTTAGCTTAGCGTCGCAAAAATCTAGAATTCTAAAATCTGCATGGACAATGGGGTGAATGCCTCTTCAAACCTGTTGGAGTGGTTTGATCTAAGTGGCAATGTTTTTATTTTTTGGGTTTCAAACATAACACAGGTTCAGACATCTCTACGTGCGTGGGAGACCGATGGGAGTTGGTACAATTGCTAATGAGTGTTGAAAGTTATGATAGTGAAAGGTAAGATGATGTATTGATCGACGCTCGAATTTCTAGGCTGTGGAGTAAGCCCTGAGCTCGTGTCACTTCGTTGTTTTTCGGCAGCCAGTACCTGCCATTTAACATAAAACCTGCTTTAAGCAATCATCTTCTTCAACGATTGGTAACTAGGTAGGTACTGAACTATTTTTTGGGTTATTGGTACGATCTTACATGTCAGCCACCGCCACATTTAGCCATGGCGCGTTGAAACTTGTCAACCGCATTGCTGGGCACATTCGGATCACTAACAGACACCCAACATAAAGGAGCAAGTTGTCTCACAAGAACAGTTTGGTTTTTGAAAAGAAAATCACATATCAAACGTTACCCTTCAAAACTTGCCACTTTTTCGTCGCAAGTCCACGATTCGTCCCTTTGGATTTCCTTTTTTTTCGACAATGTCACTAGGGGCGATAAGATCTGCCGTGAAAAATGTCTTTCTATGCATTGCTTCATACTTCATCGGTTGCCTTTACGCCTTATTGGTTTTCATTTTTTACCTAATGGGTAAACCACGACCACGATTTGGGAAAGCCTATCTCGAGAAATCTCCTCCCTACACATTAAGGTTGAACGATAGCGCCCTTACCCTGCCTCTAGGATCTGCTTCAGACCCTGAACATCGCAAACACACAACTCATTCACAAGATCAATGTTTACTTTTGACGAAGCTGCCTGTAGAACCGCGAAAATCAATTTGGGAACTATGTCTTGGTGGAAGAAGATTGCGTTTCTCGCCTCTCGGAGGCCCCGGTGAATTGACTCAGCTATTATGCCACGAAGAGCCAAACCAACAAGGCTCCTCTTCGCATTCGCTGCCATCGGAGCTTCCCGCCAATGATAACCAAAATATGACAGGCGCTCATCCGGGGCAAAACCCTAAAGTTTTCCCCTTAGTCTTGACTTGCCGCAAGATGTTAGTCCTACCCGAATGAAGAAGTATTGTGAGCCCTGCTAAATTTATATCAGATACTCAGAGGCAATCAACTGCCTCTATTCAAGCAACGATTTTCATATAAGTGCTTGTTACCTTGGGGGCCTGCCAAGTCTTCTTCTCCCTCAACGCTTCAATGCCATCCGTTCCATGACTATCGATTGGGGATTTCCATATGGCTCGCCCATTCCTCCGGGCTTGGAAGGCTTCTCCCATCAAACCTGGGGATTTTGGGTAAATTCATGGAAGATATTAGCTGGCATGAAGGGTCTTTCGGTGCTTGATGTTAAGCTCAGTAGCGACGTGTTCTTCAACAGCTATCAGTGGACGCGTCTTCAGGAAGAGGAAAAGACCTTAGTTTTGCAGCCTATAAGAGAGGTGACTAAGCCTAAAAAGTTTCGTTTATTGCTTCCTTTTAGCCTAGATTTGTATGATTCCCCATTGACGACTTTGCCCTGTGCTATCTCATTTGGTAAGTGGGACCGTAGCTCGGGGTATTTCTGATGTTCTTGTACCAAAAATTATCATTTCTTTAACTTTTGAGATCCCTGTTAAGAATTTATTGTATGGAACAATTTTTTTTTAAATCTTTAGATGTAAACTTAAAAAAAATTATTTTTAAATATTTTATTTTTTATACTTATTAAGGTTAATAATTCAATTTGAAAAAAAAAAGTTTTTGAAAACGATATTTATTTCACGCTCCCGATTGTCGTCCACATTATCTAGTTATATCTATATTCTATTTGAATTGGCCTTGTACAGCGTATCTTAAAAACGACGGGCAAAGTGTGATCTGCCGATACGCGCCTTCTGGGTGAACAGTCCACACACAGCCCAGAACACAATCAGTTTGTCCGATATTTTGGCAGCCTGCTGGACATCTACTTTAATTAGAATGTTTCAATTTAGTTAAAAAAGTACATGTACCATGTGTTTGTCATATACATCAAATGCCCTGCGGCGGGCTTGGGTAAAGGCCTATTGACAGTGCAATATAACCTCTTTAAACTGCCGAGTGGTAGGTCAATCAGTGGAAGTCTTGGATGGGGAAAGCACGAGAAGTGGGGATCAAGTGAGATGTTCAACTACGATATCATCTCCTTCTGAGAATACCGAGTGACGAATCAGTCCTTCATGTCTTTGAATGAGAGTTGAATTTATTAAAATTTGCAGCATTCCGTGAATCTTATTCCGTCTATCAGGCGTTAGGATCTCCAAAAAAGCAATGCTATGATGTTTTGTTGTCGATGGGCATTGGCTTGTGACAGAGAAATACCCATTGACATTAGCATTTCGGCCACCAACTTTCAAGGCTTGAACTGTTATTAGAGGTGCCAATTCACTACCTCCGTGCCAGCAGGTTTCGCGAAGTTATCGGTGTCTAATGAATTCCCAATTCCACAGCCAATAACCTCATGAAGTACATTGAGTGCCAGTACTGCTTCTCCATTTCCAAAATAAGGAAGTGATACTCATCTGAGTTATCCTCCCAAAACAGATGTAACGACTTGTGATGCTTACCTACTGGCACTAGGTTATAATCACAATGTGATTACAGACTGTACTAAGGTTATGGGTCTTGATCATAGTCTCATTCCACTTCTTGAGACTGTTCCTGGCTCCGAGTTACCTTGCCACTACGATGGTCAAGGGAAAAGTCGCGACGATCGAAACCCGTGTTAAGAAAATGTCTAGTGGTCTGACCAAATGGAGGTGTAAAGAGAAGAGTTCCAGGTACTCTTGTTAAATTTGAAGGATATGATTGTACCTACGAAGAATAAAAACTTTTCTATGGGAGTGTCGTATGTAGTGACAAGACATGATAATACCATCCTCCAATTGCCGATGAGGAGGAGGCTACCACTCGTAATTTTCGAACATGCGATGATATTAAAATAGCTATGCCTTTGGTGATGGTATGTTTTTTTTTCGTATAGCCTCGATGATAGCTGCTAATTTATTTCCGTGCAATATTTGTCCAGTTAGTTTGTGGTCGGGGTGATGGCCAAGCTTTGTGTCCCATAGGATATGTTTAGCAGGCTTTTGAATCTGGATGCATGCATCCGAAATTCATTCATCATCATCTTCTTCCCCTGTTTGCTATAGATTAGATTACCTTACTAGGTCCTACAACCCCGCAATCTACCACGTATTGCCTGGCTGCCACACGACGTTATATTGCTATGAAGATGTAGGAACTGTACTGATAGCACTCGCTGCGAATAATGTAGGATCTCAAATCACTGAGAGGTACATAAAGTCACTAATCTTCGTCTGTATACCAACGTCCTCAAAATTTCCTCACATCGAAAACTTAATAGGAGGATATTTAGCTATAGCTTCTTTATTGAAAACAGTGCCGACACCTGCACTCCCCAATTAAATCTGTTAGCTCCACCAAACCAGACCGAAGCTTACCAGCGCACTGTGTATTAAAATCGCATATATTTGCGCATATCTACAACAGGGGCAGCCGTCGGCGACTGTCGATGTAACAAAACTTTTATTAATTGTCCCCAATATAAAATTGCAGTTCCTTCCATTTACCATACCTATGTTCAAGGATTCTTTATCTAGGGAGCCAGCGGCGAAGACTGCCTCACCTTGAGCATTTGCGAACCACTTCGATGTAAACCGAAAAGACAATTTACTATTTCTGATATTGCTTCATAGCAGAGGACTTCAAACTGGAGGGTTTTAATACTCTACTGGAATCCGGTTAGATGAGTCGAAAGACACACTCCATATCATGGTCAGCAATCAATCTCGGGGCAACATTTTCTGGATTGGTGGATAGCTGTAGCGTTCAGTAATATAAATGAATGATAGTGGTGTAAAGTGAATTTGAAGTCTGCATGCTACTGTCGTAGGATTTGTGTCGAAAAATGAACAATATCGGAAATTCAAAAGTCTTATCCAAAATTAGATGAATACTAAATTACGACCAAGAAAATCCATTTTCGGCTTCTTGGTAGGTTACAGCGTGAGGCTCCTTTTATGCCTCGGTTACATTCGGTATATACTTCTCCAAAGTATTGGTTGGACCAGCGGCGCTTAGGTGGCTTGTCAAGCTGTTAAAATGTCAGCCGCTTTCGAAAATTCACACCATTTTTCGACCTTAAATTGTGTTTTTGATACGATGGGCGGTGCTGAACTAATTGATCAAGCCACTTCCCATCAATTTCGCGAGGATGCAGAAGACGATCTATCAAGCTCGTCCTTGCGGAAAACAAGCAACGAGACTGACGACGAATCAACAACGGCTCAGATAGATGCAGAGGCGAAAATCAACAATTCCAACCCTCAAAGTGTGGAAGACGATGCATGGATCTCAAATGGTGGGGAAACAAGCAGTGATTATGGCGTGAGTATGGGTTTGACTGGGATTGTTCTTTTGACCATGTTCTGGATAATCTACCCTCGAGCAGCACTATACCGTTATCAAGGCTATGCCATTATTGCCAGAAATTGGTCCATGGGTTAGAGCCCTTCAAGGCTAGAGGAAAAGTAGATGTCCCCCATGTTCAAGGCCCTTTAGCACTACTTCGATCCGCGAAGCATGGGTGCTCTTTGTGCACTTTGTTTTGCTCCGGGGACGACACGAGAGCTTTGATTTCAAAATATATCCGTATATGGAAGGCCACCTTTGGAGAAACTCCTTTACCGAATGCTGAAGTCCGGCGAACTAGTTTCGATGATGATAGCCCTTCACAAGTTTATCTAAACTTTTCAGATCATCCCAAGATGGAGCCTAGCCCCGAGGTGTCTTTCTCGCTTGAATTTTCGGTAGAATTGAAAAACGCCGAGACTGAAATTTGTGAGTTCCCCCTTGTGTGAATAAGTGCTTTACGTTTCCATAATAGTATAGAGGAGAGGGAAAGATTGACTAGTAGTCAACCAATGTTAAAAATGATGGACTTAATTTCAGGGTTTTCAACAGCGGAAAGCTGGTCTGAGATGGAGGTATCCTTATGCTTAGGTAGTTGCGGAATGCATAGTACTAACACTAACACCTGCTACTTTAGATAATATGGTAACTGAAAACACTAATAAAACATCAAACACTAGTCAGTCGCTACCACTGGTGAAAGAATGGTTCAATACATGTAAGAGACTGCACCCAAAGTGTAACAATCGGAGGCAAGGGTTTATACCAACGAGGCTTATTGATCTACATGATTCAATTATCCGATTGCGATTAATCGGCTCTTTCAAAGAGGAATCTGTTCAATATGCTACTTTAAGCCACTGCTGGGGCACCTCGCAAAAGGGAATCCCAAAATTAACGAGATCAACCTTAGAAAACTACTTGTCAGAAATCAGAACGAGGGAGCTTCCCAGAGCTTTTCTGGATGCAATTGAAATTTGTAAAAGGTTGGAAATTAGATACATTTGATTCGCTCTGTATTATACAGGATGATGAAGAAGACTGGGCCAAAGAATCCGCAACTATGGCCGACGTCTATGGCTGTTGTAAGTTTTATCGGGGTTTTCATATTGCATCCAGTTTCAAGTAAAAATCTATCTTTGGCAATTTATTCAATTCTTGACATACAATTGACTTCTCGAATTCTTTTAATAGCCTCCTCTGATAGTCACTTACTAATCTCACAATGTTTTAGGTCTGCTTAATATTGCCGCATCTAGTGCCAGGGACAGCAGCCAAGGATGTTTCTTCAAGCGCAAGGATCTACCGAGATGCCACGTCTCTCTAAAAATCGATAATGATACCAATGTTGAGTATGATTTAATGTCCGGGGCCCGGCATCCATTGTACGACACTGATCTTTGTCCTTTGGAAAGCCGAGGCTGGACCTTCCAGGAGCGCCTACTATCTCCACGGACTGTGCACTTTGCTCGAAACGAGGTCATTTGGGAATGCCGTATTAAACTTGTTTCCGAAACCTCGCCTTTCAATTCCAGAGAAGCTTTTTTGGTACTCAAAGATCTAGTTTCAATCAGGAATTGGACCAATATCGTCAGTCAATACTCAAACCGTAGGTTAACCTACGAAAAGGATAGACTTATTGCACTAGCTGGGATCGTACAGGCCGTATGGTCCCAAACTAAAGACGGATATTGTGCTGGAATATGGTACGACAATTTGGGAGAACTGTGCTGGTGGAATTATGAGCGGCCGGAAAAGGTTTTCCCTAAGCGAGTCCCAACATGGTCATGGGCCTTCATCAAAACGCCTTGCTATCCAAAGGATAGTTATGAAATTGGGAGTATTAAGGTATCAAAGGTCTTGAAATTGGAAAGACCAAGGTCTGATAATCCATTCAGTGACATGACGAATGCAGTACTTTGGTTGTCATGTCCTCCACTTCTAGTTGCAAAAGTTTCCGAACCAGACCGCGTGACCATGCGAAATGGATCTGCGATAACAAGCGTCGCTTTTACCTCCTATCCTAGTGATATGGTAGACGCTGAAACGTGCGTGTTTATCCTAAGGCTCATGAATAGAGGGGAACTAATTTTGAGGCGTACCGAAAATTCCCAAGGTGAATACGAAAGAATTGGTGCATGGGATCACAGCCGCTATCTTTCCGAAACCACAACTCTTCTAAAGCAAGTTTTTAACGACAGAACAAACCATGCAGGAGAGAGTGCATATGTTCCGAGGGAGAGACACGAGTTTGATGATGAGCAACATGTCATAACCTTGGTCTAACCATCAATTAGGTTCAACGGAACTGAGAACCGAGCAGGGAAACGAGTAAGCGCTGTTTAGATTGTGATTGGACGATGAAGCTAAATTGTGTAGGGTTTTAACCACCTATTCAACCACATAATGGAGTATATCTTTCAGGTCGAAGTTCGATGATGGTAATTTCTCTCTATTTAGGGTCTAATTGCATCAAACTGTTTAACTATTCAATATCGGAATCTGCTTTGCATTAAACCAAGTTTCAGAATGAACACAAGCGATAGTTCGTGTAATGCTCACCACGTTGTATCTGAAATCATATCGCCATCCCAAGGAGAAGACAATCAGAATCACGTGGCATGTGATGGATTAAATGTATTATTGGATCAGGAGTAGAATGTTGGAGATAAGAAGACCGTCTTGGACCGCTACGGCCAGCACGCAAATTACGGCTTCGTCAAGGGATTGCTCAAACTTTATGGCGTGATTCCATCGAACCGGGAAGAAGGCCCATGTTTCCAAAGATGCCTTCATGTTCCAGGGATTTTAAGGATAATCGGCAAAGCAGAATATATAAGTGCCATCCCCTGGAGACTTTTAGTTTACGGAACTTTAAACCGCAAAACTTCTAGTTTAACTGCAAACTGAAGCAAATACAACACCCACCCAATCCCACAAATGGAACCTCCAAGCTATGTATCTCTATAACTACGACGACAAACCAAAAATGGCAATTGCCTTCAGCTAAGAATCTCCTTTAACACTTCTAAGTGAAATTGGGGCATGCCAGGGCGGTGTTGATATTACATCCGCCTCGACGTTCCGAAATTCCGCGCAATATTAAATGGGGACAATTTTAACCGTCTTGGCGACATTGACAACGACAAACCTATGTTGAAATGCTACATTAATCTATGCAACTTCATATATCTTCCCCGGATTTAGGAGAGGTCGCACCAATGATCCTTCTATTTATATATTGCATTTGGAATGCGCCCCCACTACCCCGGATTTTCCATCAATTCGTGGAGTGAGTGTACTATATCTTTTATATTATCAATTAATACATGACTAGTTACTACGATATAGCCATATTATATCTTTGAGAATTGGTCACACGCTCGCTTCTTTCTCTCATTTCCAAGGAATTCGCAATTCCTCTCCTCAACATCAACATCAACATCAGCTATATAAATCTTCTCAAACCCGCTCATACTATGTCTTAGAACCACAACCCACATCCCACAAACCCAAGCACATCCAAACACGACACTCAGCATGGTTCCTCTCCCAACCTTAACCGCCCTAACCACCTTCTCCCTCCTCTCCCTCCTCCCCACAACCCAAGCCCACGGCTACGTCTCCGGCATCGTCGCAAACGGTGTGTATACCTCCGGCTGGCAAGTATCCTACTGGTACGACATTGTCAATAAAGTTCCCTATCCACAGACACCGGGATGGTATGAAGAGGCGTTGGATTTGGGATTTATTTCGCCGGATCAATATGCGTATGACACCCTTTTTTTAAGTTCTATTTCCATTTCGTCCTAGATCTTCTGTATGAAGAAACTTAAGAAAGGAGCAAGGAATAAAGGGATAAGGCTAATTATACTAAAGAACTTCCGACATCGTATGTCACAAAAACGCCGTAAATGCAAATGTATCCGCCACGGTTCCCGCAGGCGGAACAGTCGAATTTCAGTGGACGACCTGGCCACATAGTATTGGACCGGTATTGACATATGTTGCTAATTGTGGGGGAAGTTGTGCGACGGTATGTTATTTTCCTTCTCTTATTACTATTAATATGATATAATGATGAAAATTTCATAAAGATTTTGAGAGAAGATGAAACTAATAGAGTTATGATTGATTATTAGATTAATAAAAATAATTTGAAATTTGTCAAGATTGATCAGGCGGGGATTAATTTAAGTACACAGGTTTGGGCTTCGGGGGATTTGATGGCGAAGAATAGTTCTTGGACTGTGACGGTGCCGAAGAGTCTTGCTGCTGGTGTGTATTCCTTTTTCTAATTCTCAGTCTTTCGACACCCCTTTCCTGCCTTTCATCCCATGCCTAGTCGCCTATCCCCATCCTCTCCCTCCTTAGTTTCTGTCCTATCCTTCCTTCCAAGCCCAACTGTTTATCATGCATCAACTATCCCTCCTCCCCACTCCCTTCTCCTTTCAACTCTCCTCTTCCCTCCTTCCACCCTCTCCTCTCATATCCTTTCCCCCTCTAAAACACCACAAACACAATCAGGGCACTACATATTCCGACACGAAATAATCGCCCTCCACGGAGCTACTACGCTAAACGGCGCCCAAAACTACCCCTTCTGTCTCAACATCGACGTAACCGGTTCTGGAACTGCTAATCCTGTCGGTGTACCTGCTACCAGTTTTTACAAGGCGGCTGATCCCGGGATTTACTTTAATCCTTATGTGACGTTGGCTAATTATACAATTCCTGGGCCTGCGCTTTGGACGGGTTAGGAATTGGCTGGAGAGTGCTTGGGAAGAAGAGGGGGATGGGCTGTGAGGTGATGAGATGAGGTGAAAGTGGATAGCGCGTGTATCCGAGTATTTATTTGATTGATTCAGAAGGATGAGAGATGAGAGATGAGATGAAGTGGCATGTGTTGCGAAGCGAGGTGTGCTTGGCAAAGCTTGACGAGAGTGAATTGTGTATTGGAATATATAATATATCTGATAAAGAATTCAGAATCTTCCAATACCTACTTCAAGATCGTATCTCGAGGTAGGTATCTGCTATAGCCATAAGTCATTTTCCAGTGTGTTGAGAAACTGATCAATATCTCGCAGCACTTGGTTTGCATTATCTTCAATTATTATTATTATTATTGTGCTGTGCCGTGCTGTGCTGTGTTTGACTTTAAGGTCACGATTTGTTATTGTTATATAAAATTGTCTCGTCCCCCGAACTTCTTATTCTTAAAACTTCTTATATTAACACTTCCCTTTATTACTTATAAGCAAGTGTATGTTCACTTACCTAGGTATTTCGGTATAATGAAAATCGAAAGAGCGATATCGATACCTATCGATAGGATGATGAAAAAGTCTACATTCTCACTCAGTCATAACATGATGACTTCACTCCAAATGTAATTAGCTGAAAATACACTCACTGCTGTTAATTTAGGTCAATGACTTGCCCTGTATATAAATCAGAGTATTATATAATATTTGCTTAGTAAGATTTCAATTCGACAAGTGATTGTTCATTCATTTCCATTTCAGACAAATCGCGTGATGCACTCCCGAAAACAGAAACAATATAGCTTTCAATTATTAATAAAAAATTTCATCAATAGCATTATTAGATTCTTTTTGATATTCTCTAATAAATACAAATAAAAAGATAAAAATTATCAAAAAATGATTTTTCCATTTGTAGAATATAATATCTTTCTTTCACATCTTTACGTTCAAAACGAACAAACCGTGGTGGTTGGATTTAGTGGGTGTGGAACTGGGGTTATAGCACAAAGTATCAAACCTCTCGCGGATATAATTTCTCATAGTAACCAAAGTAGTCAGTATTTGATTATAATGATCGTAACAAAGTTTTGCCATCATTAAAAGTGCATCAAAGCTAATATATTATATTTTTGATAAAATAAATTATAGAAGTATAAGAGGGTGGAAAGGTATATATAAGAAAGAAAGAAAGAAAGAAGGGAAGGAGAAAGTAGTGATGGTTGTGATGTTTGTGGTGGTGATGGCAATAAAGTTGTAAAAAATTATATAATCCGGGGTATGATTATATATTTTAATATAATTATACTTTTTATATTATATTAAGATTATACATGTGTTTTTCTAATTAATAAATAAAGTTATTTCTTTTTTATAAAAAGATTTTAAAAAAATTTATTATTTTAAATTATATAATTTTTGAAAAGTGAAATCATTTACTTGATTAGTCAGATTCATTTATTTCAGATTAAATTATTAATCTATTTTCAAATTCATTGTTTTATTTAAATATTTATTTTATATTTGTATTGATTATTATTATATATTTATAATTGAGCTGGGGATATTCATACAGAAAACTAGGTTTCGTGTCCAGCTTGCTCTCTCCTTTCCTGCTCTAGAGCTTTTGATATCAGGATCCGGTTTCAGACTATCCAAGCGCCGTGTATGTGGATATTGCCTCGTTCCCGGAATTGGAAGATATGAAAAATGCGGGCGGAAATGAATAGACTTTCGGTCTGGAGGTTGCGTGCTCATGATTTCGGAGTGAGGTGTCGTCCCAATTAGGTTAACTTTTAGACTTGGCGTGACGAGTGATGATTTTAAGGTTAATGTAATGAAAATTACAGTGTTTGAAGTCTTTTTGGGTCGATGGAATATGATTCCGTTTTAGAGAGATTTTGTTGATGGGTGATGAATTTGATATTTGAATGAAGCTGTGATATTCGATGAGAACAGTACGATTTGGGAAGGCGTGAACTGTATTTAGAGAATGGGAATTGGTGAAGATCTTATTGATGAAGTTTGAGGGGGAAAGTAACATCACCTATGTATGTGATTAATGAAGTAGGAGTTACCTACCTAGTATAATTTTCGCATTTTCCAATGCTGTGGTAGTAAATTAACCTTTCTGGTGTGTTTTCCGCACTCAGACACCCCCTTATGTATTACCAGTCCTATCTTCAGCTATGCCAGATTGACCGCCTCTGTTTTCCAGGGTGAAATATAAAGTTTTGTGGGCTATGATACTGTGATCTTGATTTCTCCATGCCCAGCCATGAGCCCTCATTTTGACTTTTAGGACCACGGATTTCAGCCTCGATTCTCAGTCTTATTGTTCCAGGTCGGGTTACCATCATCATCAAATTCAGCCCATTCAAAATATGTACACCCTTCTTTTCCAGGAACATTCCCAGCATGACACATCCAAAAATATCGACCCAAATTCTCCTTCTTCCTTTGAACAACCCTCAAGACAGTCGGCACCCCACATTTGCATTTTGGCGTGAATTTAGGATGTAATGAAGGTTTATAATGTCTATAGGTGATGTTGATTCGTCTATTTCCAGAAATTGGATGAGGATCTATGGCTTGTGCTGGTGCAATACTATGCTTCCAAGATTCTTGCATTTCAGCATGCATGACCAACAATGAGTTATGTGGGAGGTGAATAGCAATTTGACCTTCTGCATCGGATGATTCTTTGCTTTTTTCTGTCGAATCTATCTCCTGGGGGACGATTTGTCGAACACGAAATTCACGGGCAACACCCAAAGATATCGATTCAATCACCGCACGTGGTCCAAGGTAGGTGAGCTGATCGCTATGATATCCCACACTTTCTACACCACCATTATAGCAGTTCACAAATGCTGCGTTGGGCTTCCATTTGTCAGGTGATTGATACTGGAGCTTTTGGCCATTAGGATAATGTGTTTTAATTCGTTTTGCGACTTCTGCATTGACAGCATCCTGAACTTTGGGCGAGATTTTCCTCATTTGTGGAGTAAGTTGACGAACGTCCTACAAGTCATCAAATCAGCAATCCAAAGTTTTGAACGCTAGATTTTACCCACCGTTAAAAGATCACCATTATAGATATATTCAGTCTTCTGAGCTTTTTGTTCTTCCAGACTCTCAACATAAAAGCAAGCTGTGTGAGGACTTGTAACCACATTATCAAACAACTTAAAAGTCATTCTCTCGAAAGTCGTTGCTTCCTTTAACAACTCATCAAGCAACACATTGGCTTCTTCCACCCGGAGAAAATTATGTATGATAGAACAAGGAGTATGAGCTGCTACATCTTCGGGAGAATACAAATGAAGAGTTTTGCCTTTCTTAGATAGAGTCTTTACTCGTTTTGTGGAGTTCTCACTCGAGATAAATGTAGAAAGAGAACTTTGATATCCTACCGTGGATGATTTCTTGGCTATTGGAAAAGAGGTGGTGTCTGGATTTGACAATGAAGCCGACGCCTTCTCGACTGCACCATTATGATCGAGCAAAGTTTCAAGAAGGACCCCTTGTTCAATGCTAGGATGCAAAGATGACAGTAGAGCCAACTTGAAATCTGTAGACTCATCATCCGGAACACTGAGAGCATTGATATGATCGATAGTGTCTGGGTTTTGTGGTGACGAAGAAGAGCCAGACAACTTTCGCTTTTTTCTTGATATAAAAGCATCCATCATAGAGAAGTATAGTATTCAGGTAGGTATCTAGAGACTGTTCAGAAGTTGAAAGGCCCTTCTTGTTATTTGTAAGGATACTAATATCAAAAGCCAAAGATGCAAGGTGATTGACCGGTCACATATCAGAACCGTAGTATCATTCGGTAGATTTGATGTTGTCGAATGTGGTCAGCTGACTTTCATCATTGAGAAATCGGTCCTACGAGCCGCCGATATTTTCGCTTGACAAACACGGAAACAAAAAATGTCGAGTCTTCGGTTCGGTTCGCATAGGGCCTAGGCACATGTCGATCAAGCTAAACCATATTTGGATTTATCATTCGGATCATCTAATCGCCGAACTCCTCGGTCCAGATACAATCATAGTGGGGGTTAACAAGCCTTACTCCGTTCCGTATATTTCATCCAGATAACTTATGATGATAATAAGGAGTAAATAAAGCATCCCATCCATACACTTACCACAATTTGATCACCACCACCTTTTATTTCATGACCATGTTGGAGTTTATCACTCGAGGTTTCAAAGGATCCGCTGTCAAGTACTCTCCCTTCTATGAAGATCGAATTTGTGTGGCTGCTTCCGCCAATTATGGTCTGGTGGGAAATGGGAGACTTTACAGCTTGATGTTGACGGCGCAAGGGATCCAGGTACAGAAAACGTAAGTCATACCGGGGCGGGGGAAGTGGGTTGAGTTCAATTTCCCTATATGCACTGTTTTATAGCTTCTGCTGACTTTCATCTTCTCCCGGTAGTTTCGATACTCAAGATTCTATTTACGATTTATCATGGTCCGAATCAAACGAAAATCAAGTCGCTGTTGCATGTGGTGATGGAAGTGTAAAGCTATTCGATACCGCACTCAATGAACCTTTTCCCGTGGGAAACTTCCATGAGCACAGCCGTGAAGTCTTTGCTGTTCATTGGAATTTGGTTTCAAAGGATACATTTGTTTCGAGCTCTTGGGATGGTACAATCAAATTGGTATGAAGATATCTCCTGAGTATATTGCTCTCATACAGAGTATCGCTAACTTCTTCGTTATCAGTGGAATCCGAATCGCCAAAGCTCATTGCTTACATTACCTACACACTCTTGCACATACAGTACTGCTTTCTCTCCTCATTCCCCTTCAGTCATATCATCTGTCTCCTCAGATTCGCACTTGAGAATATTTGACCTTCGTACGCCTGCTTCTGCATCGAATCATTTAGTTTCGCTCATTCCAATCCATGGTCCTCCACCAACTACAGGAACCTTGGGTGCAGTTGGAAGTAATCGACAAATTTTCCCTCCATCTGAAGCTCTCACCCATGACTGGAATAAATATCGTGATGGAGTTATTGCAACTGCTGGTGTTGATCAAATGATTCGAACTTTTGATATTCGTAATCCAGGAGCTGGACCTATCGCGATTTTACAAGGACATGATTATGCTGTTCGAAAACTAGTATGGAGTCCTCATCTTAGTGATACACTCCTGAGCGCCAGTTATGACATGTCCTGTCGCATTTGGACAGATGGCACATCAAATGCTAGCATGCCCCGCCAACTTGGTCGTATGGATGTCCATACCGAATTTGCCACTGGTGTCGATTGGTGTCTTTTTGGTGAAGGTTGGTGCGCAAGTACTGCTTGGGATGAACGACTTCTGGTCTGGGATGTTCGTTCTGTAATGGGTGCTTGAATGTTTTATTTTTGTTGCCCTTGTTTTTTCACGGCCTCTTTTCTTCAAGTGGAGTTTGACAAGCATTTTTATTTTCTACTTCATAAATGCGTACTTGGGAGAAGGAAATAAAATAATCTTATGAGTAATATGATACCACATGGATGGCGTTTTACCTTTTGGCGTAATGGATATGAAAGGAGATTTCCTTGGAGTATTTTATTGCAGGAGTTCAGAATTCGATGTCATGAGAATTGTATTCAGGAAATCTTTTTGTTTCTTTTGTATTGGGGTGTTGATTATATGTCTTGACATAGACTCATCTATGAAGTGTGTTTTTGGGACTGAAAGTGAGCATTATGCTGCATTACCGTAGACTACCTCATCTAATCGAGATCCTATGTATAATTTGTCTCCGAATTGCAATCTCTGCCTTCTTCTACATACATACGTGTGAACACACACAAAATCTCAACATCATCATTCTGCCCTACCATTTTATCCAGCACCTTCAATATATCACTATCACTATCAGTTTCCCACCATCTCTACATCTCCGAATAAAGACAGAAATTCGCACCGGAATTCGGCGCGAATCAGTGGTGTGGAATGAAATGTATAAGTAGATACTGGGTCTGTTTTTTTCTTTGTGGGGTTGGATTAGCTTATTTTACCCGTTTTACCTAGTATGTTATGAGAATTTTTTGGTAGGGTGGGTTAGGATCGGGGTGAATGTGAATACCTATGTGTTGTGATTTTATAGGTTTATAAGCAAGACTTAGATTATAACTGATTGAGAGGTTTTGGAGTTTTGCTAGGAAGTTTATGGCGAGCGAGGAAATAGATGGTTAATAGATATTTTGATTTGTTGGGTTAAAGAATGTGAAATATATCATCTTCGTATCGTACTCTTGGGGGACGGGCGAATGGGGAATGTTGATCTTTGATATTTGATTTAATGTTTAAGTTTCTATCTGACGTTTGATCTCGAGAGGAAAGAAGATAAGGGGAATTCTACCGGAACTACTATCGGGACGGCCGTCGGGATGAACATCGGGTTAATTATTAGATGTGCAACCAAAAAAATTCGGATGGAATAATTAATTTCTTACACGAAGTTCTTCCGAAGTACTGGAGTGCCGAAGTCGGGACGAAGATGGGGATTGGGATTGGGATTGGAAGGGTGAGGGTGACGTTTTGATTTTTTGAAGTTTGTAGGGTGGGTTTGGGGAAGTTCTGTGGGGAGGTTCTTGTGGTGGAGATTTGTTTGGGATGAGTCTTGGATGTTGGATGTTGGATGTTGGATGTTGGATGTTGGATGTTGGATGTTGGATGTTGGATGTTGGATGTTGGATGTTGGATGTTGGATGTTGGATGTTGGATGTTGGATGTTGGATGTTGGATGTTGAATATTGGATGTTTGAAGGGGATGTGGAGGATGTGGAGAAGGAGGAGGAGGATCTTGTTGTGGGGAAGGCGGAAGTGCTGGATATGGGGAGGGATGGAGTGGTGAATGGAAATGGTGGGAAGGATTGGGAAATGGTGGGTATAGATAGGTAGCTGATGTATAGGAATCTGGTGATGATGGGATGAAGATGCTTATTCTTGTTGGGGTTAATGGTAGGGATGGGACTGAGAAGTGAAATTGAGGGGACTGAGGAAATATGGAAAATGTAGAACGTGGAAACCATGGCATGAAGCTTAAGACGGCACTTTTATCAGTACGAGGACACAACCAACTCGGCTCCAAATTCTATATTTATAACCTCAAACAACAGACTTAAAAAAATATCTCGATGAGCTGTTTAAATTCTCTGGAATTCGAATGGGTAACACAGCGGCAAGTATAGAAATTGCGAGATTTACATCTCTTTTCTTGAGTGGGATTGGGTTGGGCTAATTGGTTTATTTCCTAATTTTCTGGGTAGGTCATTTCATGGTTTGTATTCTGCGATCTAGATTCTTGGGGTTTGCTTGCCGGTGAACTAGAGGGAAGAAGCGAGGGGCCGGGGAAATAGATGCTGTTATTGGATATCTTGACCAGATAGATGAAGATAATTGGTAGAACTAGTGTAATTATGTTCTAGATTAGCCCAAAAAGACATTGTTAGGAATCAACCTTGTTCAGTCGCAGATCAACTCAGCCGTGGACGTTGACCTGCAGCCGAGCAGCTATCTTCTGAACTAGATGAGCTCAGCTAGAAATTAGCCAAAATTCTACTCACACACCATATTATATAGGCGTCAACTCAGCCAAGAACCGACTCAGTTAGCTCATTCAGATATGTAACAAAATTCGACTTTCTCGGGTCTGGCCAATCAAATTATTCCATTTCAGCGCGTAAATAACTATTTGTATATCTTAATAAGACCTTTTATTGTTGAAGTTTTTTAAACAAAGTCTTTCGATTCCCGATTCCCAGTTTTCTTTGATTCCTGATACTCGGTTCTTCTATTCTAAACCCCATTTCTATCTCTCGACCTCATTTCCAATTTCCCAGTCCTCGGTCTTCGATTAATATTCCACTATTTTAGACCGGCGGCTATATTGGTTCTAAGAGCAGCTCGGTTTCATCAGTCAGATACAGCAAAACTTCTATTTTTTTGAGTGCGACCAATCAAATTACTTTGTTCTAAGTATAGATTTCTATAACTCGATAATATTTTTCTTCTTGATCTTCTGTAGAGGAGCTCTCTCGTCCCCGGTTGCTGGTTATCGGTTTTCCATTTCCCTTATGTCTGTTCTGAGCCCATTCCGATTTCTCAATTCCAACTTCTCCTCGGCGTACATTTTCGATTCCCCGCTTCTGGATCTTGATTCCATTCTCAATTTTACTTCTCATCCCCTTTTCATTAACGAGCAAGGCACTCCAACTCTAGATTCCCGCCTAGGTCCGATATTAGATATAAAACTAAACAACAGCTTTCCTCAATTTTGACCACTTAGATGGGTTCACTTCTGAAAATAGAAGTTATAGGAAATCGTTCCTCCTGGTTAATGGACTTTTTTATTTCTTGTCCTTATCTAGAACTTGTGTCGATTTTGTCTCTCGATCTCAGTTCCTTGTTTTTCATTTTCATTTCCCCATCTCTCGTTCCCATCCCCATCCCCCCCCTCCCAACTCCTCTCTTCCCCCAAACTACCTCAACTCAAATCCCCTCATCAGCCAAACTGAGATATCCAAGTGACAATCATACTCACCCAACTTCAACTTTCCCAATCCAACCAATCATGACCAGATGTCTCACCTCTTTATACATTTAGAATAGACAACTTAATAGGATATCAGTTCCTAATATTTATCATTTTATATTACTATTTTGTTTTTATTCCTATCCCGTCTTATTCCCATTCCCATTCCTATTTCCCATTTCCCGTTCCTTATTTTAGTTTTAGATTCTTACTTCCCTAAATTCCCATCTTGTATTCTCTCAACCATCTCAGAAATCGGAAATCCACTCGAAAACAAGTTCCACAACCCCAATCAGTAAAATCAAATCAAATCAAACCACCAAAATCATCAAGATCATCTATCTATAATCTATGACCTTTCACAATCAAATAAAATCTTATTTACCTAATAATTACACATTCTAATAAAAACAGAGAATAGAGAATTCTCTTCCTCAATACCTCTTATTGAATACAAACATTTCATTCCCATTTCCCATTTCCCATCCCTATTCCCAACTATAATCCCAAACCTCTCATTCCAAAGTAAACCTCTCTCTTCTCTTCCCTCCCATCCCCCATTCCCCACCCCCTATCTTCTCTCACTCATCTTCCTTCCCACCTACTCAACAGGAATCCATCACCATTATCACCACCACCAAGTTAAACCACGCGAAATCAAATTTATATTCAACATCAATCTTAAACACAAATTCAAATACACAATTATCCATATAAAATCTCAAGACCAATACTAATACTAATACCACTACCAATAAAACCTATCATATCACTCACTTACTAATAACTATTTACTCGAGTAATACATACACATACATATTATACACATATATACATATACATATATAGACACAACCATTCACACTCATATATGACATCGGCACTTACCTATACCATATAATACAATACAATATATATTCATTTAATCACCATACATATACACCAAAGTCACACACATACACTTCCCCCCCGGCCATACAAACCCTCCTCACCAAACACATACCCTATCCCCCACCCCCAAAAGAACATATTCAATTCCCATTCAATAAAAATAAAAATAAAGAGTAGAATTATATCAACTAATTTAATCAATCTAAAGACCCCACCCCACCATCATAGATATCTTCTTCTTCTCCTGATTCCACATTCATCATTCCCCCTTTCTCATTCCCATTCCTCATTATACATACATACATACATACATACATCTATACAACTAGCTCATACTCATACTCATCAAGTAACTTTGCATGGGCATGGTGATAGGTATAGGCATGTATGTATTCGAGTATACAAAGAAGAATAGCTATCTAGACCATAGCTTACTTCAGAACTCCTAAGTAGGCACGAAAAAGTAAAGAACCAGAACCGGAACCGGAAGCAGAGCGAAAAACCGAAAAACCGAATAAACGCCCAAGCTCCAGCCCGCCCCCAACCTATCCATTTTGGTTTCCTTACTATCTATCTGCTATAGCTAATTTTTTCAAAACAAGAATTTGAATATTTCTTTCATGTATCGTACAGGCATAAGTTTGAATCTGAAATTCATCTCTTTTTTTCAATTCTTGGTTTGCATCTTGCATCTTTCTTTGAAATTGTATGCGTACAACCAAAGTTCCGGCAAAATTTAAAACAAAACAGAACAAAAGCAGGAAAAAAAATGAAGAGGAATGAAATGGAAAGGGAGTGGTGGTATACAAACAAAGGACTCAATCAACTTGGCATCAAGGCAAGTTTAGAAGCTTGAGCTGCCGAATCCTTTACCGCCACCACCGCCACCACCAAATCCCTTTCCACCACTTCTGTCATTTCGTCCAAATCCTTTACCTCCACCACTTCGGTTACCGCCAAATCCTCTTCCTCCACTGGATCCACGATCACCACCTCCGAATCCTCTTCCTCCACTGGATCCACGATCACCACCTCCGAATCCTCGTCCACCACCACCACTACTTCCAAATCCTCTTCCACCACCACCACCACTTCCAAATCCTCTTCCACCACCACCACCACTGCTTCCAAATCCTCTTCCACCATCACCACCACTACTGCTTCCAAATCCTCGCTCACCACCAATACTGTCGTCATCCTCGCGACCTGCGTGTCCAATATTCATGCCAGGAAGCTTAGCAACTCCTAATTTTTGTGCCATGCCAGGGCTCATCAAAGGAGGCTTCTCCCAACCCCAACCATACTTGACCATGTCATTCAAAGATATCATCAAGTCCCGATTGTTTTGACCTCCTCGGCCACCGCCAATTGCTGCCATATAAGCGTCAACTTTGACTTCACGATCAACCCTCTTTGTTGCTTGACCGACTTCATTGAGGATCTCTGCTACAGCGGCTGGTAATTGAGCATCTTTTTTCATGTCAACAAGAGCGGTCGCGAGTGTACGATCGGGTGTGATTGGAAGGGCAGAGAGTAATCGACGAGCGGCGGGAATCTCGGATTGCATCATGATGAGCCATCCCTCTCCTTCTTTACCTCCTCTTCCAGTTCGGCCGACACGGTGGATGTATGTATCTCTGTCCCTAGGCACACTAACTTGAATAACGTGAGTGACATTAGGGAAGTCCATTCCTCGCGCAGTAACATCACTAGAAAACATAATTGCGGATCGGGCACGACGGAACCTGTCTGTAACTCTAGTTCTTCTTTCTTGTGAAAGCTTGCCGTGAATAGCAGATGTTTCAAGGGATTGAAGCGAATCTATGCCCTTGAAGATCTCTCCAGCCAATTGGACACTCGCTGTTGAGTTAAAGTATACAATAGCTTTAAATGGAGAGGTACCCTCGGTGTTAGCTTTTTCAATTCCCGTCTTGCAAAGCTCGACCAAGGCTGGCATGGTGTTCTCCAATCCCACAGTAGCGGCAATCTTTTGAGGAATTTTCTCGTGAGTGGCGACATCTCCTTCCTTGACTGTTTGTACGAACTGATAACCTGGCTTCAACGTTCTTTTAACAAGACGCATGACCTCTCTTGGAACAGTAGCGGAAAATAACAGTGTTTGACGATCAACTTCTTTACGGTTAGGTAATAAAGCCTCAATGTTTTCGATATCTTTAGAAAAGCCATCGTCTAAAAGTCGATCTGCTTCATCAAGAACCAAAGTTGTTATCCCTGGAGCAGATACTTGACTGTATTCATCCGTCAAGAGATCTTGAAGTCTTCCGGGAGTGCCCACAAGAATGTGACAACCTTCACGTTGAACTTTTCTAAGCATCTCTCTCTTGCTTGATCCTCCAACTGCAACCTGCACAATCAAATCTGTATTTCTTGTAATCTTTACGGCTTCGACAGCAATTTGTTCTGCCAATTCACGAGTAGGGGATATGATGATTGCGCGAATATCGGATGGTCTAGCTCTGGAATAACGTTGACGGGATGCAAGCTCAGGACTCTTCTCAAGGATGTTTTGAATAGTAGGAAGCAAGAAACCAATTGTCTTTCCGGTACCAGTTCGTGCTTGTGCAATACTATAGCAGAGAATATTAGCATGAATTCCTTGATTCGAGAACTTTTTGATAACTCACATATCAGTTCCTTGTAAGGCTTGGTTAATTGTCATGGTTTGCACTTCCGTCATGGTCTCGAGTTTCATGGTATCAGTGATTTCATTGATGACATTTGGGTGAACCAAACCATACTTGGTGAGTTCATCGAATCGATTAATGACTTTATTTTCTTGGATAATCGCAGCTTCTTTCGTGGCAACATTTTGTAATTGTGAAACCGAAGAAACATGTAACCATCTTGACTCTAAAGCGGAAATTGAAGACTTTTGCGAGATGAGAGAGAGAGTTGAAGGTCTGGTTGAGGGGATTCGAATGGTTGATGGGACTGCGCGAAGGGCTCTGGATATTGAGGCAGGGCCTCTTCTGCAAGCAGAGAACATGATCTAAAACTGATCCGTGAACGGATAGAGATGAAAGGTATTAATGACACTTCAATTGAAGATATATCTTTCAAAATCAACAATATAAAGATCAAAGTGGCGATGCTTTGGAAGTGTCGATATCGCTGAAGTCCTTCTGCAAGAAATGGACATGCGAGTTTCTCCTCCACCAGAACTTTTTTTTGACGCTAATAAGTTTATCTTTTATTCGCTAATACATAGATAGCTAGATTGTAGATTAGATGGCACGTGACTAAACTTGCTTATTCACCGCCAAGCGAACACAGAAATGGAAAATGTCTACAGTTCCATCACTTTGTTGAGACGATGGAGACGATGGAGACGGGATAGACAGGAGGTTATATTGGATGATTTATATTCTTATCCTATTGAGGAATAAAATCCTTATATCCTATGTACCCAAAAGTGTGCCCGAAGCGAAAAACGCCTTCTCCATATTTGGGTATCACAATCACCATTTACCCTCGAAAATTAACCCCGCCAAATACAATCCGAAAGCCTTCAATCCTTCTATTTTTTATTTGAAGTAAGGTTACCATTTTTTGCACCCAACATGACCAATCCTCCACTTACACCTTCATGTACTCCTCCTGTGACTCCTTCAACAACCCAAGCGGCGGCATCCGTGAGAGCTTGTCCGACTTTACCATCACCCATTCCATATATCGCTCCAGTGACTGCAAGGCCCGACTTTCCAATGGTATCAACCGTCACGATACCACGGGACAGAACTTTTTCGGATATTTTATAGGTTCTATCGTATTGATATGCTGAAGTGAGTAGGTATTTTACATACGGGAGGATAAATTGGAACAATATAAAAAGTTGAATGATGGTAGCGGCAACACTCCTTTGGAGCAATGACGGTGAAGCGTTGCTAGCATCTGAAGTTTGACTAGGTTCACTGATACTTGATTCTTCTTGTATTGATTCTACTACTTCTTGTGGTATCGAGGTTTGTAGACTCATGCTTTCCTCTGTTGATAGATCAGAAGGAAGAGCTCGGAGTAGGTAGGTCAAGGCATGGATATAGAGCTGTCTCGCCAAAGACGTATTACTAAATCGAGTGTTTTGAGAAATTGCAGATGATTCCTTCATGGAGAGGGTAAGAAGACTATATCCTGTTCAAATAACGATTAATATGTGTATATCTTGGAATAGTAGCAGTCAAACCTTGGCTTGCAAATTTCCATCCAATGCCTGATTTTGTTTCCGACAATTCTATCATTTTAAGCTGTCTATTCTTTGGTGCTTGAGGAAAATCTTCGTCTGAAAGTAAGGACTCTTCTGTGAAATAGCTATCGGTTGATTCCTCATCAATAGACACCGAACTTCGTGCACCGATAAGAGTCGTTGCTGATGAGGAGAATATGGACCCCGGTGTCGTCGCGCCAGATACAATGTCTTCGGATTTCCGTCCACTCACAAGTCCATATATATCAACGGAACTCCGAATCGAAGGAATGCGAGGTAAACGTGATTGTACAATTGTTGGAAGCATGGAGTAAAGCATTGAAGCTTCTTTTGAAGTTTGAGTAAATGTGGGAGGATATTGTTGATTCTGCATCATGAGTTCCGAATCTTGAAGCGATGTAATTTCGTCTTGATGTAGATATACCTCCTTGGAAATATTTCGTTTGGAACGACGGGTGAAACGCGAGTACATTTTATACCACCAAAGATGTTTCCAAAATAGAATGAATGTACGAAAGTAGATGATTTTTTCCAAATGTTGTAATAAATTGTTGCAAGCAACCGTTGTGTGGACAAAGGATGATGGCTGGTCGAATACGGTCTAGGTGCAGAACGATTCCGGAGTAGTTGTAAGACTTAGCTAGTCAATTTAGCCTCATAATTCAATGTAAGGCGGCGCTATGTTATATCGGAATCGTAAGAAGCTTTGATTCATAGTATGCATCTATGTATGTATGTAAAAGAATTCGAGGATGGACGAATAAATGTTCATTGTAACATTGTTATGAAGATGAGAGAAAAGCCCATGAGACGAGATGCCGAATACTTCTCAGGAGACGATAAGAATGTTCGTTGCTATCGCCAAAAAAAAGTAAAAAGTTAAAAGTTTATTGCATGTGAAAGTTTCTAAATCGGGCTGATCATCACGTGGGTGAAACATAACCAATCATAGATCAACGTGCATGAAAGCAATTCTTCTGGCGGGACAACGGTGGGAATTTTTGGTTTACTGCAAAGATTCAAACGACACTGAGGTGAAAATGTGGTGAATGAGTCCATTTTCTGATAAATAAATACCGAGGACGTAACCCGGGACTACGATATCATCTGATTGTCAGGAGATGCTCTGCCACTCCGCTACCGTCGTTCAATCCAGCCGGTTGCGTTTCCCCGCCTCCCCATTCTAATGAAGAGACAGATATTATTCCGGAACAACATATTGCGGATCTGTCGCTCTCGAATCTGCCTTGTAGATATTGATATCACCCCACTCGATCCCTTCAAAGCATCTTAAGTTCACCGGATGGATATTTGACCACCTTTCCCGTTGCGCTGGTGTCCACGATTCCCAAGTTTTTGGTGATTTAGACACTGCACTCATGTCCTTGTCAGCGTCGACAGTAACTCCGCAGGTTGCGCAAAATCGGAATATGTTATAACCCTGACCAAACGAATAGTTTGTCAAACTCGATGTGCCCGAAATAGCCACTTGATCTTTTCTAAGATAACTAATAATAAGACCAAGCTATATATTTATTAGTAGTGTGCTAATGTGCTGATGTTAAATCCCGAGACCACACTTACTCGACAACAGATACTACAATTGCACTCCTGAATAAATTCATGTCCCTTTGTGAGAGGAGCTTGAGTCTTGAATGCGATGGTAACGGCACCACAGTGACAACCACCGGTATACAGCTTCTCGTTTTCGAACTTAGCTGTTGGTAATTCTCCAGTGTATTTTGGAGGAACGTATTGCGGTTCACGACTAAGGCCATCATGTCTCAATGTTCAATGTTAGAACTTTCTACAGACTGAAACAAATGGTTGGGCTCTACTCACTTATTAACTGTTAAGGACCATTGGTCAATATCTTGGAGAGCATTGACCTAAACGTGATAATCAGCCATGAACCTCCATGAAGTGTGTATTATTATCCCAACTCACATTGATACCAATATCCCTTCCCGCCGGAGTATTGTAGCGGAAACCTTGTACACCCGTTCCACATGTTGGACAAAACTAGGTCGATGAGCATAGTTCGCGAGTATAGTGATGGTGAATTACCCTATGAACCATTGTACGCTGTCCGAAATGATATTCTTTCAGAGTCCCCTCGCCCTTGGTGATCTTTAAACAGCCCTCGCCAGGAAATACCCATCGATATCCCTTTTTGAAGCAGATACTGCAGTTGCATTGGGTAACAGTAGTTATCTCAGGCATTTTGATTATAAATTTAAAAGCACCGCAATGGCAATTGCCATGATAGGTTTTGAGTTGGGAGGTAGTCTCTGACATTTTGGGATAACTGTTCGCAAGTAAATACGGGAGTGAGGGTAATGAAATGGTTTGGAAGATATGGAATCCCAGGTGAGGTCGAGCAATACTTTATATCACGTCTATCTTGTCAAAAGAAATCCGTTGGGAAATTTCCCAAGCCCGTGATGACAGTAATCGTAGCGTTTCGATCTTAAAAGGCATACATTAAATGCCATACATCCCTTGTAATGGGTATCATTTGTCTGACATTCGAATACGAAATTTCCAGAAGAGGAACGGCGAAGTCAAAGGTTTTGGATGGTGACTCATGAGCTTAGACTCTGTTGAGATGGTATCCCAAGCTGGAAACTTGAACATTGACTCTCAACAGAAGCAAAATGGGAATGCAATAATAATATGATCATTAATCAATGTTATCGGCCAGCTTAAAAGGGAAGGAGAAAAGGGAACTTCTCTCATCTATCCGTCCAATAAGGGGTGTCGTTACACTGCGAATTGAATCCCTGTTGGCCCGGGCTATGGTTCATGCTTACTAAATTTGTTAGTTGGCTCCGGATTCGATCGCAGACATCAGCCTCGTGAAAACAATGTTGATAAAATTGGCATCATCCAAAGACAGAGTATGAGTGAGTATCCTAGCTGCGGAACGAGCGGATGTCGAATCTCTCTTCTTTGCTCGCCTAACTCATAACTCATTGTGCAATAAACACAACTCCAACGCCGACCTGAACACCCACCCGGTGATCACATAAAGCAAATCTGTTTTCACCGACATTCCGTTAGAAAAACATCGGAAATGGGATTGAAGTTATTCACGCTGCCACCAATCAAAGCATCACCAAAATGTGTTGCCTGAACTTTCCATGGGCAAACTGTATGATCCTACAGATATCTTGAGACACCGATAATACCAAGGTCCCTACAAAATGGTTATGTCTTTAACGAATCGTTACTGATCTTGGTGTTGTGGGTTGAAAGGATCAGATAAAGATGATGACATGAAATGTCCGGATCATGCAAATTCTACCAGAGACAACAATGTCATTACCATAACACACATTGTTCTTGAGTATAGGCTTATACGAACGGACAACTGGTGAAAAGTCCGTGACTCCATAAGTTTATCCGTCATCTTGCATTGCATCTGCTAATCTTCAATTCACTAGGTGATCCGTCGTCTCAGTGCCGCAACTTCATATCCCGCTTTCTCTCGTTCCATTCCATATATAATCCGCAATCCACGGATTGTCCATGGAGAATCCGCGGAGCGGATAACCCATTTAAATAATCCATCTTAGGTTATTTTATAGATAATTTGTAAATAATCTACAGGTTATGGATAAATAATCTACACATAGTCTGTTTTGTGGATAATCTATTTGTATTTTCCAATAATTTAATCTACAAATAGATTATCTGTAGATTATTTATCAAAGCAATAGTCCGTCTTGTGGGCCCCTGTTGCGCAGTGTAAAGGTGAGTATAAATGACTACTTGAAGGCTCGCTCTGTTTAGCTCTTTACAATGATAAAAGCATCTGTTCATTTCCTTCTTGCTGCTTGACCAAAGCGGGTAAATTATTCCTCATTGGTTTAAATTTAGCTTCCACATTGGCTTTACCACACTTCCAAACCAAGGCACATTTTAACATCACGAATCCGTCAAAATAACCTCAAAAATGAAGGTCATTGTGGTTGGAGCAGGAATTGCTGGCCTTTCTGCTGCAATTGGACTTAGGAGAGCTGGTCATGAAGTTTTGGTATGAACTACTCTACTACTACTTTGCAAGTAGATTATCATTTAAGAACCGTTCACGAGCTCTTGGATCATTTTATCATCGCTAACAAATCTCAAAGATCCTCGATAAATCCTCTTTATCTAATGAAGTCGGCGCTGCAATCCGTGAGCATCTTTCATATCATCATCACAATAGAGAGAAATTAATCTACTTCAGACGTCCAGCCTAATGCATCCCGAATTGTGACTCAATGGGGCTTCGATATCGAAAGAGCTCGTCTCGTGACCGCAAAATCGAGCACTTTAACTTCCGGAGATGACCTCCGTGTCCTTACTGTGATAGATGTTTCTAACACTGAAGAAGAATATGGCTCTAGGTTTTTCTATAGTCATAGGGTTGATTTACATACAGAGTTAAAGTTGCTTGCCACAGGAGAAGAAGGACAAGGAAAGCCTGCCGTGATTCAAAATAAGTGCGAAGTTGTCGGTTATGTATGAAAATGTACACATCTTTCGCCGAAATTTTGCTGAGCTCTTTTAGGACACCATCAACGGATCATTAACTCTGGCCGACGGAACGAGTATGACGGCCGATTTAGTTGTCGGTGCTGATGGGATCCATTCTGCAGCTGTGAAAGAAGTCATAGGATATGAAAATCCAGCTGTTCCAACGGGAACGTCTTGTTTTCGATGTTTAATACCAGTCAAAGAGATCCAAGAAGACCCTGAATGTGCGTTTTTTATGGAAGAAATGGAGGGGAAGCTTCGAGTATTTGTCTCCCCGAATAATAGCAAGAAGAGAATTGTTTGGTATCCCTGCAGGGAGTATGGCATATCCCTCCTTTTGCAGAGTGCATGATGTCAAATACTTACAATCTTTCAGGAATCAAATACTTAATGTTGGATTCATGTGTCCGGATAGAGAGGGTCTAGAATCCACGGAAGGTAAGCCTCATTTGTTTCATGCATTTCTATTGTGTTCTTAAATCGATCTAACTTAAACATACTCCAGACTGGACCATCCGTATTCCCAGCGAGATCTTCCACAATGAGCTTATCGGATATCATCCTGCGCTGCGCCATTTGTTAGCTAAGGGGAAAGATGTCAGACTCTGGAAACTTCTATTCAGAGCCCCTATTCCTACTTGGCATCGGGGTAAACTCGTTCTTATTGGTGATGCTGCACATCCTATGTTACCCTGTAACTTCTCCCTCTCTTTTTTTCTCTTAGCCTACCTTTGCACCTGCCTACTCCTAAACCTCTCTCTCTTCACTTCCCTCACGTTCCTTCCATTCCCAATTGCCATCTCCTAAATACACACCCACACTAACAACCCCTCAAGACCAAGGACAAGCAGGCGCCCAAGCAATAGAAGATGGTTGCGCTCTCGGCATCCTCTTCTCCAACCTCCCACCCGGCAATCCTACAGCAGAAACGATATCAACAAGACTCAACAGTTTCGAAAAAATAAGAAGAAATCGAGCAAGTGCCATGCAAATGCTTTCAAATGAAGGCGTAGATCAAGCGGAAGAGGTAACGGAAAGTGCTAGGTGTTTTATGGAAGAGGGGCAGAGTGTACCTTGTGAGTTTTAGCTTTCTTTTGTAGATTTTGTACTGGTGGGGGAATGGTGAGAGGAGGAAGATATGGATGACGAGAAGGGGAATGGGAGAGGATTTTTCATGGAGAGATCCGTGATAAAAAGCTAACACAAAGCCTCTATCTAGTAACCCCTAAAGAGTATCAGAAATACATCTACGGGCACGATGTAGCGAAAGCATGCGAGGAGGAATTGGAGAGAATCAATAGGATTGAGGGGGTAGAGTAGATGGAAGGTTACACTTTCTAGAAATAGATCTTACATTCTTTAAATTCATCATAACATGGTTATCATACAATTATCCTACCGTTCATACAACCAAAATAGAATACATAAAACCTTAAACCTCGATTTGTGATTATAAAAATTATAAAATCTTATCTAGAAAACTTCTCTAGAGTCTACAGTAACCGTACACTGCTACTAATCGATACATGCCTTTTTCGAAATTTACATGTTTTCCTTTTCAATACTATATATTGTTTCATGAATTATACTACTGTAACGATCTGGTCGAGGCAGCGGCTGCCTGAGGTTTCGTATGGTTGGTAGTTGTAGGTTAAGGCTAAGGCTATTAATCACTGGTTATCCACTTGAAAGTGAATTCGTTACTAGATCAATTAGAATGTAGGTAAACTAATTGATAACTAAGTTGAGTATGAAGCTTCTAAATTATGAAACTATTCTGATTATATACTAATCCATTTCGGGAGCCTTCAGGAGCATGGGCTCCTGTAGACTCCTTGGAGCCTTCAAGAGTGTAGGCTCCTCGAGGCTCCATTATGTGACTAGGATCAGACTATATGTCCGAGCTTGCTGAAGGTGGGGAGACCATATGAAGCGATTACTATACAAATTTGTATACAAGTTGCTTTGCTTTTCAAGGAGGTCCAAGCTCACATGGACAGGTTGACTGTTACCCTGTAACATTCTATAAAATAATTTTGTGACAAATATTAATTTATATAGAATAATACTTTTATATATATTATTTATAAAATAAAAGTATAATTTCAAGAAAAGAGTATTCTTTTAGTTCAGGATTGATCTTTTTATAATTCTGATCTGAATCTTATAAAGTATATTTGATAATATCTAAAAGTATATATTTTAGAAATGTTTTCTGATATTTCTAATGATAAAAGTAATACAAAATATACTAGATAAAAATTAAAGAGTTATTTACAAATAATATAGGATATATTAGATAATGAATTATTTTATAAATTAAGAGCTATTATATTGAATAGAATAAATCTATATTATAATTGATAGATGATATATTAAATATTGAAGGTTAGAATTAGAATATTAAAAAGAAAAATTATAAGTTAGGTTATATATCTAAATCTCAAATATATCAAAATTTTATATCAAAATAATGAAATGTTGATTTAATAATAAAGATTAAATAGAATAATATTAATAATAAATTCCGGGTGAAATCCGGCCGGCCGGTAGTAGTGCGCTAGTATTATATCTCATCATTAGAGAGATTTTTCAAATATTTTTAATCTTATATTCTTAATAATAATTAAAATATATTCTAAATCTAGACCTTAATCTTGATCTTGAATTCCATCTTTAATTTATAATTAAATAATATTATAATAGATTTAAGATGTATTTAATTTTTTCTTTTTCTTTTTTATATTAATATTATAAGAAAGTTGGAATTATAGACCAAATATATAAAGGTTTTAACTAGTCAATTATATGATCTTTTATAATTAGATATAAAAGAAAAGCCCTTTATCTTTTCTTTTTATAATAATCAATCTTCTATATATATACATTTGAATCTATATAGTATCAACCCCAAAACCATTGTGAACCCTGTTTTATCTATAAGTAACGTATTACAATATAATCTAATTCAGCTTTCTCTTCCAATTCCCTCCTCACAGTGTGCTATCGGGACGCACGTATCTCGACCTACCACTTTTACAATATAAATAGAAAGTTAAATTTATAAATTATAAATGATGAGTTGGAAATTTTGAAAGATAATTGTTAGATAAGATTAATATAATAAAAGGAGTAAACAGGAGTTGATTTATTAGATTGAGGGATGTATATTGAGTGATGTATAAGGGGATTAATATTGATATTTATCTTAATGAATCTGACAGGCCGTTGTAAAATCTTATAATACCCTAGTTGACATACTTGAAGCTTGATCTCCAAAGTCAAAGCTATACAGCAAAATAGATATTTATATTATAAGATTAGTATATTTCCGGTTCGTGCCACCAGGACTTCGGAGCAGAAAAATAACATTACTAAGGGCCTATTTTTGTGATTCATAGAATTTGAATATCTATCTGTATCTGGAGTGTAATCTCAGAAAGCGGAATGTCGGAGAACATCTAGGTGTTTATAAGTTTGTGTATCAAGCGTCCGACATTCGTGAAAAGTTTCAAGCTCAAAGTGAGATGAGGTTGTAGGTGAATCTTGATATGCTGTAGGATTTCGATATGAAATACATCCGCGAAAATCCAGAGATAGTCGGTAGGGGAAGATGAAATTGCCTAGAACAATCTATTTGGAGATAGCATTTCTCGTAGCTTTCTCGGGTTTGAAGCCGACCTTGGACTTGAGTTTATCTTGAGTTTTGGATTGATCTCGATCTTGGAACATAGTATGTGTAGTATACGTATTTCAAATCGTTGTTGCTTTCTTCCTTGATAAGGTACTGACTGACTAGCGAGACATGACTCTTGCGCGAAGAACTAATCACAGTTACCGTGAAAAATTTCCAAAAATAGTATGTATTTATGATTATTGACGGGGGGATTTTGTTGGTTGCTTACTGGAGATGAATCGGTTGTTGCCTGGTGCCTTGTAACTAGAGTTTTGAGGAAGATTTTTTTTTGGTTGGTGGGAGGGAGTAGGAAGGTATTGGGGGGTAAGTTATTGGCAGAGTGGTTATTAGAACAGTAGATATATTTAGCTTGTCAAGAAACTAATCGCTCGACAAGTTAAATTCCTCTAATAGGTTAATAAAGTGATAATCTTTGAGCTAGGGCTTTAGGGCTAGTGTTGTGTGTCGTCCAAAGTATAGTGGGCTGTCAAATTTTATATTTTTCACTTCCTCGTAATCATGGATCAGCTGGGAACAATGCCCGATGATTTGATAAGACTTAGTATAAGGATTCTTATTAAGATTATATATTTTTAATTATATTTATACTCGGCCTTATATTTTGATCTTTAAAGTATAAATCTTTTTTAAAAAAAAGATTTTATTTGATTTAAACTTAATTTTGTAAAATGTATTTAATGATATTCAAAAATATGTATATATATATTTCTTTTAAATATTCTTTGATATTATTTTGAAATATATTAAATAAATATTAAAGAATATTTTAAAAACCATTTGAAATATATTAGATAAAAATATTATTTAAAAAAATTGAAAATGAATACATCAGATTAAAATAAAGATTTTATTATAATTAAATATAAAAAGATTAAAATAAGTTTAAAAGAAATTTAAAAGAAATCCTTTTTTTACTAACATATATATTAGAACCTTTAATATATTCAGACTTGTTAATACAATAACAAAATTTAATTTAATAATTAAGATTGAATAGAATAATATAATTGAATAATTCCTGGTAAATTCAGGTTGACGGACAAGCTGTGCGCAAGTGCTATAGCTTCTCTGGAAACTCGTCAATAATCCTTTGCTGGTAGTGAATGCCGCTTCAAGATGACGCCACATCGAAGATTGTAGAAACATATCTAGGATTCACTAAAAAGAGTAGGTGCTCCTAGGGAGTGAATAATTAATTGTGGCTCGGTCGTCTTAGTGCCCCCTTGCTAATATAGTGCTGGACAACTCGAGCTACAAAACCTGAGACCAACCGCACAATATTTTCTTTTCAGATAAGTTCAAAGAAGCAACGGGAAAATTGGTAGATATTTAAATTATCCAGTCTTCGACATGTTAGTTTCTCGGAAATATCCCGCGGTATTCTTATTACAGCCTGTTGTGTCGCCGTCGGTCCGGTAGCGGCTTTGGCATGGTCTGCTCAAGTGGCCCAAAACCAGCTTAAATGCAAGGTTAGGGAAGCAAAGTCCCGGAAGGTTATCAAAAGTTCCAGTCCCAGGATGTTCCGCACCTTCATATTGTTCAACTCATTACCCAAAGAGCTGCAATTAACTATATGGAAATTAGCGCTCCAGGATGTTGGTCCTCGAACTGTCAAACTCAGGTTGTGTTGGTGGGAATACAAGGTACCTACGACTGGATGCCGCGACTATTTAGGTTCTATTCTTACAGCACGTCAAAAATACAAAGCCAAGATTCCAAGTTTGCTTCATACCTGTCAAGACTCACGCGAAGTTGCTCTGAAGGTATACAAGCTCAGCTTCGCAAAGTTATTGCAAGATCGTCCGGTATATTTTGATATTGAAAAGGATACACTTTGGGTTTCCGGGGGATGCAGACAAAACTTTCGCTTTCCAGTTCGACTAATCGGTATGGATGGCTTTCGAAACTTGATCATCACACCTTCTTCACGCGGATTCATCGGTCACAATTCTGCGATAACATCGTTTGAACCACTTTCTACATGGCTCAATGAATTCCTTCTCGGTACGAAAGGCCCAAAGAAACATGTTCAAATCGTACATCAGGAGGATAGAATGTTTTCAACCGTGGACGATACAGATGCACAACTATTATACAATGGCTTCATGCGAGTTTTCAACAAGCAGCAAATTCATTCGGAAATTGATCATAGATATTATCCATCTATAACAGTAGTCAGGAGAGATAATTTAGATTTTGGAGGTGGACATTGGTAGATGTTCTGTTCCCTCAAGCCATTGATCTATGCCTAATTTGCAATTTTTGTTTAGAGGGTCAATCTGATAAAGCAAAGTAACTGTATATCATGCAGAACAATCGAGAACATGGACAGGAATACTTTCTGGGGGTATCATGAAAATAGCAATTGATTTCAATCAAGTATATATGCATGGCAATTTGACAATGTGTGGTGGTACTCAGTAACTTTGCTTTGTTTTCTTCTCAATCTCCATTCTTTTGTGAATACATGATTTTCATTCATACAGTCATTCAACCTCACTCCACACGAAAATTGGCCCCCTCATAAACAGATGATTGTTATTAATATCCTCTCATTTCCACTCCTCACCATACGAGCTTAACTAATGCATTCTCTAGTCGTGTACATTTATGAGAATGAACATTCAAAACAACTAAAACCCCTTTTTCATCACATAATTACTCGCTAAACTTATATCACATAGTGCTTCGCGAAATTCAGTATCGGGAATGATATTGACAGATAGATTTCAACCACTTTTGTTGGTCCTTAGAAATTCTGGCTGGCATGCAAAACTTCCACATGCTCTAAGATGTGGTAATAAATCCCATTATTGAAAGCTTTAGTGTACTCAAGGTCATGTAATGTACTAGGGGTTGATACTCGACGCCAAATTCTGGGGTAGGGCCATCAAGAGGCAATAGATTTCACGCTTATAATCATGGTGTTTGGGTATGTGGATTGACGTAAATCGATCATAGGGAGGGGAAACGTAGGATCGATGAAGCTATATTGGAGGAAACTTGGGTTATCAACTCTCGAAAATACAAATTATCCCCGTGGGGATGCAGTGCATACGCGAAGCTGGGGGAGCCTTGGAAGTACTAGTGGGTCATACACCAGAGGAAGGTTATATCAACATCAAAAAAGTGATATCAACTACCTCGCCATTTTCGTCTGAATATCATTCTCAATCCAATTAGCATAATTCCAAGGTCAATAAAAGATAACTTAAGGATATAATATTCTGCAATAACTTATCTCTCGAATCGGACTTTTCTCTTAGAACTGAAAGGTTGATACTCTTCAGAATTAAGAATTCAATTCGTAACGTCCAATATAATTGAATTTTTCGACTTTGTTTGAGTTCGATTTCTTTGATAAAATGCTTCTGAATAAACTCTAAGAACTAGATATTCACGAAAGCATCAGGCATTTAGTTAAGACTTCGTTAATACGTTATTAAATTAAGTGTACTAGATTTAGCCTAGCTCGCCTGGGCTTAACTCAACCTCCTTTTCGAGATGATTCCCTTCGCCATTCCTGCATCACAAAAACTACCGAACAGATCAGAGTTAAGAATATTATCATAAGAAACTCCGGACAATGGTTATGCGATGTGCACGCCAGGGTCAAGATTTCGGAAATATAGCCAGCGACTTTTAATGTCCAAATGTTTGAAATAAGTCATAATTAACGTGTCTGACGGCTATTCACTTCCTTGGCAGAGAAAATCGATACTAAATGGTTGCAGCCGGTATCTAATGGCTTACCACCGTTTTCATCCTGAATGTACGGTACAGTTTGTCGAGTCTTTCCAGATAGCATTCATTCTTCTCATATGTTTATACATCTCACAGCGAAACATCTCGATGCTTTGTTTCAAATGACGCATACGCAATGCGGGGAGTGATGTTGCAATGTTAGAGTTTTCACTTCTCTTAAGTCGGTACAAGGGATACTTGATCCCAGTTATATCTTCATATTCTTTGGAAATAAGGTTTTACGGCTTTTTTATCCTCTAACCTCGACATGGAGTAACCCTGTCATTGTGGCTGATGTGAAAGTCTCTCATCGGATGGACATATGAGTTTAAAGTATAAGATCTCTAGTCATCCAGATATCTAGTCTTCCTTGAATGGAGACATTCGATCTACCAGATAGACTCCCAGCAACATCTTCTTCTTGTTCTCACGATGTTACATAAAACCTTCTACTTGTCCTTGTTGTGTTCTTTTTCTGCCTTTGCAAATGCAGGTGCTTTGAATGCCGCTATCGGTCCCCCAGTTTCTAGTGTCAGAAATTCTACCACTCCAGATGTAAACATTTGTGTGAGTACTCGGTTTCGAATTATAATTATTTCTCAGCATGTTTACTCATCGATAATTTAATTCCCCTCATTTTTACATCTTTTTACAACCTTTAGCTGCAAATTATTGACGTTTCCGTATAGTGTAAAGCTCTAAAACAAGCATTGGGTTCGAAAGTATCTTACTCGAACTCATCAACGTATACTGCATTTTTGGAAAATTTCTATTCTCAGCAAGAATCAGACATATCCCCAGGCTGCATTTTATCACCAACATCCACAATAGATGTCTCGATTGCTGTCGCTATTCTATCTGTTCTTGGAAAATCCACAAACTGGAAGCCTTCATGCCAATTCGCCATCAAATCTGGAGGTCATGCCCCAGGAGCAGGGGAGGCCAACATAAATCAAGGAGTTTCAATAGATCTGAGTTCCATCAATGCGATCAGTGTTAACACCAATGAGTCCGTGGTCTCAGTAGGTCCCGCAGCAAAATGGCGGGAGGTTTATTCTAGACTAGATGCTTTACAACTGACTGTTTCCGGGGGACGTGTCAGCACAGTTGGGGTTGGAGGGCTAACCCTCGGAGGTAAGTTCGGCTGATCTATTTCCTTTGCATTTCTAATTTAAGTCAAACATACAGGTGGAATATCCTATTTCTCTCCTAAAAAAGGGTTTACATGTGACAATGTAAAGAACTTCGAAGTGGTTCTCGCAAACGGAAGAGTCGTCAATGCAAATGCCAAGGAAAATAGCGATTTATTTCTAGCATTGAAAGGCGGCTCAAACAATCTCGGTGTAGTTACACGAATTGACTTCTACGCTTTCAAACAAGGCAATATATGGGGTGGTAATATACTGTATCCAATTACTACCGCAGACCAACAAATCAATGCCTTGGCCGACTTCAGCTCTAACGCAACTTATGATGAGAATGCATCTTTAATCATGAGTTTTGCGTTTCAACTTGGTGTAGGCGCAGTGGTAGTTAATAATGTTGTGTATACCGAACCAGTCGTTAATCCACCAGTATACCAACCTTTCACATCCATTCAACCTCAGTACCTCAATACTATGGGCATCAGGAACTTAACTGATGTCACCAGTGAAACACTTGCCACCGCTTCACGTTCACGGTATATTCTTTTCATTCTTTTCTATTCCACATCAAATATCAATCCTTCTAACAATGCGCAGTACACTTTTTAAAACAACGACATTCAGCGCCAACAAAGAAATGATAATCACCGCCTTTAACGCCTACAACGCCTCACTCCCCTCCATCGAATCCCTCTCCGGAATTACCTGGTCATTATCCTTAGCACCACTCCCCACCAACATCCCCGCCAAATCCGCACCACTAGGCGGAAACGTCCTAGGTGTAACTCCAGAAGACGGACCACTAATCGTTGTTCTCCTAACCGCTACATGGGCCGACATTTCCGACGATACACTTGTCACCGACACCGCTCAAGCTATCTTCGACAAGATTGATTCGTTTGCAACGACAAAGGGATATCTTAATGATTGGCAATATTTGAATTATGCGGCTAATTCGCAAGATCCGATTGATGGGTACGGAGCGACAAATAAGGCAATTTTGCAGGCGGCGAGTAGGAAGTATGATCCCGCGGGTGTTTTTCAGAAGGGTGTACCGGGGGGGTTTAAACTTTTTGTTTGAACTTTTTGTTTGAACTTGGGTGGAAACTTTATAGGTTGATCTACAGGGAAGATGTCCGTTTTGATAATTTAATGTTCGTTTATATTGGTGTTGAAGACTCAGAGTTTTCGGAAGCTCCTATTCAGTGTGATGTTTCGCTTCATAACTTTTTTATTCAAAGATCTTACATTGGCTAATGTACTCGAACAAATGTTGGCAGGATTGTAAAATAAGAGTTTTGCACCCATGTTGAAGTTTTAAAGTCGTTGCATGAAACTCGTTATTTGAAGATTGGCCTGTCTCCAAATTGTGCTTCTCTTCTTCCTTTGCTAACTCATAGTCATTTATGAAGCTATTCTTCATATCAATTCAACAACTTCATTATCCACATCTCCTACTTTGAACCTCTCATCAGATCCACTCTCTATCTACACCCAACCCATCATGCTTCATACACTCATTAGTCCTGATCTATATACTCATTCCCCGCAATCCAAAAAATTTCTTTTACTGCCATAGTACAAGTAGCACATCCAATGATCATCAAAATCTTAAGAATTATTCTAATTATCTCGTTAGACCATAACAACTTATGATCACTCGTACTTCCAGTCTGGAATTGAGAAAAGTGTTCCTAATATCATTATCAATAATTTTTGCTGCTAGTTGAGGGATCTGATCATGTTTCTGAATCTTCATGATAGCAGAACTTCTTAGTAGGGCTCTGAACTTTTGGGACCGAGATGCATGTGAGAGAGAGTTAGGGTCTTGTATATTAGATTAGGTCTCATGTAATCTTAATAGATATTTTTCAATAGATACAGATACCCCCGCTACATCTCTCAAGCCATCGAGTATAGAAAAGCTAATAAATATCTTACACAGCACCAATTAACTGCTTCTTAAGTTTCAGTTTTATATTATTTGTAAATGAATGATACTAAAGATATACGTAAAATGGCAAAGTTCTAAAATCTCATCTCGTCATAAATATTAACATCATGTCCCTCTACCGTATTAGCTCTTGATGCTCCATCGAATTTCTTGCCGCTAATTTTCACATTGCTTGCTCCTGAAGCTGGAAGTACTTGATTCTCTAGGATATTGCGTGTCGGTATTCGAGACCTCCACTGCAAGTCTTTGGTTGTTTTCAATCAAAAAATTTTAACACTTGTTCGGTTGCCAGAAGATTCACTCTCAACCAGACCAGAAATAATTTTCCACCGATGAATCTCAATCATCTTACCTCCAAGTATCATTGACCAGGAAGTTCACTCGTTCTCTTCACCCCCGTACTCCAGGTCCTCCTACCATCTTCCTCAACATAAAGTTCCGAAACCGGCCCCCGGTTCACCATTTCTCTCCCATGTTCTGATAAGTTAATCACACCAGTCATCATTGAAGAGTTCGATTCCATTCTTGCTTTTTTCTCCTTACGTCTACGTAAGAAACATTTTGCGACGCCTGCTGATAGTCCTAGGACGAATAATGCTATTGCTACACCTATTGCGATCCCGCTGCCCGTGGAAAGTCCATTGTTGGATGAAGATGTGTTTACCGGTTGCGTGGTTTGCATAGATGAGCCTAAGGATGTTTGTGTCGATGTCTTTGAGTCGGATGAGGATGTATTTCCTGGTTGTGTGGTTTGGGGAGGTGAGCTTAATGAAGTTGGTGTCGGTGTCGCTGAATCGGACCCGGACTCCAAGGATGCTGTGGATGAAGAGGTGATAGATGGACTAATTAAAGCAGCAGCTGCCGCCGAAGAAAAAACTCCTAAATCACTTGCTTGCCACCAAACGGGTATTCCATCACCGAAAATAATATATGGAGATCCAGAGGCCCTAGTCGTGAGAGGTGTATTGGCATCAGTTGAAACCCATGAATTTAAAGCGTTCAGTGAAGGATTAATATAAAAGAGTGTCGAAGTAGTAGTCCAGAACGTCGAGCCGCATGCATGGCCATCCGATGAATAGCTAAATCCACTTAAAGAGCATTAGTGATGAGCTTCTCGCAGCAACGTTGTTATATATATCAGGCCACTCACGAAGGGCAGCAAACAACAGCCGTAGTTTCGTCTCCAATCTTCAGCTGTGTAGTACCTTTTCCAAAACTGGATGATAATGTTGCCGCTTGCGACCAGCCTTGTGGGCATATTCCCGGACTATCTAAAAATTTATAAGTAAGTGCTTAAAGTAATCAAGATATAGGCTAACAATAATAAACACCCCATGCATTTTCCCACGGACCATAATCTGTGGTACTACTGGGAAAACAAGCAGCGTCTACGTAGCCTTTATCTCGATGTCCAAAATACATATTGGTTGAAAATGTCAATGTAGATAGACATGAGGCTGGCGGTATGAAGGTAGTTAAAATGGGGCCGCGATTGTAAGCTGAGATTTTTGGTGGATCGGTGATTAGAGGTATGGATGATGAGGATGATTTCGACATTGCAAATAATTCAATTGTGGAAAAGACTGTATGGAATGTTCAAGATGAATGAAAAAGTCAGATCCAAAAGATAAAAATGAATTGGCAAAGGTATACATCACAGGTAATGTGCCTTATTTTCTAACGGCTGTGCCTACGATATATGTAAGGATGTTGATCCTGAACGTTTCAGGCGAGTTGATTTTTGGTGGTATTGATGTAGAAATGCGTACTATTTTTGATGCTTACAGGTTGGGGGCTTTTGCTGCAGAATTGCGAGCTTTCGGAAATGAAGAATATGGTAGGTGAAATCTTACCCGGGACTTCCTTTGTGAAGAACTTCGCACTCATCGCTATTCTATGGTTCCTCTTCTTCACATTGTGAATTTGTTTCGCCCAACAAGCAAGTTTTCTTCTTATCGGGTCGATCGCTTTGATCATGATGAGATTGCGCTAGCATCTTGGTTCATCAAATGATCGCAATTTATTTACGAGTAATAAATTGTTCCAGTCATATTTCTAAAATGTGGTGCCAGTGCGACCTTGACTTGAATGCAAAATAATAATGCCGTTTGGTGGGTGTTATTGCAGATGGGAGGCTGAGGGTCGTATGGATAGACTAGGGATGAAGCGGTACGATAGGCAAGGCAACATCGGGCGTTCTGCATCTTCAGCGCCGACTCAAAGGCTTGATAATCGCTGCCAAAGTACACTCCAGCACAGAAAATTATGAATAGACTCAACAACTCTTCCGACCCTGAAAGCCTGAAGACCTTGTCTCCCAAACTTTGAGCATCGTGTTGCGAATGATGATGATCGACAATGGGAATGCATAGTATAGTGTAAGCTTGCTTTCGACGTTACATGAAAATTCGGAACCTTGTTACGTAGCTTCGTATCACTTGATTTATGGGAATGGGAATATGATATGTATGCGGTTGGTAGAATAGTGATCATACAGTTTTTGTGAAACTAACTTGCATCATAAAATCATATTCTGCATGTGCCCTATTACTAATTCAACTAGTCATTGCGTCGACACGACAGAATTTACCCTACCTCGTACCCAGGATATTTGGCCACTTAGGGTATTTACCCTACAAAATTTGGGTAGCGTCCCGGGCGTTAATCAGGTGATCATCTCATAATTATCCAAAGTTTAGGGCGAATATAATCATACGATACTCTCTGAATATCAAGCATCTTATATATGACCATATGATCACATGATAATTTCTATTACATAGATGGCAGGTGTACCATATTCACGTGTGTTCACGTGCCTAGCCGGGCAGTTTCAACCCGTACCCGATAATATATCGTAGGGTAGTTACCCTACTCGATGGATGTCGAGTAGGGCGTTTAACCAGAGGAAGATACCCCTAATAACCGCGGGTTACCTCACCCTTTACCCAGGCCTAGTGACAAAAGGCTGGAAATTAGGTAATGTGCATTTCAAGGATTGTTTGATGATATCGATAGGTTCTGTACTTAACTTTTGTCATATATCACACAATACGCCGGTACCCATACTAGCCGTTTACTCTTTGATCTCACTGCACACCCTTATTCTGCAGCGCAAGATATTCCCCTGAAGAGAGACAACTCTCGTCAGGAATATCCACCCTATACTTCTTCACTAACTCCCTCACTCTATCCACCGGTAATCCGTCTAATCTGTATCCCTGAAACCCCGTTCTACCATCTCTTCCTGCAATAATGGAATTGAGAATTGCTTCCTCGGTAGCTTCACTTGCGGCTCGGAAGAGCGTTTCGATACTTTCATTTTTGATGATTTTAATATCGTTAACTTCGATTTTGGAAAGTCCATTCACTTGAGGTTCGTCGACTAGCTCGTTGGTTTTGTTGCCTGTGGAAAGAGCGAGTATTATATCACCGGAGTGATTGCGTCCTACTCCATGGCCGCCAACTTGAGAGAGTCCTACTGCGCAATGACGGGCTACGCGGTTGAGTTGATGGGGGAGAAGAGGGGCATCAGTTCTATTGTGATTATTAGTTTAAAAGCAAATAAGTGGTGCTGAGGTTGCGAGATAAGGACAAAACTTACATCAAAACAATAACAATACTGCCTTCTCCAATCTTTCCCCCTTTCTCACTTTCCCTCTCTTTTTCCTCCAAGTCTTTTCTCTCCTTCAATAACAGCCTTCCAATTGGCACGCCTCCAACCATGAAATCCCTCAAATGTCCATAATTACTTTGAACCAAAACTCCAACCGTCCACTTCTCCCCTCCTTCTTTACTTTCCCAAGGAATTTGTCCAAAGACTCTCGAACTCGTTCCAGTCCCTCCAGGAAACATGTGACATGTCATACCAGCTCCACCTCCACATTGGCCTTCCTGGACCTCCTGTTGCGTTAATGCGTTCTCGAAAGCAGGTTTTACGTCTTCCAGAGTCAGCGGGGAGCGATACACGTCGTTAAGGATAAAATCGGCTGTTTCCCCTACGATAGGGGTACCGTAGTTATGGGATATTTCTTTGATACGGTTTTCTTTGTTTGAGGCAACGTCAAGCACTCGTTGCCATAGTGCTTGGAAGACTGTTCCCAGGGAGAGAGAATTTGTTATGGCGATTGGCTGTGTATATTTTTGTTAATACGACTTCTGTGCCCCATTGTTTCTACAAAAAGTCAAAAGTGGAGAATTGAAATTGAATAGTGGAAAAATATGATTACGAACAGTATTTGAATAACCCCAGTCTTTAAGCTGATAGCTACCGGTCAGTTCCCCATTTCCATTTAGGGTATGCAACCCCGCATAACAGGGGATATTGATATCATCAGGATGGCGCGGAAAAATGACAGTAACACCTTTACGGACGTCATTTCCGACTGTATTTTGACCGACATGAACTCCTGAAGAATATTAGCATGCAGTGTTGAATTTCCCAACAGCACAGTAAAGGAAGGGGTATAACATTCTCGGTAACTAACCTGGAACATCGAGAATAGAGTTTTTCGGTCCTGGTGGAAGTTGTCCTGGAACATACCCGATGTCCTTACTTGTGAGACGTATATTCGACATTTTTCTCGAAGAATCGTATGATTACCTGTGGTGTTGGCGGTTATAGTGTTTTTGAAGAGAATGGAGTGAGGCGTTTGACATCCTGGTTATAAAAATTGAGTTGGGTGAATATATAGTGTAATGTCGAATTTGGATTGCGGGGTAATAATTGACGGGTGACTCACGCCGTAAATATCATTGGGATCGACGAACACAATATATGCAGGCTGCAAAGGTGCAGATGGAGTGCATATTTTGTTTCTACTGGTTTCTACTCATACGACACCCAATTGGAGTAGCAACTTAGTTAATCTGGCATACTCGACTAGTAGATCCATGTTCAGAAAAGAATTGATTGGGAAGGTAAAAGGTCTAAAAGAACACAATAAGTGCGATAGCCCCTGATTTTAGCGAAATTAGTGTTCAGTCGCAATGAGATCTCTGGCCACCATGTGAGTAATTGACCAGAGGTAAGCAATTAATGCTATCATTCTTAGCGACCTTTTTCTTTTTCTTGTTTGTATTAGGAAGGTAGATAAAATCTCCCGTTTGCGCTACTTGCAATTATAGTAAATTAGGTCTTTATTGGGTTGCCCGGAGGTGGCATAGCCGAGCTGGAAATTGCTCGCCCTACTCGATATCGATACCACTCCTAACTAGCATTTTAGTGGTTAAAGGTATTCATGATATAAGATCTTCGCAGATGTTCTTCTTCACGGGAACATTATAATAAAATAGCTCATTGATAAATCTCTATTGTCCGGGTATATCTCTGTTGCAGCTAGCATTCAACATAGCGATGGCTTGGAGCTTAGGCTTTGTCATCGGTATAAAAGATACCCCGTGAGACCCAAATAGATTGGAATGGACTCTGCTTCGTTTTCATTGAAGCCCCCTGGCCCATTTAGTGTTCAAAAAATAAATCTCTATCAGGCCGACCTTGAGTGGTGGTGGTAATTGTTTTGGTCATGTTTAAAGGGCCTTTTGCTTATGTGATTGATTACATAATAATGAGAACGGTGATGCTAATGCCGAATCTCCGACTGAACAAACAACCAAATATAGAACATCACAACACCATATTACACAATGTTCATTGTTGCCGCGAGCATCTGTCCATTCATTGATTTTGATACAACTCTTACTTAACTTTAAGCTGGTTGCGTAGACAAAGTGCAGGCTTTCAGTAATGACGCACAAGCCAAACTTCAAGGCCTCATTATCTTACTGGCGCATATGAGAAGGATGGCTTCAGTTTACCAACATCTATTCCATATTGCTGTAAGGAATTCAATCAAAGTAACTTCATTTCTTCAGTGCGGCTAATACGGCTGTTGCTTCAGTTTATACCAAAAGTCTACGAGTGTTTAAGGTATTAGTACCGACGATGGCGGTGCAAATTGCTTGGTGGCCTGTTGGTCACAGCCCGCCTTCATCCTTAGTAGCATACATTATGATTCGTTATTGCCTTTGAAAATTTCCATGCAAAGGTCATAATCCGGGTCTCCTTTTTTTTTCTCGGGTGGCGGTCAGGAAGGCCTGATCTTATTTTCGAGCAGTTCTTTTCCGCAGTCGGATATTAATATAATGAAGGATTTTTTGTTGGATCCTAATACTTTCCAACATTAATTCTCATTCCATTGAAGGTTTGCATAGCTTTTCATCGTATACTTACAACATTCGTTCTTTTTTTCTTTTAGGAAAATACCGTCGAGCCTTGCGTTCTTTTCAGGGAATTCTCGTTAGTAGGTTGGTTTTAGTAGTACTGCCAAATCAGTCGATCAAGTGTTCCCTTTCTTTCTTTAGTATATTCGTCTTTTTCTCGGCAAACAGAGTTCTCTTCTACTCCCAAAGGGGAATCATGATGGGCTGTCGTCCAAAGTAGATTGAGGTAGTAATTTGTATCATCAATTTTACACTCCATATACTGACCTGACTCAAAATAGCTGCAGTATATCGGTATGAAGTGGTTGACACAGATTTTTGGCAAGAAGAAGAAGGATTCAAAACACGAAAATCATATCAGTCACACTCAAAAACAGAAAAAGACAAAGATAAATGATACGACCTATCGGAGCGATATACCGAATGATGGATTTCCAGGAGGGCGTCCAGAAGATCCGCGACATGCAAAACGAGTACCAATGCCGCACAAAACTGAAGATCGGCACGGAAACTTCAGCCAGGCGACTCAGACACACAAAACCTCCAATTCAGTGACAGAACAACTAGCATTTGTTGGCGATTATATCGATGATTATAATAGAAAAACCCACAGGTCTAGTGACCGCATTGAGATTGACATTATCATTCTTAAAGGGCTTCTGGATATTGACCAGAAGTTAACAGAACCAAAACCTGGCACTCAGATCAAATTTATCAGCAACCCGAGGAAGTCATGGCGATATGATCTTCATTCAGCAAAATTACGACGAGCATGCGCGAAAACAAAATGGCACACGACAGACCCTTGGATCCCTGACGCTACATTGGACAAAGCGATCCAAGAGGAAATGTTTAGAGCGACGGAACATGACAAAAGAGTATATATATCCGGGATGAGCGGCATCATTATCCGAAAGCCTCCACCGGAGTATCGTATCTGTCAGCGCATTAATCGTCTTGGGGATCCAAGGTCAAAATCACAGCCATCTTCTTCCGAGCTTAGCAAAATAGTGGAAGAGATGCGAACTTATATTGAACACAATAAGCTACGTCTAGAAGATAAACAGTCTAAATTGCGGCAAAAATATCGGGAGCAGGGGAAGAAATACGACATAAATCCTCTGGCATATGACTGTGGTAATCACCATCATCAATCGCAAGGTGTTATGATTCCAGATAAGTTAATCGAAAAATGGCAGAACAATTATCGTTTCAATAACGTGCATTTCTGGCTGGATAAAATCGATTACCATTCTTGTCAGATGAGCCTTAGGAAATGGGGACATAGACATCTCATAGGCCACGTCATGATTGTAGACCGTTCTAAATCGCGTGAGTCTAGTAGCACAAAGAGTCGACATGATTCTCATAGAGCTAATGGACCCCATGATTCTGCGATATCTGTTCGCCATGATCCGGGCTCCAGCCAACGACCTCCACCTAAAGCAAACACATATAAATCAAAATACAGTTCGGGTAGTGGCACATCTATAGGTGGGCGACGACGTGGGCAAAGCTCTGCTCAACTGCCGTCTCAGCGCGAGCTATCCAGTACACAGTCGAGCCGCGAGGCTCCTCCAAAAAATAAGCCTTCTCCTTATTCACGACCAACACCTTCAATCCGGGTAGATCCATCAGACCACGAGGAATGGCAAGGGAAATCTCCCGGTAAATCTCCCAGCAGAAAGTCACCCAAGCGCTCCCCTCGCACACCCGATAAAAACCACGTTTACCAAAACTCAGGGGTTCCCCCTCTACCACCAACTTCCCACTCACCACATCGCGACAATCAAAAATCACCTGCAAGACCTGGATCTAGCAGTCGCGGAATGACTCAAAAGAAAAGCCATCGAGATCTCCTAGATCCTGGCACTTTGCAACCACAACCATCCTCATACACATACACACACACAAACATCACTCCCAGTAGTAAACCCGAAACCGTAAAAACCAAAAAAAGTCACCATGATTTATTCCACGCTAGCACTAACCCACTATATACACATTCATATTCATATTCGCAAGCACCGGCACCGGCACAAACACAACCACAGCTACAACCACACCCACAAATAAACACACAAATAAACCGCACCACCCAAAACGAACACCTAAAACCAGCAACAACCACTCAAAACATCTCCCCCGTCTCCCCACTAGATCCCAAATATAGAAAACGATGGGAATACCAAACAGCAGAGCAAAAGGAAGAAATCCATCGGAAAATGATGCAGGAACTTAGGTCAGAGGGTAAAATAGATCATTGATGAGATATTTTTTTCCCTTTTGTTTATGGATATAGATGGATGAATGTTTAGAGCTGTATGTATATATATACGACTAGGTAGTTTTCTTTGTAAGATCTTATGTGGAAAAGAAGTATGTAGCTACACGTTATATTATATTATATTTGATTTTTATTTTATTTTCTTTATATAATTATTTTTAGGCTCGCTATGTACATACCTACCTAGGTAGCTATGGCACGGGAAATGGGGGTTGGGAGTTCGTGTTACTTGTAACCTTCTTTTCTTGTTGATTTGATTGCTTTGGATGCTTGCTTGATTGAGGTCAGAATGTAGTGTTGCTTAGGATTCATCGTATTATTCCCTCTTCTCTATTTATTCATTCGTTCGTTCTTCATTTATTTTCCTTTTTGCATTATCTCACCCTCCTCCTTTTCTAAGCATAGCTCCCTGTTGCTCAACCAATCACATGTTATTCATCATTCACTCCCCGATTCATAATTCACTTCACTTCACTCAATTGTCACCAACTCCAAATATCATCTGTTCTGTTCTGTTCATCATATAAATTTCATAGCAAACGTATTTATTTATTTCATTCACTCTCGTCCACATTGATCTTATATGTATTATTCAATTCAATCCAATTGTTCACTAAACCCAGGAGTATCATTCATTTACCAACCCATCCATTCCTCACGCTATCCATATGAAGAAAGTACCAACCAATACACTTATACAATATATAAACCCTGATATGCTCGCTCTTTTCCCATCAAATAAGCAAGAAACCCCAGACCTTTCGCCCTACCGCGATCCATCAATCCATACCATGCCATGCCATGCCATGCAATGTATTCAACAATCCCATTGATCCCAGCTAACCAAGCTTTCGTAATCATTATCTACAGCTTAAACCCTCCCATGCCGCTCCGTAATCTCCAATACGTATCCATGCAATATACCATCATGACTCTTTCCAGCAATACTCTTTCAGTCCCTACCCAACAACGGCCCTCAAACTCAAACTCTCTAGAAAACCTCCCAAATCCTCCTTCTTGACCTCCACCACGCAATGTTCGAAACTATCAATTCTAACCCTCGCATTCGTCTCCTCCACCACCTCTTGAAAAGCATTGCCGAATTTGTTTCTTCCGAATCCTTTTCCTCTCTCCGCTTCTTCTTCGTCCTCCTCTTCCTCCTCGTCTTCCTCTTCTGATTCCGAAGATTCTTCTTCCGTTTCATCATCCTCATCACCATCATCCTCTTCACCTCGAGCTGCTCGTCTAGTTGCTCTTTTCTCTTCTCTGATTTGCTCTTTGTTTTTCCTCCTCAGTTCTCTCGCTGCAGCTTTTTCCTGATTTTTCTTAGCTTTCTCTCTCGCGGCTTTTTTGTCGCCAAAGCCCCAGCCCCCTATTCCTCCGCCTCCACCACCTGTACCAACTACGACATATACACCTCTGCCTTCATTTAGTCCGGCAACAACTAATGGTGTACCTCTACCTCCATTACCTAGCTTGCCTTTACTTTCTCTCTCCTGTTCCGCAATGGCCTCACCGATCCATAGGGCGAGTTTTGTTAATGCGGCTGGATGGGTGAATAATGGGACATCTGGACCATCTTTGACTACTGCCATACGGAAGGCGCGAAGATGTTTGATTTGGCGCTTTTCTATTAGAGAAGTGCCAGTGCGAAGAATTGCACGGTGTAGATGTTGGGCTATTGGAAGGGCTAGTTTGAGTTCTTCGATTCTGTTTACATAGCAACGTTAACAATGCAACTTGAGCTTTTTCATATTCCAGCATGACCACTGGATAAACAGTAAATAAAGGGACAACATACTTCTCAAGTGCATCATAAGCATCCCAGAACCTCCCAACCCATTCCTCACCTTCCAGTGTCCCATCCTCATCACTCGTCTCTTTTGTGTCTCGACTTCTATCCCAAGCCCCATTCTCTAAAGTCGTTACTGCCTTCTTTCCCACCTCCAAAATAGCACCCACTACAACTCCGACATCTTGTGCACTAAGCGTAGCCTTCCAACCCCAACTTCTCACAAAACCCCATCCTTCTTTCGAGCCTCCTCGGTCTCTACCATCCGTGTCTGTGCCTGGGACGAGATCGTCTAGGCCATAGAGTTCTGAGTATTTCAATAGTTTTGTCCGTAGTCCGCGTTTGAGTTCCATATCCATATGTGTATAACTTTGTTTGCATTGAACAAGACTGACACCCATCTTTGCAAGTAATTTATGTAATCGTTTTCGTCCACTATCCGACCAAATATGTAATCTCGCCGATAAATACGGGGAATGTAACATGCTATCATATAAACTCCAATGTCTAATAAGAAGAAATTTTGGTTCCGGAGATAAACGAATACTAGTATCTGTTGGACTTCGCGCTGTTGTTGGGATTATACCACTATTTTCAGGTGACGAATTTCTGTTGGAATTGAAGGTCGAATCCGAAAGTTCTGGAGGATTAAGGCGACGTACTTCATCTCGTAGAAGTTGTCGTGTTCGTGATCCTCGAGAGCCTAACCATCCTGACGGCGAGGGTTTTTCTGTAGTCACTGCAACTCCAATTGCCGAACGACCATATAATTCTTGCGAGCTGACGCCTACAATTGTCATCCAAAGCAGGTCATTATCTTCTCTTCCCAACTCTGAAGCTAATGAATACATCATCGAAGCTATTGGCTCCGAATATGACGCACCGAGGTTATAATATGTTTGGAGAACTATCTCATTCTTTCGACGTAGTTTCCGCAGTTTCCGCCGTAGGGCTCTTGCGGAAGGGGTTTTGGGAGGTTGTGCGGGTGATGGAGATACGGATCGTGAATCGCTTGAGAATATTGTTCGATCATTGAGTGATAGAAGTCCACGCTGAGGAGCACGAGTCGGTGATTCTGGAATGGGACTTGACTAAAATAATGGTTAGCCAGTATGCAATATCTGATTACGGCATACATACCGAATTGCTTCTCCGCCTCTGCCGTGGTCTATCATCCTCTACATCAGTATCATCTTCCTCATCTCGATCCGACCAAGACTTCCTCTTCTTGCTTGATCTCTTGATTGGGGAAGCCGCATCGTCATCACTGTCTCCTTCTGTATCGCTACCCTCGCTATCATCCTCATCATCCTCCATCTCAGGCATATCCACTAGTGCCAAGTATGCATCCTTCTCCGCCTTCATATCCTCCTCGATATCCCCGTCATCAAAAACAATAATTCCTCCTTTGCCCGGCTTATAATTTCTTGCTATCATTCCTCCAACCACACCTTTCGGTGGCTCGGATATAATTCCCCCGCCCTCCACTTGATGTGATATAATTGGGAATCCTCCAAAGACATTCCCTAAGTTCCAAGGTCGTCTTGCATCCACTACCCAAACTTCCACGCCACCATAACTAGCTTCGTCTGCCTCGGAATCAAATCCCAGCAGCGCACCCAGGTCGACTAAACCTCCAACACCCAAGCAAACCACAACTCCCCCGCTACCACCCTGGTTTTCCATCATAGGTTGTATAACATTCTTCCCCGCTTTCTCCAAATCCCCATATCCGGCAATTGGTTGTATCTTATGTGGAATATAATCACGCTTAAGAAGTTGGGTAAGGATTCGACATCCACATAAAGCGTCGGGTTCGAGAGCAACGAGTATAAGGACTGGCGGGGATAATGGATGATGAGTCTTTTGGAGGTGGAGGTACAGTGTTGCAAGCTGTGAGCGTGGTAAATACATGTCGAGAGATATAACACGCGTTAGATAATGTGCTAAATGTGGCAGATTATGTAAAGCTTCTGTTGGAGTGAAATCAAAGTCTGCAGTTCGTATCTGAGGGTGGTTGTGAACGCGTTTCGAATTTTGGACTCCTTGGGCTATTGTGCTAGAAATGCATTGGGCCTCGGCAGATGTTGGATTTTAACACCACAATCGAGTTCCCGTATGCTCAAATATTGAAATAAAATGTATTATCATGAATTATACCGGTTCTTAAAAAAGTTGTGGGCGTTCCGCATGTATGATGCAGTCATAATTGAGTTAATGAGAAAGTCGCGATTTCCCTTTGACGCGTCCTTCGCTAAATTTCATTCCAGGTTTCAACATTGAACATTCACGCTCATCTCTCCTTCACTCCATTCAGCCATCATCATTATTCAGAGTGGTGCTCAAATATTTACTTATACATGAACGTGAGTTGCTAGTTCATTTTCAAGGAGAATCCTATGATATATTATTCAAATGATCATCGTAGCTCTTCAACATCAACACATGTGCATCAAACAACCGTCTGGCTGAAGAGTAATTAGAAATTGCCAACAGCAGACGATATACGAGTACATATCGGATAGACATTATTATTCTAAGTAATCCAACCGTTATCACCACCCTATTTAGTGGGTAATAGCACGCTTGTCGGTTCTTGTTTCAACATGGGCTATCCCTCTATATATTGGCTACAATCTTCATGACACGCCAACAGGACATTGGAGTCAACTTCCACCTTAACCTACAGCCTGTTCCTCTAATTTTCCCTTACTCCCGTTCCCATCGAATAGCCGATATTCGGAGGTAGGAAGAGGTCCTTGACCCCTTAGATTGTATGTACGATAGCTTTGTTTTTGTTTCTCGAGCTCCTCTTGTTTTTGCTTCTCAAATCTCTCGAGAAGTTTTTCCTTCTTGATCTCGTCTTCCTTCAACCATGCCTCAGAATGACCTTCTACTTTTTGCCCTCCGCTCGCCGCAGCATCGATGTTGATCCAATCTACCAATTCACGAACATACTCCGGTTCTCGTCCATTAAGGGCGTGAAAAGCTCTACCGAACCCCTTTTCTATCACTTTCAGTCTATATTCTTCCCTCATCTCTTCCTCGCGTGGTAAATTTGCTCTTCCGGAGAACACGGCTGCGACCGCAATGGCCTGGAATTCGAACAGGGAAAAGGTCGACACATAATATGCTGTGCCAACGAATGCAAGTGTTGGATCGGGAATATAAAATATGTCTTTATGAAGATTGTGGACTTGTGTTCCATCAGTAACGAGAACTGTTTCGTTAGCTTCGGCTGGAGATGTTAAATCATCATGGTAACGACGGAGAAATGGATATGAAATGTGGTATCCTGTGCAAATTATGACTTTATCGATGCCAACAAGCGTTGCCCCATCTTTTAAGTGAGCGATCCCTCGACCTTTGTCACTTGCTTCAAACTCAAAAGACACGCATTCTCCAATCCTTTCTGTCCTTGGAGGTAGAAAGCTGAGGGGAAGGTCAAATTGGCCTCCTCGAGTGGATTGAAAAACCTTCTTAGCTATTCCATTCATCTCCCTAGCAATGTCGGTCGAAGATACGCCGCCACCAATGAGAAGTACGGTCTGGGGCAAGTCAATACACTGCATTGTTAGTAGGCATGATTGCTTACCTGGCCTGCAAATTCTTGGGGTCTTCTGTAAACTTTCGAGTGCATAACTCTTTCAGGATATTGTTCTCTCCAATCTTTCAATCCTTTGATGTCGGGAACTCTGCTGGCATGATAATGCCCACTCGCCACGACTACTTTATCAAATATCTATCACGGGTGAGCATTCGGGGGGCTTCTCGGCGAAAATTAGACGGTTTACCTCTTCTCTTTCAACAAACTCAATGTTCCCGCCATCAGCTTTGTTCAACAGCTTTGATTTCACAACCCATTTACTGCCTACTTTCTCAATAGCCTCGATTTTGGTATTGTATCTCAAGGCCTGTTCAAGATGAAATCTTCTAGCATAGTCCTTCAAATAGTCACCAACAACCTTCACATTGACAAAGTCGCCGGTACCCTCTTTCCATGGGTGACCCTTCATTTCTTGAAGTTTGGTCGAAATGTTCGTCGTTAGGCCAAAGTATGCAGGGCCTGGTGGTGCGTGTTTCAATATGAGTTTTTCAGTCTGAAGGGGTAACGATTGAGACGTGACACCCTGAGAATCCGAATCTGAGTCCGGATAGAGGCCCGCAACGGACGGCAAAATGGATGGGTATTTCGATTCCAGTGGTTTTCTTTCATCGTATGCCCTGGGTCATTTTGTCAACATGACCTTTTTCTTACAGCCTGCCAAAGGGAAAGAGATAGATTGGCTGACGCACCAAACACCACCTGGTTTCGAGGATCGCTCATAGATTGTTACATCCAAGCCATAATCTAAAAGATGCCTTGCTGCCGCCAGACCACTAACACCCGCACCGATGACGGCAACTCTATCAAAACTTAAGCCCATATTACGTTTATAAGCTTCCAAGTCGAAATAAATCCAGTCCAACATACAAATCTTCAACAATATTGACAATATAACAAAGATGATTAAATGTTACACAAACACTCCAATGAGTCAACCAACGCCGTTATCAAAATGTAAACTTGGGAATTCTTTTCTACCGGCCATGCATCGAAGTCTTTAAGCTTCGATTTAAACCTTGGACGAATGCCGAAATATTGTGTGATGGCTGCAGGCCATTTCGCCATCTTTCGCTTCTGCATGCTGATTGACCAATGATATCGAGCATGTGAAAGACATCCCACCCAAAGATAACAATAAATTTTGGCGTGATTACAGGCCCGTATAACATATAGCAGTTGTAACGGGCTGTGCAAATGTTTGAAAACTGCATGGTTATTGAGTGATTATTTTGGAAATGGTCATCACGTGCGAACAGCATGATAGTCACGTGGTTATTCAAGCAACGACGATCAACTCCTCGAATCGGGAAAAATCACTCTCCGGGTGGAACGGAAAGAATTTAATTTGTTTCAGGAAGATTTTGACGAAATGACTAGAGTGATGCTCAATCCGATACCGAAGCTTGTGTAGTGTTTGCGGGCCATTGTGGGAAATGTTGTTGTTACCCATGATATCCATAGCAACAACTATCCTCCAATCCATATTGCAGGGCAAGCAAACGATCTTCAGATTAAGTGTAGTCTAGAGGAAATTGGTTGCTCTGCTGGCCAGAAAATATCACAATGAGGACAGTTACCTGTTGCGCGCCTGGAGGCTTACCATTTCGTTCCTTATTCCTGACAGGTTTCTTTTCCAAGTTTTGAGACTTGCTATCCTTTTTGATACTATGACGGTAGATCGAAGAGACAGCGGAGGAGATTTTATGTTGACAGTTAAGCGGTATCAATTTTTACTTCGTCATAATAGGATTGCACCACTCGATCGTCTCATCAATATTCCCGTCTCAAAGACTCACAGTCTCCCAATGAAGAGCTCTGGCTTGATATTCCGTATTGATTCTTTTGACCGGTCATAACACCATTAAATTGGTGAGATATTTCAGAGTATGACAAACTCACTTTGGATAAACCGTCTTTCGCAGCTTCCTTATCCACCATTTTCACACTCATCTCAAGGACCGCCATTCCACACACTAGTCTATCACATTTTGCATTTATTAAGAAAATCACCATCACGATTCCACTCTATAATCCTTATTGTATCTTTATGACGACGCGACGCAGCATTTATTATTATCAGTCAACAACTACGTGTTACACCAGAGGGCACAAGAGTCGCAGTCTCGCAACATATCATACCCACCACCACGACACAATATCCACATTGAGATTCTTACTCGCACAGTCATACAATGAATGCCACAACACATCCAACGTTCAACGAAGACCCAAATCATGGTGTAGTGAGTTCTCACTCATCTTTTCTCTTATGCCCGCTCCAACTGACCATATTCTTTTCATAATTAGTCAGCTGTATTACTACTCTTTTGTATAGCTGCTGGTATTGTGATTTTTTTGTCGATATGGGATGAAAGACAACTGATATACTTTCACTTTTTGGTTATGTGAGGACGGATGAGTGAGAAGTAGATTGGGATATGCATGGATGGAAGACAGGGAAAGTGGAATGTACAGCGCTGTGAGGAAAGGAGAACGTTGGACTTGTGATTGGATGGGATGGAGGTCGAAGAGCGGAAAGAAAAAGGACACTGAGGATAATTGATATATATAATGGGAGGCAGCAGACAGGATTGGCATTATTATCCTGACAGCGTTAAATGTTACTGAAGGGGATAGAATCACAGCTTATTTCTGTATTGTATTCTTCGGTGAATATTGTGAAGGCAGAGGCTTCTTTCAAAAATATCTCGGAAAGTCTTCAAGGTCTATGTCTACCTGGGCATCAAACATCATGATACTAAGATCAACCAAATCGAGCAAATATAAATAGCACATTTTCTCATATATATATATATGTTTCCTAATCTTTCCTCGACTGTACGAGTGTACTAGGACTATGTATATCAATGAATCATAAAGATCTCAACGATATTCAATGTACTCACTTGAAAGCAAAGAAGGAAGGTTTTCTCCGGAGGTAAATACCACCCACCTTTCTAAGCATTTCAACATTCCTCTTCGATGCGTCTTCATCGTTGCCAATTAACTGCACAATTAAAACAGTTAATAAGCCATGTATTTCCCTTTTTATATTCTTAAAAATATCTTTGTGCTAGTAAGTATATTTGACATTGAAGCCAAGTGGCTCCAAGGAGTTAGAATAATTCTCTCGTGACTTTCTCTTGCAGCCTTCCTTCATAGTCTTTTCTTACATACCTCTTCAGTTTTTATCAACGGTTTTATATATTTTATATGTTTTGAGTTCTTCCCATGCAAACATGAGGTGAAGAAAGGCCGAGTTCTGCTCTCAATAGTATTTTCAATCTATCAGGATTGATATCAGTGAACAACTTGAGCTTCGGGAATATTTAAAGTAAATATAGCTAGTTTTTAAAGAATATATATACTCTATTACACTTCAATGATTTTCTTTCTACGAGTCTTCATTATTGATAGTGGTATAATTACCTTGATTTATACATGTCCTCCTGTGGTAAGGAGATGAAGTGTAGTAAATTGTAATCTTACCCAGTTTTTCCTCTCCATATTAGGAGTTGATACTCAAACCCTAGAATTGAATCCAGGCAACGCTTACACATACCAATCAATTCGGAATCAAAGAGATAAATCAAAGGTAATCATGGCTAAAATCAAAGCAATTATTGAAAAGGGAAAAGCAATATTTGAAGAAGAAAAAAAAGCCCAAGAATCATTCCAAGCACATAATGATTACCAGAATCCCATGGCCAATGCAGTCACAGAATAGAAAGAATTCATAACTCGAATCACTCAAACTTCTTCGCCATTTATTCTCTCTTCACTCCCTCCCTTCACCAAAAGATAACTAATACTAATCTTTATACTCTTACCTTACCACAGTTACCCCAGCTAAAATCCCCTCACTACACCGCAGTTCCCGCAACAAATAATATAAACATCGATCCGATCAACTCCAAATATTAACCCAACCTCCAGCATGCAAACCTCTAACCTTATCTATGAATTACAAACCCAGGCTCGCTACATTTATTATACCAATTAAACAATTGAATTAATAATTATAATATAAATCCAGAAAAAAATCAATGGAATTATTGATCTCGCATATTGTCTGTCTATTATGGATAATCTTGCGCATGATACTGCAGAGACTGAGGAGGTCCGGAGAGGAATTCTGAATTTTCGATATTGCGATATCATATAAACGAGGGCAGTTACTCAGCTTCGAAATATCGGATTCGGTGAAGATGGATGGTATTTTTGTTACAATATTATATTCAATCTTTTGTCCAAATTAGATTAGAAATTTCAGTATCGTTAAGGATGATATAATATAGTTACATGATTCCTGATAGAAAGCTACAAAGATATATAATGATATTTATAAACTGTTTATTGTTCTTTAATTATATCTTTATCTTTGTCATATTAATAGTTTAGTTTGGGCTGGTTACTTGGGATGATTTTGTTGATTGATTAGATTAGAATAATAATAGCAAGTAATGGTATATAAATTTGAAAAATGATTAATAATTATCTCTGAATGGTAATCTTAGAATAGCAATATAAATCATCATCTGAGAAAAAACATTCAATATTTCTTCATTCAACTATTCATTATTATACCATAAGCATTATTCGTCGATATCGTCCATCACTAATCCAATTCACATCCTCGTACCCTTCTTCCCCACACTCCATTCCGCTCCATCCAACTTCTCAAACCTACCCAGTATTCCCTCCGCTCCTCCGCTCCTCCGCTCCTCTTCCCCAACCTATTCCTCCTCCTCCTCCTCCCCCTCTTCACCTCCCAACCCCCCACCCAAAAACATCCCCGAAGAAGACATACTCAACTCTCGCTCCCCACCCTCAAACTGTTTCATAAGACTCCGAAAATTACCAAGATTACTTCTATTCGCCGACTCTATGCTTTCCAACTGAGACTCCATAGCCACTGGATCTGTAGTTCCTAAACCGGATTTAGATTCTTGTGGATTTCCTTCATCACGTTTGGAAAGACGGGCTTGGTTTTCAAACTCGTAATTTCCGCGGGGTTTTTCAATGGAACTTGGAATTCTTGTTGGAAAACCAGCGCTGAATCCTTGTGGAGATTTAGAAGAAGTTGGTGGTGAGTCATATCTGGAAAAACTGAGCTGTTTTTTTAATTCGGAATTTTTGCGAATTGTTTCTGCTGATCTTTGGCTTGAGATAGGCAGTCGTGAAGGCCCCGGGGGTCGTGTCGGTTCATTTTGCGTAAGGTATGGACGTTCATTTTCACTTTTAGCACTCTCACGGATCGTTTCAGCGTATTCTGAAGTTCTCACTGGTAAGCCAAGATTGAGCCCGTGAGACACTGGAGATCGTCGCGATTCGTCGTATGTAGGGAATGCCTCGGTGGAAAAATTCTTTGTCATGGATTTTGATGGAATTGGTGGGATGTCCCCGTGGTGCTTTGTCCCATATTTTGGTGTTACTGATGGGCCTTTTGCAAGTTTGGTGTTGTCACCGTAAGTTTCTTGGGATGCATAGAGCTCTGAGGAATTGGCTTGCTGATAAGGTGGGCTCTTGTAGGTAGTTTGCGGCTCTAGTTCTGGCACTGATCGCTCGCTGTTATATTGGCGACTAAAGGAAGTTTGCGTAGGAAAAGGAGTTTCCTCGAAGTCTGAATACTTTTGTTGAGGTACAGATCTGCTAAAGCTAGGCCCATGAGCTAAATGCTCGTCCCTTGGGTCAAAGTCAGAAGGCAGTGGCTTTGGCTCCGGCTCTAATGTCCCATTGTCATTCTGATACTCGGAGAAGATTCGTACATTAAGAGGAGTTTCTTCGTAGCTTGAATACTTTTGCTTAGATGCAGATATCGGTTCAGGATTGCCGAAGTTGGGCTGTTGAGTTCGGTACTGCCCTGCCTTAGTTTCCACATTTTCTGGCTCTAACACTTGTCCCAATTGCTCGGCATCGATGTAATCAGCAGCGAAAGCTCCTGGGGTAAAAGATCCCTCACGACTCGGAAACTCTTCCTCTTTTCTATAGGTCTCCATAACCCCTTCAAGCTCATCATCTTGAGAATTAAAGGACATGGTATCTTCAAATCGCTTATCATCCTTCAGAAGTACGGGCACCTCGTCTGAAAGATTTCGATTGTCTTCAAAAGCTTGGTCATGTGTTGGCTCTATCACAGTTTTCTCTTTCCTGGAAAAGACCTCCTTTTCAAGAGGAATGGTTTCTTCCCGAGGAGTTCCTTTTGCACCGGAAAGGTTTTCTATGCTAAATTGTGCTTGTGGTTCACTTCCGAGGAGAAATTTGCTCACAAATTTGTCATGAAAAGTATCTTCATGTGGCGAGTGATCATTGTTTTCTTCAGCAGTCGTTCCCTGGTGACCCAAAACTGACTTTGACTCAAGAGAAACACCCTCTTTAATAATACGCTCATCTTGAGGAGTGATGAATGATTCTCTGGAAGTTGAATCAGCTATGGAATCAACTTTGTGTTCGATTGGAACAGAGCTGTTTTGAGCGACTTGACTTTCAGCTGGAAGAACATCCTCAGAGATCTGATGTATTTCAGTCTGAATATTATCATTTACTGGAAGAGATAAAGGAACACAATATTTCTTCTCCTCCAAGGCAATCCACTCTTCTTGAACTGGATCACTCGAAGAAATCTCGGAAACGATTTCATCTCGGTTTGGCTCATTGTTATGCTGTATTCCGCTATTCGAGGTTGATATTTCTTCATGACCGGGCTCAGGTGATTTAACTTCCGCTAGATCCTCCAGTTTCTGGGCTCTGTCTTCAGCTGGGTTGTCCTTGAATTTTTTGCTGCTATCAAACCATTCAGATATGTTTTCTGGGATTAACTCTTCAGTCTCTGGCTCTTTTGTATTGTCGAAATATTCATCAACGATTTCACTCTCTTCGTCTTCCTGGACTGGGGTATCTCTCAAGTTCTCTTCAAGACTCGGTTCAGATTCGATGACCTCTAGATGCTCCACAAACGGAATTGCATCCTCCATGTCTTCATTTCCACGCTCGATGGCCGGATTTATTTTAGAATTAGGCTCCTCTTTACTAGCCTCTTGAACAGGGCTATTTTCAAATACCCTTTCTGGTTCAGAATCATTTGATTCGCGCTCTTGCGCGAATATTGCAGGTAATGAGTCGAATTGTGCCACCCGTAGGTCTGCTCCTGTCACAATTTCCGGTTCGAGTTGGACAAACAAGCTTTCCTTTTCTTTTATATTTGCTGAAGAATCACCCCCATCACCTGATTTAACACTTCGGGGATCTTTCGTTTCAGTTTCGGCGGGAAATGCGGCAGCTACAGATTCGCTCTCCAGTTCTTGTGGCTCTTCGCCAAACAGAGATTCAACTTCAAGAGGTGAATTTTCGTCGTTCATAGCCTCGCTAGTAGGTTCATTCGCTAGATTTCGACTTTTGGGGATCATATCTTCAAGCCCCGTAGAAATCTCAAGAGACTTTTCTTCAAGCAGATTTTCATCCTCCGCAAATTGTGCTTGGCTGGTACTCTCATCGATGTCTGGCGTACTTTCCCCGTGCCGAGCTACTCCATCAGTAAGTATAATAATTTTGTTTTCGACTATCTCAGTCTCGGGTTCCTCGAAAGAACCATCTTCCTTTAATTCAATTGATGCTGCAGCAAGCTCATCAAGGTTGTCTCCAGGATGAGCTTCGCTTAAATGTTGTTCACTAGCCACAGGTTTCTTTCCCTCCTCTGCTAGTTCGGTCGCATCTCTGTGCACTGATTCATCCTCAAGATGTTCTTCAAAGATTTCCTGGGTCTCAACTGGTATCTGTACATTTGGAAGGTTGGTGGACTCCTCGGAATGACTTCCAATCTCCAATTCATTTGGTTCCTCTCTTGGGAATATCTCGGTTTCAGCTGGGGCATTATTGTCTATAGTTTCATTGGTCTCTTCCACGATTGGTTCACTGTGCTTTGACTTGGCTTCCTCGGCTAAGATTTTTGCTATCTGCGCGTTCAAGGCTGCGATTTCCTCTCGAGCTCTGACATCTTCTGAATCTTCATTGATAACATGCTGAGATATTGGTTCCCTAGCAGGGACCGAATCTTCACTGATTTTCTCGATAACCTTTTCTTCTGTTGATGTTGGCTCTTCCTTGTCGTCAGTCGCAAAATGGGTTTCATCATAAGATTCCGGTATATTCATGAGCTTCTCATCTTTGACTTCTGGCTCAGAAATTATTTTGTCTGGCGCTGTTCCGACGCCATTTTCATCTTTTCTGGCGAGCGGAAATCTTTCCTCAAAAGTGAGTTCCTTTAATACCTCAGCGGCCTGTCTTTCGGTTAGTTGATGAAGCTCCTCGCCCTCAACAACATTCTGAGTCTCTTCAATCGTTTCAGGCGTACTGAAAGGGAATTCATCATCAGCTACCGAATCTTGAATAGCATCTTTCGTTGAAATTTCAGAATCTCCCTTCTCCCCGACTGGCAGCTGCAGTTGTTCTTCCAAACTTTCAAGTCCTGTGATATCAGGCTTGCTGACCTCTGCAGCTTCCGCAGACTTTTCCTCATTCTCAACAATAAGTTGGTCTCGATCACTTGACTCTGGTACGTGCATATCCGTTTTGATGGCTGGATCAGAAGTCTGTTCAAGATGTTCGACGGCACGTTCTGTGATTTCAGCCGGCACAGATTCGTTACTACAGTTCTGGCTATTCGTTTCCAAGTCCCAACCTTCGCCCCTGACCAATGAGGTCCTATTTTCCGAGATTCCTAGATCTTTGGCAACAGATTCAATGGGATCAGCGTCCACGGAAACTCCACCGTTTTCAACGAGAATGGAATCTTGGTCGTTCAACTCCGCAATTGGTGTCTTAGTTTCGCCTGTTGCTGTTGATATGCTTGTTTCCTTCAAGTACCCGATAGCTTCGGTAGAATTGCTTGAAAGTTCCTCCTTAATATTCTCAAGCTTCCTAGGGAGTTCTTCGCTTTCAACAAAAGTTTGGTCATGATCCTTCAACTCTTTAACAGAATTCTCAGCTTCGTCTGCGGGCTTTGATATGCTTTCTTCCTGCAATGGCTCAATACAGTTCTCCGCAATCTGACTAGGCGCATCCCCATCGCTAGACTCGCAATCTTCCTTTTCCACAACCTTTGTGTCCATTTCAATAGGAGTTTTTTCTTGTCCACCTGACCCTACCACGTGTATCTCGGTATCGACATCGTCCATATTGATATAAGGACTTTCTGTTGCGACTTCTGGTACGAGAATTTCTGCCGGGTTATCTTCCAGGCTCGGTAGATCAGCTTCCTCTGATGACTTTTCATCTGTTCCCAAAGGATGAGTCTCCTCCGATTTTATCGAAAAATCTTCTATTGGTTTTTCAGGGATAATGTTTCCAGTGGAGCTTTCATGCCGTCAGTTTTGGAATTGACATAGATGCTGTAAAACTTACTTTTCTTCCTCAGCTAGAATAGCTTCATCGGCAGGACGTATTTCTTCCGCCTCACTACTTAGGGTTACTTCTTCCCTTGACCTATTCACCATATCAATATCGTATAAAGATTCCCTATCAGAACATCAACGTAAGACCATTAACTTACTTATCTTCCTCCGCAACAACGGCTGTTATTTCATCAAATGGCCTGCAACTCAGTATCATTATCGACAATTCAAAATTGGCTCATAGTGGGCAAAGAATTCAAACTTACAAATCATCACCATCTGCAAGATTCTCTACTTGTTCTTCATCTCCCTTGCTCTCTCCATTTCCCTCTTTCTTAGACCTATAGTTATTACCTATTAGTCCTCTTTTCATTATCCCTACCAATTTTTCACATTTCTTTTTCACCGCCTCATCTCACCATCCACAAACAAAACAAAACAAGAAGATGAACTTACCCTTCCACCGCAATAATCTCTTTCTCACCAGGTATCTCCTCAACAACATTTCTTTCTTCAGGTTCCAACTCATCCTTGGAAAATTCCGTGACAATATCATTTTCTGGCCTATCGATGCAAGTCTTCGGGTTAACCGCCATCAAATATGTTTTGAGAATTCAGAGATTAGTGCGCACTTACTTTGGCTCTTGTTCATGTACTTCAAGTTCTTCCGCAGCAGAACTTTAGAGGTTTTAGCATTATGGGTTGGGTGAAGCATTTGGCATGACTTACGTTTCTTTGGCAGAACTTGGTTCTTCGATTGTATCTGCTGTGATATCTCCAGTCTCGTCATTTTCCTCAACATCTGCTTCTTCGTTTATCACTCGGATACCCATTTCTGGGCTAGTTTCAGACTAGAAGATCAAATTAGGCGCATGAGCAAAAATGATCGAATTGGTTGAAACCTACTAAAACCTCGGAATCTATTGATCTGGGCATCTCTTCAGGAAGGAGTTTCTGGACATGTACATTCTCTTCAGCTTGGGGGGTATCAAGAGCTAGTGTTATGTCTTGAGTGTTCGTGGTCTATGACAAATAGTTAGTTTGCGCCAATTATCAACTGTGTGTAGGAAAACCTACAGCTAATTCCAATTCTTCTGTTGGGATTGGCTCTTTGACTTCTACCTCCTGTACGGGAGGTTCTGATTGAATGGGAGTCTGCTCTTCAATCGGTTCTCCTTTCTCGACCTAAAATTAAATTAGTCAATCGCAGTTTGGGGATTTTTTTATTTTGGGGAATGGAAATTTCGATATCTTACAATAATTTCTGACTCCGCTTCCTGTTCTACTGGTGCAGAGTACGCAACAAGATTACCTTTCTGTGTCTCAACCTGGCAGATGTCAGACACGTCAGATATATACCAAAGACGTAAAATCTTCATAGAAGCGGGAACTTACGGCAACCTCGGGCTCTGTTAGAATAGCCTCTGCATCTTTTTCCAGATTCAATGAATCTTCGTCGGCATTGATGATCCTCTCCTCTTCAACCTAGGTTCCGTATCAGTAAAATGTTTTATTCCAAGAAGCAGTCAAAATAACTCATGTCAAGATTGGTCTTATACTTACTATGATCTCTGGCTCCAGCTGTGCTTCTGCTTCCGTCACAACTTGGCCTTCGACCTTTTAAATTGTTAGCAAGATTTTTTACAGAAAAAATGAGGAAACTCAAACTTACGGGGGCTTCCAATTGCTCTTCTGTAAGTTCAGGAGCAGACTCTTCATCCGCCTGAAATTGGATTTACATCAGTAACTTCACGTCTTTTAATAATGAAGTGTCAGATTTACCTGTACTTCCGATTCTAAAACAGGTGATCCCTCCTCAGAAATCATATCTTGATCGGTCTGTGGGATTTTATTAGTATCGAAATCTAGTGAAAAATCCAAACCGTGACTTACAGTTCCCTTCGCTTCTTCAACCTGTTCAACTACATCAGATACCTTATCCACCTTATCCTCCTCACCATCCACAGCTTTCATAACTACAGCCCCCACAATACCACCCAAAGTAAGTCCGGCAATCGTACCCTTCAACCCATCATGATTCTCCTTGACCAGATCTTCATGCTCCTTGATTAACTCCCCATGTTTCAGAAGATTCTCTTCATGCTTACTTGAACTCTCCTCGACTATTTTCTTCAATTCCTCAACACTGCTTTTTACTTCTGCATGTCTTAATCCACTGTCTTCTTTCAGATCTTCCAACAAGTCTGTATGTGTACTTAAGATCTCGTTCATGCCATGGACTTGGACAGTTGCATCTTTAATCTCGCTCAAGAGAGCTCCGTGGGCACTGTGTGACTCATTAAATGCTGTTGCTGCGTCTTTGACTTCTTCTAAAGTTGTTTTGTGAGAGGTATGGACATCTTTAATTTCTCCTAAAGCTGCAGTTTGTGATCTCAGGGTTGTGATAATATTCGTAAGCTGTGCATCTAATCCGCTAGTATCGAGGATTGGTGCTGGTATTGGCTCAGCGGCAGTATCCAGAGACAGTTGTGATTTGAGATCTGCTAAAACCGCAGTGTGAGAAGTGTGAGATGCATTCGAGGCAATTATTGCTTCTTTTAGCTCAGCAAGGGTAGTTGTATGGGTAAGATGTGCTTCATTCAAGCTAGCAGCTGCATCTTTTATTTCTCCTAGGGTGTTACTGTGCGTCTTCTGGGATTTATTAGATGCGTGTATTGCTTCCTGGAGTTCACCTAAAGTGGTAATTTGCGCGGAATGTGCGCCACTCAAAGCAGCTGTTGCATCTCTTATCACTCCAAGGGTAGCAGAGTGGGAGCCATGAGATTCGTTGGACATACCGGCCAAACCCTTGATTTCTCCAAGAACTGCCGCATTGGCCATGTGAAAATCGTTGGAATCATTAGCTGCGTTTCTAAGTCCATCCAAAGTCGCAGTATGCGAGCTATGTGCCTCCATACCAGAATTCGTAATATCCATAATCTCCCTCAAAACCACATTCTGGCCCTCAAGTGTCGTGATAACCGTATTAATTTGGGTTTCCAATCCGCTCAAATCCACGGCAGCAATTGGAGCTTGAATCTCAGTCTCTTCGATCGTTTTCTTTCCATTTTCCTCTGATGAAGCAGCATTATTCATCACTGTTTGAAGTTCCAATAATGATCGATCCAACTTTTCTTGAGAGTCGTTACATGTATGCAATGCGGTAAGTATCTCATCACTAACGTCCGACTCTTTAAGAGTTTCAAAAGCTGTAGAGTTACTTTCTTGCAATTCATGTAATGCCGTCAAAATTTCATCGCTGACGTCTGCGTTCTTGATTTCTTGAAGTAAGTTCCTGTGACTGGTGAGCGATTTCAATATGTTTGGTAAAGAACTGTTGCCAATTTCCGAAGTAGAAGCATTGGATTTGAGCTCCTCCAAAATGGCTGTATGTGCACTTAATGTGCTCTTGATAACCATGATATGTGGCTCTAGTATGTTATCCACCACCATCGCATCCATACCATTTTTGGCAAGGGTCTCAGACTTGATATCATCAAGTACGATCCTGTGAGCATTCAGAGCACTCTTGATAGCCGTAATATGTGGTTCGAAGAATTCAAATTTTGAGCTATCTTCTCTGGGCATTAACGGCGGGGATGCATCATTACTTCTCGATTTGAGCTCGTCCAATGCAACGGTATGTGACTCTAGCTTACTTATCAGGGAGTTGAAATGGCCATCAAATGCTGCAGTATTAGGCTCCTCTAGTCTAATAGCCTTTGATTTGATTTCGTTCAAGGCTGCAGTATGTGCTTCTAGCATGCTAGAAATAGAACCAAAGTGTTTATCGAGAGCCTTAATGTTAATATCTGCAAGCAAAGCAGATTCAGATGAACCATCTTTGGACTTGATGTCATCTAATGCTGTAGTATGCGCTGCCAGTATACCGGTGACCGAATTAAAGTGTGTCTTTAACGCTTCCATATCAATTGTCGCTGGGGCATTGATAGATTGAATGTCCTTCAATTTGATCTCATGCAAAACCGCACTATGAGATTCCAAAGTAGAAGTGATTGGACTCAAATCAACGATATGTGCTTCCTTAGCCCTGATCTCCTCCAAAGTTGCAGTATGAGCTTCCAATATAGAAGTAATTGGACAAAAATCAGTACTATCTCCTGCCTTCTTTGACTTAATCTGATCCAAAGTCACAGCATGAGCTTCCAGAATCGAGATAATTGGGCTGAAATCGGCACTTAGGATATCCTTCGATTTAATCTCCTCTAGAAGGGCCTTTTGTGCTTCCAACAAACCACTAATCGAACCAAATTGACTATCGAAAGCTTCAACGGCAACTGTTGTCGACGCAGCAGCATCCTTCGTCTTAGCCTTAATTTCATCCAGAACTGCAGCATGGTTGTTCAACTTTTCAATGATACATCCCATGTTCTCTTCCACAATTTCGATAACATTTTCACCCGCAGGTATAAGAGGCGGGGCTTGTAGGGCTTTTATGTTTTCTAGTGCAGCTGCGTGGAAAACATGTGACTCGTTTGATTTTTGGACTTCTGTTAAGACTGATGTGCTTGTCTCGATTAGACTATCTATCTTGCTTTCTAGACCTTCGAGATCGATGGAGGCGGTTGGTTCTGATGGTTTAGTAGACAGAGACGTGAGGGTTCCCAACGCAGATGCATGAGCTAGATGTGAGTCGTTTGACTTTTGAACTTCTGCCAATATGGCTGTATTTATTTCGGAGTTGTTAATCCTCTCTAGCGCAGCGGTATGCTTCTCGTGAGCCTCATTGGATTTCTGCACTTCTGTCAAGATTGTTTGGATTGTTTCCGCGTCTGCTGATGTGAGAGCTGGTTGATTTGGCACATCCATAGCCTGAACATTCCTCTCCTTAAGCTCTCCTAGAATCGCGGTATGCGCCTCATGCGATTCATTCGACTTCTGTATCCCTGCCAAAATCATGGCATTGTTATTAGCTTCCTTGATCTCCAATAATATCTCCTTCTGTGGATTTAGTGTTGACTGCAGAGCCGTAATTTGTTCTTTCAATAATCCCAAATTGACATTATTTGACGAGGTGCCTGAATCCAAGTTTCCGTTCAAGACCTCCAGTTTAGCAGATATGGCTTGAAGAATCTCAGTATCACCTCCAGTATCATGAGAAACCACGGCCGCTGTCTCAAGCCTGGCGTTCCTCCAGCCAATTGGTCGTTAATAGCTTTTACATTAGTTCCCAGATCCGTACCAATTCGTGTAATGATCACCCTGACATTTTCCTGCAATTGATCCAATTGCGTTTGCATCACCGAAGTTTTGGTGTCATTCTTCTTCAAGCTTTCTTTCAAACTATCCAAGCGTTCGCCTGATATCAACAAATTATTTATTTTTGTAATTCCATCCACTAATTTCCCTAGTTTATTGTTATTGGAGTCTAAGGTATCCGATATTTCAGATAGCTTTCCAGCTGTATGTGTAACACTTCCACTGGGGAGAGGCCTTGTTTTTTGATTGGAAAAGGAACGTGGTGTATTAGTACCAGGAGTCGAAGTATGTGACATGGGCAGTGGTAACTCTCCTGATCTTGGATCATCAGATATAGGATGCGAAGTCAGAGCGCCATGAGTACTAAACCTTGCTTTGGGTGAATCTACCGCTTCTTCTTGATCTGTCATTGACTCCAAGCTCAATAAGACATGGTCCATGCCAGCATTGGTCTTCTTCAACAATATCTCATGTTGTAAAACCGCGTTGACTATCGGTTCAATCGTATCGAGAGCCGTTTTAATGTCAGGCTTGAGCAGTTTAGCTATGTGGGAAGCAAGTCCAGCCTGGAAGGCATCTCCAGAGATAGCTTGATCAATTGCCTGTCGGAGGACTTCCGGATCTGTTGGACTGCCTCCAGAAAAGCTCGCGTGCTTAGTACTGGTAGAATCTTGAGATTTCTTTCCTTCAAATGACGCCCGTATTCGATGCGATAGTGGAGGTCGCGAATTGGTCGGCATCCTTCTTGAGCCTTCTCTTGATCTCTCTTTCTTGAGATTACCGGTAGTACCAGTAGAAGGTTGAAGGTTAACGGGCATTGGAAATGATTAAAGGAATAGTAACACAAACAAAACAGACATAGAGATAAACACCTGAGACGATGGATGCTCAAGAGATAGTAATAATAGAGACCGCCTTACAATTAATCTTACCGTTTTCCCATGTTCCCAGTCCGCATATATGTAAATTTGGGTACTTGAATATATAAAACATGGTTGTATAGCACAAAGAGTTGTCAATTCATGCGTGGTTAATCGTTGAATTCGATGTTAAGTGGTTGAAAGGAGGTGAGAGAGAGGGAGCAAATAATGTTTTGTTTTCAAGTGGAGCCGAATCAAGCAAATGATGTCTCTTCAGGCCTTTTGCCTTACCTTTGCATTGCTTTGGTACTTCACCGGGACTGGGGTGCAGCCCAATGCCGGACTTTTCTCCTCCAGCGATCATCCCTCAATCTAATGCCGTACAACAAGTATTATTGCTAAGGTTTGCGATTACACGTAGACAAAATATATTGATATGAAAGTTCGGATTATAAGAGATTCAATCGATCAGTGAGACTCATATGATAAAAGTAGACCATATGAGTGGATACTAATCCAAAAATGACCTCCAGATTCTTCATTCACGTAGGTAGCCAGTTGGGGGTTTGCATATCTCAAGATTCCCATGCTGGTGATGGAGGGGTCACATTTAGAGGGAAATTCCCAGCAACTGCGCAACTACCAGCAAGCAACTTCAATTGCCCAATAAATACCTAGTGGACGTTGCAAATATTATAGAATCTTCACGATATTTGTACATGTAAACAGATTGCTTAACTTAAGAGTAGTATGTGACATTTTAGGTACAGTTTGTCATTCGATGAGGAGTAAGTGATAGTACAGTAACCGTGCACTGTTACCAGCCGATACACGTCTTTTTCGAAATTTATATATTTTTCTTTTCAATATTATATATTATTTTATGAATTATGTTACTATAATATACTCCATTGAAGTCAATTGATTATAATAATATTCCTGAAATATAATTTAACTTATATAATTATAATAGAATCATTGGAAAAGTCAAAAAAGACATTAGCTCTATTAGAATCATAAATGATTTAAATATCTCTTATAGAGTTATAAGAATTCTAGAATCTATTCATCGCACACCATCTAAATTCGTGACAAAACCCCTGCAAAAATCAAATTTTCTTATATAAAATAAAATATCGAATAACTTTTTCAATATTGAATTAAATCAAATGAAATTTTCAAACATTATAATTAACTACAAAAGGATATTAAAAAAATTTATAATTTATTTATAATTATTTTTGTTCTAAAGTTATATCTATTTAAATTTAGAAAATATCAAAATTTCATTCGTGTAATACTTTTTCGAACTTTTCCCCATATAAAATAAATGATTTTTTTAAACTTTTTTATTTTTTCAATCTTAAATATATATAACTTTAAAACAAAAATAATAATAAAATATTTCGTTAAATTTTTATTATATTTGAATCAATTATTTATATATATATATCAATTGTTATATATTTATTTTATTATTTTATAAAGATAACAAGGATTTAAAAAGTTGAAAAAATCGTTGATTTTGGTGTGATTTCGCTTAGTGTGCGGTGAGTAGATTCCAGAACTCTTACATCCTCTCATAGAGCTTACCAGTATCGTGTTTTAGTTGTGGATGTGATACAAGGTTCAGTTGTCATTGCTTCTGATAGGCTCATTCATGAGACGCTTTGGGGTTTCATTGTCTAGATCAAAACACCAAATGACGATTTCAAGTATTCTCGAATGCAACGCTTCTTTCCAAAAATACCTTTTCCCCTTCGTCGTTGGAGGAAGAGATTCATTTCTCCAACAATATGTCTATTAAATCTTGACATTTGACAAATACCTGCCGAGTACTTCCCGTATGGATGGCTTTGGGCAGAAATACCACCTGATGAGCAGAATTCATCCATCCCGACTAGAAAGCTAATCGATACCCAATACTCTTCCTCGTTCTGACCACCATTTTCGTATATCATATTCATTTATATTATCATATGACTCTTCCTTCGAGTCTCATACTACCACACTACATCTAAAAGATATAACACGGCATATTAATAAGAATTTGGCATGTGTATCACCCTCACACCACGAAAGATGTCTGTCTACCTTTGATACATTCATTCATTTTTCCTCTGCTCCGAATCTCCCTCCTTTCCGAAACTCGGTAACCTCAATCTCTTAAGCCGATGATGACTTGACTGTTGGCCTACCTCGGCAAAACTGCTCTAAAAGCTATCAAGCCACATCCCGCGGTACAAGCTATGAGGCGAAGAAACATCCCTCATTATCACAAGCTTCATTCATAATAAACCCCCCTCCAATTAAACATTCCTTTCGCAGACAAGATCTTCGCAATTTTTTATTTTTATTTTATTTTTTCAACTTCTTCCTCACCTGTTCACCTCTGCCCTCTCAACAATGTCTTCATCTTCCTCCTCCCCAGGAGCTCAAATAAACAAAAAGATTGACGCACTCAACCCTCACCTCCCCCACGTTCCTGAATCTAAGGCCGAATTAAAACAAGATGCCGAGATAGTCGTTCAAAAATCTTTTGCAGGATTACGGTCGCTGGCTGCTGGAGGTTTCGGTGGTGTTTGCGCAGTTATTGTTGGTCATCCATTTGATTTGGTCAAAGTTCGTTTACAGACTGCGGAACGAGGGGTTTACAAAGGTGCTATTGATGTTGTGACGAAATCTGTCGCAAAGGATGGTCTTGCAAGAGGTTTATATGCGGGTGTGAGTGCACCGCTGGTCGGTGTTACTCCTATGTGTATGTTTTCTACTTTTTCCCGTTCATCATTATTCTCTTGTTTGTTTTGAAATTCATACTCCCAAACAAATAACTGATCTTCCTTTTCTCCACAGTCGCCATATCTTTCTGGGGTTTCGACGTAGGCAAGAATCTTGTGCGCGACTTTACCTCCACTGCCCCTCACGAACCCCTCACCATTGCTCAAATCAGTGCTGCTGGATTTTTCTCCGCCATTCCCCAGACAATCATTACTGCTCCATTTGAACGTGTGAAAGTTCTTTTACAAATCCAAGGACAAAAGGAACTTGCGCCTGGAGAGAAGCCAAAATATAATGGTGGTGTGGATGTCGTAAAGCAACTTTACAAGGAGGGTGGTATTAAATCAGTCTTTCGAGGATCTGCTGCTACACTGGCACGAGATGGTCCTGGAAGCGCCGCATATTTCGCAACCTACGAGTACATCAAACGTCGCCTAACTCCTATAGACCCCGCTACTGGTAAACCAGGCAAGGAACTAAGTTTATTAGCGATTACCGGTGCAGGAGCATGCGCAGGTGTAGCAATGTGGATTCCGGTTTTCCCAGTCGACACAGTCAAGTCAAGATTACAAACTATGGAAGGCAAACCAACAGTTGGAGGTGTAATAAAGGGGTTGTATAGAAATGGAGGATTTAAGGCATTCTTCCCTGGATTTGGACCGGCATTAGCGAGAGCTGTACCTGCTAATGCTGCAACATTTTTGGGCGTGGAATTGGCCCACCAAGGAATGAACAAGGTGTTTGGATGAGCGATCAGAGGCAGGCACTCAGGAATGGGTAGATGGAGCATGGAATAAAGGTTATCGCTGGGTGGGGCAAATAGATGGGCTGGGGTGATAGTATTTCACTTCACTGTAAAACATGAATGCATGTATAAGGACCATAAAGAAGTTCTTAGCTATGGCACATAGCTAGGTAGAGATAGATTTCTAATTCTAGCTGGAGGTAAAAGATGATAGACTCGAGAAACCGGTACCATTGAATCGAATTAGATTTAGATTTAAATAGAGAGCTGATCGAATTTCCCAAACTTTGATTTTGAATTTATATGAAATGACTGAATGTCAAGATATCATGAAAGAAAAAAATGAAATAGTGTAACCTTATATATTATAAAAGTGGTAGGTCGAGATATATGCGTCCCGATAGTATACTGTGAGGAGGGAATTGGAAGAGAAAGCTGAATTAGATCATATTGTAATATGTCATTTATAAAGAAAACAGAATTCATAATGATTTTGGGGTTGATATTATATAGATTCAAATATATATATATATATAGAAAATTGATTATTGTGAAAAGAAGAGGTAAAAGCTTTTTTTTTTTTTCTTAATTATAAAAGGTTATGTGATTGATTGGTTAAAAACCTTTATGTATTTGGTCTATAATTCCAACTTTCTTATAATATAAGAATTGTCAACAACTTCTCGATGACCAAATATTCTTTACCACGCTTACCTAATCAATTATTAATCCGAGATTGATCAAAAAACATCTCACAAATCATTTATTTCTCTTCGTGAGAACCTCATTCCACTCTACACCTTCACCTCTACGTTTTCATGAATTTTTTCCGACCAGGGAGATCTGTCAATTCTCCGGTAAGTCAATCTACTCCTCATGTTGCGTTCTTCTCCTAACACATACCGAATGTGCAGAACTCTCTTTAAACATTCAAACATCCGATCATGATTTTGAACGCCTTCACTATATTTGACTTACGCCATTGCTTCCTCCAAAGCTGAACGAGTCCAATGCGTAGCATCTTCTCTCATATTATAACTCAGGGAATTACCACGTATTAGTGACTTACCAATGACCAGAGTTCTAGCTCAAAAATTCTTCTTTGGAAGGAGGTCACCGATTATCAATTTTTGGCATCGCGTACCAGTTATCCCAAGCGACTTCAAAACTCGTTTTCAACATGCTTCGACGTCTCTATACTCAACAGAAAGAGGCGGGGTATCGCCTATATCCAGAGATGTCTTGGATAAACATGCAAAGTTGAAGTCAATTCCTAGACCTCTCGAACGTGTTTATGCGCCTCAGTGGCGGAGAGCGAAAGCATGGGACAGAATATTCAGTCCTCACTGGGACCATCAAAGATACAAGGCAGAATACAATGAAAGTAGCTATGTGCCTCTCTGGGACATTGCACCTGGCTGTCTTCTTTTTCTTAAGGGTAAAACAAGATTGGCTCCCGAATCCCTCAAAGAGGTCGAAAAATATGCTCACCCTGACGTGTGTGGCCATCATGTTGTGGTATTGGCAGTCGATGTCAAAGGAGTTAACGAAGGTACAGTTGGCTTGGCGACAATTAGAAGCTTCTCCCAACATCAAGATCAGTGTCGATTCCTTGGTTTAGATTGGTTTGATACTACACACTTTGAGATACAACAGAGAGGCAAGAACCTACCTCCACCAGTTGAGCATAATATAAAAATATTGCGGTTATACAAAACCCCCTGCTCAAATCAATATCATGAACGACGACAACTTGTTGAAACGGGCACCATCTTTATCGTTCCGTACCAGGAGTTAATGACCGAAGTCAGATTTCCCGCAAGATATTGTGACTCGTGGTACCCCTCTTCTTTTCTTAATGGATGGTCTAGACGCATCATTAAAGAAGATTTTTTCACCATGTGTGAAAACATTGGCTTCACACCAGATCCATGGGTTAGTAGTGGTCCATATATGTGGAAGGAATTTGTCAAGAAGACTGGAATCGACACATTTGGCCTTGATCTCGAAGATCCCGCACTATACGACGAGAAGGCCTTTTATCAACAGATGTGGGAGGAAGGACAGAAGGAATATAACAAGTTCTATAGTTGGTCTAGAATTGTTCAACAAAGCTCAAATGATTACTCACCTCTAGGGTGGGTTTTCGACCGTGAGCCGTATAAAGGAGGGCTCATACGCAGGAAAATGAGTGGTCACGGCTTGATTCGCAAAGTAGATCCATTCAACCGTGAGATGTTTAGAGTTTAAGATGCTCTAGTTGCGTCCTATATACACAAGATGTATTTCAATTCTATATTTGTTGAAGCTAGGTTTACTTTGATGTCCTCATAATCTATCAACATTATACAATTTCCGAGTGCTCAGCACCATAAAACACCGAATGGCTTATTGGGCAACCGATAATTACGGTTATTCTTGCCGGGAGACTGTAAGTAGTGTTCTAGCAATGGGATTAACATAGCGAGAACCAATCCCAACTATGAGTTTTCCTATATAATTTCATCATCTCATCGATCATCACTTGTTTCTTATATCTTAGAACCAGATATGAATGGGCGGTATAACATGTGGGAGTATCATCAAGATTCAAGTTTAACGTAACCCAATAATTCAAATTATAATAGAAATTTATAGAGATATGTAAGATAGATATGTAATAGAATTAATCGTTGAATTTGATATTAGCTATATATATTTATCTGAAACCTGAAATCCAGCTCGAAGTTTCTGAATATAACTGATTGTAAAAGCCTAGTTAGAGATTTGCATTTCGGTGTGTAGAGTGGAGTGTGGAGTGGAGTGGCTTTGGAGCCACAGACTATATTTACCCCGCGCTGAAATATATAAGGTTTCGGTAAGTAAGATCTTATTTAATTATTATTTAGTTTATAGATACATACCTTTGGAAACTCGTCTAGCTTCAAAATTATTAATAAAAATCGTGTGATTCATCCTATCTATCCTGCTCTCAGGATGAGTCTCAGGATGAGGATATCTCTTGTATTTTTATTTTCTTTAAGGCTAGGCTGGGAGGAGAGGAGGATAGGATCGACTAGGCTTTTTGAAATGCTGTACAAAGCGATAGGTATACGGACCTATGTGACAGATATGTCGTGGGGAAACCCAAAAACGAAGTTTGTGTTAGTGGCAAAATCTAGCTGAGATAATATTCAAATGAACACTCCTGTGCTAAAACCTAATGCTACTTCAACTCTACAATCTTCAAAACTGCAATTGCTGCCAGTAGATCCGCTGCGGAATGTCACCTTAATAGCGCTGGTAACATTTATTCCCTCTATCTCCTCCTGCTTTCTCCAAACACTGGTTTTAATACCCCCAAAAATACAATCGCCAGATAGGGTCTGTAACTCTTCGGCCGGTCCTAGTATTTCTTTCGCAATAGTTTTTCCAACTGACAAACACAACCAAATCTCCAACTTGAAATCCTCATTATCATTCGGAAGATACCTTCGAAGAAAAGGCAAGCTCCAAAGGTACTCTCTAGCTTGTTTATTTCAGCTATTATCGCTATGTTCCCAACCTGGAGAGTGTCTGATGCTTGAGATACCCCATTCAAGTCCACATCGTCCAGAGTATGGTTGGCACTAACACTACCTTTTTCGTGTGCAATTTCAGTCAATGGCGGGGAGAGGGATGGACAATTAACTGTAAGTCTGCTCGCTTGTTCAGAGAGAGACGAATTGTAGCTTGGGAATAAATCATCGCGCTTTCGCTTCTTCTGTGGCTCTGAATCAGTCAAATCCCCCCTGTTGCTGCCAGCAACTGATGAATTTCCAATCGACAATTGTTGACTCTGTTTCGACCCCGCAATACAATCCACTGGATTCAACAATCCATTTATCGAGCGGTAGTTTCGGTTGGAAGTTGCTCCCCGGTTATCAATAACAAATGCATTTGGAGCAGATACTAACAACGAAACATCCCATCGAACGGGTCGATTGCGGAATTCAGGATTCGACTACCGAGATCGTTGGCTCCAAGCTGATCTGATATCGTTTTGATGCCCTAAGTATTTCAAATGCGCCATTACACTATTGAAAACAATGTCTGTGGCCGAATACTCATCCTCCCATCTAGACTATCAGCATAGCTGTTTAATCTATGGAAATGGGGCCAGTCTACACTGTATCTTGTACCTGCGGCAGCAAGAATAAAGCGCCTTGGCCCAAGCGGAGATATATCTTATGATATTTAAAGCCGGTAGCTATCCAGGACCGTAGATTCTGTTTCAAAACATCAATTTTATCAGTTATCTTCTGCGACTGTTAGAGGGCTATCTAGTATATAGAATATTCCGCGAGCTGTGTTCTTTGTCGAATGCACGTGCCTCTCTGGGGATGCCTCAGCCCACTAGTCCTACTTGGTAATGGATTTCGCGACTTGTTGGCGAAGATCAAGTCTTAAATTCTTAATACGAAGCTAGAGGAAGTATCCGCATAACCCTACCCTACCAAGCCCAAACCCAAATCCAACCACTGCGTCTCTATAATCTTTCTTTTTCTTAACCATCCCGGCCATGGGGTAAGGGAGGAGCGAGGAAGGAAAAGTCTCAGAGGACCGTTCATGTACATTTCTATCATTTCTATCATTTCTATCATTTCTTCTTTCTCTTATCGCCCAGTTATACCATTACCCGTCGTCCTTTCCCCCATTTTATATCATATGAATACTAATTAATCTCTATTTGACTTGGCGGCAACTGCCAGCAATCTTTCCCTTATGATTTTAAAACACCACCTCACAAATTTTTATCCATCTGTCCATCCACCTGTCCATCCACCTGTCCATCCACCTGTTTCCTTTTTCCGATCAATAGCAAAATGGACCACAACCATATCTTCGTAGGAGCGCACCTTTACAAGAGAAGTTACTTCCCAAGAAACCTATAGGTAAAGACAGGAATACCGAATCGAAGCAGCCACTTCCTTCACCTTCCGACCAAAAGGCATGTTATTCTTTGTCTGATATACTACAAATCTAATTTTCTTATAGGCTAAGGGTCAAAAACGTAAACAAGTACAAGCAAACGAAGGCATCTCTTCTATCATGAATCCACCTCCGAAACGATTACGAATATCCTCTCCAAAACCTTCTATTAAAGATACAATCGGCGGCGAAAGTACAAGAATTGATGTTAGCGAAGAAGATATCGATCCATTGGAATATTGGAGGACAGAATTCTATTGGCCAAAGAAATACTTTGAACGGGAAAGCCATATGAATCCGCTTGCGAGGAAAAAATCTTCATCTTTTCGTAGCGAACAATGGGAAGCTGGTTATACTACACCTACATCTATTACGCCTAGCGATCAAAAGCCGAGGGAAGTAAAAAGCGCTCCTTATACAGACCCGAGCTATACAATTGTTCTTGCAACCAAGGGTAGCTTTATGGATACGTCCGATCTGGATATTACAAACACAAGCAAGAATCTCTGTCGAATTTTGCTAGAAACAGAACAGACTGTACCTAAAAACTCTTTATTTCGCGATGAAATATTCGATAGAGTTTGTGAAAAGATTCAGGATAAGAATAAAGCAAGAGTAATTCAAGATATTGACCAATTGATCGTTCCTTCTGCAGAGAACTTAGCTACATATAATACTACACATCTCAATCATTTAATTGAAAATGTGAATGAGGATTGGAATAATGCTATACCTTTTCACAATCCTCGTCCACAGCCTGACTATTCAGTAGAGTTCGAACGAAGTGCATTTACAAACGATCAATTGCAAAAACTTATACCTTTTGTTGGCGAACTTACAAATGAACTCACTTCTTATTTTATAATTACTTGACGTATGTATCTTCCATTTCTAACATCGGAAATGAAATGTAGTGATACATCTCTCGATATTGCTGATCGACAAAATTGTCATAATATAACAATTGCAGTAAAAGGGATAATTGAACTTTTCAAACTTGTAAAACGAGAGAAAGAGCTTCATCGAGAGATACTTACATTTTCAATCTCGCATGATCATCGAAATGTCAGGATTTATGATCATTATCCTATTATCGATGGGAAAGACACTACTTTTTATCATCATCCAATTCATACATTCGATATTACAGTATTAGATGGTAAGGACAAATGGACGGCATATAAGTTCACTAAGAATATCCATGATATTTGGATGCCGACCCATTTGAAAAGAATCTGTTCCGTTATCGATAGTTTACCCTCTGATTTGAATTTTGGGGTTTCGCAGGAATTGGAGATAGGGGAATCTGAGCTTTTACAAGACTTAGAAAATGATTATGTTTTGGAGCAAACAAACTATGATGTTGTATCGTTGGAGGAAGCTGATAGATAATCAGTCAAGTTGTATTGATTCATGTTACTTCTAATGTTTTGCTGTCTCAGGAGTCAGAAGATTAAGGAAAAGATATTCAAACAGCCGAGTAAAGAAATAGACAATAGGTAAACTTATTTCATTCTATTATTATAATCTACTAGGTTTTTGATTTGTTTTAAACGATGTATATCACTGGTAGACTACGCAGCGTGGCCCCGCGGAGCGGATTACTGCTCTGTTGAATAATTTACAAATGATCTATTTGCGGGGTGGATTTAGATTATATAAGTTTAATAGTATTCTAGCTTCCGGTCACTCTTTTACAACAAAAATCATGATTTTCACCTATTAATAACTTTACAATCAATCAATAGAATGTAATAAAATTTAAATTCTAAATTCATTATATAGTTATAAATCAAATTTGAAAATTTCAGATTTTTTGAAATTGATTTTATCGAAATTTATAAGTTTAAATTTTTCAATTTTCAATTTATAAGTTTAATATTTTATTTTTAGATTATTTTTCTTTCATATCAATTTTTTTTTATATTAAAAATCATTATTTTCAATTATTAATATTTCAATAATAAATAAATAAAATCAATTGAAATTTTAAATATAATAATAAATTTAAAAAATTTAAGATTTTTTATAATTTTATTAATTGAGAAATTAAAATTTAAAATGACAATTTTCAACTTATATAAAATTCATATATAAATTTGAAAATTATTAAAACTTGAAATAACTTTTCAACAAAAGTTAATAAAAATAAATTATAAAACTTTTTAAAATCTTCAAATCAAATAATATATTGTCACGGACCTTGTATAAAGGACGATCACGTGATTCCAATTGATCGACAATTCCTATCAGCGAACTGATAGTCTGTACACACTTTTTCAAATTTACTCTTTTTAATATAGTATTATAATCATCTTAAAACAGATTGTATATAACCATACAATTATCATATAGATATTTTGTATAAATATAAAGATGCTCCCTATGAGCCATAGTTCTTCAGTTGTAGATTCTAAGGAATATAATTAACTCTGTTTATTCAACTCTTATAAGACTCTTATACATCACATATATAATAGATTAAGATTTTAAATTTTAAATTATATAAAAACTTGAATTTTCCTTAGACTTTTTTTTGAAAAGCCAGAGGTCCGAGGGGCGCAGGCCTCCAATAATTATTATAATTATTATAAAACTATATCAAATTAAAAGTAAAATATTAAATTTATATTAAAAATAATAAAATAATATATATATATTATTTAAAATTAAATTTTATATCAATATACCAAATTAAATAATTGAAACTACTCAAGTAACGAGATAAATTAAATTAGATATACTAAAAGAATATTAAGCTTATAACATCCATAAACCGGGTTATCTATACCTAACTGTCGCCAATACCACATTTAAAGAAATTTTTCATTTTCAAACCGAATGATAAATCCATCCATAACCATCCATACATCCCCAAGTTAAAACCCCTCACAACTTTTACCCCCATCACCCTCAAAGAAAATAACTTTTTGTCTTTTTTTAAAAAAAGAACCTCCCCATCCCCCAAACAATCCACACCCACACCCACCACCCCTAAACCATCTTCAAAAGCCCCTCCATCTTCCCCTCCGCACGCCAATCCTCCAACAATTTTCCCCACGCACTAGCACCCCATCCATAAACCGCCGTCTTCCCACCCACCTCAGGATGTTTACCCACCTGACCCTCACCATTAAAATAGCCCGGCGTACATTGCGAGAAATAATTAATCATAGGTGCACTACCGTCCAAAATATCCTTGACCCATTGACCCTCCGCTTCCTTTGAAGCTTCAACAGCCTTGATATTTTTCTTCTTGCATTCGGAAATGATGTACGCGGTATGCATTGATTGATGCGTGAGTGTATACATGAAGTTTGCAGAGACGCCAGATTGAGTAGTGCCGAAGAAGAAATAATTTGGGAAGCCGTGGGTTTGGAATCCGTGGAAGGTGGAGGGCCCTAGTTTCCATTTATCGTCTAGGATGAGTCCGTTGCGGCCGGTGACGGTGATGCCTGAGCGACGTTGATAGGCGGTTGTGACTTCGAAACCGGTGGAATAGATGAGGATGTCGACGGGGTATTCGACACCGTCGACAATTACTCCAGCTTGAGAAACACGATCAACACCCTTTCCGTTTGTGTCGACGAGTTGGACATTATCGCGGTTGAAGAGGGAGAGGTATTCGTCGTGGAAGCAGGGTCGTTTGCACATGGATGAATACCATGGTTTGAGTTTCTCAGCTGTCTCTTTATCTTCAACCAATTCATCAACCCGAGCTCGAATACGTTCCATGAGTTGGAAATCTGCCATCATCATCATTTGACCCAATTTTACTTGATCGGTACAAGAATTTGCTTTTCCCAAGATAGCCGTGGCAGGGTTGAGAGTCCAGCCATCGGCGACAAGGTCTTCTTTCTGACGACAATTAGAAATACGATCATTGAAATTTTCCATTCGATTTTCTTGCCAACCTGGCTTAAGGTTTTGACAAAAGGTTGGTGGAGTAGGCTTGTTGTTTCGAACGTTAATAGTAGAGGGTGTTCTCTGAAAGACGTAGACGTGCTTTGAGGCTTTGGCGAGATGAGGAAGCATTTGAACTGCTGTTGCACCAGTACCAATGACACCAACACGCTTATCAGCCAACTTGCCGAGATTTCCATTTACATCACCACCCGTAACACCATAATCCCAACGCGAAGTATGAAATGATTTGCCAGCAAAAAGCTCCATGCCTTCAAGACCTGGTAGCTTGAGCTTGTGTAGAATACCTGTAGCTGTGATAGCAAACTTGGAAGTAAAGTGATCACCACGATTTGTCTCGGTCTTCCATGAAAGAGTATCTTCATCCCAGTTCATGGACTTGGCTTCAGTTTGAAAGATCGTCTTTTCCTTGATGTTGTAGCGTGTAACGAGCATCTCGATATGCTTATGAATTTCGGTGGTGCGAGCATACTTTTCAGTTGGGACATAACCAAGCTCTTCAAGTAATGGAAGGTAAATATAGGATTCGATATCACATTGAGCACCTGCAATTGAAATCAGTAAATGTCAAAGTTTGAAGGTTGGAGTATTGAAAGTCAGATTGAGGAGCACAAACCTGGATACTGGTTCCAATACCAAGTACCACCATACCCACCACCCTTTTCAAGAATGCGGAAGTTGGTAACACCTTGTTGAGAAAGGCGAGCAGCGGCCAACAAACCACCATACCCACCACCAACGATTAGTACTTCGGCAGAATCAGTGATTGGTTCTCTTGGTACAATCTCGTCAACTAGAGCATCATCTTGGAATCGAGCAAAGTTGCCAGTGGGCTCCTTGTATTGAGTAAGACCATCCTCACGAATACGCTTCTGTCGCTCAAGATAGTACTTTTGCGCTAAAGCTTGAGGATCAAGTGGAGAGGAAGGTTCAGGAAGAGTAGCTATAGTTGCAGACATCTTAAAAGAAGACTTTGCAAACAGATGTGTACAAAGGGGAGACTTGATTGTAGTGCTTTGAGAGTGTTTTGATGCTTTAATGGAATCAGAATGTAGGATGTTATGAGTGTAGATGAAAGGGTTTGAAGTTAATGGAGATAGATCGAGAGCTGTGTTGTTATTGTTTGTGGAAAGAGAAATTATCTGAAAGATGGGATCAATCGGGCTTTTATATCTTTCTAACAAGGACGATAACGATATCGGAGTAAACAAAATGAACTTTACTTTCCCAATCCCTTTCATTCACCTTTCTCCAAGCAGCCAATTTGGGCCCATCATGTATTCATCCGCTCTCAATAAGGTAGTTATCAATGGTGAATGTCATCCCAACTCGCCTTTGAGATACTTCAGCCACGTTTTCATTGTTTCACCATATGAGTAGATCCAACTCTATTCAAGGAATTTGGTGCTCATAGTGGTCACAGTTCCTCTAGTCCCGCGGAGAATTTTGTTGAGATATCAAAGTTCCATCCATCGTTTCGTGTGTAGATAGCTTCGAATCATCGATTCTAGAATATAGCTTGAGGGCAAGAACGCTACCGACGGGAGCTTTAGACTTTAAATCTGAGACAAGGAACTTAGGAAGAATGTTCCTTCCGTCAGCCAACACTTGTACAAACTAATCATCTGATGTTGGGACTCGAAAGATTTGTTGGAGTTGAAGCATATGGTATCACGACAGCGGATCGCCGCATCGCTACCGCTCCAATGTCTCATCCCAACCGTCAAAATTTCCCGATGAGAGCGAACAAAGCACAAATGGAAACCTAACGGGAAGTTAAACCCCGCTTGGGATCAGGCCATACGCCACTGTGACAGACATCAAGTAAATCGAGCCGTTAGATACAGCCCACTATGTCAAACGTCAAAGATGCATGAAGACAAAAGCAGAAATATATGATGATCTCGATATTATGAGAAGAGGTGGTAGAAATCAATAGAATTTGTACATGAGTTGATCATTAATATGCATCATAATGTTATATATGCCTGTATCCGTAGAAATTTCAGCCATCAAGAAGGCCAGTGGTCCATTCGGTAATCTTTTCAACGCCATGTCCGTGAATTGCACTGATGGGGATTGCCTCTACTCTCCCCGTCCAAGGGTTCTTATGTCTGGAAGGATGCTCTTCCTTTCCGGCTGCGACTTTCTCAAGGTACGACTTCAGTTCCTGGAAATTATCCTGAGTACCAGGCAAATCTGCTTTGCTAGCTACAACAAACCAAGGTTTGTTAGAAATTGAAGGGAGATTAGGTGCGAGGGGATTCTCAAAAGTAGGTCCAGTGTTAATGACAATTGTTTCAGATCGATTTGCCACAGCATCCTCGACAGATGTGAAGGGAGTCCACTCCACAATTGGATTGGCCTTCTCTTTTTCCTCTTCAATCTTCATTCGCTCATACTCAGCGAGTTCTCGCCATAAGCCTTTCAAAGCTTCAACGGCATTGCCCCTCCCAAGATCCACGACAAAGGCAAGTACTCGGGCTCGCTCAACATGACGTAGGAAACTTATACCAAGGCCTCGATCCAAATGAGCATCCTCCACCAGTCCAGGAATATCCGCAATTGTAAAATTTGTTCTCGGTTCGCCGTTTTCATAATTCGCTTGAGCTAGAGGTCTTCCCTTGTTGTCGTCAATAACCACAGTTCCAATATTCGGCTCCAAAGTAGTGAACTCCCAATCTCCAACTCTCGTTCGACTGTTGCTCATAGCTCGTAGCAAAGTACTCTTTCCAGCATTAGGAAGTCCAACGAGTCCCACGTCGGCAAGAAGTTTGAGTTCGAGCTCCAAGGTTATTCGTAGTCCCGCTTCACCTTTGGTCGCAAATTTTGGTCTTGGGACTTGTTTGGTGACGAAATGTGGATTCCCCAAACCTCCCACAGCACCTGCGGCCAAGAGCAATGGTCGTTCCATAGGCATGGAAAGATCTAACGAAATAGGACCCTTCACTTGGGCAGCAGCTAAATTTGACTTCCTTGCTTTTGGCAATGAAGGAAATTCGGCAGTAGCGATCTCTTCAGCTGTAATAGCCGGGTATAGTAACCATCTCTCTCGATCCCATTTATAAGGACCATCTAAATCGTGACCGTCCAGTTTTCCAGCCTCCGTTTTTATCCTGGCCTCTTCAATGGCGGCCGGATCATGTCGATCAAGCTCTCGTACAATAGTACCTACAGGAACTTCAATAATGATATCAGTCCCTCTCTCTCCACCTTTCGTTTTACCTTGACCATTTTTTCCCCTGCCTGCCTTCAAATTCCGACGTCTTGCAAGCTTATGTAAACTTGTTTCGCCTCGCACAGCTTGTATGTATATATTTCCACCGGTACCTCCATCACCTCCATTTGCAGGACCCGCAGCGATGTACTTTTCCCGCAGAAAAGAGATACAACCATGGCCACCAGCACCTGCATAGACATCTATTTTTGCTTTATCTGCGAATATTGTTCGAGAATAATCGGAAGGGGGAGGATTGAGGCGATCGAATTCTTCGGATGTTGACTCGGAGGCAAGTTCTTCGTGTAGGGTACTTTGTCTTCGGAGTGCATTGATGTGAATTCTGGGGTTTCGTTGGACCAACCTATATGTGGTCGAACATAGAAATGGGTACAGAAATGGCGTCAACGTGCCTTGCACAGTCGAGCAGCGTGGAGGCATCATGAGCGATATATCAATTCCTAGCTTGCAGATTTATTTGCAGTGGTGGGAAAAGATACTTTTGATATTGTGATGCAGATAATACATTCTCGGTCACCGTAGCACGAACCTACCGGTTAATATTTTCGACTCCCGATATTTAATGAGAAGCGTGAAATAAGTGAATACTGTACTGTACCGGTAGCTTTTAATCATTCTTAAAGCCCCTTTTTAAAGATCTCGGTAGTGTTACAATATGATTTCTCTCGATATCATCTATTCATCCTTAGGTATATATCTTCATGTTGACCAATTTTGATGTGCCTCGGAACAAATATATGTACCTCTCTCGAATGCGACCTCTCTATCTATCATACACACACCACCCCTCCAAAGCTCAAGCTCAAGCTTCAATCTTTTCTTATCCCCCCACCTTTGGCTTCCCCTCTTGCCCCGATTCTCGATTCTGCGAACAAGCGGTGTGTAGACGCGACTTTCAGAACCCTCCATCCTTTTACCAACCACCTAAATTTTGGTCTGCACATTGCACCCAAAGCTTCAGTTAATAAGGACAAAAGACTCGGGCTGCATACGGAGTACATCAGACCCAATCATTTTATAACCTTCTATTGGTCATGCTACGAACTCAGGATAGCCTCATTATCTTTTTGGTCCAGATCCTCTGGAGTCTGAAGTTTTGAAACAACGAACTATGATGAATATTTACTTCCCTACTTAGCTGATCTAGCTACTTTAAGGCTTTTCATCAACTCATTCTCGGGCCACTGTCGAGATAACTTTTCAAATTGGCAAAGGACTTTAGGAATCTACCCAACCGGATATCATAATCATGACCAACAATCCATGCATTTGGCCTCTAAATTCTCTAACCACGAGATGCAAGTCACATCAAAGCATTCGAGCCACGACAACTTGCGCACTCCGCTGAAATGGCAACACTTGGTACACTTACCTACCTATAGTCAACAAAGTGCTTGTTTGAAAAACAGTTACTATATATGAATCAACCTACTATTCATCAGGATGATCTACCTCGTAGTCTTTTTCCGGAGTTGGTATAGAGTAGGATAGAGTAGGATAGAGTAGGATAGAGTAGGTGTGTAATCAAATCAAATGTAGTCAAATCATCAAATCAGCAAATCAGCAAATCAGCAAATCATCAAATCATCAAATCATGCCCTACTCTATCTTATTAGCTTTTGAGGGGTATCTTCTCGCCTCTCGCGTATGATCCACATATGCCACTGTGCGTTGGTAGTTTCTCGGTGCGCCGATGGTGTGAGGTGGTACAAGTTAACAAGTTAATCTTTTTCCAGGTAGATGGTAGGTGATCATATAGTAAAAGAGCAAAAGGTGGTAAGGAATAAGTGGTGATAAGTAGGAGGATGCTCATAATGTTCGGTACGCAGTAAAGCTAAGTCTGTGTTAGGTGTACATACATTTTTTATACCGAGGAATCAGGTAGCTACAGACTAAGTTAATCCTCTTGGACATCTTTTCATGCCTTTTCCTCATGCACCTTACGATTCTCACCCAAGTTCTTCCCCACTCCAAACAATTTAGAAACACACGCACGACCACCACCATCAACCGACACGCCGAACTTGCAGACAAGCTTGCACATCTTTCTAATAACGACGTCTCACTTGTTTCCCTCCTCCTCCTCCTCCTCCTACTATTCCTCCTCCTCACTCGTCCTTCCCGTTGCGCTTATTTTGTTGTCAAATCTCCGTAACCTTAAGGTTTCTTGTCGTCTAAATTCCAAAGAAGAACTGCCCATTCTTCCATGCCAACTACCCGTCTCTTCCTATCCCGTCACCTCTAACCAAACCATCTTTCCTATCTTCCGTCCATTACTCAGTACATACCTTACTTAGCGTTTTCCCCCTATTACCATACCATATCATACCATATTTTACGATTTACGATACCAGCATTGTTAGTCGTGGGGTCTTTTTTGTTTTGATTTCCTTGACACTTCAACATACATTTTATTCTAATCTTCATTTTGAATGGTGCAGAAATTTGCGTAGCGTGATCTTTCTATCGTGGAAATCTGCAGTTCCGGGAGCCAGCAAACAAGCAAGCAAGCATATCATAATATAGTGTCGTTTCGTTCCTTGTCCTACGATCCAGACTCGCTGCATCAAATCGAAGAGGGGAGCTGAGAGGGGAATACACTTATAGAAGGTTAGTTTAACTTTAAGATCATCTCAATTGATTCGAATATCATTTCCAAACCTTACCCCACACGAACTGCACTGCAAAAGCAAGCCAGCGAGCCAAAGGATACGATATTTGGATAGGTCTCCCCCATTCCCCCTCCCCCCCCAAGGTCTCGAATTTCGTCTTGTCAGTCAAGCGACCTACCTATCACCTACGTACATACATACATACATACATACATACAGTACGATACCTCACTGTTCGTCCCCATAGTCTTACCCACCACAAACTATGGGATCATCTTGCCCCCTCCAATCCTCTTTCACTTACTTCCGACCTCCCTGACCCCGAAACATTCACTCTTCTTTCTCTCATCATATATGCATATACTTCCTTCTCTTTGAGCCTCAATACTCTCCAGCCTAACCATCTCTTTCACTCTTCTTCGCTTCAATACTAGCTTTCTCTTGTTCATTACCCCTCATTCACATCAGATGATACCCCTTCATAATGTTAATCAAGAACGCCAGGAACAACAAAAACGTCAAGATCATGGATCCAGATTGCGCAATATGTTCTCAGCCAGCCATCGCAAAATGCGAGTGCGAAGCCAATGGCCTTACCGTCGCTGTGAGGCAGGCTGAACAGAGAATGATGTCTACTGTTTATAATGATATAAGGTACTGTCTCCCATGCATCCTTATACCCCTCCTGTTCATATACTCTCACCCTCTTATCTTCTCATTATCATTTACATGAATGAATCTATCATCTGCACAGCAACAACTATTAATCTTCTTCATAAACAGAACCTGGGTCCGCGGCCACGCCCAAGATTACATACTTACCTACTTCAGCGTGCTCACTACTCGCCGCAAAGACGAACATGCCGCTCAAATACACCGCATAACCGAACGAGCAGCCTACTACTACAACGCGCGGCCACACCCCTCTGAAGTTGCCCAAGCTGATGCGGAACTCAAACGCGGCATCGACGAAGATTGGCGCGCAAGCGTACAACGTTACCCAGAAGTCCTCGAGTATTACTTCAGCCTAGTTGAATTAAGTTTACCAGGCGATGATGAACCTGGGGTACGCGATCCACCTTTATCGGCGCTAGGAGGTGGAGGAAGAAAAGTGAGATTAAATGAGCCTGGACCACAGAGAGGATCTACACCTGCTGTTTCGGACGGGGGAGAAGAAAGGGATAGGGATAGAAGGAGGGAACAGAGAAGGATTGGAACGCCTGCAAACGACAGAGAAAGGCATGCCGATAGACAGAGGAGAGATAGTTTGAGGGTTGAAGGGAGGAATAGACCGATGACTGCACCGCCACCCCCAGCAGGTCCACATATGCCGCCTGCACAAAATCCTCCAAGGAACTCGAGGGCGGCTCCACAATATGCTCCTACGCCAGGATATGCTTATGTTAATCCTTATTGAGATTGATGATGAACTTCTTTCTCTTAGGATAAGAGGAGGGAAGATATTTGAATTGAAGAATGAATAAATAACTTCAGCTGTGCGTATATTATCGCCATAATGTTTCATGGGTAGGGATTAATGATTGCAGCTGAAGTTATGGACGCCAAAAAAGTAGGCCTAGCATCCTTGATTAGCATAGCCACCTGGATACCGCTTGATTTTGATCGAATCATCATGGATATAGTTCAAAGTTTATATCAACATCTTTCCATCTGATCTCGGACCGGATAACTTAATTCTCTCTTTTGTACATACATCAGTCAGCTTGTCGGATACTTGATTGTTATGATTTATGTATTCGATCAATCTCATCAGTTCCCATCTCATATCATCATATCACATCACGAATCTCATACTTCTTACGATCACTATCTACCTACCGTTACGATATTTAACGAAGCCCACGACAAAAGACTGGTTGGCTTTTTGGCTTTTTGGTTTGCTGCATATCATCATCTATTTAGCATATTAGCGTCATGGTCACCCATTCATCTATTCATCATCATCATCTGTCAAATTGCTTTGAGGTCGGAGCTAGAGCCGGATGGGCGGATCTTGTCTTGTCTTGTCTTTTCTTCGAATTATGTTGCTGTGTTGTGTATGGTTTGGTTTGTTGTGTATGCTGGCTGGTTGATATTGGCTTTATTTATTTATTTATCTATACCTTGTTTCTTCATGGCCCCGTAGAATGAATGCGTTGGAGGGAGGCTTTCTCTTGCTCTTTATATCATAAGATTACCAAGGTACTATATGAAAGAAATATTTTTGTTAGGTTGTTTTCTTTATGCGTGTTCTTGTTTTGGCATTTTGGATTTGGGGATCGTGTTGAATGGGGTTTCCTTTTTGGTGTATGTGTGTGTATATATTAGTTATTTTAGTTAAAAAAAATTTACTATGGAAATTTGTTAAATAACCCGCGGATGAGATGTTCCGTATTGAGTATCTAGTGTATATATGGTGATACTAGAAATGTGAATATAAACAATCTACCTTTCGTGTCAATATGAGACAAAAAAACATGAAATATACACACTCTTAGGTGCAACACTTCTTCCCTATAAAGTATTGTCTGTATGGGGTGCAGAGTATAAGTGGGCTGGTCTGTAACTATATTATTTGTTTATTAAATATTTATTTATAAAAAGATTTAAAGATTCAATTATAAATTAATTCTAGTACTTTACTTTTCGGTCATCTTTTTATATCAAAAATCATCATTTTCAGCTACTAATATTTCAACAACGAATGAATGATATCAATTGAAATTTTAGGAATATATTAATAAATATATAATCAATCTATCATTCAAATTTTATTAGATTATATTCATTAGTTATAAAGTTATTAATAGCTGAAAATGACGATTTTTGATATAAAAAAGTGACTGAAAAGAAAAGTACTAGACTTATAGAAATATTAATATATTAATATTTGAGTAATTGTTTTATTATTATTATTTTTTTTCTATTTATTAATTTATTAATTTATTAATTGTACTTTATAAATATTATATAATATAATATATTTTCAAGTGTTAATCAAATGCAACTACAACTACAACTTCAACTTCGACTTCGACTTCGAGTTCGAGTTCTAGCTATAAGTTCGGCTTTGAGTGGAATTCTAGCTCAGTTCAATCGTTCAACAGTTCGGGGGCTCGAGGCTTGGGGTTCTACTGCGATGATTAGATTTAAATATAGATTTAAAGGTTTAATTTTTAAGAGGTGCAGTGAGGTGGTAGAGTGAGGACTAAAGGAAATAAATTTGAATATAGGTACTAGACTAGATAGCGAGGTTATTTCTTGTTATTAGGGTTTATATATTCGGGTTTAGATGAAAAATTAAGGTGGTGGAGTGGAGTGGTAGAGTGGGTATTGAGGGAAATGAGTATTGAGGGGAGTAAGTACTAAAGGGAATGAGTTTAAGTATAGTATTAAGTAGGGAAGAGTTTTCTTGTTATGGATTGAGTTATGTAAGTTTTTGATTTGTTCGATGTTGGGTTTGTTGTGATGTGGTATACTATGGTATGATTTAGATGTATAGGAGATATAGTAGATATAGGATATATATGAGAGGAGATATATAAGAATATATATATATATATATATAATTGTTAATAGTAGAGTAGATAATATAAGATCGTCTTTATATATATATCTAGTATGAGCAGTGAGGATGGTTGTTAAAGAAAACTTATTAATCACTTGTTTAAACCCGAGAAAAAAAATACTCGAGTATTTATAATGATATTGATATTGATTAAATAAAAAAAATCTTGAATAAATCTAGATATAGAAACTTGGAGAGAAAAGTAAGATAGAGATTTGAATATAATGATTTAATGAATTGGTTTGTTTCATATTAATAACAAACATCTATTCATCTATCCACTCATTTATCCTCATCCATTCATTTATCCTCATCCATCCATCCATCCATCCATCCATCAGGTCAGAATCGTTAGATCAGACCACAGTATGTTTCCTTACTCCAACTGTCCCTCCATTGCCCCACCACTCGCCATCACATGCTTTAAAATGCATAAGTACGTGGATATGATAAAGGTAATCTAAGATTCCTCTGCATCCTCTTTAGCGGCACCACTCAAATCAGCTGCTGCATCCTTTTCACCCTCTTTAATTAACTCGACTTCATTTGCGACGGATCCACCTTCGTCGGCACCAGCGGTAGCCTTAGTTTCGCCATGGCCATGTCCATTGGTCGCTGGAATTTCTGAGGCTGGGGTGGCAGTTCCTGATTCTTCAGCGTCAAGTCTCTCGACTTCCTTTTGAGCTTTCTCAATGTTCTATTTTGGTTTTAGCCTATTGCAAAGGATTGTAGATAAGTATTTCAAAACTTACGCGCTTGGTTTGAACAGCTTGGTCCTCCTTCCAGTGAGTCAGCTTGGCCTTGACCTTCTCGGTAACAGCTGGGACATCAGCTGCGCTGAATGGTGGGTCAATTCCCATCTTGGCTAGATCTTCCATAACAGCTGGTGGACAACTGTATTTCGCTGAAGCTGGGGTAGAAGCGGCTGCGGCATTTCTCTTGTTGCCCTTCTTTCCCTTCTTGCCTCCAGTTCCCTTCATGAAATCCTCCTCACGGTCTTCCTTCTTCAAGACTCTGGTTCCCTTGAGCCCGGAATCATCAACGGTACGTCCAGCAGCAGCCTCAAGTCCTGAAGGAGCTTGTAATGGTGCCTTGGTTGTGGTAAAGGTTGGGTCAAGGTATCGGAGAACAGATTCGGCATTTCTGATTTCGTCAAGGTAGGCAGGGTCACTAGCCTCCTCGAGCATCTTTTGGGCGCGTTCCTTCTTGCGCTCATTTTGTTGCTTCTCATACTCAGCCTTTTGTCTCTCACGAGCCTTTTGACGCTGGTTGAAATCATAACTGTTGGCTGCTCTGACAGCCTGGTAATGCTCATCCTTAATTTGTCTTAGGGCATTCCATTTTTCCTGTTGCTCGGCTTGGAATTTATCCTTCTCGGCCTTGAGAGCTCCAAAGTTCTTGAAAGCATCATCTTGCTCGGCCTTCAAAATATCCAATTCACCTTGAAGCTTCGAGTATTTTTCAGATAATGCCTTGCTTTCTGGATCATCAAGCGTATCCTGGAGATTCTTTCTCTTGGTTTTCAAGGCCTCAATTGACTTCTCGGTGTCGTCAAATCCAGCGAATCCCTTGCGTTGCTTACGAAGGTTGGAGATTTCGGTAAGTGTCTTGCGCTCATCAACAATTTTCATAGTAGCAGCATCAACTTGCTTCTGTAATCTGTCGATCTCCCGGTCTAGTTCATCCACATTCTTGAATCCAACCTTTCCCTTGGCAACCTTTTGCTCATTAACCTTGGCCTTAATTTGCTCATCAAGCTTCTTGATTTGGTCAAAGACTTGTAAACGACCGGCTTTTCCAGCACCTTGTTGTTCCTTAATCTCCTTCAACTGACTGATCAGATTGCTTCTATGCTTCGCAGCTGGGGAATCCTTATTCTTGTTTGGTTGCGCAACATCCAACTTTGCTTTTGCGGCAGCCTGCATTAAAATGGTATTAGTAACTGGTCGTCCGGACAATGCAGCATGCCGATGTGCAGGAAGATATAAATAATGCCATGAGAGTTGTTATGTAGATTCCACTCACAGCTTTTTCCACACTTTGCTTGTGCTCTTTCTCAGCTTGGGCTAATTTTGCTTTGAAAACTGCTTCATCTGGTTTGACTGGTCGCGATTGAACCTCTTTTTTAGCTCCCTCATCTGCTTTGGTCGCAGAGGTTGGTTTTGCAATATCTGCCATTTTTTGATTGGGATTATGAACAAGCTATTAAAAGCTTTTTCTTATTTCCTTGAGAGATTTATTGAACAAAATAAATGTTCAATTAATTCAAGGACCAAAAGAAAAGAAGATATGTCACCTAAGTATCAGGACACAGTATTGTATTCGTACTTTGAAAGAAGGATGAATACAAGAAGGAGGTGGTCGAGGATAATGAGAATAATTATGGTAGGAAATAATTGTATTATATTAGTTGGTTGTGCGATGACAGGTTAACAATTTTTTTAGCTTCTCTATTGGCTGTGTTGGGCTGTTCTAGATGGGGTACCAGGGATAAAACCACTTGAGTAGAAGTACACCAGGACTTTAAAACACCGTTAGAATAATACGGTGGCCTTGGGGCGATAGGCTATGTTGGGGCTACAGGCGATGTATTGAGTTTTCGATAGACCCTAGAAAGAGGCCGGATAGGAAATGGGAGGGGAAGATTGGTGAACTAGAGAGTCTAGAGTACCTAAGAGTGAGGTGTCAACTATACGGTGACCCTTAATGAGTCCGTCTAACAAGAAGTAAGTCCAAATCCAGTCTAGCCTCAGTCAACATCCTCGGACAAGTCGGAAGTCTATCGATACCTACCAAATCTTAATATCATGTGACTTCCCCATACAACTTTGCACTTTTTTCTGAGCCACTAGCGCCAAAATATTTACAAAGGGCCCTTCCATTTAGATCGCGGTATCTAATTCCTATCAACAAGACAATCATCAACCGCCTCACATACCACCGCTTAATACATTTAGGGGTCTCTCACGAGGATATCATTCTCCTTCAGTGCGCAATCATTTTCTACCGACCATCCTCTAGACTTCGTCAAACCTATTAGCTAAATCTTCAAAATGGCCGATGATGAGGATCGCGCGCAAAAGCAACGAGATGGTATTGACAGAGAGGCCGCAAAGTTATGGAGATGCTACAGAACTGTACACGAAATGGTCCAAGATCGTGGTTATCTTCTCGCTGAAGAAGAAGTCAACATGAGCTTCGACACATTCAAGGCCAAGTTTACCAGCAACGATGGAAGTGTTGAGTATGCGCCCTTCTCTTTTTCAACCTTGTAACCTCGTTCAACACATACTACATTCTCTAATTCCGCTTGGTACTGAATCTCCCTCTTGGGTCATGAACTAACAATGTATTTCTTCAGTCGCCGCCAAATGAACTTCTCCGCAACCCCTAGTGAAGCTATGATTGCCAGATACGCAAACGCACCCACTCCCCAGAACCCAAACCCAACTACCTCGGAAATAGGTACCATCTGGGTTGAGTTTCTCATGGTGACTGATGTATCAATTGGAATCAAACAAATGCGTACATTTGCACAGCATCTTTCTCAACACAACTTCTCTGCCGGAATTCTCATCGCACCTGTTCCGCCATCAGGTCCCGCTCAAAAGATTATCCCAGCCGTCGCATCTGATACCAGAATCGAGACCTTCGTCGAGCAAGATTTATTGGTCAATATTACACATCATGAATTGGTTCCGAAACATGTGCTGTTGAGTAAGGAAGAGAGAGCCAAGTTGTTGTTGAGATATAGATTGAAGGATACTCAACTTCCACGTATTCAAGCCGCAGATCCAGTCGCGAAATATTTGGGATTGAGAAGAGGGCAAGTGGTTAAGATTATTAGAAAGTCCGAAACTGCTGGCCGTTATGCCAGTTACAGGTTGTGCGTTTAATTGGGTTGGAGGATAGATTATTTGGTGTTAATAACTAGGGAGTTTACTGGGAAAATTGCATATTTGGGATGGCGCAAAGGGCTGTAAGAAAGCTGAGGATGAAAATAGTCTATTTCGGCTTGCCAGTAGGCATTATTTATCAGGCATGAAATTTGATTTCAAATTTCCTGTTCTGTATATTTCTGATAGTTTCAGAGCTTTTCAATAAGATCTATTTCTATAGATTGGAAGTTTCGTCTTCTCTTTTGACAACTCATGCAAAGTTCCTTTTTCTCATCCTCGAGTTAAACGCATATCATGAGCTATCCACTGGATCATCATCTTAGAAATTCATTCAAAAGATAGAATTCTGTGAAGCCGAAATTCTCCTAAATTTCAATCCTTAAAATACCATCCATCACTTAACAGAATCCAACAAGCTCTACATTAGTGTCCACCATCACTTCCTCCAAGTGCAAATAGATCAATCAATATCAATGATCTCCCTCCCTTAAAACCGGAGTATCTGCCCATATCTCTGCTCTTTCTCATAATAGAGACCTGATTGGAATCAAATACCTATGTATTATAAGATTAGCTCACTCTCTGTTAGTTATTTACTTTGTGATCGAGTAGGTTTTGCCTAATATATTATAATATACATTATACTATAATAAGCTCTTAAATAAATATCTTTGAATTGTTATTACTTATATAATTAATTTAGTTTTTTATCTTTTTATATATTTTATTACTATTTTGGATTTTTAAATATTTAGTTTTAATTTCTTTTTTATTTTTCTTTTTTATATTTTATTATATAACATTAAAAATTCATTCTTCTTTAAAAAATTCAATATATGAATTAAAATTTTATTTTTACTTTTAAAAAGTACTTAAAACTTTGAATTATTTATTGATTTATATTAGGATTTAAATTTTTTTTTAAATAAAAATAATATTAAATAAAATAAAGAACTAAAAATAGATTTTCATAATAAGTTCAATAATGTTATATAATTTATAGACTAATTATTTTATTTTATTTTATTTATTTGAGTGATGAAAAGAAGAGTAGGTTTAGATCTAGTGTTAACATTAGTAGGGTTATCCTCGGATTATCTTTGTTCCATAAGCATACCTCACATTTAATTTTTATCATTGCGACAGACAGACACAGCTTGCTTTTGCTCAAACCAATTTTTTTTCTCAATCCGTTCAATATACAACCCAATTAATTGAGAATGGGTCAACGCGGAAAGGTAAGCTTTTTCTTTCTTTCTTCCAATTGAATAATCAAAAATATCTAACAATCAACAGGGAGGTCGTGGCGGCAGAGGACGAGGACGAGGTGGCAGAAGCGGGGGAAGATCGAGGGATCATGGAGTTGATAATCGATGTAGCTTTGAGAGTGTTCCAAAATCTAATGAAAAATTCGAGAGATACTACAATGGACTTTTGAATTTGGAGGAGGAAGAGAAGGAGGAGTTTTGGGGAGCGTTGAAGAGAGAGTTACCGAATAGTTTTCGATTTGCGGGGTCAAAAGGGTATGTCACTCAATTATCTACACTATGATCTCATATGATTCGTATTTCTATCTTTACCTTTCTAACAATTATAGTCATGCACTGGCAGTACAGAAGCAATTAAAAGAACGATACATTCCTGAAATTTCGGCCATTAAGCAATTCGATGGTAGACCTGTTGAACCTCCAACCCCAGTTCCATGGTATCCAGATGAACTTGCATGGTCGATGAAGACTTCAAAAACTGTTATCCGAAAATCTCCTCCTTTTGCCAAATTCCAAAAATTCTTGGTTTCCGAAACGAGTGTAGGAAATATTAGCAGACAAGAGATTGTCAGCATGATTCCACCTTTGGTTATGGATTTGAGACCTGGGATGACAGTATTGGATATGTGTGCTGCGCCAGGAAGTAAGGCGGCTCAATTGTTAGAAATGGTGCATCATGGAGAGGAAACCAGGGTTCAGGCGGTTTTAAAAGGAGACGGAAGCGCAAACGCGGAATTAGAACTCGATCCAAGTGATGATGGAAGAGCTACGGGTTTATTGATCGCTAATGATGCCGACTACAAAAGAAGTCATATGTTGATTCATCAACTTAAACGGCTTTCATCCCCCAATCTCATCGTCACTAATCATGATGCTACCATGTATCCATCAATTAAGCTCCCACCTACGCCAGAAAACCCGGCAACGAATCGATACCTTAAATTTGATAGAATTTTGGCCGATGTGCCTTGTTCTGGAGATGGTACAACTAGAAAGAATGTTAATTTGTGGAAGGATTGGAATCCTGGTAACGCACTTGGACTTTATATCACTCAAGTTCGAATTTTGGTCAGAGCTCTTCAGATGCTCAAGGTGGGTGGACGTGTTGTCTACTCTACTTGTAGTATGAATCCTATCGAGAACGAAGCGGTTGTTGCTTCTGCCATTGAAAGGTGTGGTGGCCCCGAAAAGGTTAAATTGGTATCTAGCGATGATCAATTACCTTTACTCAAGAGAAGACCAGGTTTAAAGACTTGGACTGTCATGGACAAGAAAGGTCGCGTTTGGAATTCTTGGGCTGAATTGCAAAAGTACATTGCAGAGAATGGTCAGGATGATTGGACTGGTAGATTGGTTGAGGGAATGTTTCCACCAACCGATGAAGCTATGTCAAGTGTTCCTTTAGATCAATGCATGCGTGTTTATGCCCATTTGCAAGATACTGGTGGTTTTTTCATTACAATTTTGGAGAAACAATCGGAATTCAAGGCAAAGCCAGAATCTGACAATAAGAAGATCGCACCAAAACCTCCCATCACAGCGATTGTTGATGAGATCGAATCTGCTCCCACTCCAAAGGATGGTGAAAGCGTCGTACCAAAAATTGAGGCAGCAGATGAACTTACTCACCCTACCTCAACCACTCTCGAAGAAGTCACACCTGTAGCACGTCAAAATCAGGAGCAGTATGGATCTGATGCAACCCATACCGTGGGTTCTAAGCGTCCTGCTTCAGAAATCGAAGATCCTGAAGTTGACGGTGCTACTGAGAACAAAAAGATAAAGACAGAAGGTCGCACAGAACATTACCCACCACCAGCAGGTGCAGAATTAGATCTCATAACCCGGCCAGGTGATCAACGATCCGATTCAAAACCACCAAAAATTTCCAACAAATATGGTCAAAATCAAGCATATGAAGAGGCATTCAAATATATTCCTGGTGATCACCCTCAGGTTCAAGAAATTGAATCATTCTACAGACTGAGTGAAAGATTTCCAAGAGATAGATTCTTGGTCAGAAATGCCACCGGTGAACCCGCTAAAACAATTTACTACACCACTGCATTGATCAGAGATATCTTGACCGAGAATGATGGCAAAGGAATTAAATTCATCCATGGTGGTGTGAAGATGTTCATGAAACAAGATGTACAGGGTGAGGGCGTTTGCAGATGGCGTATTCAATCGGAAGGTATGCCAATTCTTCAGGGTTATGTTGGAGAGGGAAGAATCGTCAATTTGTCCAAGAAGGAAACACTTCGCACTCTCTTAATCGAGATGTTTCCTAAAGTTTCAGGTGACTCATGGAAAGAACTTGGAGAGATTGGAGAAAGAGTCAGAGATATTGGAATGGGATGTTGTGTTTTGAGAATCGAACCTGGTGAAGGTGAAGATGCTTTTACCGAGAAAATGGTCCTTCCTTTATGGAGAAGTCTGCATTCACTTAACTTGATGTTGGCAAAGGAGGATAGAAGTGCAATGTTATTGAGAATTTTCAATGACACCACTCCATTGGTTAATAATTCTATTGGGGCTCAAAGGGAGGCGGAACTTAAGAAGGAAGGAGAAATCAAGTCAGAGGTTGCTCCAGGATTCAAAGTTGAGGATGAAGAGATCAAAGTTGATGTTGATGGTGGGTTAGAAGGTGCTGGTGCTATTATTATAAAAAGAGAAGATCAAAGAGATGGCGATGTGCAAATTCGAGAGGGACCTTACGATACTTTGGTTGCGGGTGTAGAGCAAGTGGCTAATAGAGGAATGGATGTTAAAGCGGTGAAGATTGAAAAGGGTGAGGAAACTGGTGGATCAGAAGAACAACTTGATGGTATGGATGGGATTGAGGGACAGCAAGGTGGTGTTGCTTAGACTTGAGAAGGAATTGATGAGTGCATGGATAGATTGATACGGATGGCTAAATTGGCGTTTTAATGGCTTGTATAAGTTTCAAGCTGGGATCCGGAGACTGAATCGTGATACATACATTTAAAATCGGATTACTCATTTGACATTGTAGGTTTCTCTTTGTACTCGTAATCAGTGTGAGATTCTTGCTATGGGAAGAAAGGTCTAGATCATTCTCATCCAGTCAATCCTAAGCGAGCTAGTGAATTAAACTTTAGGTCTTATAAGCCGCTGATTTATCTTTCATCTTATATATATTCGATAATATTATATTTTGCTTATTATATACTCAATGTAAGATTCCTTATTATATTTCACTGGGGTGTATAAATAAAATTACCATCGTATATACTCGAGTAAATCCAATTAAATTAACAGTCAGTACAGTACCTATATATAAATACCCCAATATCCCCCCCTCCCCTCAAAAAAGAAAACTCTATATAAATAGATCCCCGCACCGAATGTCTAGATTAAATGTGTATTTTTGAACAGAAGTTTTCGTGCTGTATTTAACTGTTAATGTGGTAATGTGGTAAGAGAGATGTGTGAGTGTATGGTATGGTATGTTTTCGGATAGAGAGGGGATTTCGTGGTATGGGGGTTGGGGAATGGTTTGGTGTTTGGTGTTTGAAATGCGGTGTTGAGTTTGATGTGTTGTGCTGCATATAGCTCACAACTCGAGCTCTTATATCAATGGACGAAATGTGGATATTCATACTATATAATGAGATAAATGAGAGGCGCTTGCCCATGCAGTGGAAGAAACTCAAACCTGCACATGGATCACAAAAGATCATAAAATGACCAAATCCATAAATAAAAATTACTCTAAAGAATTCTCCACATTACGCCGCAAAACATCAATAATCCAATCCTTCCCAAACACTCCCTCGGGTATCCGATACGAAAACGTCAAAGGGAAACAATGCATCTGTTTATCCCACTCTAACCATTCCCCCCTGACGCCCTCACTCTCCAATTTCTTTCTAAACTCTACCGAATCCGGCGCCAAACAATCATATAAACCCACCACGCCATCTACCTGTACATTCGCTTTTTTAAACACGCTTAAATCAGCCAGCAGAGGAGATACCGTAGGATCATCTTCTGCTAATTCATGACGCCATCTTTCTGCAACTTCGGTAATGACTGTTCGGCTTAAGATAGGATCATGAGCATCGATTTCGTCGATTCCCGGATGTGTGTTTCGGAGATCGGTAGGAGGAGACATGACCATAATATTTCTCAAAGGACAAACCTCATCAATCCCATACCCATTCTCTAACCAAAGATTCGCCCCATAAATCCCCAGTACCAAAGCAATATTCCCACCGGCCGAATCCCCCATCAAAGTAATCCTACACCCATCATCTTTCGCCTGCGCAGCAACCATATCATAAAACCTCCTTAAATGCGGAAGCGAATGAGCAGCGGGTGAATTAGGCGCAAGTGGATAACTAACGAGATTTATCTGATATTCTGGTAATTTCCTGCAGAGTTCCGCGCAAAGTGCCCAGTGTTCCTTCAGTGCACCACTTCTGAATCCTCCGCCGGCGAAATAGTATAATTTATCGAGGACGATTCGGGATGATGGAGAGCTGGGTGGTGAGAGTGATGTATAGGTATAGATGTATGTATCAGCGATTTGATGTTCGGTTATCTGACAATGTTTTTTGGTGGAGTGGTGAGGGGTTAATTGGGGGGATCCAGAGGGGACTGGGGGATGGGTTTTGAGGATGGTTTTGGAGAAGGTTTTGATGGCTTTTTGGGATATGCTGCTTAGACTCGATCGATCATCTCGTTGAGTGAGTTTGATTGAGCTGGAGGTTTGGTGAGAGGGTTCGAGATTAGACATGATTGATTGTGGTGGGAATGATCGGATTTAGTTGGATGTGGAGTAAGGATATCTTGTTGTTGTTAGGGTATGTATCATAATAATTGGTATTTCATTTGCATATTCGTAGATTTCGTAGATGGTCTTTGAATAGATATCATTGATTGATTATGAAGTTATTGTTAGGAAATACTCGAGTACCGATAGAAAAGAAATATAATATAAAAAGACAGAAAAGAGGGGGGAAAAAGAAGTCAATAATCAGGGTCCTGTCAAAATCCTCAAGCCCACAATGAGATCATCGACCCCTTTCATCATTCCTGGATAAGGATACCTTGATATTTTAGCTCTTATTTTGAGGGACCTGCCACGCGTTTCTTCTTCTTCTATTCGGTTGATGTTACTGGTTTATTGCTGATGATCATATAATGATTGCATGGTGATAGATATCAATGGTCCAACAATCACATCTGGGAAAGTAAGATCTTACCGGTACGTCCTTGAGTAAATATGGAGGGGGAAGTTCGTTGGTGGTCATAATTAATAGAAATCTGGGGTTTGTTAGTTTTGTCGTCTGATGAAAACGCTAGATCTAACTCCACCAGTTCTAACGGGGGAGATTTTGATTGTCATAGCTTCTTTATAAAGTTTGATGCGCTTATTCCATCAATAGGGAATCTATACTCGAGTAATTACAAACTACAATTGTAAGATCTTAGCTTTTACAATAAGATGATCAATATTCGTTGAAATACACGTGATTACAGTACACAAGATCTTATCAGCTATTTATTAAGGTTGCTCTTCAAATGGAGATCTAGAGGAAAGTTAGAGCTAACCTTCCTTTTGCATTTCATCTCCTCCCGTTTCAAACGAGCAGAAATCTTTCCGACATGTTCGGAAATGTCAATACCATCGCGAAATGATATTCTACCTTTGCTGCTTGTACTGACCTATACTTTTACGTGTGCAATATCGTTACAGCTCAAATGGGTGAACATCAGCGAGTTTTAGCTGGAAACTCTCTTAATGACTTCATTTGTCATGAAATGGTGATACGATGAAGTCTCTGTTCTACCACACTTTAGTATCCTGATTCAAAACTAACAGCTCTCAATATTCAATTTACGTCTGTCCAATAAACACTGCGGGAAACCTATATGGAAGCATTCCCACAGATTTTCTATCCACCTACCTCCTCTTCGAACAAGAACCTGTAACTTGGGCACGTGGTGTGATTCAACTCATCCCCGAGCGAAAGTGTCTTCTCCCATTGAGATCATCTTAAATTCTCAATAACATGTTGTTCTTGAAGTTGAGAAGCGGGGCAGGTGGAAGATTAGAGACACAATATGAACGAAAGTGCTTCAGATGCCGAATTTGCTATCACTATCTAGTTGATTAATTTGAAGAGCGCTGGCATTTCAAAAGATGAAGAGATCACTTAGGTTGGAAGCGGAGGCAGATGGAGGTAGTTTGTGAGGTTGCAGAATCGAAAGGATTGATGTTGGTTGGCGGAAGGGATTAGACAGTAGATGGGAGTATTTCTTTTTGGTGAACGGATGGGAATCTGTTATGGCAATGTAGAGATAATATCTCAAAGATAGAATATCGTTCTTGTCTATGGGATATAGACGAAGTGACAGTCTCCGAACTTATTGGGTTTTGATTGTCCGGCTACTTCATAGTACACACCAAACTAACTGCTCTAAGATCGCCTTCTTAAGTAGAACGGTGGCCAATGCTGATGCTCACAATCATCCACACTTTTACTGAGCATTCCGTGAAGGAGAGAACAATTTTGGAATCCTTACAAGATTTGGCCTGCAGACTTATCCCCAAAGCCTCACATGGGGAGGCCAAATTTGTGAACGAAAATAAGTTCTTTGTATTAAATCTTCTGGTATCGTCTCTCTTTTGTTCATATTATCCACAAATTGGTTTGCTATTCTGATTATCCCAGGTACCTCTTCATTTCCTCCACAACCCGGTCATAAACAACTAAACCCCTACACCAATCTATTTCCCTCTGATATCTTCACCAAAGAACCCGCCTTTCAATTCCATCCAGCTTCTCTTTTCTCTCCCTAAAACTCACCATCGCAGCCTACTTCTCTCCGTCCTCCTCCTCCAAAAACCTCGTTTCTCTCCTCATACCGCAAGCAACCACCTCCTTCCCAACCACATCACAGACAACCAAGTTCCAGGCACTCTCCATCCAATCCCACGCTTCCATCAACTATCCACCCTAATACAATTCAAAACCAGCAACATGTATCTAGTCAATTCACGTCGTTAAGCTAACCTTGTTATATTCAAGAGACTGAGAGGATTTTGAACACCTACACTACGAAGAGAATTACCAGCACGGGATTAGTTATATAGCAGATAAACTTTAACTTTGAATTTTTACATTTGAAATCATGACTCGTTCCTATTTCTTCACTCTTCCCTTAAAAAGAGAAAGATATCAATAACCTTAATAGATCCTTCATAATCCCGCATACACATCGTTCAATTATATTTTCCGATCAATATAAACAGCCATAATACTTCGTTCCTGTCCCCCTCCTAAACAACATCCATTTCCAAGAAACCTCAAGCCTTTCACTCAAAGGAAGGGAGAAAGGAAAACCCCTCCCAATAGGTATCCTAAGCATCTTATTCTTATAATCAATTATTTAGTTTATTATATTTATTGATTCCATTCCTTTATTTTTACATATATATCATTCAAGCAATACTATAATAGAACTAATAAAACTAATAATTCTAATAGATAGATCATCTAGAGTAATAATAGACTTGGCGATTCGTTCCTCTTTTACTTTTTCTTTTTCTTCTCTTTTCCCTTTTTCTTTCTCACTCAGGGTTATCATCCTCTATTTGCTCATCCTGCTCTTTTCCCTTTTTCTTTCTCACTCAGGGTTATCATCCTCTATTTGCTCATCCTGCTCTTTTTCATACTCGCTTCCTATTTCCCTTCATTTGTTCTCCTAACATCCAATCTCTTCCTGCACCCCTACTATTCTCCTTCCTCCCCTATCAACAAGCTCTATCAACAATCCATTTTCTCAAGTATCAAATTTCATTTTTTAATAGTCTAATAGTCTAATATTTCTCATTCGTCTCAATTTCAGAGCTTTTATATACCCCTTTTCATATCTACTAATACACCAATCATCCCACGATATAATATTCAACCTCGTTACTTTTGCTAAGAAGAAAGAGGGGGAGGGGGCCGGGTTTATGTAGACATAGATAAGTATATGTAGATATTCCACTTATGCAAATGCGATTCATGGAGTCGAGATATGTATACATGGAACGGGAAGGGGATAAGAGTATAAGATTGTTGAGAGAGATATTGAGATTAAATGATGGTGGTGGCTCGGGGATGTTACTGCGCGGTAGCTTCGAGAATTCAAGATTTAAGAGAGACGGGGGAATAATAAAGATGATATAAATAAACGAATAAATAAACAAAAATTGCAAAGTATCATTTCCCTCCCTTCAAAAATAAACAAAAAAGCAAAGAAGTAGGACTACACAACTCCCATCGCCACCTTCATCCAAATCACCACTTATAATCCGTCCCACTCTCATGTTCCATCATATCAAAAGCAGGTTTCGCACTAAAATACCCCACTTTCTCCGTCCCAATCGCCTTAGAAGTATACGCCGCATCCTCCTCCTCAATCTTAATAGTTTCCCCCCCTCTTCCCCCCGCAGCCGCATCAGCCAATAATTGCGCATGACAACATTTCTCCAAACTCGTAAACCAAAATACGGCACTCTCGATTGATTCTCCACAGGTAAGTAAGCCGTGATTTTGAAGGAGTGCGGCTTTTTTGGAGCCAAGGGCAGAAGCTATGGCGTGTCCTTCTTCTGAGGCGAGAACGATGCCCCGGAATGATGAGTACAGTGCCAGGTCGTTGTGGAAGGCACAGGCATCTTGCGTTATGGTGTCGAGGGGACGGCCGAGGGTACAGAAGGCTCGTCCGTAGAGGGAGTGAGAATGGGCTACTGCGTTTATTTCTGGGCGAGCTGTGTGGACTGCGTGGTGAATCATGTAGGCTGGGGGTGTTAGTATGAATCTTGGGGCGGGGAAATATGATGGTGGGTGATGAGAGAAGAATATGTACCAGCCGTGTTGAGTAATCGACATGGACCACCTTCTATTACTTCACCGTCTTTATTAACGAGGATTAAATCGGATGCTCGAAGAAGTGGCCATGCTACTCCAAATGGATTAACCCAGAAACTAGTTGGATCAACAGGATCCTATTCTCATTAGTATTCTCTCCTCAATATTTTAACCCTATCTTTATCCCCATCCACATCTCACAGCCAAACCGTCAACTCATTCCCAAAAACACCACCCTCCAAAAAGCAGCACTCACCCTCAAAGTAATATGTCCCGCAACTCCCTCATCATACCCCAATTTCGCAAAAATCCTAAACGCCAACGCTAATCTTCCCTTCTGATATTCCCTCTCTGCATATTTATCTTCAAATGGTGTTCGAAATGGGAATCTTAGATTACCAGGACGAGCTTTTGCCTGTTCTTTTGAGAGGCCAGGTTCGTGTGTTGTGGTTGAGGCTTCAGAATGAGGGGTTATGGGAACGGCGGCTCCTGTGTTGACAGTCTCGGCGTTTGTATTAGTTGCTGAAGGGGGAGACATTTTTGTTGTGGTTGGGGATTGTGAGAATTGATGGATATGGATATGGATATGAATATGAGAGAAGACTACGAGTAGATATGGGATGTTATGAAGTGAGAGACAAGACAATAATAGATAGACGTGGCAGTTGTAATGCAATTGTAATGGAGATAAGTCAGGAGATTGAAGGGAAGACGTAAGAAATTCATATAACTGCACGCCACGCCCTATTACTAGACTCTCCATAACAGCCTATGACAATCATTCCAGAAATCCCGGCAGTATGAATTGACACGACTTGGTTGGTTGGACTTTTACATGCATTTGAAGATCCCCGTATGCAAATTCCTCAAATGAGGGGTATTTGTGGAGTAATAGTATCCCTTGAAAAGGCCAGTGAAATATGGAGTAGAGCAGGTGAATATTACCTCGTATGTGCTATAATAATCAGCTCCCACAAACGGTTCACTAATTCCTAGCCAGAGAAAGCGTATATCCCCCAAAGAACGAAATGTCCCGTCAATTATTGATCTTGACAAGATTTTATACCGAAATCGGCAAAGGGACAATTCGCTTCCGGGGATATACATTTTCCGCAACTAGGAACTAATCGGCTCTATGTGAAAGCCGACGATTAGTAGCAAATCATAAGGTTATAAGGAGATGTGAATTCGAACAGAGATTCGTCACCACCTTTTCTTTTTTGGCAACTACTGTTGGTATCTGAGCAAGCGGCTGCTCAGCTGAATAACTTTTTGCTTGTCAGGTAATAATAGCTGAGATCATATACAACAAGATAAATGCAGCCTGCAGCCTGCAGCTGTCAGATAAATGAATGATCTCCGAAAGCTGTTTGTACTTAGAATATCGAGGCTCCTTTCTACTCTTGAGCATGAAAGCTAACACAACCTCCGAGGTAAAGTAAACGGAATATTTTCCGTGATTACTAAATCACCATAACACGCATATCACGTGAACGGGCGTTTTCTCGTGACTTTTGACCTACCCAGTACACGGGGACAGCTACCCCAAGCTCCAAACCTATCTTCTGATTTCGGAAAAGTTTTGCTATATGATATAAAGCAAACGACATGGAAGTTTCCAACACACAAAATCTAATCAATATCTGTCTCGAAACCCTCTGTTCACCAACCCGAACAGCATTCCCCGACCCCTCTAGCTCAAGCATCAAATGCACATCGACATCAAAATCATCAGATAACACCCCTCAAATCCTCTCACAATGCGGTTCCTCGATCATAACCCTACTATCTCATCTGAGTACCATGATCCGTAAGCACACAGGCAATAAAAATCTCACACTCCAAAGACTCGACGATATACTCTCCCTAGCCAAAGAAAAATTCTACGCATATCCCTTCAAAGACGTCCCAGAATGCTGGCGAGCATTATTTCTCGAAGCGAGTTTATTGAAATTTTCTGCTCTTGTTTTATGGGGATTCTCGACTTTGGGTCCGCGTGAGAAAGAGTGTCAGGTTTCGGATTGGGATGTTTCACATGATCGGGCTATAGATCAGATGGTTGAGACGATGGATATGGCTTTAATCATGGTGGGGACTCCTGCTTCTGCGTCGTTAAGATGGGCAATTGAGTGTGCTATGGATCTTTTACAGAAGATTCATGAGGAAATAATGCATGAGGATACTTCCGCACAACCAGCTACGAAACGTCGGAAAATGTCTTTTAGTAATTCACTCCCAGCTGCCGCACCTTCGTATCAAGATCGTTTTCCATCATCTTCCCTCGAACCACCTCCACTTTCAAATCACATCTCTCGAGTAAGCTCCAACGACCTCAACTCCAACACCGACGAAACCATAAACAAATTCTCAAATCACATGCACCAACCCCAAGATCCGACCCTGGGAGCAGAACCCCTCATAATAACCTCATCCATCGAATCCTGGCCCGCGCGCAACCAAAGACCCTGGTCCAGTCCCACATACCTACTATCCCAAACCATAGACGGCCGGCGCCTAGTCCCCATCGAAACAGGCCGAAGCTACGTGGACGCGGACTGGGGCCAAAAAATCAGCACATTCAAATCATTCATGCAAGAATACCTTCTTCCTACATCACCCTCCCAAAGACATTCCCCGAAAACAACAGGATACCTAGCACAACATAATCTATTTTCGCAAATCCCCACCCTCCGAAACGACATCCACATACCCGATTACTGCTACACAACCCCACCGACTCCCCACCCCTCCTGTTCCCCCGCGCTAAAAGAAAAATATACCCAAACCCGCGAACTGGACGAACCGCTCCTAAACGCCTGGTTTGGTCCCGCTGGTACAATAAGTCCCCTCCATACAGACCCCTACCATAATATCCTCGCGCAAGTCGTCGGTAGGAAATATCTACGTCTTTATCCGCCGCGAGAGACTCCGAGACTCTATGCGAGAGGTATAGAAGAGGGAGGGGTAGATATGAGTAATACGAGTGCGGTCGATATAGGAGTACTAGCCGGCTGGGATGGTAGCGAGTCAGAGCAAGAAAATGAGAGGAGGAAATTTCCAATGGTGAGTGAGGCAATACATTGGGATTGTGTGTTAGAGGAGGGGGAGGTATTGTATATACCCGTTGGATGGTGGCATTACGTTAGGGGATTAAGTACGAGTTTTAGTGTGAGTTTTTGGTGGAATTGATATATAGGTGCTGGGTACATATCCTCCCCCCACCCCAATCTCCAACCCCGCAATCAAAATAGAAAAAAAGATCCTCATGGATTCCCTCTACTAAAAAAACCAACTACCTACATACACCACACCAATCCCGCAAACGATTAATTGCCCCACATCCCAAACCCCTCCCTACCTCGCAATAAGACTCCTCAAATCATGCTCTCGCTTAAAATCCTTAACATCAATCCTCTTCACAGACACAAAACCCAAATCCCACAATTCATCCATGACTGCATCTCTTATCCCGGGAAACTTATGAAAGAGCAAGTCTAGCAAAAAATTATCGATGGTTTCTGGGTACACGGGCGCTAATCGTCCAAAACATTTAATGGCCGCTTTACATTTATCGATTCGGGAACTATTGGTTTCTTTTGCGATTTGTTCGCAGAGTGTTTGGTATTGTCTATATTTATTAAATATTTTTGTTAGCAGAATAAATAAGTTAATCGGGACAGTGATGATGGATGTACTAACTCAGCCGTGTAATCTTTATACATTAGTCCCATATCCAGCAATAGCGCGATAATCTCCAATGTACCCACTACCACCTTTTCATTCTTGCGATGATGGGTTTCTAGATTTCTAACCAGAGCCGCACCAATAAATTTTCTATTTGCAGGGTTGTCATCGCAAAAATCAATCAAAGCAGCAATGCTAACGCGACGTAAATCTTCTGTACCTCCATGGGCAGAAGTTACATATCCTTCCAACAATTTATCCGTCCATGAAGGAAGCCATTCAAATTCGTGAGTTGTTGTATTTCCAGTAAGACGATCTCCAGTTTGTAAATCTAGCATAAAACGAAAATGTTCATAAGAAGAAATTGAACTTTGCTCAAAGGATAAAGTGTCGGATCTAAATTGCCACAATGTTAGAAGTGAGGGAAAAATGGTAAACGATCGGACTTACTTGGATACAAGACTTGGAAGAATGACCAAAAGGGCTTTCTTTGCCTCTGTTCGAACTTTATCCAACTTTTCAGTGCAAAGTCTTAACAGCTTACCAAACATGGTCGAAAATATTTTCATATTAGCTGGATCACTTCTTAAGTCTGTCGATAAAAAGATTGCCGCAGCTCCTTTGATAGCCTCTAGTCTGACTCGCGATCCAATATCACCTTGTGCTGGATCTGTATGATAGTCATCAAGACCATGTGAAACTATATCCCAGAACCCAATAATAGAAGAGTTTAGCGCTTTGCTCTCTTTTGAAATATATGGAAGCAAAGCCAGTCGTGTCTTGATATCGTAAATACGTTTGCCGATAGTTGACTTCCAGCTCTCATGTAATGCGATGGAGATATTGTTCACTTGATCATTCATGTTATTTTGGAACAATGAGTAGGATATTAAAAGCATGGAGAATGTCAGCTGAGTCTTTTGCATTGACAGCAGCATACGATCGATTAAGCTATTCCGATGGCCAGCAGAATACCAAAAGAACGATCTGCGGTGACAAGCCGTTAAAAGAGTAACTAATTCTTCAGAACTAGTGTCAGTAAAGTGTTCGATGAAGCTTCTAACAAGCAATGGAAAGGTTGTAAAATTTCCGCTTGCGTTTTCGACATTATGATCCTTCAACTCATTTTGGACATTTGAATCGTGTTGGGCATCGGAAGACTCAAACTCATCCATGGTATGAGCCAACACTTCAGCCACTGTTTGATGGTCCGAGGTACTAACCATATGCTCTGCATAAGGTTCTTCATACTCGAACATAAGGACCTTTCTGGTTTTTGAGTCGTCTAACCATTTTAATATATCGCTGGAGACAGAAGGCGCACCCTGCCTTTTAAGCATGACTATTGTCCCAAATATACGGAAACAATGAAAGATCACACATGCCACAGCTTCCGCCATTAAGTCAGGGCGTCGCCAGCTTTGTGGGGATGATACTGACGTTATGTTTGAAATGTAAGAAGTGAGCATTTCGAGAATTCTATCCGAATACACTTGAAAAGAAACAGCATAATCCTTTCTTTCGTGGAAGTTTGGACATTCAAGAAGTGCTGCCGCTATAAGCAGGAGTAATCCATGTCGTTCATTAGTCTGACGGAGTGTAAGATCATTGAGTTGTTGATCGAGAGAACATATAGTCTCGTAAGAACCTTTGTATGTGTTAGGAGTTTTGCTATTCTTTTCCGAGAAGTTTATAAGACGGAAGGCTTCAGCACAATTCCGCCTTGTAGCAAGGTCGGCATCACCGACCCCACGCCAACCTCGTAATGCTTCAAGGAGTGCCTCTCCATAGTGGTGCCAGGACTCTCCGTTGTCGGTTTTGCAAGCCAATGAAGAAGCTAAAACTGCCACTTCCAGTATCGCTCTAGATCGAAGAGCTACAGCATGATAGTCAACAATTTGCACCAACTCCAGGGCCTCAATGATCGTATTTGGGTGGCGACCTATCAGTTCTTGAAGTGCTGCAGAAGCTCCTCGACGTATATTTCCGGCAGGATCCAAGCATGCGGAAACAACGAGATGTGTTGCTAGAGTTTGTATAGTAGAGCTGGTATTCATGGAATGACTAAACCCTTCGGATTTGATGTCAATATCCTGTAATTCCGCAGTTAAGTAACGTCGAGCTAATGCCCATATTCCAAAGCATGCAGCATCTCGCACATTTGTTCCAATAGAGCTACCAGATGAAGACTTTCCTTCAAATGATAAAGCTTTGAGTAGGAAAACAATCACTTTATCAAGCAATCCAGGAGGTGCCGCATGACGATATAGCAAATGTGAGAGTGTTAAAATTTGGCCATGCCAATTCAAAACATCAGTGGTTGGAAACGCTTCTAACATCTCGAAAATTGCAAGTACAAATTCATATGCGTGTTCAGGCTGTAATTTTAAAATAACGACGCTTAACGCTTTACTTGCAGCCAGTCTAACCGGCGTTGATGGATCCAATAGCGATTGTAACATGAAATCAACACAGTCACTCAAAATGACATCTATAGTTGTGAAAGATGGACGTAAATTGAGCAAAGCAATGCCGCGGAAAATCTTAATAATAAATTTTCGCGCAACGGCCGAGCTTTGAACTTCTTTACAGAAACGATCGGATGATTCCACAAAGTTAGAAACAGCATAGAATACTGGTTCCACACCAGAGTCCATATAAGCGGTGCCCGTAGATGACTTGAGAATCCCAGCAAGAAAGGACAAAACACCATTGATATAGTGTATATTTCGATTTTCGTTAATAGACTTCAGAACAGACGTTGCCCACACTATTGAAGAATTCAGGACCCCAAGATCTTGCATATCCTTGAGCAGAACAACCCTCACTAGTAGGATTTTTGCAGCATCCTTCTCCTTGCCAGATGAGGAGAGATATTTTATGGCCAATGCGATAGACCGCAATACTACACCGGGAGTATTGGCTGGTAATTTGAAATGAGCGAGATATAACTCGGCATCACGAGGCGGGGGAGTGGATGACAAGGAATTGAGAGCGAAAGGTGCCATGAGTGACTGCGAAAGCCAAAGCAAAGTTATATATCGTTCCTCCCAGCCCCATACTTCCTCTATTGATTTTTCGCATGCATCATTATTTATCCATGTTCCTTTTTCGATAGCAGAAAGTAATAAATCAATAAGTTTGACATCGGTATTTAAGAACTGAACGATAACTTTCTCTCCTCTGACTTTACAAAATGTATAGAGCAATCGACAAATAGCTTTTGATAGAGGCATCAATAGTTGGGTATGAGCGGGAGGGGTCTTCGAAGGTGGTTTTGATATGGAGGCAATGAAAGCATCAGCTAGTATGGGTACCAGTCTTTGAAGGTGTGGATCGAGGAGTTGAGGAAGTTCTTGAAAATTATCTAGCTACGGACAAACTTAGCATATGATGTAGTATTAGAAGGAATATCAATACCAATGCTGCCAATCTATCTGTTTCTCTTATGCGGACTCTCCTTCGTAGTTGACTCTTGTTAGTAACGTTGTGAAGGAATGGGTGTAGTGATTTCTCGAAATCTTCCAAGAGTTCTCCCGACTCTCTTTGGAGCCGTACATCTTTATCATCATCTGCTGCGTCCATTATGAGCTTCTGTTTGAGGAAGTGTCAACTGCTTTGGGTGAGTCCCAGTTTCTCTCTTTTGACTGTTGTCGGTGGTTGAGGATTGGAGTAAATGTTAACTTTTCGGAGTGCAGATTGATACTTATTCCTCTTGATTATTCATTCAACATGAGAAGATATTAGGCTGTCCGTCCGACACAGGTACGGTGCTTCTTGTCATCAATACTCATTATTGTATTATTGATCGTGATAGACATCAAGGTCTAATTGGGATTCTTCCTGGTTTAAGGGACAGCCTTACGGCATTGTAAACAAAAAAGTTTAGTGGGGTCGCGTCCGACGCCAACACTATAGAAAGACACGCGATGGATGATGAAATGAATCTCATAAGACTTACCAAAATCGACATATCTAAGTCTTATAACACTCTCAATGTCCCAATTCAGGCTTGACAATAATATGGTCCCTCAAATCAAAATCTACGATGTGTGTTTCACCTATTGCCATGAGAAGTCACTGCCGACTTGAGAATTATGAGGTAAGTCTCAATTTTGCAGATGAATTGTCACCAAAGACAACAAAAAGCAATACATGTTACTATGCTCACCTTATCCTCTCCTCTTATTAATACATGAATCAAAACGAAGCCATTGCCACCATGTAATGTCCGTGAATCAACCTCTGCACTGGAGTACCTAGTAGGCAGTGATGGTTACAATACCGAGCTCTTTTCCCCAATGCCGTCTTACATCCTCTTACATCTACCCCACCTCATCGCCCGTCATTGCGGGGAGAAATATATTTATATCGTGGTATAATCTCAAATAAACTGGAGCATCAACATTTGACTGACTCATCCCACGTCCATCATGGCGCACAAATTTCATATAAACACAGCACACATTCACATGAAATGGGACAAGTCTCTTACTCCCGTCTTGACTGTTGATTCGGGTTCTGAGATATCATTCGATCTCCTCGATGGAGGTTCTAATCAAATCACAGATACTTCAGACATCACCGCTGTTGAAAACTTTGATCTCGCAAAAGCCGATCCTGCATTTGGTCCCGTCTACGTCAATGGAGCTTCCCCAGGCGATGTACTTAAAGTCGAATTTCTATCCCTCAAACCGGCTGATTATGGCTGGACAATCTGTTTACCAGGCTCATTCGGATTCGGCCTACTAGCTGATGAATATCCCGAAGCATCTCTCAAAATCTGGGATCTTTCAACAGGAGAAGATTTTGCCGTATTCAAGCAAGGAATACATGTCCCCATAAAACCATTTTTGGGTGTGGTGGGAGTAGCGCGGGAGGAAGAGGGAGCATTTTCTACAGTTCCTCCTTATGATACGGGTGGAAACATCGATTGCAAATATATTACTCAAGGATCTATTCTTTACCTTCCTGTCAAAGTTCCAGGTGCTTTGTTTAGTTGCGGAGATGGCCATGCGGCCCAAGGAGATGGGGAGGTTTGCGGAACGGCTATTGAAACGCCTATGAAGGCTACAGTACGTCTGACGGTTGAGAAAGGTAAACCATGGATTCAAAGTCCACATTTTATGGTTCCTCCTCAACCTGTCACTGTGGATAAGGGAGAATATGCTGCATTAGGGATTGATAGTGATCTCAGAGAAGCGAGCAGAAAGGCATTAAGAGGATTGATAGCTTGGCTTGTGGGAGAGAAAGGGTTGGACAGACAAGAAGCATATATGCTTGCCAGTGTGGCTGCACATTTGAAGATTGCGGAAATTGTTGATATGCCGAATTATGCGGTGGCTTGTAGTTTGCCGTTGAGTATATTTGTTGGTGCTCCTTATGTTTGAGGCTAGGAGAGTTTCACATTCACATCAGCTTCGAGAGTAGGTGTGAGCAGTTTTTAACCACGGCATGTTTCCAATATATGCCCCACATACCGAGTTTCCCCCATTGAAATGAATTCATATCTCACGCATATAATACACAAAACGACTAATCCATATCAAGAGAAGTGACACGCGCTCGATCAACCATTCAATATCTCTCTCCTATAGCTAACTGGTTACTCTCGAGGTCTTCTTCGGACAATACAACAAGACCGCTTAGATTCGGTGTAACATTTCGATATCAAAGTCAATCTTTCACATGTCTCTTGCTCTTGAGTCTTGAAATTATCGTGAAAGCCTAGGCTTGGTATGTCTGAATGATGCTTTCAAGTCCAATCTACCAATCAGAGCGTCTCGAAAAACTGGACATGAACACCGACTCCCATCTCCAAATCTCAAATCAGCCTTCCTGGGAATTGTGTGATTGGAGAAAAGTGGGAACATGCATTAGCCGTGTTATTTTGTTTTCCGGGAGTTTCGCCTCATCCATTTCCTAGACTTTAGAAGGTATCTTCTCCGTGTGCCGAATTCCCTTATTTATTCTCAGAGTGAAACATTTGCCCTGCTGCATAAGTACATACCAGCATGTACACTGCGAATGCCTTCACATCTAGATTCTACATCCATCGGGATACAAAACGAAATTCCATATCTCTCGGGTCCTTACGACCTACGACCAAAATCTCACCTCCTCAAAACGCCAAGGCCACCTCCGCACCTGACATAATTCCTCGCGTGGTTCCCCTGTCTTTTTCATGGTATAGATACCCAACCATTCGTGAAGCGGAACTGCATCTGCATGCAAGAGATTTTTTTTATTTTATTATCCGTCGATGGATTCCTTATCATGCATCTATTTGATATCAGTGTTTCCTGCTCCATTTCTTTTCCTTGTACTCCGTATGCAGTGCAGTTGAGATGAGATGAGATGAGGAAAAGTAGGCAAAGGAGTTCCGTGCCCTGGTCCATGGATATGCATGGGGAAGATTTCGTGCGGAAAATTGTCGTATGATTTTTGGGTATTGTACTTACTTACTTGTACTACTTGGTCGCAACTTGCCGCATTTTTCGTAAAGGTTGTGATGTGTGATGTCAACCTTACCTTCCCCTTCCTTACCTTGGAAAAAACCCGAGTCGGATCAATGTCTTTGTCTCATCATGTACAATCCTATTAATGCACCGTTTGATGTACGGGGACTCGAAGATCTTGCACCACGATAATGAAACTCAGCTCTAGGCATCACTGTTATATCCATTTCCCATGGCGGTTCTGTACATCTTGTACTTCTTGGTTTAAGCCTCAACGTAGAACGGTGTAGGCTGTCATGTCCGACGGTCTAACGAGTCTAACACGTCTAGCGACTTGTCGTAGAGGTCACATTTCACCGTAATTTCATCTGAAGCATCCTGGATGATGGATTACCCAGTATGTAGATCATCATTGTACTAGAATCATGTGAGAGCGCCTTGGGTAGAAATACGTGATGTGATGTACAGTAATAGAATCGAAAGATAGAAATTCGTAGAGACAGATAACATGCCGCATTACCTTTGGAGGATTCATTAAACAGTCAATACTCCATAGCCAGTCGGCCGTGTAGGGCCCGCCGTGATAGTTGAAGCTTGCCATTGTGGTTTGACTGGCTACAGTGGCGCTTCTACTGTGAGATAGACATAGTATACGCACGGTATGAAATGAAATGATTTGATATAACATCTTACTTGTTCAAGGTTCGGTGCCGATAATGTTTGAAGCTTGGCATTCTCGGTATCAAGTTCATCCATTCATGACTCCATCATCCATCCGTAATCCGTTCGGTACTAGGTATCTAGAAGGTCACCGTCACTTCACTTTACTCACTGCACCGTACCGTGCCTCATTTCAACATCTATGTATTCCCTTCATGTCAATTCAATATCATATCAAGCGAAACCAACAAACCAACAGCTAACCAAGAACCACCGCCATTGACCACTGACCATTGACCACTGGCCATTAACCACTGACCATTAACCACCAACCACCAACCACCAACCACTTCAATTTTAAGCCATGGCCCCATGAATTCGACGAGTTTGTGAATAAATTCCAAAGGTTGTGAACCCTATCCAGCGAGTGAGTGGGTCGGTGGCTAAAAAGAGGTTCTTATCTCTTCACCCTGTAAGTGTAATAATTCAATTATGCACGGAGTATGTACAATACATAGCTCCTCCATCTTGAACCTGATATGGAGGAATAAGGTGATGATGTAAATTCCCGAGGTGAGCGGAATACCTTGGGATGATGATTGCACCTTACCCGAAGGAATCCCAATCCATGGGCAAAAAGTCCTGCATCCCACGCATTCATTTTCATAGGCTTCCCAAACCGCGGGTTCGTTATAATTTTCTTGCCGCGTCATTTGGGGGAAATGATGAGCGGGCGAATCAATTGGTTTCTATTCCAATTGAAAAGATTTATGGCCATGGCTGTGGTAAATTGAGTTATAAAGCCAATAAACCAGTAAAAGAAGACAAGATTGCAGGAACGGATACTTATCTATTTCATTCTTCACATCATTTCAATACTCGTACCAAGGCTACCTACTTACAGTCTTGCAGTCTTATCGTCTTGCAGATTTATAGTCTTGCAGTCTTATAGTCTTATACTCTTACAGTCTTACAGTCTTACAGTCTTACAGCCTTTTAACTTTGTACCTTTCTTATCCCACAATTCCGCATAGCCCCACGTTTATCAAAAGCAAAGCAAGCAAGCAAGCAAGCTGCAAGCAAGACAAGACACAAGCAAGACAAGACACAAGCAAGACAAGACACAAGCAAGACAAGACACAAGGAACCATGACCACCACAGCCATCGAAAACGACGCCAAAATCTCCAAGAATAACATCTAATCTCTACGTACTCGTCAACAAGTAGATGGATTGATTTCTTGCCGAAAACTCAAGATAAATCTTATTTTTATTTATTTATATTATTTATTATTATTACTATCATTATTACTATCATTAAACAACGAAAATACTATCTTTACGGACAATACCCATCTCATATCTTCCATCTTCCATCTTCCATCTTCCATCTTCTCAATTCTACATTCTGTATTCAGAGTCAGCCCCGAGTCTAGCAATCAAAACACCCAGCCCTGTGCAGAATCTGTATGAGAAAAAGGGTGTCTATACCGACATATCCTTCACCGTCTCACAAATCTCACTCATATCTACGCCAATCCATCCCTCCATTCACTTCTACCAATTATCTTTTTTGCCTCCGATCTTTGGAACGGATTCATTTCTCCTCATTCAATTCCTCTTCTAGAAAATAACCAATTCGAATCTTTCAAAAGTTCAAAACCAACCCTTTTTTATATGCGAACATCATACTATACCATCCATCCATCACATTTGAACTATCAATCTGCAAAACCCTCCGAATATCCTCCGCCGTTGTTCCACATTGTATCGCTATAAAAAGTTCCAGAACAATATAAAAAAAAGAAAAGGACTAAAGAGAGAGGAAAAAAGATTGCGACCGTTAAACCACAGCCCTATTACTATATTCAGCAAACGCTCCGAAAATAACTCGACTTCGAGTCCAATTCATCTTTGTTCTTGCTATGCAACGGTCCATGCGCAACAATTGTCGAGAAGGTTTGCGACGGAATTCAAGGACTTCCCATGGAAATATATACAATTCAACCATCAACGTTATATTCAATTGAACAGGTGCACGCAAAACCTGCGAAAAGCAATAAACCCTCGCTCGTCCCCTCCACGGAGGTAAGACGGGCGTGGTATCCCTCTGGTTCGGCCTTCGATTTCAAGATATCATCATGACCATATACTCTAGCCCACCACCCGCTCGAAGTTTCTACGACGATAAACCTACACTTCTTGTTTGTTGGTGGTGTACGTTATTTTCCGCCGTTATTATAATGTTTCGGGTTTGTGGAAGATATATCAGGACGGAAAAGTTGTTTAAAGAGGATTGGTTGGCTTTGGCTTGTCTTATTCCTTTGTTCTGTCGTATGGCTTTGGTGCATGTGGTTTTACTATTTGGAACAAATAATGCCATCATTGAGGATTTTTCAGAGAGAGCTTTATATCGAAGAGCTATTGGAAGCAGGCTAGTATTGGTATCTAGGATATTTTATGCTGCGACGTAAGTTTATTTCAGACTTTCTTGTTACTTGTTTCTTCTGTCGTGTTACTTTAAACTCTATTCAGTCGTTAACATGTTTCTAGACTTTGGATGCTTAAACTTACAATTAGTGAATTCTTTAAAAGACTCACAATTAATATTTGGACAAGGTCACACGAACGAACCTTGATATTCATTCGATGGTTTCTTCTCGTCACTTTCATCGCAGTGATAATAGCAGATATTTCCGAATGTCAACCTATCAATCATTATTGGCAAGTCACGCCTGATCCAGGTGCAAAATGTCGTCAAGGATATGCACAACTCCTTACAATGGGAACAGTCAATGTATTGACTGATCTCCTACTCGTTCTATTTCCCGTTCCTATCATCATTGGTTCGACCATGAGGATAAAAAGAAAGATTCAATTAGTGTTATTGTTTGCTGGTTCATTGATACCAGCTGGAATAACACTATATAGAATTCCGGAAATTATTGATCGACATGGCCTTCAACAATATCGATCCTTATTAGCTTCAGTCGAAATTCTTTTCGCAACCGCTGTCGCCAATGCACTTATTTTAGGTTCTTTCGTGAGAGATCGAGGTGTCAAGAAACAAAAGTGGAAATTTGGTTCCATAACCGATACACTTGATCGTACCACATCTCGACGTGGAACCGCAGCTCGTCAATGGGGAAGTGATGAGGATCTCGTTAGAGGCTTAGGACTGGGTGTAAATCCAGAATTAAGAGGTGTTTTTGAATCACCCCCTCGTCCAGCTCCAATGGCTGTGGCTGGAAATATGCCAGTGAGAAGTCAGCGATTTGATTCAGTCGGTGAGAGTGATTGGCGCTTTCCAAGTGATACAAGTGACGAGATTGATTTTGTTAAATCACCTCCTCGTCATGAGTCGGAAGATTTAACTTCAATGATGTCACCACGTCGCGTCTCATTCTTCGATGTAGGTGGATTACTCGATCAAGAATCTCCGAGAAGAGTTAGTTCTACTAGAACAATGGATACTGAATATACTGGCGAATCAAGTACCCAAGGCGGTGGCCCCGTTTCGACTACCTGGTCATTTGAAAATGGATTAAGTCCAGCTCCACCAAGACGTGGTTCAATAGCTCTTCTTCAGGATATTGGTGGATTATTAGGACCGAGAACAAGAATCCAGAGAAATTCCAATACGACATATGAACTCGAGACCATTTTACGAGATAGAGTTCCTCCCACTAGTCATCCTTCGCTTCCTCATTCTCATTCTATGCCACCTCCTATTGATCATTTAGCGAGACAACAAGATAATTTGAATTTACAGGATGTAGGGGGACTTTTGGGGAGATGATCACATATAATTTACACAGTTGTACTCGTACACTGAGTAGATTTCCTTGCGTCCTTTTATATCTACTTATTGTATCATCAGCATTTCTTTACGTTCGTTGCGACTTTATACCTAAATCCTTATTACTTTTTTTAATTTTTCTATTTTCATATCATATCATATCATGTCATCTTTCTTTACTTTGCTTACCTACTATACCTTTCCCTTTGTCAGAAGCAATTGTAGCGAAATTTTACGACATTATGAAAATTGGGTGGCTGGTTTTGATTTTGATTATTCCTGGAATCGCTGGATCTGAATCTGGATCTGGATTTGGATCTGAATGGATTTTGGTATGGGCGAGTGAGCTGATCTACGGGTTGGATTGGATTGTATTAGCATGGATGGGCGTTAGGGAGCAAAACGATATTGATATTGTTATTGATACTGATACCATCATGGGGTTGGTCGGTCGGTTTTGTTACTCTTTTTTCCTTTTATTACTGCTGTGGATGAATGGATAGATTGATGGATGAATGGGTTGGATCGTGGATGGGAATAATGTTGATTAGGATTTGGATTTGGATTTGGGTTATGTGATTGATGCACGCACGCCGGGGCGCGGATTGAAGGTTTTGGGGGCTTGGAGTGAAATGTGAATGGAATGGAATGATAAGCATTTGTGGGTGCAATGGAGGTGGATTTATGTATAATCATTGATTTTGGGATGGGGGGCCTTTTGATGTTTTGTTTAGAGGGGTGGGAAGGGAAGGGGAGATGAGAAGAGATGAAGTGAGGTGAAGTGAGGAGAGGGAATGATGTTATCGTATTGTTTGTATAGGATAGGATGATATAGGATAGTGAAGTGAAGTGAAGATGAATAATAAATTTTAAATAAGTCTAGTACTCTACTCTCAGACCATCTCTTTTTAAGAATACTCTTTTATATTAAAAATTATTATTTTTATTTATGAATATTTTATTTATTTATTAGTTAATATAATTTTTTTTAAATTTTAATTATATATTTATTATATAAATATTAATAGATTTTAAAAGTTGAAATTTGAAATTTATATAAGAGTTATGTATAAATTTAAAAATTTTATCTTTATATAATATAATAATATAATAATATAATCATAAATTATTTGATTAATTATAATATAAAGATTTTATATAAAAAAATTAATTTATCATAAAGATTTAAATTTGTAAATATATATATAATGAATAAAGTAAATTAATCTTAAAAAAAACCCCTCTTCTTTTTCTGATTTTAGATTATGAATAATAAATATTTTGATTTTTCATCTTATAGAATCTAGCTCGGATTAATTATAGATTAATTATTTCTCAGTATTATTTTATTAATATAATTTTATATTAATATCTTTCCTCTTGACTTATTCCTTATTGCTCTCTATAAGACAAATTATTATTCTGCTACCTTAGTGATCAATTGCAAGAATTAATTATATCAAAATCACAAAGAATCTACTATATTACGAAACTCGTCGCAATCAATTTCTATTGTTGTTTCAGGTGTAGGAAGGATTCTAGGTATTCTTATATCTGGACGATGGATGCTGTTAATAAATCAAGATCTTACCTTATGTTCTCAGACTTTAAAAATATAATATTGTGAGATACTTTCTTTTTTTAGTGATTAGATTTTCTGTTATAGTCAATTCTCATTCACGAATCCAATACAGCTCGTTACGGAAGTAGTGGTTTAATATCATCAATAGTAATTTCATCAAAGTCCAAAATCCAAGAATCTAATTCTATCAAGTTGAAGAGGGTTTTTCAATCCAATCATGCTCTACTTTCCATGCATCAGTGAGTTTCAACCCTGCGTCAAGTAAACCACACTCCTTATGACCCCATTTCTCCTGATAAGTCTGAACACCGGCCTCAATCGCTATCTGCAAACCTGCCTCAAATCCCTCCGGATCCCTGTAAAAGGGCTCTCCTTCTCCACCTTGCTGTTTATACTGCCAAGAATTCCGCACTTCCTTTCCATGCAACTTATTCTCGGTTTGATTCGCAAGGACTTCTAATAAGTATTCAAAGCCCTTCCCACCTCTATCATCCTCCGGCAGTTCCGCTAACTCTGCCAAGCTCCTTGGCGGGTTCGCTGGGTCGATCTTTCGCCGGAAAAAAAGATTGAGATCAATCGAGTCTCCCACATCGATTATTCGTCCCGCATCTGCTATAGGCATTCTTACTCCAGACATACGGAATCGCTCTATTAAGTCGCAATCGGCTTTATAGTAGCTGATAAATGGATCGTATGCACCGTACTTCATAAAAGTCTTCACATTGTTGAGTGCTAGCCAATCGTATGAGAAGAATTGGATTGCCCATTCTGTCTTTTCCCCTGTTTCCGTATTGAGGAGATAGTCGGGAGAGGACGCTTCTTGGAGCTTGTCGACAGCCCGCATGTAGAGTGATTTGAATGGTGTCTCTTCGTATTTCTCCTCGGTGAGGGCAACAACGTCCACTATAAAGTATAAGTTCAGGATTTGTCACTGTAAAATAAAAAAGCAATAGACATTGCGAATATATTCACTATCTAAAACAACTTGAAATATTAAAGAACTGTTAGAAGTATACATACTATGACTCCACCAAAAGTAATCCCAACCACGCTCCAATGCAGTGAAGATATAAAAGTTTTGAAGTTGTGCAAAGGTGAAAAGAGTAGGTGTGTAAATAGCATTAACACCAAAAACCTCCGTGAGACGTTGCATATTAAGATAGAATGGATTTTGAAGTGTCAGCTGGCCAGGAGGATGGTTTGACCTTATAGTTCCAGTATTGTCCACCACATAGATATCCTCTGGCGGCCAGCCCGAGGTGATATACGACAGAATGACCTGTTGTAGCAAAGGCCAGTTTCTAGTAAATCCTATAAACAGAGGCGTCGACTCGTTTACGTGGGGTGAAGGGGGTCTATTCCAAGAGGGGATTCCTGGGAAGTCACTCCGCCTTGCTGACAACTCTGCAAGGGGAAAGTTATCTTTTATCGGGGGTCTCTTTATAATGGATGAGAGGTCTTTGTAAATTGGCCCCGGAGGACGCTCAACCGGAGAAGTTTTTGATGTAAATAGAGATTCTGTGAAAATACCGGAAAACCAAAAAAAGAATAAAATTGTACAAAGACATGCACCGACAAAGATATTGGAATAGCGTTTGTAAAGCATCATAATAGACCAAGATTAATGAATAGTACTGTTGGTACCACGTCGGTGGTAGTGCGGCGACGGCGTGAGAAAAAGTAGATTTTTAGATATGCAGATTACTATTGATGCCATTTTAGAGCTGAAGGGTTGGATGTGAAGAGAGCTATACGACCGCGATATACACTAGCGCATGATCACGTGTATAGAGTAATCTTACAACGATGGAAAGTACAACAGCAAGAGCAGGAAAACAGTTGGAAAAGTGAAGTAATGATAGCTAAGGTGACATTACTGGGGTATAAGCCTCTACTCTAGTAGTGGGGCTTCGGCCCCCCAGTAGATATGCTGGCAGGGCTAACATAGTTTTATATTGACTTATGCATGATCCACTTTCAAGTGAGCTGAGGTTCGCTTTCCACTCATTTTCACAATGCCGGAGATGGAGGAAAGGCTGTAGTAGATAAGAGTATGTGTAGTACACAAAAAGTAATCCCGATTGTTTGGAAGAAACTACTTCTCTGTAGGAGATGGTGGGAAGCTGGTAGGGTAGAAGTGTGGTTCCATTAGCATGTTAAAGTCTATAGGAGTGCGGAACTCTCTTAGCGAGAGCTCCTAAACTAGTCTCAATCGAGGACAATATCCCTGTACAAATTGCTCCGCAAGAACCATCATTCCGACAGATTAGGCTATCTGGGTATGTTTCTACTTCTTGATAATGTTTTGAACTCAAGCCGGCTTCTAATCTGTGTAGATCGGGTGTTAGTCTCATGGCTGTAGTGAAGTGGTGATTTAGGAGAATTTGTATCTAGTAGCGAGCCATTTGTCACGCTCCGAAGGATTATATAAGCCGATCACCCTGATCGGATCTCGAGTGGCTAGCGCTCGAGGTTGATCATATATCTATATTAACATATATATAACCCCCTTAGGGTTATTGATCTTTCGATTGTCTGTTATAGATTTTAAAGAATAACTAAATCCTTATTATCAGTTCTTTACGATATTTATGTCACAATCTCAGGGGTCTGCGAGCCGACCCCCAGCCAAGCGAAAGCTAGGCCCGGTCGAGCCCAGCTCCCGCACATTCTGTACTTCAACACTGCTTCCGTTCCGAAAGACGTAACTTCTCAAGCTATTCCTTATGAGAGTACTTTACCTTTTTCCTAGCGAACTGGAAGCCTGAATAGAATCATATTTTCTGACTAACTCCTTGTCATACTGCGGTACGTGCTAGCTTGTCCGAGTTAACCGCTGAGCCTAAGCCTAAGCCCGATTGATCTAATTAATAGTGGGTACTCGTGCAGCCAGAAAGTATACAAGTCCGAAGCTCTATGCATGTACCAAAAGATGGTAAGCTTCAGGAGGAATAACCTGATTTCTCTAGTGTTCTATTTCTAGTATCCGAGTCAAGTTCCATACGTTCTGAGTGTAAGAATACGTAGTATGATTGGGGAAGGACTAATTGATTAATCCATTGTTTCCCTGCTAGCTACTTGGGCTTAAGCATAGTTAAACGGTATTTTCTTCTCATGTCCCGCGGTTAGTTTGTGTGACACAGCCCGGAATAATACCGCAAATTCTCCTACCCTTTTGTACTTTCGTATATATAGGGCTATTGATCTTTTTAGTTTTTTTTTTCCTGAAAGTTTGTAAGTCAATACCTACAAATGAAAACATTTGAATGATTCTATTAGAATCTTTATTCTTTCAAGTTATCATCAGCCTCAAGTATAACTTCCATAATGTATATTAAATATAACATAAATCCTATCAACTTGAAAAATATCTATGTCAAATCAGAGACATGTGGATATACTAACGGAAAAGCCGCATAAGTAGGGTACCGAACTGTCGGGACAGACCAGGGTGGTGATCAATCAGACCTCGATCAAAACCCGTTCTTTGACCAACTCACAGGAATCTAATTTGAAATATGGAGCAGTTTTAGCGTCGAATTGATACCCACTTTCGAATCACCATTGTTGCCTGTTTTTCGAGTTGCGGACTTTTCGGCAGTATTCAGCTCATAGAGCTGACACCTAAATAAGCAGATGTAAGCAATGAGAAACAGCTATTCATACTGCCAGAATGTACATTACTTTCCACTCTTGAGCATTCACTACAAAACATGTGCAGGAAAGATAACGGCCCATATTTAAATGGAGTTTGGCATATTTTCTGGCCGCACGAGTAGTTTTGTATTCCAAATAGAGCTCGGTATCAGATCATTAGGTTTTTTAACTGCTCGTAGGTCTTACTGCAACAGTGGATAACGAAATTCCGTAAGCACTTTTCAAGTCTGTATCAAAATCAATAATAAATTAAAATTTACAATATTATATACAGAAAGTTATTCAAGTATTAAAATTCATTGAAATGGTTATAAAAAAACCTAAAAAATTAATTTTTATATAATAAATATATTTCAAATCATAAATTAAATATTATTAAAATATAGCATATTAAAACTTTAATAATATAAAAATTTTAAATTTTAAAGTTTTAAAAGAAACAAAAATATAAATTGATTTTTAAAATACATAATTTCAAAATTTGATTATATAAATTAACAAATGTCAAATTTGAATATTTTATTATATTATATTTATAGAATTTCATTATTTAATATTATAATATTATAATCTTTTTTTATAAAAATAATTGATATAAAATTATATCCTTTATAGTTAATTATATTATAAATATTATATGTATAAAAAAGAACTACTGATGTGACACTAAGATATTTTTGAAATCCAACCACTGTTCAGTTATACTTTTATACATCTCTGACTAGTTGACTCGCATTTTTATACTTATGTAAACTTATGTGTCTCTTGCTCATCTATATGGTCAATTGAGTAATAATGTATTTCAGTATCTACTCATAGACTATTTCAACGCTCAACATGATCTCTAATTTGCAATTAAAGGCATTCATTACCCATTGGAGCATATTCATTATCAGTAACTCTACAAGTTGCACGTCTTTGAAGTTGACTTCTGACTGTTGTTAAATGCATGCCAAGAATTTGTATATGCGATTCCATAATATCCACGTAATCCACTAAGGATGACCGCTTCTTCCTCCGGACTATCTGGACCAACTACAATATATTGTCGGCCAACACTATATAGTGTTGGTCTTGCAGATCCGATTTTTTGCTTATTCTGAGTATTTATTTTGGCACAGCCAACTTCAAAACGCAGCATGAGTGGTTGTGTTCAAATCTCTTATTAAACTATTCATGTAATTTCCGCGATAGCAAATGTATATAAAGTCTTTGTTCATCCCACATAATATCATATCACCCTTCAGCTCACTTATACATTAAGATCATTTCTATTACTCTAAGGTGTCCACTCATCTTCCGTGCTTCGAATTCACAACACCAGAACACCATTTATTGTACCTCAGCGATCATGCACTTCTCTACCCCAATCACTCTTCTCGCTGCCTTCTGCACTTTAGCTACAGCTATGCCAGCAGCCCTTGCAGCTACCGAGACAGCACCAGTTATTACACCAACAGTAACCCCACATAGAATAACGCCCAACGCCAACGAAGCAATCGTCAACGCTTATTCTGGAAGTTCTTGCGACGGAACCTCAACTTCATTCAATATCGCCGGCTCTGGAGCACATTCATGCGCCCCCGTTACCAATGTGCGCTCCATTGCAGTCTCACAGAAGTAAGTTGCACAAATTGTTGATTTCGATTGAAGGCTAATAGTGTATAGCAAATGCGCAACTTACGTTTGGTCTGGAAACAACTGTGAAGGGAGCAGTACTCATATTAGCGGCAATTCATGCTTCAGTGTTTTGTTCGCCTCGGTCTCTGTTCAATGCTAGATCTAAATTGTGTATGCTTGTGGTCTTAGAAATTAAAATAGTTTTGTTTGTGGTAGAAGTGTCTCAACTCTTGCTGCCAATGGCCTATTCCCAGTTCGAGGAGGATGGAAAACTTCATTTGTTTGCAGATCGTTAAGGCCCGGTAGCCCCCAAAATCCTGTATATATGGAGTGGCTATCCGTACCAATTTATATTCTTCATTATCTATAGATTCCAAATCAAATACAACAATTGGTTTCTCGGATAGCAATCTTTTAACTTTCAACATCTCGTTTAATATTAAGTCTAGTAGCTGAGTTTTTGAGCACCGCCTCACACTCTCTTGGACCACTCTTTTATATAAAAAACTGATTTTGATTAATTATTAATCTTATAATAAATGAATGAAATTAATCAAGATCTTAATTTTGAATGATTTATATATAAATTGAATTTGAAATATTAAATTATTGATATTTTAATTAATTAAATCTTGAAAATTTAAAATTTTTAAAATATATAATTATATAAATAATTAATTCATGTTTAAGACTTTAAAAAATTATATTTATAAAAAAATTTATAAATATTAATTTTTTATAGTTTTTTATATGAAAATTGACTAGAAAATAAGATTTGTGATTTATTGAAAGAAAATAAATAATTCTTTATAAAGTATAATTTTTATAATTTTTATTTCTAGGATCTGATATAATAATTTTTTTATTATTTAAAATATTATTATTTCATAATATTTTGTATATAAATTAAATCAAGTATTAAATTACATTTTAATTAATAATAATCATTAAGTTACTAAAATTAAATTATATAATAAATTATTATAAAATAAATATTTAAAAAATCTAAGTAATTAATTTATATAACAAATTAATTAAAATTCTAATAAGTAATTTATAAAGTAAATTTAATTTATAAATTGTAAATTCTTTTTATATAATCTAATTAAAATATCTCAGTCAATGAATTATATAAATTCAATATTATAGAATTTTATTTTTATTTCTTGTTATTTTAAATCTTTTAATTATTTATTTAAATTATTAAATTCAATATAATCCTTATTCTATGTTTTTAAGATTGTATATTTAAGAATTAATAAATTACTGATATATATATATTTTAATAAATATAAAATATAAATATTTAAAAGATTTTATACAAAATATAAAAGATCAAAAAAGTTTTCTATATTTATAAAAGATGAAATTTAAAAAAATTATTAAAATTTAATTAAAATTTATATCAGTTAAAGAGTATAAAAAAAAGTCTTATAAAATAATATAAATAAATCTTAATAAAAATATTATAATATAATAATATAAAAAGTTTATTATAATAAATATAAAAGATATAAATAATTATTATTTGATCTTTTTATTAATATTTTTATTTCTTGTATTTCTTCTTTTTTAAAAAAATAATTATTCCATCCACTCATTTATATAATTTATCATTCATCTATTTATCTATCTATCTATCAACAGCTATTTACTATCCATCAAATAATTTCCAACTCCCTCTTATAAATACCCATCCTCTATACCACACATTATACACTACACACCACACATCACATATCACACACTACACACTACACATCACACGCCACATCCCACACACAAACTCCTCTAATCTCCTCCCCAGATCTTAAATATCACATCATCACATCACCACCACCATCATCAAAAACCAAACCTTCTAAATCCTCTACTATCATACTATCATACTAACCTATACCACACTAAACCCAACTAAACTACACTAAACCAACTAATCCAGTCACTCACTCATTCTCCAGCCCAGATCATGAGGAAATTCGAGATATACTAATACCTACATATATATACAACTAATAAACAATAATGAAAAACAAGTAGTATATAATTACAGAAAGCTGAGTGGGTAGTGATATAAGATCTTGCAATTTTCGAGTGGAGGAGGCGATTTGAAATATAACTCCGAAGAAGAGCGGGTTGATACTCAAGAAGTATACATATAATATAAATATATAATGCATGCAATACTATATCACAAAAAGACCCACTAGGGAGATGACATACATGGTATCATTGTCTACTAATCTAACTCATATTTCTAAATGCCCTGAGCGTGCTCCGCCCGTCTACAAAGATATCCATTTATACATGTATATCCTGTTTAATCCCATACCCCATAATATATCTCCCATCAAAGAATTCCTATCCATAAAGCTCGTGCGACTATGAAAATCTCGAATTTGTATTCGAGCGACTACTATTGCCAGCTCCTCCACACCAACAGCTTACATCTCCATCTTTCTCAACCTGAACCACAACATCTACCCCTTTACTCAAAAGAAATGCTCTTGTTCTCGTCAAAACATCTTCAAGATCTGATCCTCTAGTTGCAACTACATGCATAACTCCTAATACCATTTGGTTCTTATCGCCTAGCCAGAACTTTGGAACGGTGTAAGCTTGAACTCCACGCAAATCACTCACGCCAGTTAATGTATTTCGGAGGTTGTATTCTGTATCATCAGGAATGGTCAGGAGTAGTTTCTTGGCACTACTTTTGACCAGAGGAATTGAAGAAAGGAAGATAAGAACCGCAATGAGACAAGATGCGAGAGGATCCCAACCAGACCATCCGACAAAATGTATCAAAATTGTAGAGACAATGACTGCAGCACTGCCCATTGTATCTGCGAGTACATGAAGAAAGATACCTCTCATATTTTCATTGTCATGCGAATGACCTCCATGTGAATGTGAATGTGAATGATCATCGTGGAGAATCGAGGGTTGTTTTTTGTGATCGTGTTCACAAGGTCCATCATGGGAATGAGAGTCGTGAGAATGGGAATGGGAATGCCCGTGAGAATGTCCTTGATCATTTCCGTGGTCATGTCCGTGGTCATGATCGCCATGGTCATGTCCATGATGATGATGACCAAAACAAGCCATGCCTACCAAATTGACTGCCAATCCTAAGGAACTGACAACAAAAAGTTCCATCAATCGTTTCGTTTCTCGTCCTTCTGCTAATCGTTCAGTCGCTTCTATCATAATTTCAATGCTAATAAGTCTGCAAAGCTGTTAGTCACTGTCAGCCGTCTAAAAAAGGTTTACCTACATAAGAAATACACCGTTTCCAAATCCCGACAAACTTTCAATCTTTCCAAATCCATATGGAAACCTCTGACTAGGTGGCCATTTACTTGCAACTGCAGCAAACAATCCCACTCCAAGCGCTAAACAATCGAAAAACATATGTATACTATCGCTCAAAAGGCCGAGAGAATCGGTGACGAACCCATAAAATGCTTGGACTATCATGAAGGCAAAATTGAGACTGGTAAAATTAGTATAATCCTTCTATAAAATCTAGAAGAATGCCAACCTCATAAAATAAAATATCCTTCTTGAATCTTTACTCGCTAGAATTGTATGTAGAAGCGGCCACTTTTGCGCGTATGGTAGTATCAAGCTTGTAAATCGCGATTTCATCTCTGTCGTTGTACCGTGTGTATGGTCGTGGTCATGATCATGATGTTCGTGAGGTGTAACATGTACATCACTCACCGGGGGTTCATAAGTCCCATATGATGCTCCCTTTTCGTAATTGGCAGACATAGGGCTTGCTTCACCATATAAGGGTGACGGTAGATATGATGTGGAGTGTTCATGGCTGTGACTGTGTGTGTGGCCATGCGAATGAGAGTGGGAGTGACCATGATCGTTTTCGTGTTCATTTTCATGGAGAGTTTCGGAGTGATTGTGAGAATGATCATGCAGACTCGAGGTCGATTGATTCAACGGTCTTGATCTATTCGCGGAGTATTGTGATGATCGACTTGAATGTGAATGTCCGTGTCCGTGTCCATGTCCGTGATGACTATTCGTAATTGCTGAAGCTGGCAGAGAATATGATGAGGCCATAACTTCGTGAATTACCTACGAAATGAATAGAACGAGCTGCGAAGCTCGTAGATATTCAACCCTCTCCACATATATTTGTCGTTGTCCTTAATTATCTCACTGTCGTATCTGTTTTGATTTGCGCCGAGATACGTCGCCTCCGGTAGATTGTAGAAAGCTTTGACAATCCAAGTGGATAAGTAGAATTGGCAGATGCAGGAAGAATCAATTAATATATATCCTCACTCTTCACTTCAGCGAGTTGATTATTTCAATGAAAGAGTGTGAAAGTTTGAATTGATCACCAAAGGAAGAATGGAAAGTACAAGTACAAGAACCAATACAACCTAGGAAAGTCCCTCGGAATTGAGCTGATGGTCATACAAATCTTGGAAGAATTGATAGAAACCAATAATAAGAAAGAAAGACTCAGCCCAACCAAGACTTTGGAGTTTTTCCCCTGGATTGATTCTTTGGTTACCCATTAGGAAAGTTATCCTTGCAATTCAAGTAGTTCTTAACCAATCAATTATCTTAACATCAATCCCACTTGCCTTTTTGAAAGATAACGAAGAACGGGAGCAATTGAGAATGGCCAAAAATAATCCAATCTAAACTTCTTGGGGTACTCCACACAACTTTTTTCTCTTCTGTCTGACTCAGCAACGTTACCGGCCTGTTCAAGTGTCACAGTCTTCAAGGTAAAACGTCACGATGGCTTATTGTCGACCAACCACATTCGAGATTAATCAATTAAGCTTCGGGTGCTGACTGCACTCTTTCATATTTCTACTTGGGTAGTAAAATATTAAAATTAAAAATTAAAAAATAATGAAAATAATGAAAATCATGAAAAAATATCTTGATTGCTGATTGGTTCAAGTCCTCGACCTGATGAATGGCTGTTGATGGTACTCGATTAAGTTTAGTTTGCAAAGTTTTTTCTCAAAGTAGCATAATGATAAGACGACCACCTGTATCTAAACCAATTTAAATCAATTTCGCCATTCATGACCGCCTTTTATCGATGATTTTGCCGATCACCGACTTTTGAACTGGTGAAGTGTGGAGTGGAGTGAAAGATCATAAATTTGAAGAGCAGGATATGGGATACATGCAAACTCTCATTCTTTAAATTTCAAACTTCACTTTGCCAAAGGTGTCTACTTGCGACAAACTTCACCATCTCCTTTCCCCAAATAAGCTTAGGGACTTCTCAGATATGAAGGCATAATCTATCTTCTATTCATAGTTTCTGATGGACGGACTATCTGGAAACATCATTCGAATCTAAAGACCACGTCATGCTAGAGAACCTTCTAACATTGGCCACAATAATTTCTACCATATTTACAGTTATCCTCTTCTTAATACCGAAACGATATATCAAACATTCACCCCCAATGGCTACTCGAAACGGTGAAAATGTCGAGCCTAAGATTTCAGTTCAGGTTTTGGTTTTGGGAGACATTGGACGAAGTCCTCGGATGCAATATCATGCTATGAGTATAGCAAAACATGGTGGAAGAGTCGACCTGATTGGATATCAAGGTATGCAAGCTTGGTAATGAGTTTCATTGCAAACTGTGCTAACCATTGTGCAGAGTCCGAGCTACCTTCTGGCTTGACTGATAATCCTCTGATCACAATTGTACCTTTACCTTTACCACCAACCATCTTACGAGATGGCAGTATGCCCTTCTTCCTCGCCGGCCCTTGCAAGGTCTTATGGCAGATATGGACTTTGTTTGTAGCTTTATGTTATACTACAAAACCAGCAAGATGGCTTCTAGTTCAGGTAGGGTGCCCGACTCCCTCGTCCACTGCTTGTCTAACATTCATAGAACCCTCCTTCAATTCCTACCTTTTTTGTCGCATACCTCGTTTGCATTGTACGAAATACTCATTTAATAATTGATTGGCATAATTACGGATGGACTATACTTGCAGGAACCAGAGGCTCTAAACACATCTTCGTTCGACTTTACAAATGGTATGAAGCTTTCTTGGGATCATGGGCACCAACAGTTTCATTCACAGTTTCGAAAGCCATGGAGCGCCAATTACGCGATAGTCCATATAAGATAAAGTCACCCATATTCACTCTTCACGATCGACCTGCATCCATTTTCCAACCTATCACCGATCAAGAAAAACGGCGTGCTTTCCTTCAACGATTACCTGAAACGAAAGACCATGTTGATTCTATCATGAGCGGAGATTTACGATTGCTAGTTAGCAGTACATCGTGGACACCTGATGAGGATTTTAACCTTCTACTGGATGCGCTTGTTAAATATGGACCATTTGCTGAATTTGATTGTCCACCAATTCTTGCCATCATTACAGGAAAAGGACCACAGAAACAGATGTATCTTGACCGAATTGCAGAGCTCACCGAAAGTTATGATCTAGTTAATGTTACGATCAAAACCGCATGGCTTGGCATTGAAGATTATGCCTCGCTACTTGCATGTGCAGATCTGGGAGTATGTTTACACAAGAGTAGTAGTGGTGTAGATTTACCCATGAAGGTGGTAGATATGTTTGGAGCGGGATTACCAGTAGTTGGATATGATCAATACTTTAGTTGGCCTGAATTGGTCAAGGAAGGCATTAATGGATGGGGATTTACAACAGCGGATGATCTTGCAGATATTTTGGAGGAAGTCTTTAAGGATACAAGTGGCAAGGAGTTAGCGAGGTTAAAGAAGGGGGCTATAGAAGAGGGAAGAAAGAGATGGGATGAAGAATGGGATGGGGTTGCAGGAAGACTTTTAGGATTGATTGATTAAACAAAGGTGGACGATAGAGTTGTAAATAATGTGCAAAATATTAGATTATAGACAATATCATCAAACAATTGTGGTAGAATCACGAGTATCCATGGATAAATCTGGTGCATATTAAAACCATCAGCCCTATCACCAAGGTAGTATCCACACCTGCATGCACCTAATTTTGACCCTTAACCCCGCCGCAAGGTGTAACAGCATATTTCATGTGAATATCAAGACATCAATAACTTCATTAGCCACAGGAGGATTATTACTCCGGTTAATCTATTCTTGACAAACCTAAATGACTCAAAATGGCTCAAAATGGCTCAAAATCCTTCTTAGAGGCTTGGCCGGAACATGGCCTTCATCCAAACAGGATAAGTTTGAATGAATGAAGTGAAAATACCGATCCAGTTTGGTATTTGGTGACTGTTGGTTTGTTGGTGTCAAGCGAGAAGAGGAAGAGAAAGAGGAAGGGAGAGGATGAAGAGTGGTTGGCTTTTGGTGATTCATTGTGCTATGATCCGTATAGCCTTCATGTTGCAAGACTCTTACTCCGTACATCCGAACAGGAGGCCATGGGAGAGAGGTGAAATGTGTAATCTTAACCTATCACAGTAGACATATCTGGAAGGTTGATATTAACTGCTCTACCCTGAAAATACACTTCAATGGAATTGTATGTTTAACCTTTAGCCTTCTTTCGCATTAGAAATCACGATGCTCGTACGGTGTTGAGGTTGTGCCGAATATCCATCTTCATCTCATTTCAATTTATTTCTATAGGCAAGCTACTGATTACGGTAGACAAATCATTATTTTGGGATCTGCACGGTGACCGTATTATGTAATCACTATTTTTGGTATAGTTTAGCCCTCTAAAACGACTGAGCCACAATGACGCTTACCCATTCGCACTAATCAACCTCCCCATATCTACTCCACCTCTCCTTCTTCCATTCTTTCTTTCTTCTTTCATACAACTTTTGGAATCTTAAATTCTTTCGATTTTACGATTTTATTTCCCTCAATATCATAACACAAATTATCTCGAAGTCAACCATCGAGATTTACTTTCAAATAAAGTCGCCACCATGGGGATGCTTCCAAGAGAAATGATCCCAAGTCTTGGGCTCGCTCGAAGGAGCCTTGATGCTCTTCGGGGTAATGAGGCACCAACTGAACAGTTCAAAATGCCGGCATGGAGTATCGTGATGATTGGAAGTACTCTTGTTGCATTCTTCTTCATGGATTTTTTGGTACGTTCTTCAAGTCACATCCACGGTTATCTCCTTTCCTGATATGTTCCTGTGGTCATGAATTAATTATCTAACTATCAAGTTAGATTGAATATACCTTCACCAGACTCATCCCTACTCTTGTTATGGTCGAATCTCCTCAAGCTATTCTATTTGAACCCCTCACATCTGAAGATCCCGATGCGAAATCCGATCTTAAAGGAGAAGTCGAACCGGAACTTTTACTCGTCAAGCAACAACCCATTACTTCAAGCTTTAAATCAACAATCAAACATCTTCGAGCCCGCGCCGGACGTAAAAGCTCTTTCCGTGGTGTTGGAATTTACTTTGTTAAGACCTTTGTGCTTCATCTACAAATGAATTTCCTTTCGATTTTCCTCCCTAAGACCTTCGCCCTTCCTCTTGCAACTATTCTCTGTGCACCTTTCAGTTTGGCATGGACACACATTGTTATCTCGGATCCTAGCCCACTTCCATGGTACAAGAGAATGCCAGATGTCGCAACTATTAAAAAGGTTATTCCAGCAACAGCTATCTATGCTCTCGCCAGAGGAGCCGTTTTCTTCCTCCCAGGTTACCTCGCTCTTTCTTACGGTCTCTTCGAAACTGATCCATCAACTATGACTCCGGAACAAATCACAACCATGGGCTTACAAACCGCTTCCGTCATTACTCTAACCGCTGTGCTTGCCTTCCTTGTTCTCATCCCAGCAAGTGTCACCCTTACTCGTGTTCAAGCTTCCCTTCTCGCCGAAAAGGAGGAATCTATCGTTCCATTTGATCGTACATTTGGTGGACGTGTCTCCGAAGATGGTGTTTTGGGTGCCCTTGATGCATGGAGAACTTTTGATTGGAACTCTCGTGTTAGATTGTTAAAAGCATATGTCAGGGCTGCTGCCATGGAAATTGCTGTCATAACATTCTTCGCTACTATCTTGTGCACACAAGTTATGTTAGTTCTTGGTACCGAACACAGGACGGTCATCCTTGGAACAGACTGTCAAGGAAAACCTATTCAATTTGATATGTAAAGGGTGAATACTCATCGTATCAATGTTTCTATCTGTCTCAACTCTGCACTGTCTGGAAGAAATTGACCCTTGAATGAGATATTGTTATCCATTTTTTCATTTGTTTAACGGGGTGTTGGATGGGTAGGGGGCTGGATAGGAGGCTGGATAGAAGGCGAACTTTTGTGCCATTGTCATTTAGACATATAGTAAACTGTATACAGTATACACCATACATCTATGAAATTGTATTATAAAAAGCAATTGATATTATTGCTAGTATTATTCTTGATCCGATCTATGACTTCCACTTTGATGTGTTTGTGCTATGATTGAAATCGCAATATATTAAGACTCTTAACCATGACTTGACTTGGCTAGCCAATTCGATCTTTATAACTCATCTACCTCTAACAGTATCCCTCTCTCTCCCTCTCTCCCTCTCTCCCTCTCTCCCTCTCTCCCTCTCCCTCTCTCCTCTCTCCCTCTCTCCCTCTCTCCCTCTCTCCCTCCCTCTTTATATATATATATACACACTAAAGCAGAAATATATATCAATTATATTTAAAATAATTTAAAATAAAATAATATTATTTATAACAATACAAATACTTATTCTTATCTCAATATTGAATATTATTAATTAATTATTTCAAAAAGATTTTTCAATTTATTAAAAAAGAATTATAAAATTATAAAATATTTTATTTTATTATTTATATTTCTTTTAAAAATCTTATAATGACTTTAAGTATTAAAATAAAGATAGAAATTGAAGACATATTTAAATTTTTAATTTATAAATCAAAGATAAGAATAAAATATTTATTTAAAAGTTAAAATATCAAAAATTAATTTTTTAATTAGAAAGAGAAATTTTAATTTTTATAAAATATATTTTTATTATTTATTATTGATAAATAATATGATTAGAAAAAGAAATAGAAATAAAAATTAAAATTAAAATAAAAATTAAAAAATATATTTAAATTTATACATATAAAAAGAATCTTATTAATATTATTTATTATAAACTTTATATTAAAAAAATAACTTACATCAATATCAAATTATATAAATTTTTTGTTTTTTTTTAATCTCAATCTTTCTTTATCGAATTTAATATTTTAATCTTAAACTTCTAAACTAATCAATATCCCACCTCTTAATATAATATAAAGAATAATTTATTAAATCAAATCCATCAAATCAAATCTCTCAATTCACATCTACATCTACATCTAACTACCCCCTCTACCCCTTTTATAAAAAAAAGACACATTTCGATTTCAAGGTTTATAATCAAAGGGTCAACAATCTCAAGTGAATAATCTCAAATGAATAATTATAAACAATTACAAGAAATTAACAAAGTTAGCTAGTTAGTTATACGTACACACAACTCTTAAATCGGAACTGGGAGCCGCAGGAATATATATAGGATAAAGAATTTGGTGAAGAGGGGGAGTGGGGGGAGGAGTGGGGTTAATGAGGAGAGTAGAAGATCGGAAATTCGTGTTTGTGTTTGTATTTGTGGGGGGAGGGGGAGAGGGAGATAGAATGATTTGTTGGGGTTGTGAGGTATGTTTTTTTTGTTTGCTTGTTTTGGAGGGAGGGTGAAGGGAAAGGGTGAAGGAGGAGAGAAGAGGAGAGGAGAGGAAAGAGTGCTAAGGGGTAGATAGATACACTTTTGATTAATATATTCAATAATATCAACATGGCTACGAGTTATAAGTCTTATATTATTAGTACCTCAGTTGGATTTGCGAGAGAACTTGATAGGTATTTCAAAGGATAAATAGATATTCACATTAGGTGGAGGAAGAACGCGGAAGAAGGATAATTGCAGATCTTATTGTCTATCCCCCTCTTAATTGGAGATACTTCTAGTTTATCCCAAGAAATCAATTAGAAAAGAATAAAAAAGTTAATAGGGAAGAGTGAGATAGTCTAGGAAAGATCTAGTTTCTATTCGAGTGAGTGAAGCATTGGAAAAATCTCTTGATAAGAGTTAATAAAGTATAGATATTTGCCAATTAGTTATCAAAACGGCAAGTCATCACTTGAAAATAAGAGCAATATTTTTTAATCCTTCAAAACCTACTACCTATTGGACGGATTACCTTCTCTCAGTAGTGCAGGAAATAATTATAGTTTACATATATGCTATACGTTCCCACTCCTCATATCCCTCTTCAAAAAATAATATTTTCAACCAATACAGAGATCTCGCGTTTAGCCATAGAGGAATTTCCTGGCATTGGGATAGCTAACAAATAACAAACCACAAACCAGAAGTAATAACAGGAATGACCCGTCAACTTCGAAGCAAAAGAGCTCAAGTGAAGGGTCACGGAGATAAATGAGCTTTCAATGGACTAATTCTAGCAGATGGAAGGGGCATTGATATATTAACATATTGCATATTCATCCACATAACCAAGAAGAATTCTGAAAACACATATCAGGACAGGAATTCCTGTCCGAATGTAATATTTTTGAGAGTTTTTCTAGCACTGATAGGAATGCATTGGATATTAATAGTGCAGGAGGTATTGGTAATGGGTCTTGGGAAAGGATAATTGAGGTGAGATGTTTCTCTGGTCCTCAAACAGCATGTCTTAACTAATACACAAGCAGAAATCTAGACAAGAATGCTTTAAGCAAAAGAGATGTAGAACTCGGCTAACAAGTTCGCAGACATGTACGGTACAGTTTTCGGGTACTAATGAGCTTGAAAGTGGATTTATAGTTGGAAGAATTGAAACAGACAGCATAGAGGTTTGTAGCGAATGTTCGAGATGAAAAGACATTTAGAGGTTTGGTTAAAGTGACTGATAAAGATGTCGTTGGAAAATATGGTTTGGTATGGAAGGAGGAGAATGGAAAGAGGAATTTGTTTGCATTTGAGAAGAAGACTAATTTGTGAGGGTGATGTGATAATTGGGGAGAGCTTGGTTGGATGGAAGAGAACAGAATGGGAACTTGTTTGGTTCCGAGGGATGGACTATGTTGCGATTGTGAGATACGTGCTGATCGATGCGGGAGATGAGCCATCAAGATTCGCGATGGTGAGGATGGTGAGGATGGTTGGACCATTCAGGAAGATAAGTCTTGAGGATTGGAATAGTTTGATTTTAGCTTGGAAACAATTCGGCGACTGAAGAGGATGAACATTGACTTCGGGATATTTCACAAGGAGGGTAGTGATAGGCACCCGTACACCCCGTTTCCAAAAGCATCACGATGAATATCCGCGAATATAGTATCATGTGCCCAACACTAATAGAAAAATACCAGGTAATTGGTGTCGTGATCTTTTGAAGCTATCGTGAACTGACTTAGACTCGATCTCGGGCTTCCTGTCAAACCAATTTGGTGCTCAAGTAAGGATGAAGGATCTAAGATTGTACTCCTCGACGCAGTGTTAGACTCCTGTGTTCAATCTCGATGAAAGATATCTGTGGATCTGATACCGGATGCCAACCACCGAAAGAGAGTGACAGACATACTTATATCGGATCTCCTTTGAAACTATCTTGAAGTCATGCCGGATCAGATCCTTTTGTCAAACCAGTTTAGTGTTCACATTAGACAGATAACGCGGGGTTGTACTCCTTTACAAGGTATTCGGCGTGCGGATCTTTATCCGCGGATATTTTCTACCCAGGTGTGAAGCAGTGATAGATATTAATATCGGCGAAGTAATGAGGGGATATCTCTTGAATATATGATCTTGTATCCTCTTACCTTGGAAGACTGGTATAATATGTAAGAGCAAGAGTCTTTCGACGTGGTATTCATCGTGACACTGGTACGAGAATGACAGAAAATGGTTCCATTCGTATATGTATCACATCAAATTGCTACACCAGATATTGAACAAACGCCCGAGATATCAAATTGTGTTGCCTCTTCAGAATTATTCCGATACTTGAACCCCTGATCTTTATCTGCATATATCGATCATGCCATTATATCCTCTGGTTTCATCCTATAGCATTGAAGCACTGGGTTGCAATGTTTTAGATTAAGTTGGTGATTGTTAATGGTTGATGATTCGTTGGGTTGAATGGTATTTCTCTCTTTGTTCCTGATTTTAGAGCTGAAAGGGAAATTGACACTGGATAAAATAATGGTACGCTCAAAACTAATTATTGATAGCCTTCTTGGTAAAATCTAAGAATCGAGTATATCTTCATCCTCATCTTCATCATCTTTAGGTGTATGTATATGTGTGTATGTATATGTATGTATGTATGTATGTGTATGTATATATGTATGTATGTATGATACATAATCTTACAATAAAGTATTTGGCCCTATTCATTCCTCCCCACCTTCCGAAAACAACCCTAGAACTAACCCAACGACACGGACCGACCCCTCTACATCCGCCGATACGCTAAAACCTTCAGGTTACCTTATGATTCTGTATCAGGTTCATCTGCACATCCCATACCTACTTATATTTCACAATATCGAATATTCTTCGTATTACCAGCCACTCAGTCATATTATCAATAATTGACATAGCGATATATCTCTTTCTTGGACCCCACTGTTGTATCTGAATAGTTCCTTTTCCTAGTTCTCGGCTTCACTTTCTCATAAGGTATGTAGTATAACCATCATGAGTGGATGGCAAATGTACCACAGGCTTGTAATGTTCATTGGCACTGACTCTTCGCAGACATCATTTTAAATATAAAAATCTGTTCCTTTCCACCATCTGCGAATCTCAACTTCACGGTTCCTCCTCATCTACAATCTCACACAAGTTCCAAACTCACCCCAGAAATTACCAGCAAAGCCTATAATCCTATTCCAGATATGACGAGTGCAGCAGCAAGTCTGCTTGGCAGACAACTCAAAGAAATTCAAAAAGCAAAAGACTTACCCGGTATAAGCTGTGGGCTTGTGAAGGATAACATATTTGAATGGGAGGTTATGCTTATGTTGAGTGATGAATGCAAATATTATGGTGGTATGTCCTAACCACATTTTAATACCACTCATTGTCAAAATCCTGCAAAACTCATGCTAACAATATATCTTAGGAGGCAACTGGCGTTGTCTACTCTCCTTTCCCGAAGACTATCCACATGCACCACCAAAGCTTACCTTCTGCGATCCAATCCCATTTCACCCAAATATCTACCCTAAGACTGGTGTTCTATGCATTTCTATTTTACATCCATCAGGACATGATGAATATGGTTACGAAGACGCAAGCGAAAGATGGACACCAATACAAACACCAGAAACTATCTTACTGAGTGTGGTTAGTCTCATGAATGATCCGAATGATAGTAGTCCAGCAAATGTGGAAGCAGCAAGATTATGGAGGGAGGCACAAGCAAATCCAAAAGGTAAGGAAATGAGGGAATGGAAGTCAAGATGCAGGGCTTTGGTCAGGCAGAGTTTGGGAGAAGAGTAGTACTGAATTTGTTTATTGAAATGGTTAGTTATGGATTTAGCCAGGATCTTGTTGGAGGATAGTGATATTTTGATGGATGCGGGGGAGGAATATGTTGGATCAGGAGTTATATTTGCATATTGAATGCACAGCGTCAGCGGATTGAATTTGTTTTGGGCGTTGCATGCACTATACCTTTTGTGAAATATGGCATAGCGCATTGAATGAGAGTATATGACATTTAAATACTCGGTCATGTTAAATCTTTGTATTTGCGAGTGACTTGACGATAGTACATTAGCATTAATTAAATAGTATAAAAGCAGTAAAATATTAATCTAAATATAGAAATATACCCCGGAACCTGTATATTGAAATCTAATAATCTACTACTTTAATAAATAATTATATATAAGATTATAACATTTCTGTTAATAATAATTAAAGATTATTTTAATAAATTATAATAATTTCAATTATTAAAATAAATTAAAATTTTAATTTATATAAAATAAGACTTTTTGTTATTACAATTTAAAAGATTACATAAACTGATTACTTTGATCGTCTCTCGAGTTGTTGATGTTCTAAGTTATTAGTATATATAATTCTTTTAAGATCATTTATATTTCAATCGTTAATTATAGATTCTAAAGAACAAGGGCCTGATTCTCCAGTAGTTTATGGCAATTCTAAGACATAAGTTGTCTGGGTCACATGATCAAATTACTAGTATAAAAAAGGGCCCTCTACAATATATTTTCGATAAATCATAACTCAAAAAAAACAACAAGACTTCCAAGAGGATAAACCAGCCGATGTGGGCTGTGCATTGGTGTGTTATGCGAATGTCAACTCGATGGGGCAAACACATGTAGTATGTGTTGCGCTCTGTGTTGTAGCAAAAGAGGCAAGCTAGCATATACAATTTTGCTCTGCTGCGGCAGCCATATTGAACACCTCCCAACTATCGCAAGTTCATCCATCAGCTCAAATGTGACTGTTATTTTCTCGTTGTGTTGTGCGATCGCGAATAGTTGATATACCCAACCCACTTATTGCAACAGGTATTAAAATCATGCAGTCGTCTTCAGCTACCAGTCTTTCGAGACTCGACCATCCACTCTGGAACACCAGTAAATGGATTGCGCTGAGAGATATAATTTCGTCCCTTTCCGGAAGAAACTTTTTCTAACGAGATCGAGTATCTGCCAATGCACACTCTGGTCAGCTGATGTCGTGCCCAAGAATATTTTACAGACCTTTGGCACAAACTCCTTCTTAAACTCCTCCTTGACTTTTGCTAATGCTATCGATATATCATCCAAGCATTCCACCTTTGAATACGCTTCCTTGTCCGCAATGGACTCTATAGCAAACAAGACGTTAAACTTTCGAGGGCAGCTTCAAGTTCCGGCCCTGCATGCAGGATATGTACAACGTCTGCATAGCGAGTGTTGATATTGGTGGCGCTGTTTGAGGTCATCGCAGCGTCTATTGGTGCAGGTCTTTAAGCGTCGCAATGCGGTTCTTGCATGGAAATCAACAGGGTACATATAGCTTTGTTGAACTTTCATTTACATGTATAAGACAGACATCTGGCGCCTAGAGAAATTTGTGGCGTCTTTCCACAGATCCTAACTGGCCCCACTTGTAGAAAGAGGGTGTCTTCGCCATCTCCTCTTCCATATTTTCTTTCTTCTAATTCAAGCCTCATGGCCAAGTTCCGCTCCCTTCATGGATCCGGAGGGATCTGGCTGTATTCATTTATCAAAGGGGGATCTGCTTCACTGTATAAGAGGAAGCTTATGGAACGAGGCAACCAGTGTGAGCACTTACACAATCATAAAGAGGGATGATACAAATACACCCTCAAAATTTGTTACATTCTATTCAAGATACTCAATAGCATTAGAGAAATCATGTACTTGTTTGTTCTTGGGGCTCAAGATGTTAGAAAGACTTTCTCGGCCAGCAGAATGAATGGCAATTTTTCTATTGTAGGTTTATACACACTAGGTTTCTCCCCAACAGCGTGATTTGATCCAGCTTCATCTCTTAGAAGATAACCACTCTAACCATACAAATATCTCGTTATACAGGAGATGGGTAGCCCACTAAAGCTCGAGCTTATACTTCAGGAATGCTCTACCTTGGGGGAACTAAGCATAATCATCAATGAAAACAATCACTTTCCACCAAATGTCGTTCTTATGTTTCACTATACGACTTTCAAAAGTTCTGAGTTCTTCTACAGAATGATCCAAGATTATCGAATTCGATACAAGTTCTTTAGGTTACCAATACGGATTACTCTTTCGGAGGAACTTTTGGCTGGAAGGAGAGAATTATGCAATTAATCGATAAATGGGACCCTCAATTTTCATAAACTTCCTTAATAGAACCACATCCAAATCTTGTTATGTTATCCGTTCCTTTTTGTTGATATCTCGAAAAACAATTAGCTTGCAACTAATAAACTTTTCCTCCTCGATAACCAAAGCTCTTCTCGTTCCGATATAACAACTTATAAAGCTTTTAAGGAACGTCTTGAGAGCCCATGGATCAAGGGCTTTCTAATTACTGGAACTTGTACGGATTGGCAGACCCCAAGAGATGAGTTTGTCATGGAACTACAAGTGCGATCCTGGATAGGCGGCAGGAACCATTTAAAGGAAGAGTCGCAAGAGCTTACTACTGTAGAAAGAAGTGTATGGTAGAGTAATTGGCCCCTTGACACTATACAAGATAAGAGAGATGTAGCAGAGAGGCTTCGATAGATTGGGAGAGTCACATTGCTTTGCAGGGGTTGAACAGTGGGAAGTCAGATGATGAAGTTAAAGAAATTCTGGCACAGGGTGACTGCATTCCGAGTAGCATGTGGGAGAAGGGATGCGGAGCAGAGAATTCGGCCAATGGAAAAGGTTGGAGCGCATCAAACAAAATGAGCTATTGGGATACAGAAGATGAAGAGGAAGCATGGGTAAAATGGAGAGCTAGTTGGAGTACGATGTTCAGTGGCTCCGACGCTTCTGCTTCGATTGTGTCGGCAGGAAATGATAATAATGTTATAATACTTTTTTTTTCCTCTTGGCCTTGTTACTATCCCTATCTTCTCATATCATAGTCTAGACCACTTATTCTAGATTGTACATGTTACACTGCTATTACAAAAAAATATACATAAATTGATATTTCTTAGCCTTGCTGAAGGATGCAGAATACGTATATGCCTATTATGTACTTCGGTAAGGCTACCAGGGTCTACATAGGCTTATGGATAAAGAGGGCAACTTGCGGACCAAGAAATTTTCAACAGCTTCCACAATCGTCGAGAAAGAAGGCATGCTGGGGATAGGAGCCTAATCCCATGCAAATACTGCAAATCCCGGTTCTAGTTCTAGGCGGAGATTATGGTTTGACTTCACTACGCTTGTAGGCGATGCAGAAATAAGAATTACGTATACCAAGCGGATATCCTAGATTGATATATCTACAAAGAACCATGGGGAGAAACTTCTATCTCTAGAAGCTCAGTAGAGATTACCTTGCCGCTTCTCGGGTCAAGGCCCTTGTTTCTTGTCCTGCTCCATCCTGGTTATATTGGGATGGCTGAGGTGGTTTTTTCAATATACCTACAGAACTTTTTCCTTTTCCGACGATTGTTACAATTACCACATCCCTAAGTAAATATTGAAAATATAGTTTTCAAACATCTACTACTTGTTAAATCCTTTCGTATGAAGTTCAATTTCGTTAGAAGGATCTATATCCTTTCGTATGAAATAGATATAAATTCTTTCACAACGAGCTTCAGATTGTTATAATTTAATAGAAAGACTATTATTAATATACCTATTTATATATTGAATGTTTTTTTGTCTTATAATATTATTTTAATATACCTCTTTATAATTCTTATTTTTATTATCTTTTTATATTGAAAATTATAATTTTTATTTATGAATATAATTTATTTATAATTATATAATAAATCTACAATTCAAATTTCATTAAATTATATTATATTCATTTATTATAAAGTTATTAATAAGTGAAAATTATAATTTTTAAAATAAAAAATTAATTCAAAAATAAATTATTAGATTTAATAATTAAATATAAACTGATTATCTATATTTATATAATAATAAATATATAATTATTTAAAAAAAAAATCATCTTTTTAAAATAGAAGTTATAATTGATAAAACAAGACTTTATTAAATAGATATAATTTTAAACATCGTTTACACAAGAACTTTAACGAGTTTATTTCATACCTACATATAGATCCCACCCTTCTTCAAACTATCCGCCCAAACAAGGCGCCTCGCTCAAAAAAAAGCTCTTTCCCATAACTAAAACCATCAAAATTAAAATCAAAAATTCCCATATATACAATATTGAACTGTGTACGTAATGTAATTATTCTGAATAGCTTATCATGAATCAAATCTCTCCAAGATATGGTTTCCTTCCATAAACAAAGTGAAACTTCATATAAACATGATTCAAGGGATTTTTCATATCTTTTCTTGGACCCACCATCATCACCTGAGCCTCTTCGAAACTATACCCCAATACCCTCGTAAACAAAGCCATACTGATAGGTTCGACGGCATCTAGGCATTGAGCTTGGTAATACATACCAATCTCCTTGAGACGCTTATCCTTGGGCCAACGACCGATGGGAACCTTGTAGATTTGATCATGAACATCGACGAATCCAGCCTCGATCATCCATTTCTTTTGATTCCCAGCAACCTCATCCATCATCTTTCCATTCTTGACACTTGCCTCATCAATCAATCCGAAAAACCTCTGCAAGTTCCCAGCATTGAGATCCGTACCATCGTCACTCTCAATATGTACTTCGTGTTCCTGTGCTTCGACCCATCCTCCAGGTCGAACATGGGTGTAAGCCTGACTGAACAATCTCGGCCAGTCCGATATCGAAGAAGCAAGTACTCTCCAATGAATGAAATCGAATTTCCGATTATGTGAAAACAGCCATTCATCTTCAGCATTATCAATCAAGAATTTACAATTTGGTGGCACCCAACTTGGTTGGATAGGACTTAGATCGGTTCCGATGACTTCAGCAGAGACAAATTCATCAGCGCATTCAATTGCCCAAAGACCAGTTCCGGTTCCGATATCGAGAATTCGTTGAGGATTAGGATCTATGGGTGCACAGAATAACTTTCCACCAAGAATGAGTTTGAACACGTGATGTTTGAGGTCGAGCCGTTGCTGTTCTGCTTCATCATTAGGAAGGAGGTAGGAACCAGATTGATAAGCATGATAGCGACGACCATTTTCATAGGTGTAGTTTAACATGGATGAATTGATGGATGTAGATGAAGTTGATACACCATCATCCCCCCAACTGGAATCGGCGTCACTTTGGGTATCCTGTGGGCACTGTGAGTATTGAGAAAATTTGGTAGGTATTTCATATCACATTTGATTTAATATTATGGGAGCGAAGAAATTTTACTCACAACTTCAACATCAGCATCTTGATCTCCATCGCTTTCATGGAGATGGGTTTGATTTACGTTTTCAGGTGCAGCGCCATCATTAACGGTGGTGGTGGGTAGTTGATTGGGAGCTGTTGATGCTGTTGATTGTGATGGAGCTGCGGCGGAGGGAGCTGTGGTGTGTTGTGGTTTATTTGGTGGCGACGGCAGGCTGGTGGACGAGGAGATCGTGGTTTGTGTGATGGTTTCTGGGATATTTTGCGGTGCTTTATCATTCCATTTCGTTGTATCATTTTCGGTTGATTGTGACATCTTGGTTGAGTATTTTCGTGTCAGTCTGTTAAGCCGTGTGATGATTAATATTCCGAATGTTGTATGTATCACCGGCTACAACTGCCGAGACGTGCAGATTATTGATTGGATAGTGAAAAATTGCAAAGATTCAGTAGATCTTTTTGATTTGAGGAAAGCGGTGTAATGTGAGAGTGTATGTGAGAGCGATTATAATGTTGATGTTTTGATGTGTGATGTGTTCCGTGATGTGTGATGTTGTGATGTTGTGATGTGTTACGTGGAGGATGCGATAGATATAAAGAAAGATATCAAAGTAGAGAAGAAGGGGACAGGTATTGATTATTATGTTATATGATTTCCCTGCACGGATGGTATTTATTTATTGGTTGTGATGTTGTGATGTTGTGATGTTGTGGCAGTCCGACATGAAATAAAGAACCTACTGCGTCAAGTACCTACCTTGTTTACCTAGGTAGGTATGATTCCTATGGTATGATTCCTATGGTATGATATAATATTCGGAGTTTGCTGATAATCAGAGTATTCAGACTTTGATTTTCCATATTCGGACGATCCGGTCGGTTATATAAGCTTCATTGTCAGGATCGATCTCTTCAAGTCATGGCGTAGGGTATCACTGCATGATGGCAAGATATTTTCCGCGTCGGAACACCACTTCAACTTATTTCAAAATTCATATACTCCGAGTAGATTTATATACAACTACCTAGGTAGGTAAACAAGCAAGCCGAGAGAATTTAAACTTTTCATCTTATTTGTCTTGACCTCTTTCCTGTATAGTGTGGTGGCGATGGACTAGATGATAGTAAATAGTAAATAGTAAATAGTAAACGGATATGATTGGATTAGTTGAAATAGCAAAGACAAAGTTTGACTTAGTACAGCTGAACTACTGAACTACTGAACTACTAGTAAGCCCTTCAATTGACCCCCCAATCGCGGATAATCATAACCAATTGGGTTTCTTTGTTGTTTTTTTCTTTTTCCTTGTTTCTTGTTCATCACTCGCGTCCGCCGCGCAAGATTCAATGCCATGAATGCCATGGAAGCCATGGAAGCCATTGAGGTTTTTTGGGTGTTGGTTCCGTGCTATCAGTGGATCAATTATCTGCTCTATCCTGCATATCGTCGGATAAATATCTACTTTGAGCATTAGTCCCCCTATTAATGTCACTGGGCGGCTTTGTCTTTACATATGATCCATAAATATTCTTCATGAAAATGTGCGGAAGTATATGCCACGTTTTTAACCGGAATTACTACCATGCCCATGTGCTACCCAGCTAAACCAAACATAGGGCCTGGTGGCCCGCTCCTTTGAGTTACCAAGCGGGTCCTACACCACGGCATCCCATCGTTGCATCGCTGAATGTTGACATTTCAGACGTACCGCATCGTACATTTGTATGCCCATACCATTCGAAAAAAAGAGTATCCAATCCATTCCACTCCTCACTACACTCACCGATCAATTCATGCATTTTACGTTGGGCCATAGGATTTGAATAGATCGCCTGCACAGTGCACCTAACAATCAACAAAACAATCGTCGCTATGGAGAAAACTCCAGAATCATTGGCGCAAGAGATTGCTGCTATGAGAGAGCAGTTGAATAAAGTCAGCAAAGCAATTAATGCGTATGAATCAGTAGCTACTGGAAATTTCGACAAGAAGGATACTCAATCCAAGGGAGAAATCAGCCAAAAGCATGTAGAACTTTTCATGGAAACGGATAGGCTGATGAAGAAAGTGAGGGGTCCTGTTGATATGGTATTTTCCAATTTTGAAAATGTAAGTCTAAAATTGTCTTGCAACGAAAAAATATATATTGGTTTCTTCATGGAGGGTAGTACACATCACGATGAAGATTGCCATCGAGTAACAACAATATGTGGGTAGAGCAAGGGTAATGCAAGCTGACCGAAACTTTGTCACATGTGAATAGTCAGTGCATTCAGGAACATTGAGAACAGTTTTAGAAATGGGTGTGTTTGATGCTTTACCCATGGATGGATCGTCATCAAGTGCTACAATATTGGCCGAGAACCTGGGCGTAGAGAAGGAACTGCTTGGTAAGTCTTTGCATTCCCCTTCCAGATATATTCGTCAACTAAGTCTGGGTAAGTTCGATTCATGCGAGTACTCACGGCCGCCGGACCATTCGCGGAGGTAGGGGAAGAAGAATATGCCCATACACCATACTCAATGGTATATATGGCCCCTGAGTTTAGGGGAATCTTTAAGTTAATGTCAGGAAACCCGCCCCGTCACAACCCATCACAGCCCATTACTTCATTACTATGCCAATTTTCGTTAAGCACTCGTGTGAAATGTTGCGCAAGTCACCATTAGCCTTTCCTAATGCGAAGAAAATAGGTACGACGAATACAACCTCGCCAACGCTCGAATGTATCAATTTTTCCGCGAAAATGGCTTCAAGAGTCCAGAAGATCACCACGTCAATCCATATTGCTTCGCTCACCAAACTGGCGAGAAAAATATGTGGGAGCATATCGAATCGTCCCCAGAGCGCTTTCAAAATCTAAACCTAGCCATGATGGCTCAGAGTGTAGCCACAAATTGGACTGTTGGAATCTTTCCATTTAGAGACACGCTAAAAGAGGTCAAATCCGATGAAGAGACTGTGCTAGTCTTAGATATAGGTGGTGGGAGCGGTCACGTGACTAAACAGATCATGGAGTTCGTCAAGGGAATTCCAGGAAAAGTGGTTCTGCAAGAACGAGATGAGTTGATTGATGCGGTTGCTCATACAATTCCTGAAGTCGTGACGATGAAGTATGATTTCTTCACACCTCAACCCATTAAAGGTATGGTGGATCGCTCTCTTGCTTCATGAATTCTGTGCATGTCTTGTATGCGTGATTGCTGATACGAAAAAGGAGCCCCAATATACTATATTCGTCGATGCTTGCACGATTGGCCAGACGCTGATTGTGTACGGATCCTCAAAGTGATCGCTGCTGCAATGACGCCAGAGTTTTCAAGGCTTGTAATCTCCGAGATCGTTCTTCCACCAATTGCGGCAGACGTCGAAGCAAGCTGGATGGATGTAACGATGATGGCGCTAAGCGGTTGTGAGAGAACGGAAAAGCAATGGGTGACTTTGCTAACTCTTTCGGGCTTGAAACTCAGAAAGATTCATCATGGTCCAGGGACAAATTATGCCGCAATCGAGGCAGTCCTAGCGTAAATACTTGTGGTAATTCCGGGCATTTAGGTTGCTAAATCATAGAGGCTGCCGGCAGATAGAAGGGTGGTATATAGTACAGAGTATATAAAATACAAGAGACTATGCTGACTCTAAGTATGTTCCTGCGAGCCAAACGAGTGAACAACCTGCTAAAGCCCATGCGCCCACAGCTTTCTTTCCCCACCAAGAATTGTCTACTTCTACCTTTGCAGCACGTATTTTGCGAGCCGGGTAGCTTTCAATAACTGTTGCGGAGGCTGTAGAATTATTTTCTACCGCTTTGGTTCGTTCACGCAACTCGGCAATCTTCTTGCCTAGCGATAATAGGTCCTCTTTCCATTCCGTGTCGTTAGCTACCCTATCGACTTCGACGTTTTGCACATTTCCAAAGAAATCCATCAATAGTCTTTCTCTCCCTCCTTCCTCACCACCAGGGAAAAGATCCCATCGAACACCTGGATGTGAATGGATCTTTGCTTCATCATAACTATTAAACAAATCTCCCAATGTCTTCTTGCTGCCAGGTTCCCTGACCTGAGTTTCGAGGAAGTCCAGGTTGTAATATGTGTACCGATCAATGACTGCTACACCAACATCATTATCCGCATGATGGGAGTATGAAGACTGATCAATTTCCGAAGAGCCGGTTGCGATTATGTTAGGAGAATAGAATTTGCTGTACATGGTATTTGCTTGGCATGTATCGATCATGAAAAGCAATTCGTGATACCTTTGGATCGTGGTCAGTACACAAATTTGTCGAAGGTTGGGATATAACAAACCTCTTCTTCTCCCACATCTGCTCAAATGCATCCGCCAAATCAAATGCGCTAATTTCCTCCGCATCTTGGAACTTCAAAAATTCATTACCACCATGACCTGTCATATAAACCAAGATATTACTTCTATCATCCGTCAAAAGCCTCTTGCTTCTGGGCATCTCTTCTCCAACTCTATCCGTCAATAGTCGAATGAAGTTCTCTACTGTGACCTCATATCCTCTATAATCTACCTCGATATTGTCTCCATATAAGTCCACCGCGCGATCAGCGTTACTGTAAACTGTGCCAGGAAAGGCATTCCGAGGGTTGCACGCCATGTCATCAGGTAACATGAGAATTATCTGAGAATCAGGAATTCCTAGACGCTTGACTGTGCGATAAAGTGAAAGAACATTTGCCAGGTGTCGATAGTTGAACCAAAATCGTGAGGTAGATACGAGGACTGCCCAATTGCTCGTATGTTCTGCGGTAACAGGAAGAGGTGCGAGTAAAGGTGCCAGGACGAGAGGAAGCTGGATCAAACTTGATAACTTCATGATTGGATATGCACCAGTAGGTATAAAAATGTAAATATTATCAGATAGATGTGACAGGAGCGAGTGTATCCTTTCTTGTGGTAGAACTACCGTCCTATTATGTATTCGAGGAGTTGGTAGGTATGTAGAACGCAGCAGGAGCTTACCAATCGTATGAGATCCCTGCCGAGATGGATGTCTCACAAACCCACGAGTTCATGCCTTAAAACAGTGTGTGCATATTTATGAGGCCACAATTTATCCATCACATGCTTTCATCTGCCCCGCTCCGCTCGACCCGATTGCATAGACATTTCTCAGACGCTCGAGGCTTAAGAGCTTGAGGTTACATATTTTGCAGTACGTCGAGTCGACGAAGCCGTTGACAATCGGCTTAACGAGCTATTTGGGTTATTGGCTCTATGTTATGTTATTGAAGATATATTAACAAATGACAATGGTTCGGCCACCGGCTGTTATTATTGTTGTCAGGTAAGAGATCTCTAAGGCTCAAACTCCATATTCCTGCAAAGGTTTTTGTCCTGCTGCTCTACTGAACCAATATTGATCAAGACTGTTCTGTTTATTGCTCCGCGAGAACCCCCTTCGGTGGCACTAATATCTAATTTCTTCATAGGCATGGTGCTCGCCTCGACCAAGCAGATAGTCAATGGTACTTGACAACCCCGACTCCATACGATCCGCCTCTCACATATGGTGGCTGGACACAATCAAGATCCCTCGGAGCTCGTATAGCGAATATCTTACGAAGTCGCGAAACAGATGATGACTTTATTGCTAGTGAGGATCAAAATGGACGGAAATACAGGAAAAGGAGGCATAAAGTGATTATACACACATCCCCATTTTTGCGCTGCGTCCAGACATCAGTTGCTATAAGTGCTGGCCTTGCCCAAAATCCTGGTCACACACATCATTCTCAACGGTCTTCTTCCGCACAATCCCAGCACAAAAGTTTACAGATGCATTCTTCTCCCAGAGTGCGTCCTACACAATCAACAGACTCGCCCAGACTAGCCCCACTCATGGAGAGTACAACTATCCCGCCTTCAAGTAGCCAAATTATTGGACAAACGGGCAATATTAGGAAATCAATGATACGGGTTGATGCATTCCTTGGTGAATGGTTGGCCCCGGATTATTTCGAGGATATTACTCCGCCTCCAAGTTCTATTATGATGGTAGCTGGTGCCAAAGCGGACTTATTACGAAGAGAGGACTACAATAGCTTGATACATGTGCGAGATTTCTCTGCGCAAGGTTCATTCCAACCATTTCCAGGTGGATGGGGAAGTCCGATCACAACCGACAAGAAGGAATTCCCATCAGTCTCGAATTTGAACCATGCGCTACCTAGAAGGGATCGGACCAGCAGTCTGAGTAGTGTGGGAAGCAATGGAAGTCGTCAAAATTTAAAGGGTGACAGTCATCTGCTCACGCCTGAGCACGATATTTATCACCCACCGGTGCCAAGTTATGCAATTTCTACATCCGATCCTATACCACCTGGATATGCCACGCACGCAAGAGATGCATGTGTTGACGTTGATTATCAATGGGATAGTATGCGGGAGCCTCTGAATTGGGGAAGTGGTGGTGAATATGGTGAAGAATGGCCCTCGATGCATAAAAGATTTCGGAAAGGTCTGCAGAACATGTTGGGTTGGTACAGCAGTAATGAAAACCCTGGGGAGATAATAACGAAGACTCCTTCCAGTCCAGAGCTTGAAAAGCAATTTTCCATTGATGACAGTCATGAAGAAGAAGATACGGATCTCGTTCTTATCCTTGTCACCCATGGCGCTGGATGCAATGCCCTCATTGGGGCCTTGACTAACCAACCTCTTTTAATGGACGTTGGAATGGCATCGTTAACCATGGCAGTCCGAAAACCCACCCCTGAGAATACACCTGCCTCGACCCCTGGTGCAACTCCCAAATCGCATTCTCGCACAAATTCCAAAAATCTATCCATGGCAGACGAGTATGATCTAAAGCTCTTAGCAAATACAGAACATCTACGCTCCAGCCCCAACAGTACTTCTTCATCCCAAACTCCGTCTATCACAAATCAATCCACATTCCGCGATCGTCAGCCTACCGACCCAAATCGTTCCACTACCGTGAACTCCAGTTTGGGCAGTATCAGGAGAACAGCAAGTATAGCAAGCTCCCAACCTCGCAGCTATACAACGGCTAGACAACCATCAATCGGGCTATGGAGCGCTACTCCTCCGCCCAGAGAGTCTGTCGATGAGAATGACGACACGGATGCTGATAGCATGATGTTGAACTTCGGAGACGATGGTGCACATGCGAACGCATCAATTCAGTCGACTGCCGAAGAAGAAAACAAAGCAGCTGTTGTGAAAAACAAGGAGATAGAAACAAGTGCGCTAGAGGAAGATGAAGTTGCTCCCTTAGGCTTATGGGGTTCACCAAGATTGACGGCTAGTTCAGGTCCAGCCGTAGATTTGGACAAGTCGGGCCATACGCCAAAGAGAAGGTGGACGGTCAACGAAAGGGGGTGAAAGTGAACTTCCGCGGGCTTCAATGATCCGGATCATGGGCCGGAAGGCAAGAAGACATGGAGGAAAATGAACCTGGAATTTAGTACAAAAATGTATGGATGGAAGTATTCTTTTGGATGCATGCATAGATGAATGGATGGATGGATGAATAGACCTTTTTGAGTTGAACCAATTGATCATTTCATTTGAGCGGCAGCGTGGGCGTATGGTTTTGGGACTCGATCTGTAAAAGGTTCTGGACGGAACAAATCAAAAGTGTGCCCAAGGATATGATACATAGCATGGTATGCTCAGGCGAACTGCTATGGTTTCAAGTCTCTTGCGAGGAACCTGAGGGATAATAGCATGGAAACACTGATCTGGATGGTTCTGAGTTACTGCATATATTAGGATAGGGTCACTTGCATGGTGGCTATATTTATCTCATACCATACCCAGATGTTATTCCACTCAAACTATTATCATTATCATTATTACTATTCCTATGTGAAACTGCGGAGATGAATGCCCAGATGCCATTGCCATGACACGATTATCTATGTCTCCTGTAGATATCTTGCTCTGATCTGAAGCGAAGCTCTTTCACACCTACTTGATCATGCGTTTAATCAGATATTCGCCTCAGACAAATATCCAATCTCTCCGCGAAAAGAACTTTTGCATTTTGCAGTTCATGACTGGAAATCAATCATCTTCTGCGACCTGAAGGGTGATACCTATATATTGATCAGCGCAAGTAATTTGATAGTTCAACTATTTGAAGAAAAAAATTTGCTGCATCCCATTGCTCATTCTCAAAAGTGGTTTGTTCCTCATCAACGACCCGAAGGCTATATGAGTGGTGCATGAAACTCGTGTCTAATCATCGCGGGATGGAGGGAAGAGTTGAAATATTTAGTGAGAACGTACCGCATGGTAATATGATACCCATGGAGATATCCGAGTGCATCGATGGTGCGTCTGGCCTATACGATGCTCGGTAATTCACTGCGAAGGTTTCCATCAAAGAGATGCATAGTATATGGTGTAGATACCACAGGGCCTTGCCGAGCAATACGGTACAAATAGTAACGATCATACATATTATGTATTGAATTTAGTCCTACAGATAACTTGTTAGCTATGTTCCATCTTAATGCGAATAGTATTTGAGGGAAGAGGTAGCTGAACAATCAGAGAGGCTCGCATGCGTAAAATTTGTAACCATGTATTTTGTCTTCAAGACTAATCGATTTTTATACCATCATCATAAAGTTTCGTGTCGATAAAAGTGCAATGGAATATATGTTAGACTTACCATGGCTCCTGATCATAACCCTCAGTCATCGTCGTCATCAAACTCATCCAATTGAAACACCTTTGGCCTCTCGGCGCCAGCGCCACTTTGACCACCAGCCATAGCATTAGTTCTCCTCTCCATCTCTAGCCTTCTCCTCTCCTCTTCTTTCACTCTTTGTGCTTCTTCTTGCCTCTCTAACTCTTCGGCCTCTTCCCTCTTCTTTTGTTCCTCGAGCTCAGGGTCCCATCCCTCAGGATCGATCCCACTGTCAACTAGTGCCTGAATGCTTGCTAATGCACCCATCCTAATATCTTCTTCGCGAGCCCATGGCACGAATACTTTGTCATTAAAGCCCGTATTAAGGAATTGTACATAACCGGCATCAAGGGCAGATTTTGACTGAGAAGGCTGTTGTGATGGTGAATCTTGACTTGCAGCAAGTGGATTTGCTCCGTTTGGAGTAACAGAAGGGACATCTATATCCATAGCATTACCATTCGCACCGTTACCAGTAACGGTAACACTAGGCGTGCTACTTCCATTTGTCGCAACACCTTCTTGCCTCGGTGATGAATCTTCTGGTTTAAAAACTCGAGCCTCGGGCGGAACCGTGAACTTAGAAATCCTTCGCGCATAGCTAAGAAGTTCTTCGTACTCCACGGGGTTTTTATTTTCGGGGTATGCGGACAATGGAGTGTTGATGAGCTCAGTTCGCGTGTTGGTTAAAAGGATAAGAAGCTCGCGAATTTGGGCATCGAGGGCTGCAGAATCGGCGTGTAGAGTAGTGAGGATGTGGGTATTTTGTTGATGTTGATTTACTGTAGGAATTGTATTAATATACAGTCGGATCAAGAGAGTTCAGGGAAAACGTGGAGAGTAAACATACGAAGTGATAGACCATCATTAAGTTCTTGATCCGCGAGAACTAAGTCTTGGGCCAGAGCTGGAACAGGGCTGTATTTGGAAATTGAAGCTATCAAGTTGGCAAGAGCTTTTTCTACACGATCAAATCGTGCATCAATTATTTTATCCATTTTGACTGTTTTGGAGGGAAGGGAGGTTAAAAGAAAGGTAGTATGTGTTCTAGGACATGTCGTTTCAATATCGATACCCTAAATAGGAATCGAAAGTTTGAAAATACTTCCAAATAATTCCAAATGAATGGAGTGTTGGGATAAAATTAAAATAAAGAAAAATGGCAATGAGGGGATGAATGAAATCTCAGTTGGGAAAGATTTTGAAAATTTAAGCGCAACCCACCAAATTGCAGGGGTGTGCAAGTCAATAACAAGCGCCATAGATGCCCATATCACATGATCTCCGTGACAACTTCGTTTTTGTCCTGTATTGCAAAACTCAAGTTGAACAAAATGCCACGAATACCATGTAGCAGCTTTCGGGCTTATCTACTTGTTCTGATATAATGTTCATCAACCATCTTTCTGGGGACACAATGGGATGCAAGAAACAGAGGCTTAGCCAGCTAGTCTCCTGATAACATGGAGAATACTCTTCTTCCGTAGTATTGCCTCTGGAAGGGGTGTCTTCATTGGAGCACGAAATTTTCCCATAGATAATGATTGAACATCAATCAAGATGGCAATGGTGTGAAGGAAGAAGATCAGAGAGGGAGGTGGCGGGCTCATATATTATTGAGTCGAGTTGAAGAAACATTTTGCGTCCGTTGAGAGTTTGCCGTTCACTTTTTTACGTCATTGAAACTTTTCTTAGGGTTAGTCGGCGTTGTAAGTGATTGTCAGTTTGCGTTTGGAGGTGTAGGTGCTTTTATTCCAGGTTGTGTCAGACATGTTAAACCGAGCACAAGAAATCCTTCAAGTATGTTACGCCAACAGCTCGGGGGGTTAGCAGAGGGTACGATAAGGGATTGGAGGCCATGGAGGGATGCTTTTAGCACTTTACAAGACGTCGGTATTAGGATGCCTGATTAGGAGTGAATTTCAGCAAGCCTACGAGACAAAGTCAGCTCTCTGATGCTAGGAGAGATCCTGCGTGGTGGCGCGGAGCTGTTTCGAAGGCCGCTGGGCGTAGCATATAGTGGCAGCGACGGCGACACTGCCTATATGGTTCCAGAGGACGGATGCACGTGTGAATTTCACAATAGTATGGGGTTACGGAGGTATGACGAGGGTATCGGGTAAGCACTATGCTAGCCCGAGCTCTATTTCGACCTAACCCCCTCCTTCCATCGTCACATCCCGGACGATCACCAAAGCCATATACGGAGCCTGGCCCGCATCACCAATGGCCCGCCAACGGCTTCTCTTGCAAGAAGATAATCAGTTGTGCCCTCTCTTCGGACAGTGACGCCATTGTTTGCCATTGCATTATGCACCAGAATTGACGTGTTTAGAATATGCAGGATCGCGAAGGCACAGGTGTATGTGGCTGCAGGTTTCCGAAGCCCCAGGAGTCGACCGTGATAGTATTGCTTCTTCTACAACAAACAACTTTTTGCTTAGGAAACTTTTTATTTTTCTTGTCGAGTGGAGAATATCCTAGCTGCGGAGACTGACAAAACTTTTTTCCTTTCGTTTGTTTGAGCAATTAGCGTAAGTGATAGAATAGCAAGTTTATATGTCTTTTATTTCTTCTCTGTATAATACTGTGCCCCTCCTCTGTCCTTTTTCAGAACGGAGGTAGAGTATGCATTGCTAGGCTCTCCATTCATGATCTGGTAGAGTAATAACTCTTTTGTGATTTCTGACTTCCATCACTGTCGTACTGTTGGTCTTACAACCATTTCTAGCTACATGTTAGGGATGAGGGAGAAGGTAACGAACTCACCGTTTTATTGCCAAATTGAAGACTAACGGAAGTGAAAGATTCTCTCGATTCTACATTTACATATATGGAAAAGGTTATATGCACGGCTGGCATATTCGACTCCTCGCCAGACATACTCGGCACAAAATCAATTGATCTTCGATCCCTCTATCCAGCCCTTCCACAAAATCAACATGCCTTCTCGAGGATCAGAATCAAGTAAGGCTTGGTCTATGTATCCGCTGCTCCACGATAGTGTATCACGCTTACTGGAAGAGAATAATCTCCATTTTGACTTCCATGATATTGATGACGCTACAAGCTGTACCAAAGAATATGATACAAATATCATGGGTCGATTTATATGTCACAACCGTGCATGCAACTCTGCCGGATGGCCAAGTAAGCGAATTGCTATCACTATACGAATGTACCCGGGAGCAAAATACAATGGAAGGGTATATCACCAACGCTGCAAGAGCTGCAACAGCCTCAGTCGACCAATTCTGGATGATTCATATGCGGAAAGAGTCGCATATCGTATCATGAAGTGGCGTGGAATACAGATGGACTTACCCAGTTACTCCCACCGAAGCAAAGGTCCACATAACTCAGATTTATGTGAAGGATGTAGGGCTGGTCATTGTAGTGCGCGTGGTAAGTAAAGCAGTAGATCTTACGAATTCAGCTCACAGCTATTTAGATGCGGGAACAGAGTGATAAATTGTAACTTTATAGGAGGGATGGAAAGAGAGTGCAGGTAATCCTGATGGATTGTTCACGGGACTTGAGATCATTCGAGATGTCTTTGTTGACCCGTGGTAATGGTAGACACTCTCTGGGTTGATACATGTATCCTTCGGATTTCGAAATCGGACGCGGAGCCTGTTCGAAGCTTCCTTTGTTATTGTTCTTGTATTGATATGCCATTACCAGACAGCTCTCTCTCTGGCCAAGTCGCACGCGGCTAGCCCAGAGGAAAGTGCACTCTATATTTACCAATTTTCCCGAACACGTCGTGTAGTGGTTGGATTTGTGAAGTTTAATAGCAAGATTATCATGATTAGTTCTGGCTCGAATCCATGATAATCCTGTTTACCCCCACGATGTCTCATGGCCATTGATATCAATCCCTTTTCATATGTGTGTCGCAAAATCTGTCCGCCTCTCGCTCTGTCCCATGAAGTAATCCACTATTCACATCCATAACAATGTCAATCAGGACCTTCGAAAGATCCGCCGCCTCCTGCACGATTCAACAGTACTCCGGAATCAGGCATCGTCAGTCGTAAGTTTCAAGTTTTGAACCTGCATTAGCACATTGGTAGGAATTTGTAGCCAAGGTCATTTTCTTTGCTATTCCTAATGCGTTTTAGTCTGTTGGCTATTATCTCGCTCTAGAGATAAGGTTGGACATGTGTGAATGTAGAAGGGTAAGCCAATTGGCGGGCGAGAATAATAATTTCATGATTGTGCATGGCTGTTGAGGGATGCAAAGTTTTGGGCCTCGAATTTGAGAAAAGCTTTGTTATATTTCTTCAAGGTAGATCGGATCTATTTTTCGATGCTCCAAAAATCCTCATGAGCATGATGTTGTAATCCATTAATGTGACCTTCCGCTACAAACCGACCACGAAATTCGGCGTCCTTTGGTAATCATAGGATTCCTTCTCTTTCACTGTCACTTTCCCAGTCTCAGTACATCTACAGTCTAGTAATGTGACTATGGAATTTCGTTGCTATTCAAATCCTGATATCCCAAAATTGCTTGACTGGTGGAAGAAGTTCAATACTCTTCCTTTCAAGAACACAAATTCAATTTCAATGAATCGATATAATGGTGAGAGGCACGCCGCTGGCCCGACGGGGATGCATGTTAATTGGAGTGTGGATAGCCAGTTGCAAGATTTCAAAAACTCTTTATATTTCCTGTAGACTAGCATTGTAGTAGATATTGTACCCTCCTGCCATCAAGAAAATAGATCATTCGACCGCATGTACTCATCTCAGTCTTCCAAGCTGTCCTATGGACCTACCTCTTTCCGAAAAGGAAGAAGTGGTGCTGCTATTGCAATGCACACAATTTATCCAATTCAAGCTGCCCACCATGATACAATATCAACCATGTCACTTATATCGAGCCATGCTGTAAACCTGCAAAGATGTCTTCAACATCCGCAATATCCTCCATGCTATCCTACATCGATGAGATCCGCGCCACGAAAAATTCTCTCAAGGAGAGTATTCTATGTCAAGGTCAGTTACAGATCATAAGTAGCTATGCATCTTCATGAAAGACAAGCAACCGAGAGGATGAATCAGATGTGTCGTGAGTTCATTGTTCCCTCCGCAGAGGGTCCTAAAACAAGAGGTACCAGAAAAATAGTAAAAATAATATATCATCATTGAATCTTCTCGGTCGGATGTAAATGAAACGGGGTTTCCTTACAATTTAAATAGAAAATTTAGTGCACTTTCTGGGTAGTTAGTACAAAATGAGAGGCTTCCCCTCAATCAATTGCGACGCATCGCGACAAATGAATTGTTGTTGATGCATTGATGTTGCCATTGAAAAAGTCCTGGATTCGAGAAATTTCTTAAGATGCTCAAGAGACACTAATTAGTTTTAGGTCTAGTGTAAAATATTTTAGCTCTACCCTAAGCGAATTTGCAAATTCACAACAGAAGATAATAATTTCGCGACGACGAACTTTCCATTTCCCAACACCTCTCGACAATCTCAATCAACCGACCAGTTTAATCACCGTCGACAAAACCGCAAAAATGGGTCGCATGCACTCCAATGGAAAGGGAATTTCTTCCTCAGCTCTCCCATACTCCCGCGCTCCTCCTTCATGGCTCAAGACCACCCCAGAGCAAGTTGTTGACCAAATTTGCAAACTTGCCAAGAAGGGTGCCGCTCCTTCCCAAATCGGTGTTGTCTTGAGAGATTCTCACGGTATTGCTCAAGTCAAGGTTGTTACTGGTATGTGGATTTCTTCGATTTGCAATTGATGTGGTTGAATTTCGATCTGGCTGGAATGCGAATGCTAACTTTCTTGATTCTTATAGGTAACAAGATTCTTAGAATCCTCAAGTCCAACGGTACGATATCCAATATTACATGAATAGTTCCGTATCTGCCATCATTGGATTATAGTACATCCGCCGTGATGTGTCAATTTGTAGTCCTTACAAACGCCTCTGCTTGGTCACAGACTGACAGAGTGACAAAATAGGCCTCGCTCCTGAGATCCCAGAGGACCTTTACATGTTGATCAAGAAGGTATGATTTACTCCAATCCTCATGCTAACGTGCAATCATATTAATCATCAACTTCAGGCCGTCGCTGTCCGCAAGCATCTTGAGCGTAACCGCAAGGACAAGGACTCCAAGTTCCGTTTGATTCTCATCGAATCCCGTATCCACCGTCTCTCCCGTTACTACAAGACCGTCGGTGTTCTCCCACCAACCTGGAGATACGAGAGTGCCACTGCCAGCACCATGGTCGCATAATAAGTTTCATGATAATAAAATGAATACGGAGTTGGGGTGTGGACATATTTGCATCACGAATTACTACTTTCTTAAGGAGTACTGCTATAGTAGCATGAAACTACATAGCGAATGAAATGTTAAGAAACACTTCCAGCATCGGCCTTGTCCTGAACTACTGTCCAAATATCGTAACGTGATATGTCAAAATCCTTGAACGCCCGAGCTCTTGAAATGCTTTTGATATGCCTTGGGTATAATTAGATTCCATCCATTATTGATTCCCTCCCTCCAACTCCTTGGATTTTGACAAAAGAAATTCCCCTAGTACTCTTAAAGGATCTTTTGGTCTAGCAAGAATTAATCGTTAGCCAACAACCACCAGAAAGCCATTCAATCGGCCAAATGATCCAGGGTACATACTGGTCCTTAGCCAACAACTTCATGCCCTCCAGTAAACTTCCTGTAACAGTCTGATTCAAATAAACTCGCGCTGGCGCTCCATGTACACTTGCTTCACTTGGTAATGATGGCCCCGCATCCGGATGCTGACTCGTAGCTCTCGACGAATTCTCCGCATTTCCATTTACTTTCGGTACAGGCGTACTTGTGCGCGCAGGAACGGGAACCGGAGAAGCTGCATCACGGTTGAGATTCGCAGTCGCTGTGGAAGCCTGATGCGAAGGCGGTAAAATGGGCGAGTGAGAATGAGTTGTAGGCGGGAGGATTGCAGCGGCAGGAGACTGTGATGAGGATGTATGAGTAAGTATTTCTACTGCAGAGGACAGCCGCGAGAGGAAAAGTCCAATTGAAGGGTGGGAGGATGCAGGATTGGGTGGAGGAATAGGGTCTGGGGGAAGTATAAGGCATACTGCAGGTCTGTGAAGAGGCGCATCTTCCATAACCACATCTCGTGTTGCGCCGGGCATTTGGAGGACGCCGGAGGGGGTGGCTGCTTGTGGGGTTGCTGAATGCGATTGGTTTTGCATAGCGAGCTGATAGGTGTGAGCGGCCGCGCTGATGCTGGAAGTGCTGTTAGGATTTGTATCGGGAGAGGGTGTGTTTGGTTGTGACATGCTGGAAGTTGAGATCGCGTGTAGGAGTTATGAAGAGTTGTGTGAAGGATCCTGGGCTCATGATTGGGTTGTGAAATTACTTGGAGAGGATGTCCTTTCTGCCAAAGGCGGTAGAATGATATATCAGGTGACTTCGTGCTGGTGTACGCGATGCGAGGCGCGCTAGACAATGCTCTTGCCAATGGAATTATATAACTGGATATGTGTAGACTACTTCTTTGTACACAACTTTTGGTATAATGGTACTCAAAGAGCTTAAGAATAACAATCAAAACGTTATGTTAAATCGACGCACTCAACGAAAGATACCTCAAGACTTCAAAGATAAACTATTGCCACCTTCGAAACGCCTGAAAACAGAGAGTGCAGAAGATGGAGATCTTAGTTCTCGATGTCCTTCCGATGAAGAAGAATTACCCTTATCACCACGAATTGGAAGTCCAGTTCATCTCAGAAAAACAGAAATTCTTGATTCGGAAGATGAAGGAGAAGATGAAATGGATCAGATTGGGGCTCCCAGAGTGACGGAATTGGAGAGTGCATTACCACCAGTTGATATTGATAAAAATGCAATTGCTAAATATGAAGCGATGCGTGCGGAGGTTGATAACCTCCCGGATGATCTCAAGTCGAGATTAAGTGGGAGGACCTGGGAGAGGGGTAAAAGCAGTATTTATAGTGATGCTTTCAACCTTGCATTGGAAACTGTCTTGGAGGATGAAGGGCATCTATTTGATGAGAAGGAAATGGATGTATTCAACCAATGGAGAGACTTGGATTATGAGGCTCAGTATTTGTAAGGTGCAATTCCTTATTTCCCAATTGAGATCTTTCCAGGACTAATGGAGATAGGTATGTGCGTCTTTTCTTGCGGAAAACATCGGCTTGGCATCGTATCAATCGCTTGGGTTATCATAGAGATTTGACAGACGTTCCTACAACTTCGAAAGTTTTGCAGTCAATGCGGGAATTACCAGAGTCTGCAGCGACGGTTCAAGTCAATCCAGCGGAATTGGGACCTCCGGAAGGGACCGTTCTCCAAAACTCATTTACTTTTGCTGATTCGTCTGAAGGTCAGATCAAAACACTAGATGAAGCATTATCTCTCCTGAATCTAGATGAGCTCAAGGGTCTTGCAAAAGAGCTTAAGGTTCAAGGGAAAAACAAAGCCGATATACTGAAAGCACTTCGTGAAACAAGTCAACGTCAGAGTGGCCTCGGCTATGTGGGTCTGAAAAGGGCTGACAGTATGTCAACATCGATACCAACCACTCCAGATGGAGCCATCCCCGAAGAAGAAGATGATAGTCTCGATCATGTGAATAGAGATGTTCATTTCCTCAGAAAGATCATGGCTATAACAGGACCATGTATACGACTTTCTCTCCCAGCTTTAAACTTATTCGAGAGAGTTCATCTCGTTTTCTATAGATCAACCGAGTGGACTGATAAATCCCTCACAACCATTATTCTTGCCAGAATTTCCCGTCGCAACTTTCCTAGCTATATTGTCTCACGATCTACCAATATTTTCTCCTCTCGCTCCATACTCCTTGAGTTTGAAGCCTCAATAAGAACTCAATACCGCGTTGATAGCATCCTCGAATACAGCAATCGGGGCAAAGCTGGGCTGGATGAAGTAATGGAAATCTTCGAAGAAGTATATCCCCGCTGGAAAGTTCTCCTAGCAGAAGAACAACGCAAAGAAGATAGCATATACGAAAGCGGAGAAGGGGCTTACCTTCGTCGTTTTTCTCCTGCTTGGGTATACACACGAATCGTGCACAAGGGCCTATATGTTTTCGGCCGTTTCAAAAACCATGAAAAAGAACACGCAATCCTCACCGAACTCCTCAATCAAAAACTTTTCCATTCAGCCAAGCGAGGTGCATGGTACCAACGAAAGGCACTTCTCGAAGAACATTACATGTACACTCTCCAACCGGTCCCTGGGATCAACGACACCGAGCAACAAAAACGCCACTGGAAACGCGTCTCACTTTGTACCTGCGAACAAGGACTCCAAGATAGACATTGCCACGTCATCTACCACTACGACCTCCAAAAACGCATTCAAAAACTCGAGAAAAATCTCAAAATTCCTAAACGAGAAAAACATGATTTCGATCACGCGCTCCTCACAAAACCCCTCGAAATAACCATCCAAGGAATCCAAATCAAAAAACAATACCTAACACCCACCACACTCCGTCGTCGATCCAGCGCCCCAAATGGAATCGAAGAGCGTCAACGCAGCACTAAAACGATCTGGATAGATGAGTACGAAGGAAATGGCGCATCGGAATGCTCCGTCGAGGAACTATGTCTAAGCTATTACCGCAGCCAGGGACTAAAGGGATACCACTCCGAAGGCGGCATCCTACGCACTCTATTCGCCTATCTATTCTTCGACATCCTCTTCCTCTACATCCCCAACGTCTTCCAAACCCAGTACCAAACGTGTCCCCTAGACCTCCACACGGATGCATTTTTCGCAGCAAGAGCATCGGAGATTAATCATCGCATTGTAGAGATTGAAAATGGAAAGGCGCCGGAAATTATTAGGAATGTGTGGGAAAGTGAGGCGGATAAACGAACTTGTGTTGTGGGTTTGAGGTGGGAATTCGATGTGCATGATTTACAGGAGATTGTGGATGCGTTTGGTGGCGCTGGATTGGGAAAACTCATGAGGGTTATGGCTGAGGAGTATAGGGTTCGGGGGGGAGGAGTGCCGGATTTATTTTTGTGGGATGTGGGAGAGGCGAAGGTTGAGCAGAAAGATGAACTCAACGAAAAGCCAAAACCTCGCTCAAATAAAATCAACCCCAAAAATACACCAACCAAACAAAGAAAAAAAGAAGTTAGATTCGTAGAGGTAAAAAGTGAGAATGATCGCTTAAGTGATACTCAACGCATGTGGATTCATGTATTAATGGGAGCGGGTATAAGGGTAGAGCTTTGTAATGTGGTTGCGAGGGAGGTGAGGGTTATTGATACGGGGTGAGGGAGTTATGAGTTATGGAGTTGAGGGTTGGAAAAGGGGGAAGGGAGAAGGGTGGAGTTGAGGGGGTTGGCAGGTTACGACCTGGGACAGTTAGACTAGCTGTGATAGTTAAGATACATGGATTGCATGTACATGTACTACATAGACAGGCTGGAGTACTCAAGGCAATCTCGATTTCGATTTCAATAAAATCTCATAATATTATTGTGGGTGAATTACCAGAGCTAGACACAACTTGTGTTTCGTTCGTGGTGACATGGTATATATACATATACACATATATACTATGAAAAAGTTGAATATATATTGTAAGCCATATACATAAAGGTTTTCAACTTATCCAATCACGGAACAACCTTTTGTAATTAGATATAAAAAAGAAACTTTTGCTTCTTTTTTTTTCAACAACAATCAACCTTTTACACTTTCACATTTGGATCTATACAACTTCAACCCCAAACCCATTGTGAACCCTATTTTCTTTATGAGTGATGTATTATATTATAATATGATTAAATCTAATCTAATCTAATTAATTAGCTTTCTTTTCCAATTCTTCTTCACAGTGTGCTATCGGGATGCATGTATCTCGACTTATCTCTTTTATAATATGTATATATAGATTAAGTAGTAATTAATAAAAACCCATCGGAACCAAAGATACAAGATACAAGATACAAGAATATATACCTAGTATCTATCTACTCTAGCTTAGAACTTCACAGCCAGTAAGCCAATGGGAAATTTCTTAGTGCCTCCTCGTGTCTGAATAAGGACTTAACCTAACACCACTGGTATGGTATTTGAAGAAGATATTAACATACAACACAACATATTCAGGAATCTCATCTATACTTTATCACAGCAATATTTTAATTATATGTTTTCTTAATTCTTCACTATCTTCACCAACTTCACTAACTTCACTAACTATTCTTCTCCTTCTGCTTCCTTTCGCTCGTCATTCCTCGCCTCCTTTCTTGGGAAACAGTCCCTCTCCTCACTCACTATCCACGCGCATCACCAAAAAGGGCAAAGAAAGGAAAAAGAAAGTGTGACATTAATACATTACTATCTAGCTTGTTCCTCTCCACTTTCGCTCCTCCCACGCGAAATATCGACGAAACATTCATACATGAGGCTTTGTAACCACGCAAAAGATATCAAGATCTGCTTTAGCAATCGAGCTAGCTGTTCTTCAAAAATCCCATTCCACGCTAATTTCACCTCACGCGGCCATTGTGGCGGTGACCGCAGATTGTGTTGATTTTATCTTTGTACAAAGTAGGTAGAGCGATAAGATTTTGTAACATGTCGAAAGAGTTTTTGTGTAAAAACATTAAGCCTTGCTGTAATGCGGGAAAAAGAAAAGAAACTGGTGATGCCGCTAGATCTGCATAGTTGCCGAAAAATTAGAAAAGCAAAGCGGATCGCTCCACGGAGCAATAGAGGCATCACTTTAATATGTAAAACTCCAAATGGGTATGCTGAAACAATGAACAATGAAAAAAAAAGAACGAAAGGCACATGAGCCTATCCAGAACGCCTTTAAGCCAAGCCCTTTCCCTTTGCGCCGTCGTTATACCGTCGTTTCAAATCATGGGTGCTTTTTCGGCTGCTGCTCGACCTTGATCAAGTGAGCTGAACAGTTGATGTGGAGGAATTCTTGACATTCCGCTATTTCGATCATAACTGTTCGTTGGTGCAGGCATATAACCCTCACGTTTTCTTCTGATGCGTTCCGCCAACACGCCGGCAACGACCAGAAGGAAAATTAATGCGAGAGAGATTGCTAAAGCAATAAGTACGACCAAGCCAACTGCAAGGTGACTACCTATAATGATGTTAGAGATTTATTCAATATTGCTTGTTCATGATTAACCTACCAGATGATTTGAAAAAGTTATTCTCTTGCGAGAAAATGTGCGACAGGCTACCTCCAGTATTTGACGTGCTGCTTGTGAGCGCAAAAGGTTGAAAGCTGGTTCCGTTGAATAGAACTGCCGAGACATTACCAAAGGTGGGTAACACCATGGAACCAGTAAGCATCAAGACTTGATTCGAAGGAACAAGATCGGAATTATCGTGGTTTGATGAGAGGGGCATCATTTGGAGACCACGAATGACTGAGCCGCTTGCGAACACATTCCCAACCGAATTCCAGTTTGTACCGTCATACTTCATAACGAATGCCGACCCATTGGTTGCGGTGCCAGCTACCCAATATTGTGAGATATCACTAGTCGCAGGGACAATGGATGTTACAGTTCCTGGGATGGCATTTGAGCCAGTAGCGGTAGTCCAGGTTTGGCCTTTGGTATCGTAGGTTGCTAAAGATACATTGGCTCCATCGACTGTTAATGATCCGCCGACGATGAGAGATGTATCGCTGGTCCAAAGCATGGTATTCACGGTACCTTCGAGGTTCGTTCCTGGGCGATTCCATTGGGATGCAGAAGCTGTAAAAAGGCAAACCCCTGGGCAATCTAGAATTCCAGCTTGAGTGAAACTTCCACCAACATATACATCGCCAGTCTTTGTCCTAACAGCAATGTCATGAACAACGGCTGATTGTCCGCCAAGAGCTGGTATTTGCGATGCAAATGTAGAAGCCTTAAGATCGTATAAGATGAGCCCGCTGACTCTTCCTCCGTTAACAGTTCCAGTAACGGAACCTCCAGCATAGAGAATGTCGTCTTGTATAGCCAACGCACGGAAGGTAGAACCGGCATCGATCTGGGATCCAAGTCCAGTGACGGTGTTGTCATTCGCGCCATCAATAAAGACAAGGTTATTAACATCAGTGCCGTTGGTAGAGGTTGCAGTGAAATGGCCACCAAGGATTGTGACATTCTTGGAGCCATTCTCATAGAATAGTCCGGTTACAACTCCACTAACGTTTTGACTGGCAGTATTCCTCTTCGATAAGGTTGATGTAGATTGTGGTTTAGAGGCTTGAATGTCAACAGGAAATGGGCTTAATCCTGATGCAAGGGAAACAACTCCACTGACGCCCAGTTGTGATGATGAGAGCGAACCTGCAAAAATGTAGTCGCCAGATGCATTTACTGCGGCAGTGAGTTGACCGTTGATAGCCATTTTAGCAATATTAAGGTTTTGTAACCAATTGCCGTATGAGGGGACCCAAATTGCGAAACCAGAAACAGCTACAGAAGAGTTGTTACCAAATGCAAGGAGCTGGTCAAAATCTCCAGTTAAGGTGATAACAGTCTCAGGTCTGTTAGCGGTGATGTTCATTGATATTGGTACCACTGATGAAACTTGTCCATTGACGCCAGCTCCTAATGCGCTCCATCTGTTCTGTACGGTATCATAAGCGGCGATATTGCTCAACCCTGTGGTAGTGGTGGAGCCCGTGTTGCTGCTGAATTTTCCAGCAACATATAGAGTTGTGTCGTTAAGAAGCATAGTGAGAACTTCCCCATTTAAACCGTTCGAAGCCAGTGAATTAGTACCGGCGTCTGAGATGGAGAATATGTTTTGGTAATTTGTGGCAGAAAAATTGCCTCCAACAAAAATAGTATTGCCAGAAGCCACAACAGCATTCACCTCAGCATCATCATTAAGGCCCATACCAGCTTGAACAACCGTATTGTTCTGGAAATTGGAAGCATTAATGACAGTTTCGCTTGGATCGAACTCGAAAAGACCATTCAATCCGGTGCTGGTCGCATTGTTCAGGATGAATCCAACACGCTGAGCCACAATCGTAAAATTCTCGGAATTCCCAGGTATCTGACCGCTTGGAGTGAGGGTAATAGAAGGGCGGAATGTATCGCTAGCAGCTTGAATGTAACCAGAGTACACTTGATCATACTTGTCGTAGTCGTTAGACTGAAAAAGGGTAACGGGTGAGCCAAAGGTTGCCGTTGCACGTGAAGTCTCACTAGCCACGGTTCCATTTACAACAACAGAGCCTCGGCTTGAGCATGTATTATCCTGGATACATCCAGGTGTGTACATCTTTACTGTATAGTTCCCGGACTCTCTGATGTCCGGATAAAATACCACAGAAGCTGCACTTGCTGTGTCTGATGTAAATTGACCCGTGAGATACTTTGCAACACTTTGAAATGACGGACTGATAGCCCAAGGACCAGTAGATGTAGCTTTTGAGGCAGTTGACAGAGAAGCACAGGAAGGCTCGTTGAATTCCTTGATGGCATAAGAAAATATGTCATCCTGGAACAGCTCAATGCCATTCAAGCCACCTCCACTACCATACCAAGCAGAGATATCGATCTGAAAGGCATCCATGCCAACTGAATTCACAAAGTGGAAATCCTGGTATGGAATGCTAGTATTGCTGCTTAAAGGGCACTCCGATGTACATGTTGCATTAGCACCTGTGGCTGGATCGATGTATGTAAAATTCATGATGCCGTTGATTGGCTGAGCCGTATATCTCCAGGTCTTGGTACCTCGGCCATCTTGGTGCGTATTCCATAATCTCAACTTAGTAGGTTGAAAGCCAAATCCAAACGTAGCTTTCCAGAATCCAGCAGAATCATCTTTGAGCAACCAAGTATTTCCAGCGCCGTCAGTGCCACCGGTCTTGCACACAATATTTGTTGGATCATCAAAGCCAGCAGTTGTCGCCGTGCCAGTGCTCGTGATATTGGCGCCAGAAATGTTGACAATTTGCTGATCAGTTGTATTACTACTTCTACTAGTGATTGGTGCCGTAGAGTTTCCTAGCCCGGTAAAAGCTCCACCAAATATTATATTCCCGTTCGAAGCCTTCGAGATAGAATTGACCCGACCGTTAAATCCAGAAAAGGGAAGGGCAACTAAGTTCTCGTCCACCAACTTGATTACATTTGAAGAATTCGTAGAATCGAAATAACCTCCAATGTAAACTGCATTTGTCGATTCGTCGCATAAGAGTGCTGAAACGGATCCTGATAATCCAGGAAGTGCGGTAATTGCAGACGTATTCGAATTGAACAATGCAATGCCTTGCGATTCTACATTTCCTAAGCTCGTAAAATTACCTCCAATTACGACCCCCACAAGAGTTCCATCCGATTTGACGTATGGGCACATTGCTGTGATTGAAGCATCAGCCGATGCCAAGGACTCAAATTCACCCGTGGGAAACCGTGCCATAACGGATTGGATCGTAGTGTTGTATCCATCTTCATTCTGTCCCTGGAATTTATACAACGATATACCATCAAAATCCCCACCAAGCCCTACACGTCCCAAATTCGAGAGATCGAGGTTGGCGGATGGAGCCGGCTGGAAAGTAATCGCGCGCGATAATGGCGTTATGGTCAACAGGAAAGAAAAGCGCATTATAGATGGTGAGTCGCTAGCTGATGGGCTCAGCCATGATGAGAACCTCATTGCTGTTCCCCTCTGAGTAAGTATTATTAATGGGTATTATTCGTGTTGAGAGTTCGTGAGAATCAAAAGCTCGATGGCCTCTTTCTCCGCCAGTTCCCGAAATAATTGCATTGACTGGACGCGCAACCCTTATGCCATTTGATTATCCTTCACTGTGGTGTATAAATCGAATGAAAATTCTCTCGAGGGTGTATTAAAGAGTTGTTGATTGTTCTATTGCAGTATGTAATGAGTGTTGTGTTGGTGTTGAAGTTGAGATGGAGTCGAAGGGATCTAAACTTCTAAAGTGATAGTAATCTCACTCTCGAAAAGGCAAGTTGAACTCGAATGGATCTAGACTAGATTCGCGGACTAATGAGAAATAATTGATATTTTTATTTTTTGTACCAGCTTTGAAGGGGTGGACCTCGGGTGTTCAGGAACCAGGAACCAATCTCAAACGGCTTATTGCTTGCTGTTGTAAGAAAAGAAAGAAAGAATCCTCCTCCTTTGTTGCTGGTGATATAATTTGAAAAAAATCCGTGAAAATTTCAGTGATAAGATCCGTCTGTAAGGGAGATAGATGATCTATCAATGTTCGATATCTCCGTACGATATTATCTTCAGACTTCTGGGGAGTTATTATTATCGATTGCGCAGTCTTTGAAACTAGTTGTTAGTTTGGTGGAGTCTTGTCTTGGAGAGGGAGGGCTGCTGTTCAGAGGATGGCAAGCGAGATTGGCTGTTCAAATTGATGGCTGACTGTGAAATCCAATAGTGGTGGTGAATCTGATGGGGATGGCTTCTTGATTATACGAGAACGGTATAAACGGTTATGAAAAGTTGATAAATGAGAGTGAAATTGATATAAAATCGACTGAGTTGATGTTGGAAATGAGCGTAGAACTTTAAGTGACGATGGTGTCGATTGAATTGATTGTCTGTTGTGCTTCAATAAGAGAAGAAGAGAGATGTTAGTTCTGCTGTACCCAAGTATTTCTTTCATTTCTACCCTGGCTGTCGGTTTTTCTTGTCGCCTTTATCTTGCATATTTGCTCATGAGGCAACAGAAGTATCTGAAGATGATTCGATAATCACCTTATGCACTGCATCTGAAAATGGGCATAAACAGGGGGAAGAATTGTGACACGTACCAGTACCATACAATGTTGGGCTTTGGGCAGCGGTAGCAGAACAACAAACAGATCAAATGATTAAACACAACACGAGAAAAGCGTCTGATAAGGAAAGGGAGGGAGGATTATTTGAAAGAGCGACAAAGAATGAACGAGTGAAGTAAGTGAGGTGAGTGAGGTGAGTGAGGGAGTGAGGGAGTTGAGTGAGTGACTGAGTGACTGAGCGACTGAGTGAGTGACTGAGTGACTGAATAAATGAGTGTGTAAGTGAGTGTGTAATGAGTGTGGAATGAAGTGTGTGTATCGAAATTGAAAATGGTTTTGCGGTTGATCGTTGCAATTAGGAGTAAAAGAACATTTTGGGAATGGTGAGAGAGGAAGAGCACAGTGTACACAGACTGTTGACATTCACTAGGGATTGGTTGTTGCTGGTGCATACTCCGTACATATTACCCATTTAACATTTTTTCGGATGAGGGTGAAACCCATCAAGGCACATCCCTATCTGTGCCTGCCCAAATAGGATGAAATCCTGCTTCTAATAACCTTTTTCCCTTTGATTGGTTTGATCCCCAAGAATACCTGAGATACCGAGAATAAAACGATGAATAGTTAAAGATATGCATCATTTATGTAGTAGCAGATGTTTATTAATTGCTTTGCCATGCCGGAAACATGATGTATGATACATTCCTTAACTGGTTGCCATGGGGCTATTCTTAAATATGTAGAACCTCAAATTCTGCTGAATTCCTGATACCAAGAGACATAAAATCATTCTTCAATGCTTGATTGCTTAAGATAAGATCTCCAATTATATGCATGAAGAAACTTGTTATGATTCAGGCTTATCCCTTCTCACATGTCATGGTTAGAATCATGTACTAGGTACCTGTACCTAGGTATTAAGCTCAGTATTATAAATATATCTTTCATTCCATTAACCCCTTAAAAGGAACATCCTCACACAATTATATTAACATTCTATTATACCATTCTCAAGTTTGAATGCGGGAACACAATCTTGTTCATTTGTCCTCTCATGTGAAAAAAAAAACCATCTATGGGGATGGGTATCATACTTCATTCATTTCAATGTGTTTGCAGCAGCCGCCGTTCTGATCTTGTAATCTCTTGGACTTTCGTAATCCTTTTTCTTCCCTGACCACATTCCCAATTTATTCCTCTTGGCCTCTTTTTCTATCGCCCTATACTGCGCCTCGAAATCTCCAAACTCAGCGCCCATCTTGGCCTCGTAGACTGTAGCCATTCCCGCTCTCAACATTTCCTTCCCAACATCCTTCCGAAATAGAAATCTTCGCACCCAAACTGTAGCTACCACTCGATCATACTGATCGCGTCTATAAATGTAGGCACGTACCCGGCGATTCTGAATATATTCTCGGAGCCAGGCTAAAGCCTCAGCTGAAAATGGTTGAGCGGGTTTGCCAAAATGTGCTCCTTCTGGCGCGTCGACTCCTGCGATCCGAACGTGAATCTGTGTGAATTAGCTTCTGCATCTAGTTTAACCAAGCGACCATCGTGAAGTACCCACCGTCTTGTTTTTTAGGTCTTTCCCCTCCGGCAAGGTCTTTCTTCCCGGCAACCATCCCCAACCCGCAAGTCTACCACCAGGCGTATGAAAAAGGTGAAAATTATCCGCATCTCCGACCCTCGTCACTGTGCCAAACAAACTCCTTTTCCTAAAGAACCCGGGCCGTATGTATGCTGCCTCTGGAATGCGACGCAGATAAGAGCGGTACAAGCGCGCGAAAACCAAAATTGTAGTTGTCAGCAGAAGTGTCGGTATTAGGGTTCGGGGGTCCGTGTAATGCTGCCAGTCCGTGGCATTAAGATTATCGCCCCATGAGAATGAGGACCTGGCATCGTCTTTTTCTTTTTCCTTTTCCTTTTTCGATTTCGAGTTGAAATCTAGCCATCCCATAGTGTCGACGCGCAGTACCAGTCACAGAATGATTATGATGTGGGGAGGTTGCTGCTGCTCAATGCTTCAACAGGGGAGGGGTCATTTTATGTCCGAGCTCTGGAGAGAAGTCACATTGTCATCAGACACACAAGAAAGGTATCAGATGAAAATCATCATAAGCTACCAAAGACCATTGTCCAAGAGCCTTTGAAACATTGGACTTTTATCTTGGACGTGTAATAGGGCTTGATCTTTGTGCGTCAAAATTCAGAAGCAGCAGCTTTATCTAATGAGAAGTACATAGATCCAATTTGGTATAGTATAGGTACATTTGTTATACAATATTTTACAGCTCCTACATAGATACTTACAATTTCCTTCTCTTGGCTCTTACACTCCTTGCCGACGGCTCGAATACTTTCACCTCCTCCACAAGTTCGATCTCTTCTGTGCCGCCTTCACGCTTTATCGTAACCTTTTCTTCTTCCTTGACCTCCATCTCCTCCGAACGATACTCGCGCTTGACTGCGACTTCCTTTTCTAGAATATCACCATTTTCCTGCTTTACCCCGACTTCGTTAACTTGAATTTCGACCTTGGTGACAAGTTTATCAGAAAATGTTTTCAAATCCGCCGCAAATAAGACTGAATGCGCCCAGCCAGCCTCTTTTCCCCATAAACCTCTAAAATGATCGCCAATCGCATCATATGTAGCTTTGGTGAGACTCTTGTGTTTTCCTTTTCCAAATTTGTAGTCCCTCTGAGCAATTTGCCAGACGTGAGTGTCCACAGGAACTGCCTCTCCCCATCCTAAACCCATCAAACAAACGCAGTCAGCAACTTTTGGACCAACTCCTTGAAGCTCAAGGAGCTCTTCATGTGCTTTCCTATACCCAGGACGACCTCCTGCTGGGATTTCTCCCTCAAAGGGCATGTCAAAAGTCTCCGGATTGTGAAGATTTTCGAGCCAACCTTTAGGCTTCGAGGCCACAATCGAAGCCGTTTGGGCAATGTACTTTGCTCGATACCCAAAGCCTAGTACACGGAGATGTGACTCTACCCCTGAACCAGTTAAGGCTTCGGGTTGTGGGAAATCGTGAAATGGTTGATCACCAATATGCCCGATTAAGGGACCATAATGTAGACACAAATTATTTACCTACATTAAAAACACAATCAATAAAATAATTCGAGGCTTAGCATACATACATACATACCATTTGCGAAATTCTTATAATATTATTATTGCTACTGCAGATAAATCCTACCAAAGCTTCCCAAGCATCTTGCTTGAGAATACGAACTCCCGTGAACTTGGGTGCTCGTTTCTTAAAATTTGGGTCTACTAGCGACCATTGCTCATATAATTCAGTCAGATTCGGTGAAAGATTGAGATAATTTCGAAGCAAAGATTCCGTCTCTTCATCATCTCCAGACTCTTCCTTTTTGGCCAAACGTGGAGAGCTTGATGGTACTTTAACCTCAGGAAATATTGTACGATAGTGAAGATGGGTTGAGTCCTGTTTTAGAGAAAGTATACGGCCGTGAAGAGTACAAGACCTATTTGAAGTTAACCTTGTTTGTTGACTACTGCAGTTATTAGAAAAGAGTCGTTCGTGTACCAGCAATCTTCATCTACAGCTTTCTTCCACCGAAAAGATTGCCCACAACGTAAAGTGGTATCTATACAAAGCTCTGCCAAACTCACTGGAAGCTTTCTCCATTCTGATATCCTCAAATTCCCCATCGTGAGAATCTGATTGTGATTTATGGTGGTTGAGTGAACTCCACCTTGGCGCGCTTCTACACGAGGAACAACGTTTCTAATCTTAGCGCGAAATTCGATTGAAGTTCGCGACAGCTTCCACAAAAATTCCGCCTCGGTTTTGAGCTTGTCAACCACAACCAAAATTACATTTATTTGTTTCTTTGTTTCCCAAAATTACTCTAAATTGCAGCGCCAATATGAACGGCGATACTTATTCATCAAGAGGCATGGCACCTTCAACGACAAGACCAAAAAGGGAGGATGGAGCTACTACTGACAAGAAAGCATCAACAGATCGACATGGCCCATCTAGAGATTATCATGTAAGCCTTCTTTTATCAATTTTTTCAGGTGTAAGTTATCTAATGAAATGCAGTCTCGAGACGATCGACGTGGTGGGGATAGAGATAGGCGACGCTCGCGCTCCCCAGGACACCGAGGCTCCAGAAATTCTCGTCGCGATGGAGAGTTAGACACACGGGATTCTTACTCAACAAGTCGCGAATATAGAGAGAGGGAGCGTGAAGATAGGTACTCTGGCAGGGAGCGAAGAGGCGGCGAAAGAGAATGGGATAGAGATCGCGGAGCAGCAAGGCGAGATGCTAGAAGAGACGATGATGAAAGACCGCCGCGCAGAGATAACAGAGATCTATTCGACGATAGACGTGGTGGAGGTGGCAGAAGGGGTGGTGACCGGGGCGACCGAGGTGATCGACGAGACCGTGGAGACCGCGGAGACGACGGAGGATTCGCTGCTCAACGAGCTGCGAAACGAGACAAGAGTCCAACTCCTCCACCGAAGAAGAAGGAGCCGACACCTGATCTGACGGATATTGTACCAATCTTGGAGCGTAAGAGGAGATTGACACAATGGGACATCAAGCCCCCAGGATATGAGAATGTCACTGCTGAGCAAGCTAAACTTTCGGGCATGTTCCCACTTCCAGGAGCACCAAGGCAACAACCAATGGATCCAAGCAAGCTACAAGCTTTTATGGCACAACCCAGTGGCTCAGTCACTAATGCAGCTCTTAAACCTTCGAACTCTAGACAATCGAAACGTCTTCTTGTGCATAACATTCCCGCCGATACCAAGGAAGAGACTCTTGTTGGGTTCTTCAACCTGCAGCTCAATGGATTAAACGTTATAGAAGGCTCCGATCCATGTATCTCAGCACAGGTCTCAAAGGATGGCTCATTCGCTCTACTCGAATTCAAGACGCAATCCGATGCTACTGTTGCTCTAGCATTGGACGGAATTACTATGGAGAATAATGACCACATGGTAACAGGAAATGGCTCCGCAGATACCCAAGGTCTTTCCATTCGTCGTCCAAAAGATTACATCGTGCCCGCGGTCACTGATGAAACACCATTCGAGCCAGGTGTAGTTTCTAATATTGTAGCCGACACTCAAAACAAGATCAGCGTTGCTAACATCCCCCACTACTTAAATGATGAGCAAGTTACAGAGCTCTTGGTGTCTTTCGGGGAGCTCAAGGCATTCGTATTGGTCAAGGATAGTAATACTGATGAATCAAGGGTAAGCGCACAAATACATGGTCTCAACTAGATACTAATATGATCAGGGAATTGCTTTCTGTGAATACGTGGATCCTGCTGCAACTGACATTGCTGTCGAAGGTCTTAATGGTATGGAGCTTGGTGATAAACATCTCAAGGTCCAGAGAGCTAGTATCGGTAACACTCAAGTTTCCGGCTTGGAGATGAGCGTCAATGCTATGTCTATGCTTGCTGGTACCACATCACAGGATCTCGAAAATGGCAGAGTATTACAATTACTTAACATGGTGACTCCCGAAGAACTTATTGATAATGAAGATTATGAGGGTAAGTGTTTCGTGCCTATTCGTGTGAATATATACTGATCAATACTTTAGAAATTTGCGAAGATGTAAAGGAAGAATGCGAGAAATATGGAAAAGTTCTTGAAATGAAGGTCCCAAGACCAACTGGTGGCAGCAGGCAATCAACTGGTGTTGGTAAGATCTTTGTGAAGTTTGACGCTCCAGACTCAGCAGGCAAGGCTCTTAAGGCCCTAGCAGGCAGGAAATTCGCAGACCGTACTGTGGTTACTACATATTTCCCAGAGGTAAATCCAGAATCCGTTCGATTTATTCACAACCAACTACTAACACTTACAAAGGAAAATTTCGAAGTCAGCGCTTGGTAGATGGTTCACCAAAACATCAAATTCACCAACTTTTTTCCAATCTAGGCATACCCCCGTATTTACTCATGAAAACACCACATTCAGTCATACGCATACACATCGCGTATTGGGACGATCTTATATCCTTCTGTACTTTTAGTATCACTGGCCTCTTAGTATTTCAGTCGCAGGCACGATAGGAGTCTTAACATATTCGAACAAAAAGCAGATAGTTTCCCAAAAGTGTATCTTTCCTAACCTTTATAGGATGATGATGATGCACTTTCGTTATGCTACTTACTAATGAGTTTTGGTCGATGATACTTGTTTACAGTTGATTTAAATTTAAAGTTTATTTTTATAAGTTTATTAGTGTAATTTGAATTATATTTTGATTATCTAGATGATTGATTGATGAGTAGAATTATTCAGTTTATATATATATATATACTTAAATATATATAATATAATTGTCGGCTTGCCGACACCATAACCTTGTTGTACATGAGGTTTATCTGATGGGTGATAGAAAATAAGAAACTCGCTTAAATGGATCGCGATCCTGACAATCTGATTGGTCTAAAATACCCCGGTAAATAATCTAACAAAAAGCTTGGTATAAGCCTTATAACCTCAGGCAAATCTGACTTGGAACTTTTTTCAACTTTATTGAAATCATTCAACTTTATTGAAATCAATCAACTTTGAAATCATTTAATTTAACTCTATTCATTCAATTCAACTAATAATAATTATTATTATTATTATTATTATTATTATTATTATTATTATTATTATTATTATTATTATTATTATTATTATTATTATTATTATTATTATTATTATTATTATTATTATTATTATTATTATTATTATTATTATTTTTTTTTTTTTTAAAAGTTAATTTTCACTTATCAAAAACAAACTGATATTCTACCTATACTCTGATATATATTTAATATTTAAATTTATTATAAACTTTTTAAACTTTAAATTTTCATTAAACTGTCTCGAAAAGGGGGTCGGGGGCGCAGGCCCCTGGTAGAATATTTGAATTATAATTGATCAAATGAATTATAGAAATTCTCTTAATCAAAATATTATAATTTTTAATTTTTAATTTTTGTAGAATTTAAAAATATAATCTAGTAGTGAATAGAAGAATTATGATAATGGAATAGAAGATCTAGAAAAATCAAAAAGAATTTGGAATTTAAAGAGATGCGCTAAACGTAGAATATATGTCTAACCCGATCTTTTTATATGTCCTTGCTGTCAGGAGGTACAGATCTAAAATATGCTGTATAATTACTATACCTGTGGTATTACCATTTCATACTTCATACTTTCAGGCTCATACTCACACAGCTACTTCATGCTCGAAAGTAATCGGGATTTGAGAGTATACATGATGGTGTAGTAAGGAACTTTTGATCTTCGTTTCGTTTCTCGGATTCGCTCAGCCGTATAATTCGGATCCTTCTTTCAGTTCCGAAAGCATTATGACTTTACATAGTATGCGAATCTCACCTGCGCGAACAAGATGGAAAAGTCCCCCAAGAACTCTCTTTGTTTCATATCTAAGCAGATGTGAGAGTCAGACGAGCTAAGGTGAAGTCTAGGTCGCATATGACACGGATATATCAAATTCGCATTTAAGGCTCAGTGCAATGGTTTGCTGTCTATTCTTGTGGGGACATGGGAAGGATATTTGAAGGGAAACATTGAGGGTTTTGAAGGGGGACTCTGCTATTCGAATTATGGTTTGGGTTAAGCACCTTTGAGTTGAGTCTGTCTGTCTGATGATTGTGTGTCCGTAAAGGGATTGCGTTGATTCAAAGGCATGTGGATTTGCTGGTTTGTGGGTTTATGAGTTTGGATTAGGATACGCATCAAAATCTGAACTGACGTCTGAGTTGCGGCTGGGAAGGGTTTGAAATATTAAGTGGATAGTGATGGTGATGAATGGACATGCAGAGAATACGAAGACTCCGAGTTGAACGGTTCGTGTATGTGTAGTATGATTATGGTATCAAGTGTGGTAGAAAAGCTTTTATTCTTGAAAATAGAGGGAAGAGAGAAGTCCGGTCGACTATTGGAACGATAGACGGTTTGAGGTAAGTTGGTTAAAAATAGAGAGTGGAGTACAGTTCACCATGGATGCAGCTTTTGTTTGATAGATACAAGTTAAGGTATGGAAGAGCAGAGAACAGTATTAGAGATGAGCTAGAGACTTCATATGTTGGCCGGCGATTGGGCAAAAATAAAGTATCCAGATGAATGAATAAACAATTATAAGTCTCATCATTGTACCAAGTCTATCAAGTAATTATCTTCCCTGACTATCCCATGACTCGAAGGAAAATGAATTAGATGCCATAGAAAGTATTATAAGCAAGCAGAAAGATATCAAAGGACGAGATGGTTGAAAATTAAAGTGGTAAAAAGGAAACAAGAGACACATGAGATTTCAATATTTGCTCCAAGTATAGCATCAGACAATACATTATCAAAGTTACTATTCATATAATAAATCTATTTGTTAACAAGGCAATGAATAAAAAGAACCCGAGTATTTGCATTGAATTTCGATTTTGGAAGATAAATCAACCATGCTATCCTGCGACTTATTCTCGTTCCCAGCAACTGAAAGATCACACTTCAGAATCTAATTTTGTGCACAATTTTACTATAATACCATCACATATACATACATCATTCGTCCTCTATATCTATCAGTCCGAATCCAATCAACTTCGCAACCCGATTTGCACATGGGTATTACAGCGAGCTCTTACTATTCTCCCATTTTTGTATTTCCAATCACAGAATCATCGCTCGCTTATGTGTGTAGAATAGATAGCTCTTATGCGTCATGTCCACCATCTAATGTGTAGATTTTATATTGTATTAGGGATGGTTTTCTCTATATGGAGTGATGGGCACTTGAGCGCTGGTGCGACGATGAGGATTTCAGGATTGAGTTGGAGAGCCCCGCCAGGGAGTGTACGTGAAGGTGTTCAATCATCTCTTCTGCCATATCCATAAATATTGCTATGTAGTTGGTGTCGAATAGGACGAGGACATCGGCCGAGTGAGGCAAGAAGATGGAGAAGACGAAGACCTATGTTTTCCTCCTCCTTGAAAAATGCAAAGAATCGACACAGCTCCTAGGTTTAAATAAATATAGTATACAGTTAATTTTTATATGCTTCCAAGTTCTTAGATCTGATATCTGGACAGTGCATCTGGAAGACTGGAACTTATACGTAAGATCCGATTACTGAATCCTATTTTTTCTGTAAAATTACATCAAGGCTCAGCACGGAACCTTCTGCTACAATACAGAAGAACTTTTTACAACATAGGGTTACTGGTCGTTCCAAAAATGAGATGTGCAAAAAGTTTTTGCAGCAGTGTATGTAGGTGAATACTCCTCATCTCAGCTCATCTCAAGCCAACCTAATTAGTCCTAGGACGCGAACTGTATTGTCCAATGCATTAAGGACATTCCGTTCACCTATCCATCTACCGATCAATCGAACCATACAACTAAACATGCATCCTTCAGCCTCTAGATCATCCTGCATCGCTCAGTCCAAGCCATATATTCCGAAATATTTTCTCACATATCCCGGAGCACAACTCAGCTCTTTCCATTCAATCTCAAAATAGCAGAAAACAAACATGCAGCGACAATGGTTCACTAGTCATCAACTAGCCAGAATACGGCTCCACTTACCGAGTATTTTATATTTCTAATCGGAGGTGATAAATACGGGGTCATTGGGGAGTACTTGATATGTCATGGCCGGGACGTATGTTAATGCAAGAAAGGGTGATCTCAGGAAGATACATGACTTTATCTTGCCTCACGATTCAACTCTGGCTCATAGCAGGACTGGCTAGCGATTAAGTTTAGGGCATTGAAGTAGACTGAAGAATGCTGTGCCAGTTATAGTAATGATTTGACTGCTCTACGTGGTAAATGTCTCTCATAGCTTTCCAAAGATTGGCATGTTCTATCTATCTATTAGGATGGGAAGAAGTGTGTAATATGTTTATGAAGTGCTCTATGCACTCAGCAACTTTTTACCCCTTCCTGGGAAGATAGACGCATAGAGAGAAGAATTTACCGTGCAGAAGACTAACAGTTCATTGTATTTGCCTTCTCGAAGGATAAAAAAGTACTCTAACCATGGACATATTCTTCTTCAACTTACCAATCTCTTCCGAAATTGATTTGGATATTAGTTACGAAATCTGTGAGAGCGGGGATCATCCATCTGCTCAAGGAAGGTCAAGGCGTGGGTAAAATTCGAAATACGGTAAAGATGCAAGTGAGCTCTGACTGACGTGATCATGGCTTGATGTGATGTAGTTTATGTGATGAGATATGAATCGCTTTGCGCAGTAATTCAGGGGGGTAAACTCAGATCAAGAATGGATAGAGGCACGAGCGCAAACAGCAAACAGCAAACAGCAAACAGCAATGACAGTGACAACAGACTATCTATCACCTCTCACCAAACCATAAACCCGTAAACTTGCTCACATACCAGTCACACGCCCTCACCTAATTCTGTAAAGATTGACCCACCTAATCCTACATCCAAGGGACAACGAATAAAGATGACATCGTAGCATCCCAAAGATCAGAATGACCACTATCCTCCCAATGAACTTTGAGATGGAAACTTTATTCTCGCTGCACCGATGACTCATCGGGAATACTGCGCTCAAACTTCACAGGAGTAACTTCAGAAGTTCAATTTCATCTGCTCCACCCGAGGCTTGTAAAAGTTCCAGTTTAGAAATTGCTCATCTCATTCCATAAACCTTCTAGAAGCTTTTTATCCTTAATTTGGAAGCGAAAATTTCAAATGAGGGAATGAGGAGCTTCACCTCCATCCTACCATTGATGAAATTTGCTGACTACGACCAAAACAGCTTTGCACAACATAAAAGGAATTTAACAAACAAAATGTAATGTAATGTAATTTCCCCAAGGCGGAAACTAAACTGGAGTCTCACGCACTGGCCATGAGAACGTTTGCTTTCTCATCATGAAGTAATTGCTAGGGATGCAGCTTCTCCATCACAGATTCAAACCCATACCGTACATCAATCTAGCCCCACAGCCAACCGTGTGAAAATTTGGTATCTCCCCTGTAGGAGTGACTTGTGGTCGGCGAGGTTGCAACGTGAGTTGTCTGGAACCGGTCCACTTATCCAACATCGCATCTTTCCTCTCTTGTTACCCACGCCTGTGCGATCTATACGGAGTGCATTCAAGACCCCAACTGAGTAAATTGATATGCTGGTTTTCCACATGGGCAATGGAGAAATG